ACCAACAGCTAGCCACTCGTTGGTAGATAACTGTGCTCCAAAAAATGCCATCTCTTCCGCATACCTCTCTCGCGGGCACACAAATATGTCGGGCTCCCGACGTAGTGTACCAATGACTGGTACGGAGCGCGCTTCCACAAGATTTGCTCCAATTGTGTTCTTTTTTGGAATCTGTAATACATGTACTCTGTATCACTATAACGCTGACTCATAATGATCGGAGCAGTTAGAATGTTCCCAGAATATAATGCCCAGCAGTGAAAGTAGCTCAGATCAGTCCCCTTTCCACTCGACATAAGTACCACCTCTGTGCTCTGGGCAATCCATAGAACGGTGAATATGATGAGCCTTGACAATCACTCCATGAATGTGTGGCAAATAATATATCACCATCATAATTAATTATCATCCACTGAGGGTACTTGGAACCGGGGTTGCGTATTGCCGTCGAAGCAGAATTGAATAGCAACCTGTGCACCTGATATCGCCTGGCCCTCTGCCACTACGACGTGCGTCGTCATGCATGCAGAGAATGTTGTTTGCATTGTATTCTACATTTGTTCAGTAATTAGTAAAATACTACACTGTAATTATAGGCGTGCGTCCATTATGTGGCAAAATTGTGGCATTCAGGCCCTGCACCATGACATGATAATGTGTCAGGGCTCCAAGCAGCTTACCCGCCCCAAGTCCCCCCATGCATACCCATGCGTGACGTACATCGTGGACTTGCCACTGCACTGGCGCTTGAGTGACAGGTAAATAGCTACCAGCTTCGCTATGTCATTGTCAGTGGCTGTAGACTAGACCCTAGGCCAGGGTAGAGTTGTTCGACCGCCTGAACACCTTCTCGGATGCGCCAGCGGGCGGTCAGTAGGACTTCCAAGCTTTGAAGTTTGAGCGTCCTCTCAGTGCACACTGAGCCTGAGCAGCTGAACTGTGCATCGGATGGGTGCCTTCTGTCTGTCAGTCCTGACGCTGTCCTCATGAACCCGTCCAAAGCAGCTTGGCCGTCTACGTCACGCATGCAATGGGATGGGCAGCTCAGGAATTCAGCTGAGAGTGAGCGGCCACGTGCCGGGCTGTGCCTGGCTGGATGGGAGTCAGTGGAGAGTTGCGGGCGTCGTCGAGCTAGAGTGACAGGTAAACATGTCATGTCACCGCCTGTCAATCTACAGCTGTCAATCCTCCTGTCAGCCATGTACAGAAGTGAACTGTTAGTACAGGGTTAAAGGTTTATCTAACAACATGTACAATCATGTAACTGTACAAGGAACTTCATTTCCGTCCGACACCAGCTAGCTACATTGTATCTACAGTCAGTGTATGGGAATGGTGGCCAATCAAACACTCAAGCGCAGCAGTGTTTGTTATAGACAAACATTAATTTTGCTTCTCCTTTTTTGTTGTTTAAAACAAAATCTGCTGGTCATCATTCGTACACGTACACGTGCTGAGAGAATATCTGCACTCCAGCAGCTGGACGGGCTGCGTGGATAGATTCCCAGTGTTGTGTTCCCCATCGGTTAGTGGCGTACTTTGCTGGGTGTGCTACAGTGCTGGTGCTGGATTACATGTAAGCCAATGTTCCAATAGATTGTACAGTACCAATGCAGCACCATCTACATGTATGGCTAGCCTAGCTGAGCTCATCTGGCCATACAACGGCACTAGCGATACGTGAATAACGTTATCGGGACTAATATTCACTGCGAGTCTGTTCAACCTCTTCCTATAATATTCACTAGTTAAAGGAATGGGAATATCGGGACTCGGTGTACTTTCTACGCAGAGCAACGTCCTCTCTCTCTTTTCTCTCTCTCTCTTTTCTCTCTCTCTCTCTCTCTCTCTCTCTCTCTCTCTCTCTCTCTCTCTCGCTCGCTCTCTCTCGCTCTCTCTCTCGCTCTCTCTCTCGCTCTCTCTCGCTCTCGCTCTCGCTCTCTCTCGCTCTCTCTCGCTCTCTCTCTCTCGCTCTCTCTCGCTCTATCTCTCTCTCTCTCTCTCTCTCTCTCTCTCTCTCTCTCTCTCTCTCGCTCGCTCGCTCGCATGCTCTCTATCTATCTATCTATCTATCTCTCTCTTTCTCTCTCTGCCGTGAATGCTCAGAAGAAACCACTTGAAAAAAATGAACTGTATCCTGGCTTGGGAGCAGGTCAACCAAGGAAGGAAAAAAGAGTCCGGTGGGACCCGGAGCGGAACGCAAACACTTCAAAATGAAAGCCGTTCTTAGGCTTCGAAAGATTTAGTTCCACAAACGGTGTTTCGATGGTGATAAACCGGAGACTCTCACACTGCCTAACACTATCATTTACAACTGCCATGAACAATCGAAAACGTTACTCACTGCGGGTATCACATGGTGATAAACCGGAGACTCTCACACTGCCTAACACTATCATTTACAACTGCCATGAACAATCGAAAACGTTACTCACTGCGGGTTTCACAGCGAACATCAAAATCCAAAGTCTTTCGCGCGTATAATATTATTATGGTTTCATCCCTATAGGATGCGAGTGCATTCTCAAATTGGCAGGCTGTCATGTGACAATATGGCTGGAAAAGGAGTTGATGTGTGAATGCGAATAGGTATACAGCTGAGCAGTTGCAATACTGCCCAGCAAGATGATGACAGGCCAGACACTTTGACTGACAGGACTACTGAGCGTGACTGCTTGCTCCACCCATGCCCTCAGGGCAGCTCTGGGATATGCTGGGACGGGAGACACTGGTCAAACTTCTGAGTCCTCGCAGTAAATACTCCTAAAAGCGGTTAAGGAATGTCGTCTGGTCGGCAAGCCGCGAGTCGAAGTACACGTACATGTACTGCCATCATGCTATCCGAGGATTTCTCACGCACAAGGACGGTTCGGAGGGGCGTAATGGTACTGTTAAATTGGAGCAGTCTTTCCCCTTTCAACCCTTCCAGCGTCCCGCTGGTTGTGGTGGTGGTTGTGATGGTGGCGGTGGTGGAGCTGTGCTATGAGAGCAACGTGCCAGATAACCATTGAGAATATTTATCTAGGCATGTCATGAGCTGCGGACACCTGCACCAGGTGTCTCGCTCTAAACGCCGAAACTAGATCACTAATATGCTAGCTCCAGTCTGCCCTGGCGGCCCAGACTAGTAATGCTAAATCCAACGTATCGGTATGGCAATGTAGCTTTTTACATGGTACCGTCTCTCAAGTAGTAGTAAGTTACATGCCTTTCTAGAAACATGCCTGTTTGCATGTTTACCTGGAAGAACAAATCATGTCTCTTTGATTTCAACTAACGTTACGCTTGTCATCAAACCACAGTCTATTGGTAGAAATAAATTCCGCTGCGGAAACAGGTCTTCATGGTGGAGAATCCGGTTGCACAACACCCAACCAGCACTGCATACGTAGGCAGTTTAGTTAAGTTTTTTATTGCAGTAAAACCTGTCAAGGCGACCACTCGGATAAGGCGACCACCTGTCCTTGAAGACCACTGAAACCACGACCAAGGGATGCTATTTCCAGTCAATTGACCCTGGATAAGGAGACCACCTGGTAATAGAGACCACATTTTGAAGGTCCCTTGAGCGGTCGTCTTAGGCAGGTTTCACTGTATACCTAACTGGGGTAACCAAGGACAGACCCATTATGATTTTATGAAATCACATGAATTCATGTACATGTATGTTCCAGACCATAGCACACACATTGCTGTACAATTATACGACTATCTTTTCATACCCCTGCAAGGAGACACGCAATGTGCATTCTGCCAAGACTCAAGTAAGCAGTACACACCTATTGCATTCAAGCGGCGGCGCAGTCCTGAATCTCAAGCGGATTCTCAACCCGGGACAATTAGGGTCCAGAGGATTCTGCCGGCAGAAAAATTGGCAGAATCGGTACTTTTTCTGGTAAGTTTCATGCATGTTTGGTATGTGGATAAAGAAATGGAGCAGAATTCGAGGAATCGCCCGCCATAAGGTTTGTATGGTTCTGCTAATTTTACTGCTTTTCGAGCAGAATCCGCCGGTCCCTAGGGACAATACAAGATAACCTCCTCTGCTGAGTAACCAATGCTACCAGGCCAGGGTGCGTGCTTATCATAGAATCTACAATTTGTGTTTGTAGCAACACTGTAGTACACTAGCTATGCAGGTGTCCAGTACGAGAACAAACATCAAACATCCTATTTTCATAACAACACTGGGATACAGTAGTGTATGTGACGCGTGTGATGGTACCCTCTGCCTCAGGTTTACTGCTTCACCATGCCGGGATAGAATGATAACTCCGCTCGTGACTTTCGAAGCATGTCTCTCTTGTGCAGATGTGTTTGCTTTGCCCAGCGTTTCCTGTAGTGAAGTGCGCTAAATAAGGCAGAATCACCGTTGTTGAATCCTGGCGACAAGATCACCAGGAGGGCTGCGGCGACGGCCAATGTTTTCTCGGGATAAGTCCCGCAGGCAAGGGCAGACACATGAAGCCTCTCTTATCTTTCTGCAGTTCCAGCTTTATCGTGGCACATTGCTGCGTCAGCCACTGAACTCATGACCGCTAAACTGTGAGACAAATTTTGTTCTGCATTCAGTTGAGTTGGATGGTAATACTAATAGCTTCAGCCACATCTCACAGCATGAGAGCCTATCAGTATCAGTATGTAACCATTCCATGACATGCTCCCCGTCAGAAACTGAACAGTCATGACAGGGCGAGCCTGGACTGAATGCATATCTCCTGAGTTCGTCCATACACCCGGACTGGCAAACAGATCAGGGAGGAGGCGCTGACTGGGCACTGAGCGTGTGAGGACAGCGACAGCGTATTCCTGGGTGCCGCGTTATGACAGCCTGTCACTGTGCCCGCTTGAGCGGCCTTGGCGTGCGTGTGTTCCTCGGGCCGTTTGAGGTGCATCTCGTGATGAGGGCCTGGCTCGTTTTGACATCCAGGGTGACCACGAGCGTCCCACCCAGATCCTGGACGACATTATAAAACAGCGCTGTGAAACGGGAGACGGTGCTCAGTCCCAAACAACTATCCTTGAAACAAGGTTGAAAAGACTGTTGACTTAGGAACCAAATAATTTCCCCGTTTAGACCCTCAAAAAGACAACACAAACTCACTATGCCCGCCAGACGCAAGAGCAAGGACACCCTTGGCGTATCCTGTATCGAGCGACGCTCCAAGTCATCTGCAACAAGAAAGGAGCGCTGCCGAAGTCACCCAGCATCCAAAGAGTCGCCCAGCATGGGTTTGGCTTTGCTGGAAGGTCTAACCCGCGGCTATCGGTCCCTATCTTCCTCTCCATTCTCGTCGCCACCCTCGTCCCCGGCAAGTGGCAGCACACTTGGCGGCAGCGGTCCGTCGCGCCGTGAGCGCGCCACGGAGCGGGAGCGCAACCGTATGCACCAGCTGAACGATGCCTACGACGACCTTCGCGCCAAGGTTCAGACCCTGCCGTGCAGCGAGAAGCCGTCCAAGATTCAAACTCTTCGCCTGGCCATGGAATACATCGCGGAGTTGAAAGACACCCTAGAGAACGACGAATCGTTAGGAGATGTGGAATCCTACCTAACCTCTGATTCTAGTGTGTTCGAAGACGACAAAGCTTCGGAAGGAGTTAGCAGCAATGGAGTGTTGGAAGATGTAGCAGCGTCCAGCAACGCCTCCGCCAGCCGGTCTCCATCAAGATCTAGCGCTTCTTCGTCGTCTTCATGTGAACCACTGCTGTATCGACCACCCGTTCCATCCGCCCTAACCCATTTCATTACCCATACGACCTCTTGCGCGACGGGGCATTCGGCTGACCAGTCGCATAGCCAATTCCAGCAACGTCGGGTGGTGTCAGCGCCAGAAAGTGCGGCCACCACACCAACGCCGTGCTCCCCACCCCCACTGCCTCATTTTAGACCAACCACCTTAGCAACCTTTCCAGTTAGCGTGTCCGTTCCGTACACAATACCACAAATGACCACCGAGTCAACAACAGTGGATTCAAGCTTGGCATCGGCAATGTCCTATCGACATCAAGTGGCTGCACGGGATCCGTGGTCCACAGCTCACCTGAACGAGAACAGCCTACTGCAGGACTTGAGCGAAGCACAGATGGTGAGTGAGCGGATTGGATGTAATTATGTTGCATTTTTGTGTGCATGCTGCGTGTGTCTGTGCGTCTGTATTATGTGCGTGTGCGTATGTCTGTGTGTGCGTATGTCTGTGTGTGCGTGCTTGTAGTGTATTGTAGAATGCTACATGTAACTGCGGCCAACTGGTGATATGAATGGTATCCAGAATACCTGGATTATCTCCGATTTCAATCGGTCTCCAAAAATAATTGTCAGGGGTTGGCTTTCGAATAGGATAAGTAAATAGAAGTCAGGCATGGCGGCTCAGTGATCTTGTTTTCCTGCCAATCAGCCAGCCATGCCCCATTATTACAGATGGATTTGGGTGGAGTTGGCCGCAGCTATTCCTAACTGCCCCATTCTTGACACCCCTGTCAGATTCCCATTGCTGGTCACATGTCTGACAACCCGTTGGACAGGTGAACTGTACTGTGAGTCAGTGTGACTTAGGACAGTACTCAATAGCCCAAGTAGCCTACTGCCATGTATCACATCCACCCAGTTTGTGTACAATACAGCAAACCTGTGATCGCAGCCCTCGGAAATAGACTGCAAACGCGTGCAGCCTGTCCACGATTGCTACCTGCAGAATGTTTGATAGCAGATCCCAGGTGTATGGGCACCAGTGTGCGCCTTCAGTTTGCTTTCGAAGTTCTAAAAGCGCATCTTGACATGAGCTGATAGTCACTTTGACAGTCTTTGGCTCATGACTGGCTGCAGGGAGTGCCAGGCCCTCTTGTCAAAAAATCATTTCATTGCTTTGATAGCATGCAGGCAGTGCTGCCATTCCTGGCTGTCAGCAGCCACCCTGCGTCGGTCTGGGTGTATGTACATCAGAGAATGTTGATGTTTCGGGGTTGGTAGTGGGCTGTGTATGTACGTCATTCTGCATGCCTTCTGTGTACTCGCAGTGCCAAACAAACCTCCCGGTCGTTAAGCAATATTACGCAACAACATTTCACAAACCTAATGACTCTGCGTTCACTATGTGTGTTCTTCCCAGACCACGCTCCTGAGCGAGCTATCCACGTCCGCTTCTCTAGACACCCTATTCAATGCTGTACCACCACCGTCAGGTGAGGAGAAGGCCCTGAGCTTGCTCGACAGAGCACTGCTGCAGCCAACGTTCATCCCCGTAGCTAATGGCGCCGGTGTTCAAACCCTACCCGGACTATGATCCTCTCTGAGCAGCACTCTTCTTTTTAGGCTTTTCAATTTGCAAATTATAAATTCTATCAAATCTATGATTCCGAGCTGCAGTAACGGCGCACCAGGAATTCGAGAATTAAAACCGGAGATATATTTTCACGAGATTTTATTAGGACTTCGAGTCCAGCAGTCGGCTCTATGACGCTTAGATCGCCAGCTGGTGTCAATTCTAACCTTTATCTGCTTTATCTGCCTACTGCATACTAATACTGCTGCATATCTGCTGCTGGTCAGCTAGCACATCTGTTCTCTTTTCTTATTTCCTCCAAATTTCATGAACGGGAAGTTGAAGACACACCTACAGCTGGGCATCATTCCGGTAATGATGTTCCGGCCTACCATATACCCGTTGGTTTCCCTCGCTCTCTCCTGTGTGTGGTGCTCTGATCTGCGGCCGTGCGGGAACATGCATCAATCGTGTAGTTTCGGTGTGGGCTCGCGGCCTAGTTTGTCGGCATGGAATGCATTCGGCAGGTCTATTCCGGATTTATACGGTGAGAGTGAATCCAGTCTGTAAAGCGGCGGTCAACACATGTTGAACACCACACACTCAATCTGGCTTCAAACAGTTCCGTCACCGGACGCCCTTGGTGCAGCGGAAACTGTCCTGATATGACGGGATTCGGCTTGATCCAGGGATGCAAGTTAGTTCGATCCACAGCACTTTGGTGCAAGAAAACTTGTCCGGTCGATACAGGATTCCGCTTGGTACAGGGTCCGGCAAACCTAAGTTTTGCTGTATTCTGCATCTCCTCTTGAGACTGCTAACTCCTCCACGTAGTACACCAATGTCGTTGAATACCCATGCCACTCGCCACCGATATGTTGATGCATGCGTTGTCCTGGCAACATCAAGATGCTTTAAAGCTACAGTCCATTCATTGGAAACTGGCACCCTAACTTTTTGGTGTCTCTCTCACATAGTTGTAGATATCGTGAAAACAAGAGTACATCCTGCATTGTGTGACCCATGCAATTACTCCTTGCCACATTCGAGGCCAGAAAAGTCCAAGAACAGGGAAATAGAAATTCAGCCAGGTTTTATAAAATTAGGACAGGTATGCCATGGCAAAATGTATGGAGAAGCAGATCCAAAACCCAGATTTTTGAGATTTAAAGTGGGTTTTTGATCCTCAATTCGGCCCAAATCTGACTTTCAAAAGCCAGCGGGCCAGTTTCCGATGAATGGACTGTAGGGAGTGTCCCTCCTTTCCCTGACTTAGTACCGGTATGAGAACAGCACACCGGAGATGGAACTTAAACTACTGCAGTTGATCAAAATAATTATACAGGCACATTGGAGTTCAAGCGAATCAAGAGTGGTACGAGTCCCATACTTCAGTCATTTCTCTGGGGTGAACAGGCCATAGAATCTAACAAAAGGGCAAAACATCGTTTGAGAGCTGTATAGCCATTTTATACACAGTGCAACAGTAAGGGGCCGTCCGGGGTTACCGATTGTTTTTACAAAACGAAACGTTTTAGTATTTTCTCAGCCCCCGCCCACCCACCCATCTTTTCTGCAGGTAAAACAAATTCCAATAAAATATTGATGTCAATTTTCGACACACAAAAGTAACTGGATATTCTCCATCTGCATTCATTATTATTATCAAAACGAAACTCCATCAAACCCACCCACCCCCAAACGAAAACTTTTCGTTTTGAAAATATTATTGGTAACCTTGGACGGCCCCTAATGTGTTCTCGAAACGAAACGGGAGTTTATTTTGGAGTTACCAAACCCCAGCTGTTGATAAACCTATGAATATTAAAACTACTAAATGTGTGAACTCGTCACGGCGCTAACATTGTAACCGTGTACTGTTCCAGAACAATTTCTCGTCATACCAGGCCCGTCGCACCGACTTTGGAGGTGGGGCGGCCATGGAAGGGGGGTCCGGGGGTCGTCCCCCGGGAAAAAATTTCAAAAGTTGAAGCCAATTGCAAGCATTTCCGGGTATTTGGTGCCATTTCAGTGTACGGTAACTACAATGAAAGTCTTTTTGATTCTGCAACAAACGAAGAAGACGCTACGATCGGGGACAAACATTACCCTCCCCGGGAAAAAATTCAAAAATTGAAGCCAATTGCAAGCATTTCCAGGCATTTGGTGCCATTTCAGTGTAAAACTGCAATGAAAGACTTTTTTCTGCAACAAACCACGATCGGGGACAAGGATTTGTCACGTTTGCGCTAAGCTGCGATCATTGTGCTTTGTTGTACATGTACCGTAATGTGCTCAAAAACAAAACAAACAAAAAAATGGCCGAAAAAGTGGGGCGGCCTCAGCCGCCCCGGCTGTGACGGCCTTGCGTACTTATCAATCCTAGAATTTCGTGACTATTTTAATTAAACTTTTTAAAACAGAGAGGTTCCAGGCTACTCACACATTACAGGGTACCTCAAATGGAGTCTGCGAGTGCTTAGAAAAGGTTCCAGGCTGTCCAAGAGAGTGCACAGTACCGAGATAGACCAGTACGCCTGGGGTGACAAAACGAGCACGTGCAAGTCCAGTGCTGCTCAACGAAATACAATCACGCGAGTCAAGCTTACGCCCTGCACCAGCAGATCAACACATCCCAGTGTTCGCAGGTGTATAGCTGCTCAGCGACCGGCGTGGCATTCACACTCGCTTGATCGGAAATCATTGAGCAGCACCGTACGAGTACACATACTTGTAGTAGTTATTTCATGATGATTGTGACGGAAATGGACACTGGAACACACTTTTGGCTGCCATGTTTGAGACTTGAGTGTGCACACTATTTTCGTGTATTATCGGTACTCAATTATTATTTGCATACCATGGCTTATTTATACAAATATGGTCACCTTTTCGAGAAAAATATCGACAAGCACGTACAGTTCCTTGAAGGCGATAAATTATATCTTTTTGGACGTGAATTTCGTGAACAAGCATGCATGCCCACAGTGGAAAGGCACTCGCGAGTACCCTAGCGGAGCATAGGGCAGAATATACTTCAAAGTACTTTTATTGAGAAGAATAACATTAAATTTTGTTCTTAGTACACATGGTACACTAGTCCAAACACAAGAGCAAATGATGTCATGGGAATATTTCTTGTTGCGGCATCGGAGCGGAGCGGTGAAATACAATGCGGAAATAAAAGATTCTAAAAATGCGCTGATGGCACGCTGTAGTGTACACGGAGATGAGGTAACACGGCAAAGAAAGAAAAAAGGAAAGAGATGCTAACTTACAACAGAATCATCATACAAGGGAGAAGGGAGAGATATTTTTGGCCGTTCATAGTTCACACAGATTGAAATGGCACTGCCATGGTCAAGAAAAAAAGAAGAAGAAAACACCATGAACAGCTATCTCACAAGTACACATGTACACACACACACACACACACACACACACACACACACACACACACACACACACACACACACACACACACACACATGTATCCAAACTATGTCACTATGTACAACACAAGCGAAAGCTGTCCTCGTACGCACTCACGCTCATACGATCAGCTCAGGCGCGTGGTTCTCAACGCGGGTGGCTGTTTGTTCCACTTTCTTGCACCATGTCGTCAACCGGTCCGTCATCACGGCAATCTGGGAGCGATCGAGCACGCGAGGCTGTACCCAGGTGAACTGGACTACTTGCTGTACCTGCACGCACATAGCAACACACAGCAGACAGCAAGGGAAGGCGGTCACACAAGGATGATGACCAATGCAAGAGAGCAGAGGCCAAAGACAAGCATCACTTCCTGGAGCTGATCAGTAGGTATTGTGGTACATGTACTACAACTGAGGCCAGTCCAACAGATAGTGAATAGTGCCAATGCTATGTGATGAGATGCTACGGCAATCCAGGCAATCCCCTCTTAGCAGCCACCCCGAACTCCAGCAGCCCAGCTCGGCCGGGAACATTGACTGCATTTGCAAGAAACGCGGTGACCCACAGGATTCAGGGATGGTTTCAAGTACTATCTCTCTCTCATGAACTGCTGCAGTACATTGCATACACCCAAGTGGCCTCCCTACCCACAGAACAACAGCTGGCCCTGGCTGTCAGTATGGGCAGTTGCATACCAGCAAAGAGAAAGACGCTCAGGTCACGTGTCAGCCAACTACTAAACGTTTCTAACTTCCTGTTCTCAGCAGGATATAAAACCTGTACAGCTCTGGCAAACAAAGGTTCATATCCCACAGCACCGGCCAATGAACTAAACTACCTACGAGTATATTAAGAGTACATACCAGTGTCTGCTCTAGGATTGTAGGACAACCGGGTACACGTGTACCTGGTGCAACCATTTCAACCGGGTTGGAGCCGGGTACACATGCACCTGGCGCTGTCTCACCAGCCGAGTCACATGCTTTAACTGGTTGGTTGGTTTATTTTAATTCGGACAATAAACGGGAACTAGGCCCAATGATATAAAGGCGAATGGATAAGCCGCATTTAGAAAAAGAGAGGACAGGAATTAGAAAATTACGAAAGAAGAAGAAGTATCTGACACATACAAGCCATGTAGTTAGTCCTTTCAAAGTTCGAAAGTGTAAAGTACCAGCCGGGTCACAGGTGACCCGGTACTATCTTTTCAACCGGGTGCAAGCGCCGCCCAACCGGGTGGATTACCCGGCTCACCCGGCGCTGGAGCAGACACTGCATACACGTACTGTACAACATACCAAGGCCACTGGCTAGGCAGCTTGCTCCTTGTTCTATGTCCCCCCCCCCCCCCAAAAAAACAACAACGAAATAACAACAACAATTGCATACAAGCTACACGAGTGTTGCACTATGTGTCAAAAAATTGTCCCCACTGCTTGCGCAGCAGAATAAATGACCAGCGTATCACCTACCTCATCTAACGATCCCTTCACCAGTCCAAGCGACAGCGCTTTCATCACCAGCAGCTCCACTTGTTCTAGGGACACGCCGACGCGCGTGGCAATGTCGCCAAACGCTATCGTCCGCTCCGACGCCGGATGAGCGAAGACCATCTCCATGAGCGCGAGCAGAGAGATCTTGGCGCGCAGCTTTTGCTCGGCTGAGGCTAAGTCTTTCTGGGTTTTCCATTCCGCCGTCTGATCAAGATGCGCTAACACACCGGCATTAGCCCGCTGCAGAAGTGTATACATCCACTCTCGGTCGGTGCCCTCCAGACATTTGACAATGGGATGCTCCAGCATTTCACCAAAATTATAAAGCCCCTCACCCAGCAGTGCTGCGATGCCAAGGGCAAACGCACAATCCGTCAGCTCCTCTTTCGGCAAGTCGTCAATGTTGATGCAGCCCAGGTAGCGTAGTGTGTCGCGGTAGAACTGTGCGTGATCGCCAAGACGCTGATAGTACCGCGATGAGAGCCTGTAGTACTCGCCGTGCGTAGGTGTGACGTGATCGAGCTGGTCTAGCTCAGTGTTCAAATCCTCAATGGTGCGCTTCAGTGGCTCCAGGCCCTCCGTGTCTACACGTAGACGAGCTATATGCGTCCTGCACAGAAGGCTGGCCTCCTGGTGCGTCTTCACCTTCTTGTTGGTCTCGGTCAGGAATTCAATGGCATCTTCCTGCGACATTTTGGTCATGACAGCAACCGAGAGGTGAACGTGCGACAGAGGGTTTATCCTATGCTCGAAGTCCTTGATGAAGTTACTATATAGATCCAACATATTGGTTCCCTCCGTGAAGAAGCTGTGTTTAATAAACTCGGTCAAGACCAGCGTCAACTGATGCCAAAGTTTTTTTCGGTAAAATTGCTCCAGCGACTCGAATGTATCGCGGACAGTGGCGTCAGTGTGACTTCTGAAGCTAGCCAGATAATCCATCGGTTGCGCCATGGTGCCTAAACAACTTCCCCTCCACTAATCAGCTCTAAGTTCACGAGTATTCAACAATGTTTCTCCTCTATCTTCAAACAGTTCAAAAAAAGTTCCAGCACAGAGATTCTAGAAAACTTTGAAGAAAGCAAAATGACAAGAAACATCACTGAACTGTGCGCTGAAAGCTGGATTGTGGTCATGACAACACGACATGGCGTCGCTTTCAAATGATGACGCTACGCATTTTTGTACTTTCATTTTCAAAAACTGTCCTTCGAAAAAAAGTGAAAAATCGGACGACGTCGTGCAGCGCGTGTCGCATTGCCAGAGAATGATGAAATCAGGGAGTCGTCAAATACCATTCCCTGGATGAAATCAATCAAAAAGTAATTAGTTCACCCACCTGCCAGTACGAGAAAAGTAAGTGTTAGTTGTAATAATAGACAGGTCGACAGCTGATATGGTGCAGACAGGTAATGGAACTAATAACTAATGTTACTTGATGAGGCCACCTGAGCACCTCGAATACCACTGGGAGCGAAACTTGTCGTGGTGGAGGACCAAGATTTTCAGCTAGGTTCCACTGTTCGGAGCAGACTTTAATAATCTTCACTGAATTGAATAGTACAAGAAGGTAGAATATTTTGATAAAATGGATGACATGTTATCTGAAGATCGCCAGAGCCAGGAAGAAGAGGTGGGTGCGATTTAGAAGGTTATTTTTTTGTGAATAGTGAAGGATAGTGAAGTTTTGGTACGCGAATGACTGTTGGGACATTCTTCCAAAACATGACGTCACAGAATTCGTAAAAAAAGACAACTTTTGTCGCAAGCGGCTAGCCTGTCGCAAGCGCGAGACTCATCTTGGGCGCGCTCGAGCTAAGGGCGCGCTCACACTGCGATCATGAGGATCTAGGACACGTCCATGCGTCAGCAAAACGCAGAAACGTGGCAGTCGTGCTCACACTAGGCTTCGTACACGCGTAGACGTGAAGTTGTCACACAAACTTTACGAATTGCAGTTCGTATCCAAAAGAGTTCGTGCGTTTCCTAATAAAGTTGTGGCCCGTTTTGGATGTAATTTTTCGCATGTTGCATGTTGGAGGAAGTGCCTCGTGGCTCGTATTCTTGAAGTCAACGAAAAAAATTCATACAATCAGGTAGGTTTGGACTCTTGAGGGACTGCCGCTGACTCCCAAGCGCTTTCGCTTTCCTGACCTCGTGGTCAGAGCAAGTGCCAGTGCAGTGGAAATTCCGGTAGTGGTTTCTTTCGTCTGTTGCCGAGATGAGAACTGTATTTTCCGATGATATGTAACTGAAATGTCTTGGGGTATGGCATTCCATCATCGCAGAAAAGTAGAGAAAGATAATTTCCGAAACCGAAAAGCCAGACCAAGCTGCCATCGTATTCAACGAGTACACTGTAGAAATTGGTCACTGACCCGATCACAACGAAGCAGGGAGTCGTAAAATACCACTATTTTACGACTCCCTGCAACGAAGCAACTACAAAAACAAAATCGACATCGTCCAAAAAGGGCAAAGAATGCATATATGGCGGTGCGTGCGTGCAGGACCACAACTACAATATTTTAAAAATGTGCAAATGTCGAGGTGGCATCGACAACCGCCGATTTTCATGAATCAACACACCGGAATTTGAGAAATTGAACATACTTCAGGCCAGGTTGTACACAAATACGCTTCACGTCTACGATCATGTTGCCGCCAAGTCGTGGCACCCCCCTCCGGAGGTCGCGGTCACGATTTGAAACGTGGCCGCGACGTTTTGGTCAAGTTCATGCCGTTGCCATGCAACTTGGCCGCATGGCCGCATGGACGCTGGTTTTGGTCGCAGTGTGAGCGCGCCCTAAGAAAAAAAGCTTCCAGCCGAGTTTCACGCGAACCGTGATTTTTTTTGCCCGTACAAGTGGCAAAAAACCCGTACGCGGCACGGTATCTGCAAAAAAGGGAAGAAAAAAAGAATTATTGTGAGAATTATTGGTGGAATTACGGGAATAATCGGTCGAAATTTTGAGCAATGCTGAAAAGAATTATCGGTAAAAATACGAGCATATTCCGCGGAGGCCTACACGTGACGTGACACAGCTTGGGTCGCGCTCGTGTGTCGCGCTTCGCAGCTCGAGCGCGCCCAAGATGAGTCTCGCGCTTGCGACAGGCTAGCCGCTTGCGACAAAAGTTGTCTTTTTTTTACGAATTATGTGACGTCATGTTTTGGAAGAATGTCCCAACAGTCATTCGCGTTTTGGTACATGGTAGCCAATACCATATTTGACGAGCAGTACGTACAGTCCTACCCCAGTACTAGCAGGGGCGTGGGAAGGTATTTTAGGGTGGCACGATCAGTCATCTGAGCTACACTTTACTTGTGGGGGAGGGATGGCGGAGGCGAAAATTTTGCAAATTTAGAGTCCAGATTAGTGTATTTTATTGATTCATGGGGTACCTGGGGGCAAAAAGTGGTACGGTCAATACCGTAGTGACCGTACCGTGTCCGACGCCCCTGACTAGTAATCCGATCACTTTGGGTGAGCAGTTTTACTGTTATGCTCTGACAATCCAAAAAAATTATGCTAAGGCGAGACCAAAATAAAATCGAGATTCCCAGGCAGGACCCATGTGAAATAATAATTGGTGCGGGCCGGGCGGGCGAATTTTTATTTATTTATTTATTTGTCCTTTGTGCAAGTATGTATGCATGGTATGCTGAACTCTCTTTTTACAGTATTTTCTGGTTATTTTTTGATTTTTTTAACGGCTTACCCGTTTTGTATTTCGGCCAACGACGGCCCTGAGTCGTACATCAGGGAGTCGTTCAAGTCCGGGTTTCTGTAACTTCCTATCACAGATCTACTCGCACGATCAGTAGTGTACATGGATATGAACTGTTCCAAAAAATTGACTTCGGCTCGATTTTGGCGCGGGAGGACCCAGGGATTTCTTTCTTTTTTTTGGTCTCGCCTAACTATGTGATGGAATAAAAATTGACTTCATTTCAATGTGCATTCATAGTTCTGCGACCTGTGTGTTCGGATAATCGAGGTGATTGGATAACTAGGGTAGGACGGTCTGATCTCTTTTACCCGGCACTCTCGATTTCTGGCAGAGCTTCTCAAGAAGTAGATTGTTGCCAATGAAATTTACCACGTTAATCCAGCATGCACGACTAGATCCCGTTTTCAACAGGCTTTTCCGAACGAATGGTTAAAATGTGTGTGCATCGAGCTTGTTTATGTGGCACCTGCGGGTTTATAATGTAGGCTACAGACTACAGTGCACGCGAGTCCACTGATAAATGCCTGGCTACAGTAGACCACTGTAGACAAGACTAGAGTTTCGCAGTTGGCATACCAGTGTGTTTTCAACACACAAGTACCGTAAGGTCTTGTATAAAAGCCGCGGCTTCTATGACTTTCTTGGTGAAATTTTGCAGGCTTCTATATGAGACAGGCTTCTATACAAGACAGGTATTTCTATGTATGTCAGCACTAAAACCAGGCTTGTACGTGATTTGATGGGCCCAAAATTGCGGTTTCTATTCGAGGGCGGCTTCTATTCAAGTGCGGCTTTTATACAAGACGTTACCAGGGTTCTAGCCAGGTCAAAATAGTAGGGGTGGGCATGGGAGACAGTTACCCTATATCCCATTTTTCCACTTTCCAATATTGTCTTGCCACGCCAAATGCAACGTACGGGGCGAATCCCTGACTTCACCCCAGACAAATGTGCCTTTATGAACCATCTGCATGAAAAACACGAAAATCGGAAAATGAGTAGGGGGGCGGCAATTTTTCACAGGGGGGCGCGCAAACAGAGTAGGGGGGGGGGGCGCTGCGCCCCCCCCCCCCCCCCCCTACCCCCCTTTGGCTAGAACCCTGCGTTACGGTACATGTACATTGCTTGAGACCAGCACCAACTCCCCTCTGATGGAAAGAGCATACGCACATTGCTGTTAAAACTGCATCGGCTCTCCTAATCCAGCACCTTCCGTAGCCCGGCAGAAACCGGCCGAATGGACGCTGACGCCCATTTACATTGTGTGTGTGTGTGTGTGTGTGTGCGCGTGCGTGCGTGCGTGCGTGTGTGTGTGTGTGTGTGTGCGTGCGTGTGTGTGTGTGTGTGTGTGTGTGTGTGTGTGTGTGTGTGTGCGTGCGTGCGTGTGTGTGTGTGCGTGTGTGTGTGTGTGTGTGTGTGTGTTCATGTCTGCATGTGTGTGTGCACGTGTGTATGCGTGTGTGTGTGTGTGTTTTTGTGTGTATCCAGCTACTGGCCCTGGAATCAATAATGGAGGAGAGTTTCAGTTATAATAAGCCAGCTGCAGGAAGAATAAGTTGCGAGGTGAGTATGTGTGCGTGTTTGGTGTTTTTTTTTAAGGGGGGGGGGGGGATAGTCCAGGTTGCTGGTGGCAGCTTCTTGTAGGCAGGTAACAGAGAGTAGAATCATGCACTTGCATGCATGCAAGACACAGGCACAGTAATGGCATGTGAACCTCGTGAATATAGCAGGTCTGGTTGCTGCACAGCTCTGCTGCCACCAATGCTGCTGGGCTGTGCAGTGAAGCAGCAGGCACTGGTTACGAGAACAGGTTCATTTGCCACACTTGTACTTGTAATCTGTGTGCGGAGAATGCCAATTACCGTATTTCCCCGTAAGTTGGTACGTACTAACTTTCGAACTTAGCAGCCACATGAGTACTAACTTTCGGGGTGGTACTATCTTTCGGGGAGTACTTTTTTGTCGGGGGTAAATGACACGCAGTGGGAAGCCTGCGCAACTCTAGTGTCCGTGCATATGATGTATGTACTGTACGGTGTCTGTACATGTAGGACGGGTACGAACTGACTATCTTTCGGGGGGAACTGTCTTTCGAGGTGATAACCTCGGCAGTGGAAAGTGTATTTTTTATAGGGGGGTACTAAGTCATTGGGGAGAACTAACTTACGGGGAAATACGGTATCCTAACGTCCACTACACGCTAAAGTGAAGGGGACAAAGATGAGCTTTGCAGATTTCTCACCAGCAGCACTGAAGTACTGGTGTGTAGGATTGAAGACTGCAGGGAATTAAAGGGGAAGTTAAGCCTAAAATCAAATTTTCACCGGTTGTAGTCTTCGGGGTGCTGAGTCGAATGGTCGCGGTCCAAGGAAGCTGAGACGCTCCCTTCCTCCTTTATTCCCAATCGAACTCGCGCACTTCCACCGAAACTGGGTGACTGTGCCCTACTAGATGGGGATTTGTATGCAAAATGTCACTAAAAGCGCCATTTCGTTCTTATAAAAGCACGGATGACCGCGATTGGCCCAAATGTTGTAGTCTTTTGGACGCTGAGTCGACTGGTTTTGGTCCGAAAAGGCTGCGATGTAGCGTTCGGCCCTTATTCCCAATCGAACATGGTTAAACAAGCGGTCCCGTGCTCCTGCATACACCAGTCACCTGGTCACCACGCCACCAGGCTACAACTTTCACACCAAGATTCAACTCAAAGGTTCAACTCGAGTGACAGAAACTCGCCCAAACATGCTGTAAGTTGTAGCCTGCAGGCACGGTGACCAGGTAACTGGCGTACGCAGGTGCACGTGACCACTTGTTCAACCATGTTCAATTGGGAATAAGGGCCGAACACTACATCGCAGCCTTTTCGGACCAAAACCAATCGACTCCGCGTCCAAAAGACTACAACATATGGGCTAATCACGGTCATCCGTGCTTTTATAAGAACAACATGGCCCTTTTAGTGACATTTTGCATACAAATCCCCATCTAGTAGGGCGCAGTCACCCAGTTTCGGTGGAAGCACGTGAGTTCGATTGGAAATAAAGAAGGAAGGGAGCGTCTCAGCTTCCTCGGCCCAAGACCATTCGACTCAGCACCCCGAAAACACATGGGAATGTGCATGTTGTAGCATTGCAGCCACATCAAATAAAACTGAAGCCAATCACAGAGTAAGGACACGCAACACAGGCCGGGCAGGGGAACCGGGCAGCATTAATTGTGCTCCACCACATCAGCGGGTTAGCAGAGTGCTTGACTGGATTTTCGGACAGATAAGCCGTGACCTCTGCTTCGGTGGCTCGGAGCTGGAGCTTGCGGGTTTCGTGCAAGGCCAGCATTCGACATCATCTTAGCTGGTCATTGGCAGCACTGAACAAGCCACTATGGCACAGTGTCAACGGTGGTCGAACCGTCATGCACTCATAAATGGAGCTGGGAATAACTGTGACCTCCGCGCCAGTGTCCACTTTGAAGAGGATCGCAGAGTCATTTGTATTCACGTCCACGTACCATGCCTCACCAGGGAAAGCGTTCCACAGCAGAGCACCAGCAACAGAAAACTATATCTCATTCATGGTCCTCTTCTCATTCGCTTACTGTTTTCTCACTTCCTACTCTGCAAGTGGCAGCTTTGAAGGACGCATTGCGAACAAGCGCATTGCTATACTGTTGCATGGCGTTCGAAAGCTCCACTTTCGTCTGTTTCTTGTGATAAGGCGACCCTGATGATGACAAACGTAGATAGCGTCCCAGGCCGTGGCGCAGAGCTTTCCGACAGGGGCGCCTTGACAGCGGCAAGACCTTCCAAAGCTCTTCACACTCTATGATAGCTATGAAGTAGTTCTTCACCTTCGATGTCTGTAGAGTGCCCGTAATCAGACACCTCACAACTGAGTGATGGCTTGCGAGCATTGCGGCCACGTTTATCCAATCTCCGGCGCCAACTGTTTCAAATCCTGGACTGTCACTTTTCCGATACTCGAGAGCAAAGTGGAAATAAGGGTTATAGGTCCACCCATCAGGCATAGGCTAGGTGGAAATTCGATCAAATCACCATGTCCCACAAATTGTAACAACGTTGCATCTTTCTGTGCAACAACTCTGTGGAGGCTTTTTCCAAGTTCCACCGGCCTCCGCGAGCGGTAAACGCAAGGCATGAGTGCGGTCAACACTGGTTCGAACGAGTTGATTATAGCTCCTGGATGCTGTGGGAGTGAGCCGCATCACTCGAACAACACATCTGTCACCTCCCCTAACCTGTACATCGTTGGTCCAAAGTAATGCATCTTTATGGGAGATCTCCTCCAGCGAAAGGTTCGGCAGGCAGGAACAAGCATCTCCTGCAGACAGCAATTGCTCCTGGACGAGTGGCTTCAATACCCCAGCGCTGTCGAGAAATTTTAGTGCCCAAAACCGAGGGTCCAAACAGCAGCAGCAAGCACCTCCTCGCTGCTGACATCTAAGCGATCCAAAGGACAACGCTTAGTGATACTCTCAGCAAATGCCTGCTTTACGCATGCCTCTACCAGGAGATCATTGTCCTCTCCTGTCTGGCAATGCGACTTCAGGGGAAGAAGCCAGGACAGGGTTGAGTAGTTCTCACCGCCCAGAGGTGTCATCACCTGGCCCACCGACCTCAAGGAATCGCGGAGATGTTCCGCATTTTGTTTCTTCTATTTACCATTCAACACAATACCATTGTTGTGATGATACATGACAACAAGAGAAAAGAGGAAAGAGGAAAGCTTGGGAATCATCGTCAACATAGCCTGTAAAGTGTAAAGAATGTAATTGTCTAGACGGCTAGGTCCAGATCATGCACTTCGGCAAGGATTGACACTCTCATGGTTGGGACTTGATTTGGTGTTGGCTCGAAGAGCACTGGATCACTTGAATAAACTGCAATACATGCATGATACGAAGAAGAAGAAGAAGAAACTATAAATATAACCGAAGCTGTATCGCTTCGAACAGAGAACACACTAAAACTAAAAAGCACCAAAGGCAAGAAAAGCAGCAGACTAAAACGCGTCCAGAAAAGGAAGCTACCGGCACTGTACGACAGTGAGCTAGCCAAGGCAGACGGAGAGAGAGGGAGAGAGAGAGGGAGAGAGAGGGAGAGAGAGAGAGAGAGAGAGAGAGAGAGAGAGAGTGAGAGAGAGAGAGAGAGAGAGAGAGAGAGAGAGAGAGAGAGAAGGTGGAGGGGGATTTTAGATTAGGGATCATCCGTAGATATTGAAGTTTTTTCTCAAAGTCAAAATGTTGTTTTTCATCCTCATGTCAGCTCTCCCCGTAACGAATACACCTGTAGGCTGACCGTTGCATCAACCTTTTTGCTAGATACATTGTTCATCGATATTGTTCAACCCACTGATGAAGCGAACATCACTTAATTACCCACCACCACCACTCCCAAGATTTCGAAATTTTGTTTTGAAAAGATTGCGAGGGATGCGCCTGGTGTGCAAAGAGTGCTAAAAATGCAGTGCAGGCAGAGCATCGAACAGTCAAACAGTGGACAGAAAGGTTTTGTGACTGTAAACACATAGTTTCATGCACAACGATGCGGTCTGATGATTGTACGCTTGTGCATGAAATGCTTACAATCACAGAGCCTTTCTGTCCACTGTTTGACTGTGAAAATTATTGTGTTGTTTACGGACGTCACGGGGATCTTAAAACTCTGAGAGTCTATGATGATTGTCTTCTAAGTGATCATCATGTACCTGGTAACTGTTGGACTGGCATCTTTTACATCCTTGGTGCTCATATATGTGGTCTTAATTAACCTCTCCACTTCTTTTGTGCGTAATGCATATGTGTGCATGTGTGTGTGTGTGCGTGTGTGTGTGTGCGTGCGTGTGTGTGTGTGTGCGTGCGTGCGTGTGTGTGTGTGTGTGTGTGTGTGCGTGTGTGTGTGTGTTTGTGTGTATGCGTGTGTGTGTGTGTGTGTGCGCGTGTGTGTGTGTGTGTGTGTGTGTGTGTGCGTGCGTGTGCGCACGTGTGCGCGCACGTGTGCGCGCGCGTGTGTGTGTGTGTGTGTGTGTGTGTGTGTAAATATATGTGCATACATGCATGTATGCACTTATTCAGGTCCGTGTTCCCGTAGACTGTCCAGAGGACGGTGTGGAGATTGAAGCGTGGGTACCCATTGAGGTCCCCAGCGAGGAAAGTGCACCTACTCAGGAAGGTACATTTGCTGAGCGTGTGACCGTATTCTGTTGAGCAGTTCATAAGGCCTGGTCATAAGGCCTGGTATTAAGGATGCACATGCATTCCGGTTTTACTTTACGGGGTCTTTGACTACGTTAGAGAAGGCTACTGGTTCAAGTACTGGTGGTGACAGTCAATTTTTCTTCAGGCATTTCCCTTTTCAACTCCCTCAACTCATGAATAATTGTATTGTCTAAGATTGGCATGCCTTTGCTTTATTGCTCCGTTTATATACCATATGTTCCTTGCAGATGCCTCAACGCCAACGTCGCCACAGTCAGCCTTGTTCCAACGTTCCGACTCTGGTCATCGCAACCTAGCCTGCTTTCCACTCAAGCACCTTCTGCCGCTTCGTCTGCAGGCGTCCTTTCCTGACAACTACCCGTCCGAGTCCGCACCAGAGTTCAACCTGCACTGCCTGTGGCTGACCAAAGTGCAGCTTGGAGCACTGTCCAAGCAGCTCAGAACCCTCTGGGAAGGTACAGTGTAGCCATGTATATTGTACACTAGGCCTCTTGCACACCATCACTGATATTGCAAACCTGATGAGGGCAATTTTGCCGAAACGTTGTTCCTAGTAACTGTACGAAGAAAGGGAGTTGGACGAAGGCAGTGTAATTGGGAAAGAGCAGACCTGTTCTGCACCACTTTCGTACTGATTGCAGCCTATGAGTACAGTCAACTTCGCTCATAACGACAACCGGCGGGGCATCAGAAAAGTGTCCTTATTCGCGAAGTGTCGTTATACCCGAAGTCTCATTATTATGTATTACAGTGGGACGTGACTTTGCTCTGGGCATGAACATTCTGCCGTTATTCGCGAATTGTCGTTATATCCGCAGTCGTTATTAGCGAAGTTGACTGTAGTTGAGTGCCAGTCCAAGATTAGCAATGCAGTGTTGATCAATTTGTGCACCATTGCTCGGCTGTCTGGTAAAATCTTCGCCCTTACCACGTTAAGAGTCAGTGGCCACTGAGGTAAACAAGTGGCTGAACAATAGCAAAATGACAACAGCAGACCAATACCGATATGCAGGCTTTCCTACTTTTTCTATCCTGCCCGCAAGTGAATTGACAATGTGGTACTTCGAAGTAGATTATATGGATGGACATCATCCTTTAGGAGTGCACGTGTCTGCGTGGGTTTTTTTCTGGACATGGAACCAAAAGTCGCTATGCCATTCTACACCTCTTGGTTGGTTTATTCTTTGTTTGTGCATGTGTGTGTTTGTGTATGCATGTGCATGTGTGTGTGCGTGCATGTGTACATGTGTGTTTGTGTATGCATGTGTGTGTGTGTGTGTGTGTGTGTGTGTGTGTTTGTGCGTGCTTGTACCCATAATTCTAATGCACCGCAGAATGTGTTGGCTTGCCAATCCTATTCTCCTGGAGTGACTGGCTCCAGAACAACACACTCCGATTCCTCGGCCTGGACACTCGTCTTGTGCTCGCGCCTCCGCAACTCCACACGATGCCTGCTCTCGGGGAAGAAGAGGAAACAGATGGCAGTGATGGTGGTGCTGCTACTGCTGCTGCTGCTACTCCTGCTGATGCTGGTGCGTATTCCACCATGGCGTCCATCGAGGAGACTGTCGACTGCCTTGTGATGCATAACCATGAGAGGTGTGCGGAGGAGTTTGCGCAGGGCATGCAAACCTGCCAGGTAGGTTGTGAGAAGCCTCTACCTTGCACATTGTATAGTTCAAACGCCGCACCCTCTCGTGCAGAATGCCTGATTTAGCGCGTAGAGTGTAATGTACTTCATGCAAGTATCGAATGCCGCAATCATTCCCGCCACTAACATTCAACTCTTTTCTATCAATTTCTTCAGATTTGCTACGACGAGCAGCCCGGACGCGACTTTGCCCGCGTGCCGGGATGCTGGCATCATTTCTGCCGAGCCTGCGCTAATGAGTATTGTCGGCAGCACGTCCGCGAAGGCACTGTACAGCAGCTTCGGTATGCACGCTTGTACATGTACATTCCTTATGCCCCCATGCGCAAAAAAAGAAGAAAAAAGAAAGAAAAAAGGCCTCTTTTACTTCTTTTTTTGCCCCATGCACGAGCGAATGTGTTGAGAACTTGAGACGTACCCTTGTGTATAGTAGAATCGTCCATAGTCCCCCATGGTGTGGAGTGCGGTGTGTGCAGGCTTGTGGAACGACTGTTGGTATAGCTGAATGTTAGCCTCCTTTGCTTGTCGCTGGCGCTAATTCTAACAGTTCTCTAGCAATGGCAGATATGCATAAAACATGGCTGCAGTCGTTTTTGCGGGGCAACTTGTTCAATACATGTATTTGGTAGGTGCAACCAGCTCTAGTACGCGTGTAAGCGTGCCTGTACGCAGTTCATGACCTTTTATGCAGGGCTGGTATCACAGTGTGTATGGCTGAAGTGGTCTTGGCCCACGAAATCAAACGGCGGGAAGATTTTGAATAGGTCCCATAGTGCAATGTACATTTAGTTTTCAGTATTGCTTCTGTTTCTGCCACTACTGTTGCTTCTTTTGCTACTTCTGTACCTCTATACCATAGTGGTGTTGTTGTGTTTTCGTGTGATGGTTGGTAGATGTCCGGAGACGGAATGCGATAGCTGTTTACCGCTGGAGCTGATGCGCACTGTGCTCAACGACGAGGAGTTTGAGCGCTGGGAGCGGCTCACGCTACAGGTATGCCGCGCTGTACTGTGTTGTGCTGCACTGCTTCCTTTCTTCCCTTTCTTCTTCCTTTTTGCTTCTGGATTCTTTCCGATTCTCACCATTTCTTCAATGTCTCTTGTTACTGATGTTACATTTTCGAACAAATCTTGATGTACGTGCTTACTGTCAAACTTTTCCCAGCAGCAAATGTGAGCTGGGTAAACAATCGTAAACAATCGTACAATTGTTACCAGTTTTGAAACTGCTGGGAAATTTGGTGGCGGGGAGTAATCGCAACGCTGAGCTACACACTAAATGAATATGCAAGACTCGTGACAGGGGAGAAAGACGCAATGATCATGTGCAGGTCAAACTAGCAGCGTGCATAGAAGAACATTATACATTATACTATAGTTTGGCTTGCTCTGCAGCATGCAGCAGACGCCCAATTATTATTTTGCCCTGCTTTATTTTTATTTTTATTTTTTTTAGTAGAACTGAAGTTAAGATACAAAGAACATGAAAATATGCAGAATTTTGAAAATTCCAGTCAGCTCCTAAAGGGTTCAATTATATGGAGGGGAAAACCGGAATCCGAGAAAATAATAACATCCTAAATCATAAAAAGGGGGGGGGGGAGAATGAAGCAGAACAGTAGCCAAACACACCACGGATAGTTACCGAAAGCACTCTGCAGCAGCAAGGTCCACAGGAGCATCAGAATCAATGACTCTCTGGTGGGCAATGCCCGAGGCAACAGCTTCCTTCGCCAGGCGGCAGCTGTGATGGTGGCAGCCGGGACGCCTTCTGCGGACTGATCTTGGTGGATGATCCTCTGCACGAGAGACTTGATGATATGCATGGAGTCCTGGAACTGGGAGGCAAGGGAGGATGGGTTGATGATCCCCAGCCCTCCATCCCTGCACGGTAGGGCCAGCATGGCACGCTCGAAGTCTCCTGGTGGGACGCGGTTGATGATAGCAGGGATGAGTTTGCTACGGATTGTTTCCTCCAAGGGTGCAAGCAGGTCGGCCGTATTTGGCACTGTCCGGGCGACAAAGGACCACTTGTGGCGAACTCCCTGGCCGAAGGCAGCAAATGCCGCTTGTGGATGGGTGCGGGCGAACTCAGCCAGAACATCCACTTCGCGACACCACTCGTCCACCTTGCCCGACACATATGCTGAACAGAATGTTGGTGATCCGAGGACGGCACCTAGGTGGCAACACCCATCCGACCGGATGTCTATGCTGGAGTCGTGGAAGATTTTCCTGGCCCGATCTAAGCGCTCAGGCTTCATCAAGAGTATCGACTTTTTGGCGTTGATGTAGTAACCATAGGGTGGACCTTGTTCTTCCAGGATGGACCACCACTTACCAGTGAAGCTTGGTGAGAGTGCTTGCTGCTGTGGAATCATCCGCGAACCACGCTTGTACGGCCTTGCTAGAGACTGCACGGCGGATGAGAGGCCCGGTGCCTAACGCATACATCGCCATTGCGAGCGGATCGCCTTGCGTAGTTCCTTCGCAGGAGAGAATGATCTCGCTACCGACGAACTACCGAGATGGGGACCGGTACGTGTTGACGATGGTGGTGGAGAATTCTGGGCACAGATGCTGGATGTTGCGAATGCATACGTTGTGGTTGATACGATTGAACGCATTTGATGCATCGGCTAGAAGCACAGCCTCGGTGTCATCCTGCGCGAACGCGGACCGCATGGCGTGGATGGCTGCTTCGATGCCACTCTGTTGGCCTGCACGCATTTGGAGGCACCCTGTAGCTTGCTGAATTGCCAGGCCTACTACCATCAATAACGCGTCGAACGACCTCACCAATTCCAATGGGCCGAACTCCGGGTTGCTTGTCTAAAGGGATCAGCCTGAAAGCAGTATAGGCCTCAAGGGAGGAAGGGTCGATGGCAGTGGTCGCTATGCCACGGGCACACAGGGCAAGTGCATCGCAGAGAGCATCAGAGGCACTATGAAGACGACGAGATTCTTCGCCCGCCATTGGCATCCATGCCTGAGGGTCCGGCCGCGCCGTTGGTGTTGAGAACTGATTTCATGATGGCCTCTCTCTTGATGGCTGAGAAAATGATGACCTGTGGTTGTTCGGGTGGTATTCCCGGTATGAGCACTGCCTCATGGAGTGGCTCTCCCGGAGGGTGTACTGTACTGTAATGCACTGTACTGTACTGTGCTGAACTGTACTGCACTGCACTGCACTGCACTGCACTGCACTGCACTGCACTGCACTGCACTGCACTGCACTGCACTGTGCTGCACTGCACTGTGCTGTACTGTACTGTGCTGTACTGCACTGCACTGCACTGTACTGTACTGCACTGTACTGTACTGTACTGTACTGTGCTGTGTGGTGCTGTGCTGTGCTGCGCTGCGCTGCGCTGTGCTGTGCTGTGCCATACCACACTATACGGAAACTCGGGGAGTACTGTCCAGGGGTGTCGAAAGGTATTTTAGTGTGGTACGGTCAGCCATTTGAAGTACAATTTACTCATGGGGGGGGGGAGGGTTGCTAAGCCGACATTTTTGGAAATTTAGAGCCCAGATCAGTGTATTTTATTGATTTACAGGGTATCTGGGGCAAAAAGTGGTACGGTCAGTCCTGTGTGACCGTACCGTATCCGACGCCCCTGCTGTCAACTCGGGAGATATTCTAGAAGTACAGTGGTAACTATCGGTGGTTCATAATGAGTACAGAACGAGTTCAAAACGAATGCACAACGCGTGCGAATCGGGATGGACTCGTCACACACATTGGAATGCTTGATCATTCGGGCCTGACCTGGGATGCGAAAACAAATCGATTCGTTTTGTGCTCGTTTTACGAGTTGCTGAACCTCGGTATTGTTGGGATTTGGATTGAAATCTTGAGCGTTTCATAATGAACTCAGCTGCTCAGAATACAAGTTTACTTTGGCAAATGTCTTGTGTTTTTGAGATTTTTTACGTGCTTAAGGTGAGCAGAAAATTACTGTAAATTAGGGGTGAAACGGTTACCCTTTAAGCTAACAAACGGGTACCTGGCTTAACGGGCGGGTTATCGGGTACCCTTTAGCAAGCCATACACTTTTTACAAGAACATTGCCACTGCATTGCCACTGGTTATGATCGTAAGCACAACGCCTCTTTTACGGGCATTCTGGAAGCATTTCTAACCAGAATGATTCTTCTTCTTCAGAAAAAAAGAAACAGAGAGAGAAAGAGAGAGAGAGAGAGAGAGAGAGAGAGAGAGAGAGAGAGAGAGGCAGGCACACACACACACACATACACGCACGCACATGCACATACACGCACACACACACAGGGAGAGAGAGCATGAACTATCTATAATTCAATTGGCTGAGAAGGAAGATCTGGCAGTGAAGGTTCATCATCGTCTTCGACTGCAGCCAAGACAAGTGGCATGGCCGGCTTCGGTGGCGCAGGAACTCGTACATCGATGATGTGGGCGTTCTTGTGCAGAAAGACTTGTGCATCGATCATTTCTGCAGACAACTTGCTCCGGCGCTTGTCGACGATCTGCCCAGCAAAGGAAAACACGCGCTCAGATGCAACAGAAGTTGCTGGAATGCACAAGTACTTCCGTGCGAGTGGAGCCAGGCGGGGAAATCGGGCAGCATTTGTGCTCCACCACAACAGAGGGTCAACAGAGCGCTTGACTGGCTTTTCAGCCAGATAAGCTGCTACCTCTGCTTCGATGGATCCCTCGCTATCCTCATCCTCACCGTCGTCGCAAAGCAGCTGATCCAGGAGGCAGCGGCGTTTTGCTGGTGGCTCGGAGCTAGAGCTTGAAGATTCCGTGCAGGGCGAGCAGCCGACACTTGCATAGCTGATGAGCGTTTGCTGCACTTCATGTTGCTGCTCCAAGTCGAAGAACTTTAGAGCCCGAAACCGAGGGTCCAACGCAGCAGCAAGCACCGCCTCTCCGTGAACATCTAAGCCATCCAAATGAAAGCGCCTAGTTATACTATCCGCAAATGCCTGCTTCACGCATGCCACTACCAGCAGGTCGTCATCATCTCCGGTCTGGCAATGGGACTTCAGTGCCGTCGGTAGGGGAAGAAGCCAGGACAGGGTTGAGTACTGCTCACCGCCCAAAGATGTCGTCACCTGGTCCACCGACCTCAGGAAATCGAGGAGATGTTCAGCAGTGGCCCACTGGTCTGCGGACAAGTCCATGGAGCGGCGATCTTTGTCTGGCATATCCGCAAGGACCAACTGCACAGGCACTTTGAGCTGGACAAGACGATCTAACATCAGGTACACACTGTTCCATCTTGTTGCACAATCCTGAACCAGGTGCTTCACTTCCTTCGCACCAACCAGACGTTGCTTATCTTCAAGCTGGCCAGTTTTCAAGGCGGAATGCTTGAAATGTCCAACTAAGTGGCGGCACTTTGCAAACAGGCTTGATAAGGTCTTCTTATCCAGGGCGTCTCGTAACGCATTTTGAATTCGGTGAGCAGCACAGACAAGGGATGGCCATTTCAACTCTTCCCACAAGATACGGCCTGGAGTTGCACAAAAACAAAGGACAAAGAGCTCCATTTTTGCTACGGTAAGCGAATGAATTTTCATATTTCAACACTTTATTTGTTGGTTCCCTTGCCACATGCATGCATGCATGGTATGTGTGTGTGTGTGTTTGTGTCTGGTATGTATGTATGTATGTATGTGCAAAGGATACATTTGTTTAGCAGCGTGACTTTTTCAAACTGCACACTCTGTCCACCAAGTCAAATGCACTACTATCATTCTAGTTACCTGGCACTCATCTCTAAAATGCAATTCTATAAAATTAATTAGTAACTATAATGGTTGTAGTTCCATGCTTACCTGCATATTCCACGTTCGCCGCCTGGTCATGCACGATGCCACAGATTTTGGCTGGATCGACGTCATATTTGCGCACAGCGGACTCTATCTGCTCACTGATGCGAACACCTGTGTGGGAACCAGGGAACTCAGTTGTCTCCAACGTGCATGATGCCATTTTCCAGCTTGCGTCCACGAAATGCGCTGTAGTCGTGGCGAATGCATGCGTTGCCTTGGACGTCCAAATGTCGGTGGTCAATGCAACATAGCTTACGTCGGCCAGCTTCCCCTTCAAAAGAGTCACACCGTCGGCGTGATCCTTGCGGACAAGTTTAGCAATATGGGTTCTCGAAGGAAGCACATATCCGGGCTCAACAAAATCCATCAGCTCCTTTAGGCCAGAGTCCGTGACTAGGCTGAGCGGCCGCCCATCTAGCCAGGTCCACCGTGCCAGGATCTTGGTGATGGCCATTGCACGAGGAACCGACACAACCCGCACTTTGGCCGCTTTCGCCTGAGCGAACTTCGCGATGGTCGGCTGAGAGTCCACTTTCTTGGCAGTGCTGGTCTGCTCCACGAAGTCAGAGGGGTGGCGATTTTTCAGGTGCCTCTGCAAGTTCGATGTCGAGGAGCCATCGTACTTCAGCACATCCTCACACAATAAACACTTCGCTTGATGGCCCTCGACATCGCGAGTGAAGAATTTCCACACTGCGGAACGTGCCTGGCGACTGAACGGAGTCGATGCGCTCGAAGGAGCTTGGGACAGAGTCACAGAGTTCGACATCGCAAACTGTTACTTGCAAAGACAACCTAAACACTTCAGTTCAAACAAACAAACAAGGAGACGACTCGACTTGTTCAAAACTTGCTCCAACAGGCAACACTGAAGAGTATTTCTCACAACAACGAATCTTATCCGGGTGAGTCTCGACGGTACGGTTCCAGCAGCGGTTGGAAACTATTTTTAGAGACGACAGTTACTAGTACCTTCCGGATTTCGCGCCAGGATGACATGCAAGTACGAGTGACAAGTACACTGCATGCACTGCGCTACATGCAAAACGGTCACATGTAGCAAGATCGATCAAGAACAACCCGCTCAAACTGTACACCGAACTGTGCGATGTACGACTGTGCAAGTCAGCACCGCACCGTACTGTCGTACACGACTAACGGGTACTCGTTTGCTAACGGATCGGCAGCTAAACGAACGGGTACCCGGGTACCCGGATCACCCGTTTCACCCCTACTGTAAATATAGCAAACAAACAAGATGTCTGCCATGGATGAATCCAAGATGTCTGCCATGGATGAATCCACATGAGTTGTACACTCTAGCTCGTTCATTTTTCATCTTGAGGTGGTTACTAGGAGCCGCGGCTACCACTCGCCACCCGCGGCTCCCAGTGACCACCCCCGCTGTGATTCAGCTGGGCTTGAACCCTATTCACGTGTATCTATCTGATCGGTGCTGTTTTGCGGTGCTGTTTTGTGATGCTGTTTTGGCGGTGGGCTGCCCATGTGTTCCACAGCGCACTCTGGACACCATGGCAGATGTGGAGTACTGCCCGCGCTGCCAGGCGCCGGTGGTGTGCGATGGCAGCGGCGACCATGGACAGTGCGCTCACTGCTACTACAACTTCTGTCGCGAGTGCGGTGAAGCCTGGCACCAGGTAAGCTGCTGCTGCTGCTACTACTGATGCTGCTGCTGCTGCTGCTGCTGCTGCTGCTGCTGCTGCTGCTGCTGCTGCTGCTGCTGCTGCTGCTGCTGCTGCTGCTGCTGCTGCTGCTACTGATGCTGCTGCTGCTGCTGCTGCTGCTGCTGATAGGCTGCTGTATCCTTACTGTAAGATAGTACTGGTGAGATAGCAGGGGGAAATAGCAGGGGGAGATAGCAGGGGGAGATAGCAGGGGGAGATAGCAGGGGGAGATAGCAGGGGGAGATAGCAGGGGGAGATAGCAGGGGGAGATAGCAGGCTGCAGCATTCTTACTTTGATTTGTTTACCAGGACACACACTTGTGCACAGCCCTGCACTGTATCTTATTCATTGCAATTTTAAGATAAGAAAGAAAAAGGACCAAGGAACTAGAGCTGTTAGCTGTTAGCCAGTTAGTTGTAGAACGTCAGTACCGTCGGTCAGTACCGTCGGTCAGTACCGTCGGTCAGTGTCGTGTAATGTTATCGCATGAGCGGATTGTTTAGTAACTGGTGGTGTTAGTGGACATTATAGCGTAACTTGTAGTTCCTTGGTCCTTTTTCTTTCTTATACATTTTAAGATAATGCTTTGTTATTTCGGATGGAGAGCCAAGGATAACTTTATAGAAAAGAAAGGGACCAAGGAACTACAAGTTACACTATAGTGTCCACTGAGACCAACAGTTACTTAACAATCAGCTCATGCGATAACATTGCACTGGTGGTGTTAGGGGACATTATTGCGTAACTTGTAGTTCCTTGGTCCTTTTCTTTTCTATAAACTTTATTTTTTCATTTACCAATATACTTGACTTAGCTAGACGTTCATAACCTGCATACTGGCATCTTTCTTTCTTGTTTAGGGCGAATGTTTTAATGACTTTCATGATTCCCAAGACAGAAACAAGAAGAAGAAGAAACGTAAAAAGAATGGTCCTCGTGATGGCAAGTCTGGTAGGAAAATGTGTGTGTGTGTGTGTGTGTGTGTGTGTGTGTGTGTGTGTGTGTGTGTGTGTGTGTGTGTGTGTGTGTGTGTGTGCATATACATGCGTGCGCACGTTTGTGTGTGTTTGTGTGTGTGTATGCATGTGTGTGTGTGTGTGTGTGTGTGTGTGTGTGTGTGTGTGTGTGTGTGTGTGTGTGTGTGTGTGTGTGTGTGTGTGTGTGTGTGTGTGTGTGTGTGTGTGTGTGTGTGTGTGTGTGTGTGTGTGTGTGTGTGTGTGTGTGTGTGTGTGTGTGTATGCATGTCCGTGTGTGTGTGTGTGTGTGTGTGTGTGTGTGTGTATATGTTGGAATCATGCCTTGCTCCAACACAGCTGTTTTGCACATTAGCAATCTCCACAAACACACACACATACACATACATACATTCTTGCAAAACCTTAGGGGGGGGGGGGACACTGATTTCGCGCCAGCAAAGCCGACCGGAGCATATCAATTTTGTCATAACTTTGGAGTGGCTCATGCTTTCTTCACCAAATTTCCTGTGCATGTTCCGGCATGAGCCTACATTAGAAACAACACACTAGAGTATTCTGATGCATGTCAAAGCAACAATAATGAAGATTTAGTTCTGTGATCAATGCATGATGAAAATGAAACCATACTGGGCAAAAGTGGGCACTCCACAGGACAGTACAAGTAAAGAAATCCATTGCAGTGTGCTCCACTTGCATACCTGTAGTGCACCTGCCTAAAATTGTTATCCTTGTATGCACCCCAGAGCAGCAAACAGCAAAGAAAACACTGCAAGGCCTGCATGCGGTAAATTTGCACCGATTCAGGCACGGCTAAGGAGAACCAGCCTTCAAATATCCCTGCAGGAATAAGCATATGCACTGCGGCTTAACATGCAGATACAGAAAATGCATACTTTTATATGTCTGAAATGAAAGACCTGCACAGGAAACTGCGCAGAGTATGGAAACATGGCTAAAAACGTAGTAAAACGTCACAAAAAAGTCGCTCAAAATACACACGTATCACGACATGAAAAGAGTATGCCATCACCAGGACTTGGTAAATACTTCTCAAGACTGTTCTGCTCCATGAGATACTCCTTCTTGCTCAACAATAGCCTCCTCCCATCCTCTTCTGCGTCTCCTCCTCTTCTTCCTCCTCTCTGTATCTTCTGTGGATACCTTGTGCTCAGATTTCTTGATCCTGAGTGCATACTCGGACTGAACAGCACTCTCAGTGTCGTAGCATGTTGTGCAGCCAAACTCCCTCAGAACTTGCAGAAGGCTAATTGCACCGTGGTTGTATGTAAGAACTGCAAGATTTGCAGCTGTGGCTACGGTATGATCAGCACTGCAGAAGCCTTCCTTCGGACGCATGCTCCACACGATTATTGTTGTAGCTCTCATTAGCATTCTGCGTGGCACCCATCAAGCATCGCTCAAGCAGTTTCCTTTCCGCTAGCTGGATGTAAATAGGCTTTACAAACTCAAACACAGCTTTAGGAATGGCCCTTCGATGAGCATAGGACTCCCTGATACCAGCTTCCACTCGGCGGTACTTGCACCAGGTGTCAGAACCTTCAGGACAAAAAATTGTGCTGTGCATTTTCATCCGTCAAGCAGCGATGCATGAGGCCAGCCCAGATACCTCGATGCATTTACCGATCTCGCTCAAATTTCCCCTCTTCACCCTTCACGATGCATGCCACCTTTTCCGAGCATGAACATCTAATCATTAATACGGGACTTCAATTTGAATTTGTGAAGCAATTGAGCATATCTGGGCATTCTACTCGATAACACCTCTGTAGTATGGTACTAGTGCTGTACATGTCCATTACCTAACATGTTGGTGGACTGTTCGTAACCATGGTTACTGCATTGTGAGTAAATTCTGCTGCACATGTATGTCCCGTTGTCGTGCAGACTCCTCGTCCGAAGAGGACATCTCCGGTGTGAGTAAGGATATGCGCCGCGAGATGATGCGTCGCAAGCGGGCAGAGCGAGAGAGCAAGCAGTACATGAAGACGGCGAGGAGATGCCCTGGCTGCCGGGTGCCCGTGGAGAAGTCCTCGGGGTAGGTGTTTGGTTTGGTTCGAGTGTGCGTGCGCTGTGGTGTACTGTGGTGTCGGTCTTGCTGTGCCTGTGCCGATGAGCGTCAGAATGGTGTGTTGTAGCGACGGGTGTTCTCTGATGACACCAGATCACACTACTGCACTCAGTGGTCATAGGAAAGGAAATATTCTCTTTCCTTGCTGTATGATAGTTCAGTCACCAAGAGTACATAACCTCCCAAGAGCGTGGATACCCTTTCTCTGGGGTCCGCCGACGGCGAAAACTCACATCACGTGGTGTAGTGTCGCCATTGTACATTTCCAGCCAGTTTTAGTGACTGTTGGGGTTGAAAAATACTTGCACTTCCGGCAGAAACCCACTCAGCTCATGCGAGTCATCAGTCATGGTCTGGGAGATATTTGGGCTGCGCACATGCTAGCCTTCCTTGTACGTAGTACGAATTGAACTTGGAACACATGATGTGAGCTTTCACCGTCGGAGAGATTTTGCACACTCTTGGGAACTTATTTAATTAAAAATCAGTATTGCTATTTCCACTACAAAGCGTGCTCTGAAAGGGATTAACTGCACCCACAGACATGGAAGACAAGGCTTGGGCTAGACTGGAACTCACGCTGGGAAAGGGAGTTAGGCTTACACCCAGGCCACCACACGGTAGGACGAATGTGGAGGAGCCGCTAACGAGGTTAGGCTTACACCGCACTTCCACATGGTAGGACAGATATGAAAGTAGGCTGCTAAAGGGGTTACGCTTACACACGGACATCTGCATGGTAGGACGAATGCAGAGGGGCTGATAACCTGGAGTTGGGTGTCAGCTCAAAGGCTTACGGGGTGCTTTGCAGTCACCCACTCCATGTGAATGCCACCCAAAAATGAGATTGCTGGGGAAGGCGTGAGCCCTAATTTAGCTGGCCTTAACATGGGAACTACATGCAAGCGCACAGTGACATTCAATGACATACATGCAATTAGCGCGGAGGACAGGTGCCATCACCTATGCAGTGAGCAGTGCAGGAGAGCAAGAGCCCTTATACAAAGAGGAGTGCTAGGAGGGCAGTGCGGACGCTCCTGCAGCCAGCAGCAGCAGTGCTAGGAGGGCAGTGCGGACGCTCCTGCAGCCAGCAGCAGCAGCAGTGCTAGGAGGGCAGTGCAGACGCTCCTGCAGCCAGCAGCAGCAGTGCTAGGAGGGCAGTGCGGACGCTCCTGCAGCCAGCAGTGCTTAGGGAGGGGAGGGGGGGGGGGTGGTCACCAAGCCCTATAGCGAGTAGTGTTAGGGGGCAGTGCTGTCACTCATACAGCAGACAGTGTCAAGGGGGCAGTGCCGTCACTCAGGCAGCTGATAGTGCTAGGAGGGCGGTGCATGTGCTCACGCTGTCGCCAGTGCCTTGGCAATTGGCTCCATGTCCGATTCTGACAGGCGGACATACCGGAGGTAGGCGTTGCTCCGCCATCACCCAGCCCTTTGGATGACGTAAGGTGGCAGGCCATTCCTTTCGGCAGCAGTGGCTGCACCAATACGCAGGCTGTGGCTGGAGATCTTCTGGCCAGGGAGAGCTCAGCGGAGTAGGCTATTCACGTCTGTGAGGCGAAGCGGCTGGCCACACTGGTAGCGGAAATACGCTCCTGCCACTTGGGGACGTAGTCGTGCATACTTCCCTAATGAGGCTACCGGGCAGGTGATATCGTTGGTGGCGCAAACCGTCACATCGCTGCCCTCTCCCCGCTGCGTTTTCTTAGAGAGCGGGATAGCCAGCCTCACTGTGTTCTCCCGGATTCAGATGCGTTCCCACGTTATCATCTTCTGCGGATCGGTGGAGGTGCACTCACTGACTCGCAGGAACCCGTAGTAGGCGAGTGTGATAGCGCTCCAGAGCATGGCTTGGTCGGCCGGTGATAGACCGGAGTGCTGCAGGAAGCCCCAGATTGCATGGAGTTATTGCTGCGTGACAGCACAGCGTTCCTGCACCTGGCTGCTCGTGCACTGGTTGCGGGCGATACCCTGGAGCAGCAGGTCCAGTCGCCCGTCCTGGAACGAGGACAACGGCAGGTGGTTGACCGCGTAGTATTGCCGGAGGCCATGGAGGTAGACCTTGATAGTTGCCAGCCGGCACTTGGACGACATGTATGCTAAGAAGTCCAGTAGGCGGGTGGCCTGAATTGGGTATGGCGCGACACGGTACAGGCTGGCGTACCTCTCGTATGCTGTCACACGGCAGCATACAACCGGGCGGTACTTGTTGCCACTCCCGCAAGGATGAGCTCCATGGTGCGGTCAGCAGGTGTGTCTACTGCCGGACGTCTAGTGACATGGGGCCAGGAGACTCCTGGGGATGTAGCTTCCGGAAGCTCTCGACCTGCAGCCGGGACGAACGGTCAGCAAGAACGTTATCAACACCACGTATGTGTGCTAAATACACGACCATGTTATGCTTGGCAACCGCTAGCAATGCAATCCTGACAAATGTCATGATCTCTGGGCACCTAGAGGTTCCTGTGCACCAGATTGTTCAGACCGCTTCGTTATCACAGTGTACTAACAGTCGACGATTGCACAGTCGTTTGCCTGGTGTCACCTGAATATGGGCGATGGGAAACAATTAGCGCCATTCTAAGGACAGATCCTTGTGGCATGCTTCCCACTGGCCATACGCCCATTCTTTGCCACAGACCAAGCCATAGCCACCGTCAGAGGCATCTGTGAAAAGCTGCATCTCGGTGGGTTTGCACCGTGATGGGTTTAGTAGTAGCGATCGACCGTTCCATGACTCAATGCAACCGTGCCACCAGGATAATTATATCATTTAGAGCCTCTTGGTTCGGGCTCTGGGTCCTGTCAAGGGATGTGAACTGGCTGGCCTTGTCGAAGAACCGGCGGCAGAAAGTGCGCCCAGGCAGTACTACTTTGGCGGCAATGACAAAGAGCCTGCCAACGAGAGCAATTCCCGTTTGATGCACTGTACTCGGTGTACCGAGGAGTCAAGGGAGCTTTGAGGCTGGCAGCCGTATCTCCCATGCTTGAGAGTCTAACTCTATGCCCAAAAATGTGACAATTGTGGACGGTGGGACTCTTTGTCAGGGCCCTCGGCTAACGGGACTTGCAGGTGCTCCATGACTGCGAGTAACGTGTGAAACTGCCCACGAGCATAGTTTGGCGGCTGTGGGGGTTGAACGGTGAGGAAATCATCGAGGTGGTGCAGCAGGTCATGCACATTGAATCTATTCATGGCTATCCAGCAAAGGGTGTCGGCGAGCCTGTTGAACAGAAATGGAGAGGACCGCAAGCCGAAGGGGAGGAATTGTCAACGTAGAATGCGTTGTCCCAATGAATGGCCAGTCAGACGGAGCCACGGGACATAGACGGAATGCATTGCGTATATCAACTTTGGACAACAGGGCCCCTTTGCCATGCCGGTGCAGCAACCGGACCGCATCATCAACAGCCATATAGTGCAGCGAAAATTCGTCTTGGCTTATACCATCATTAATTCTAGTGCGCTCAGGCGCAGATAAATGCATAATCAAGAAGAGTTTCCGCGACTTCTTGGGGACCACACCTACACCAGAGCAGCGCAGGTCTGAATGAGGCAAGTGAGTGTACGGGCCAGCCATACGACCCTCGATGCTTTCATCAGACAGGTAATTAGAGACGGCTTGGGGGTTCTGACATGCAGAGACTAAATTGGGAGCAACAAAATGAGAGCGATCACCGGAGTAACCGATTACAGCACCATGACGCATGTCATACATAAAGGGAATGCGCGGTCAGGGTGCCTGGCCAGAGTCTACTCAAGCCGATCCAAGTGAACGGGCGTCCAGGGCGACTGTTGGTGTAACGGAACGCCTGCCAGCTGGTTGCCTTGTGCGACAATCTTGTGCGCTGTGTCCGGAGACGTTGCAGGTGCTGCATTGGTGAACGTAAGGACAGGGGTTTCAGCGACACAAGCCCCGGTTGAAGAGTCGACACTGCTCGGCTGACGAGCGTGCGGCGCCGGGGGCTGCCGCGGAGCTTGGCGAAAAGGGCCGTACGACACGGGCATCAAGCACGGTAGTGTACAGTGTTTGTGGTGTTGTGTCCCAACGACGTGACGGCTGAGACGCGATGCTGTGGCAGAAGGCGCGGTCGTACTCCGCAGCTGCGGAAAACGTGAATTTCTTGCTGGCGTTCAGAATATGGTGCTGATACGCCAACAGTTATACTGCTCTGCCCGGATGCGCATCTAGATAGACGGCTGCGAATATTGTCCATGCTTCCAGCCAATTTTCGATGTCCGAAATGCGTCGGGACATCCGTGGCTGGGAGGACAGCGTGAATTTTCCGGGTGCCTCCTCGCCCAACACCAGAGCGTGGGGGCTTGGCACGTCCGTGGAGGTCGGGGGCAACAGTTGTTGTTGTAAGTCAACAAATTGATGCATGATGATTTTGTCTATCACGCTCTGGGGCGCACTTGCCTGGATTTTTACCGGCCCGTCGTCATGCAGCATGGTGCAGGAAACACTAGACGAATGCACAGTGGACCTACCTGGGACTGAGATTGCTGTTTGCGCTGAATCTTCCAAGCGGTCCAGCCTGTCCATGAACTGTTTTAGGGCCGCCGCGATTGCCGCAGACACGGAGGCGACAGGCATAGTGGGTTCGCGGGTCTCCCTGTTCTCGACAGTTTGTCGGACAGCTTCGACGGGGAACTCAGAGGACTCCACGTGGGGTCCGACTTCGGACTGCATCAACCGGGAAAGAAGCTCCGCTTTCCTGCCGGCGGGACTAACACCATCGCATTGTTTGGCATGAATGCACGGGCATCAGTTTGAGAAGGCACAGGCGGCATTGGTGATTCAGCGCTGCAGCTGGGTGGGCTGACATGCGAAGGAGAAACAGCAGAGCTAGCAGCAGCAGATCTCGAGGGATCAGCAGAAGAATCGGGATTGATAGAACAGCAGTGCAAGCAGCGGGAACACTGGCAGTAGCAACAGCAGGATCATCATTGCATGCAACATAACAACAGCATCAACAGCAGTGGTGCGATCATAGGACTGCAAGCTCTGAACATTTTTGTGTCCAGATACTGACATGATTTTACGGTCCTCAACACCAGCTTTTTTCAAGCGAGTGCTGGAGAAATGCTGCACAAACCGCATCAAGCTGTCTCTGCCGTGGGTCCATAGCAGCGTGCAGCATTTCAACTCTGCACACCCAAGTATCAACTTCACATATGAGCTCAGCGAGGTGAGTGGCTCCATAAATTATATGGATATCACAATTATGATCCAGGAAGGCAAGCTGGCATACAAGCTGTACCAGAAGGCATGTGCTAGTGGTCTACTCATTGATTATACTTCGGCAGTTCCCCACCATATCAAATTGGCAGTTGCTTCGTCACAATTCCTAAGAGCTCAGAGGCTCTCATCGAATACCAGAATGCGTGCAGAAAGTGAAGCGAGGGTTCATGAACAATTAAGATTGAACAATTACCCAGAGAGAATCATTGAAGAGGCACGCACTGCCTCCATAAGGCCAAAGCGTCGTCGCCATGCCAACCCATGCTGCGCATTTCTAAAGCTTCCATATAAGTCAGATAAAGTACATCAAGCAGTGAATAAAGCAATCAGAAAGTATAAAATTCCGGTTAGAGTCGTATATGAGCACACTGGTAGCCTGAGGCGCACATTGTGTCGCTCCGCCCTCGTTCCTCCTCTATGTGTCAAGGCTGCAAATCCGCTACAACCGAAAAAGAGAGGTCGCCCAAAGGGGCCGTGTATCTCGTGTATATCCGGGGGACAGGATGTATGTATGCAGAAGAATGTTGTATATCAGCTGAAGTGCAAAGAATGTCCGGAACAATATGTTGGTGAGACTGGCCGCTTTCTGGAAACTCGCCTGGAAGAACAGAATGGTGAGGCAAGACGAAAGGAACTCGACAAGCCATGGGGCCAACATTTTCGTACCACTCACCCTGGATGTAAGCTTAACTATGGGCAAAGTGCATTCTCTGCAGTTGAAGTGATAGGAAGAGAGCCTGATCGAGCCCGTCGCAAACTGCGCGAGGCGATTGAGATTCGTGATGCCAAGCCCCATGTGAACATAAGCACCGGATGGGATTTGTTGTGAATTTTTCTCACCTTCCCCTGCTGCTACTTCAATATCACTGAATAATTATAATATGAGGCGGGTCACTCAAATCCATTCTGTTCCTGATGCCTCGTCGCGTCCCTGGTGGTAACAGTTTGGCATGGAAGTTTAACCTCATTGTGCATTGACACATGGGGCTCCGTGCTCCCCTCCTGTGCTAGAATTAACACCATAATTATTTGGCATGTGCCCTCACTTCGTAGAGCACAACGGCGCGCTCTTCTTCTCCGTGATGTGCACAGTTGCACCTTCTCTCTCCCCCCCCCTCTGTATAGAGGTGACATAACTCGCATCATTTTATTTTTTGCCATTCACAGAGCACAATGCGCGCTACCTTCTGTTGCTTCTCCTCCGTGATGTGCTAGTTGCGCCTTTTCTCTCTCTCTGTCCCCCCCCCCCCCTTCTGCACACTAGGTGACATAATTCGCATCTTTTTTGGCGCTGCACTCTGCGTATATACTGCTCTTGTGTGGCTTCCACGGTATTCATTGCTATTACCTGACGATGGCCAAGTGCCGAAACGTTGTAAAAATAACGGAACTGGTTCGGATGTGATGTGCAGCGCTATGGGAATGGGTGTGTCCACCCGAATTCTTTTCAAAGATGATAAATGCCGGAATCGCACTCCGAGCGTTAAGCAAGCTACTGCGCGAGTACTGGCTGCGATCCTTTTTCTTCGCGTCAGCGTAAAATCCTTCAATAATCTCTGCAAGGTCAGCCGGAGAAACGGTTTTCCAGTTGAGGTCGTCCGTAGTTTTCTTCTTGCTTTGGTAGTAGGTCTGTACGAGGCCAATCCAGAACGATGTGGCTACCTTGGTAGCCTTCGGGACGGCATTCTCAACCAGAGAACGACGTTCTTCAGCAGTCGACGTGCCAAAGGATCGTTTTGCTTCCGACTCCATGTGGCTGACTGAAAATAGAGACCGTGCGAAAGGTGTGCATGCGCTTTTAGCAGCTCAATGAACAAAAGGTGCGCATGCGCTTTCAGAAGTAGAAAAATTACGACTACCAACCAGCCGGGAAAGAAGATGGGCTGTGTGCGGCTTCCCATTGATCACTTGGCTGATGTGAAAGGATTTCGGAGTGTGTTTAAGTGTCAGTTTGTATGAAAGTTCAATTTACATAGGATAAATGCCTCGGCTTCGTTTTTATGGAAAATAAAAACAAGTTATAAATCCCTCGGCTTCGCCTCGTGATTTATACACGTTTTTATTTCCCATAAAAACTCAGCCTCTGCATTTATCAAAAACTTAATACTACTCATAAACTGAGATTTAAAACAATTTTTGGGAGAAGATCTAGCTAGTAATTTTACTCTTGCTGTCACGTGTAATGTTATGCATGTACATTGTACATTGTACATGCATAACATGTGTGTGTGTGTGTGTGTGTGTGTGTGTGTGTGTGTGTGTGTGTGTGTGTGTGTGTGTGTGTGTGTGTGTGTGTGTGTGTGTGTGTGTGTGTGTGTGTGTGTGTGTGTGTGTGTGTGTGTGTGTGTGTGTGTGTGTGTGTGTGTGTGTGTGTGTGTGTGTGTGTGTGTGTGTGTGTGTGTGTGTGTGTGTGTGTGTGTGTGTGTGTGTGTGTGTGTGTGTGTGTGTGTGTGTGTGTGTGTGTGTGTGTGTGTGTGTGTGTGTGTGTGTGTGTGTGTGTGTGTGTGTGTGTTCATGTGCTCTGTGCTACTGTAATTCTGGAATAGCTGTAACAAGATGACGTGCTGCCAATGCCGTGCCACTTTCTGCTATATTTGCGGGAAGCGTGGCGACTACTCTCATTTCACCAGTGGCTACTGCCAGCTCTTCACTATCAACAACGCTCCACAGATGATGGCACGTCCCAAACAACCAGTACACGAGGTAAGAACTGTACAGTATTGTCGGGTAGCGCCGAAGAACGGCCAGCCTAGAATTTAACCAAGCACAACATACCGTGACCGTCAACCGTGCATAGACTGTACTACATGAAAATAAGAACGGTCTAGGCTAGGAAGCTGACCCCCCAGTTCTTCGGCGACCGCCACTACTATTCTTGTAGTAACTGCCATTCTCGGGTTCATAATTGTACGCCGTGTTGGCAAATTAAATCCATACCCTGGGTTGTCGACGTTCAGTGCAGACGCAGGCCAGCTTGCTCGGTAGGTTACTCAATGTATCAGCTGATGTTTCTATGCTGAAAGAAGTAAAAAAATAGCCCCCCACGCCGTGTGGAGTCATGCAGGCCTCGTGTGTTTGTGTGCATGCGTGGTCCAGTTCTCAGATGCAGAAAACCAGTGGTCGAATTTCACTCGTCTCTGCTGTTATTCGTGCCAAGGCTTGATGTTGATAAGCTGAAATACACGAGTGTGTTGCAGGTTGTATGTATGTACTTGGTAGTTGCACAGCCTGGCAGAGCTGGAGTGGACAGCAAGTGCCGCTACCCATTTCAAAACCAAGGCAAAAATATCTGTTGTCATGGCTACTGACTGATGTCTACCGTCCTCTGGTACTTGTCGAGCTACCGAATATGGTTCACCGTGAATCGGACACCCTTCGCAGACGCCCAATATTTATTGACTGCTTGGTCAATTTTCCTCATGTTCTCGAGTATGTTCTCGAGTATCATGCGTGTATAAGCCGCGTGCACGTTGTGCAGATGTACAAAATCTTGTGGAATCTCGTGAAATCCCATAGACCCGGTTGGGTGTTGAATGTATGTACCGGCCCAGGACCCTATTGTGTTTATTGCTATTTCCGCTACAAAATACGTCCTGAAAGGCATTCGGTAAAAAATTGAACAAGATTTAGCTAGTGTTTAACAGTTAGCTAAATGATGAAGCTGGAAAAGCAATTGTCTTCCATTCATTGTTGGGCTCGTAAATTGGTCAAATGCGCATGCATCACACGCAATGAACACCCAACCGGGTATGCACACACCTATGGGAGTACGTGCATCTGTACACCGTACAAAAGGACCCTTCAATCGTACCGCAACATTGTTGCACGTAAATAACTATTATTGGACAATCTTGCAAGTACATATTTTTATGATTTGAATTTCTACCGCACACAGCAGCACCAAGTCCTTGGCTACACAAAATATTTTTTTTTAACATCTCCGAGCCTCTCCAAAAAACTTCAAATTCTTTCCGAATTTGCACCCAAAAGGGCATCTTCAGGGATATAGGCTACACAAGGACTTGGTGCAGCTGGGTGCGGTTGAAATCCACGAATCATGAGAAGGCCACAGAGGAGTGTCTGCCGTATTTGTCAGGGCTTCCTTCAGTTCTGGCAGGATGCCGAAAATCCAAATTCGGTCGGTGCCTTCACATCACGGCGTTGATTTCTGGGATAATTGTGTTTGTCATGCTTGTCAGGGCTTACGTCAGTTCCAGGAGGATGCCGGAAATGACCCGAACGCCAAGCAGAACATAATACGTTGTCCAAGGTGCCGGCGTGACAACTTGAAGCGCGAGAACAACAACCACATCTGCTGCTGGGCATGCCAGCAGCACTTCTGCTACATGTGCAAGAAACCCATTGTTGGCCGCATCATGGCACACTTTACTGTTGGTGCTTGTCCACAGCACTCAAAATAAACACCCGCCAGTGCCATTCCGCCTCCTTTCTCCCACTCGCAAGCACCATTTCCCTCTCGCCCTCAAAATCAGCACCCACCAGCTGAGCACCATCCCTCCCCTCTCCACACAGGTCCTGTATCCTTCTCCCCTACAGAAAATGTTCAGGCATTTTATTTTCTGCTGAAACCCAGCTTGATGGGATTGCTGAGTCTACCCTGAGCAGGCTGGTTAACCCCTCACACCCCACCCCTAATTGTATCCACCAGCAGGCTGGTTAACCTCACCACACCTAGTTGTCTCCACCGTGCAGTCATGTCAATGAGAGTATCTGTGAATATCTTGATGCACATAGGTAATTTGCAATGTGATTTTAGTTAAAAAATGAATCGAAAATTACATATGGTAACTTTCTTACTTCGAAGTAGATGTTTTATCTTAAAAAATAGTTAGTAGTACCATGGCTTTATGATAATATTGTGGTGGACGACAGACACAATATGTGGAGTCTTTTTTCAATGTGCCCACTGAGTCCCAAGATATTTCAAGGTCATGCAAACAATGCGCATGCAAATAATGCACTATATGAGCTGTGTCAAGTGATCCGGGATCTTGTTCAATGATTATAATGGCTGGATGATTATAAAGGTACACATTCGTGGGTCGTTATTTCTGAATGCCGCTATTTTTATCCTCCACTGTCAAGACCAGGATGGTGCAAATTAACACTTAAGAAGATCAGTTATCAATTTTGAACATTAGCACAGTGTTAGCTGGGTTAATCAATTTGGGAAAGCAGCTAGTGTTAGTTATTATTCTCATTAGTTTTGCAAATGACAAGGAGTTAGGTCCATTCTTGACGAGGACGGCAAATTGCTATCTATGCATTGTGAATGAGAAAGATGGATGGTCGCAGTCGCTTTCCCGTTCAAGTCAACGGCGGCGAGGTTTTCAGCCGTCCGCACGTCCTGCAGCACTGGGTACTCCAGTAGTTGCTGGTGCAGCGGCCTTTCTTGAACGCCTCAGCACACAGTGTTCCCATGGTGTCTCGACACTCATTAGGACCTGCATGAACACCAGAAACAGGAAGACTACCTTGCAGTAGACGCTTGTTTCGGAGTGGCCTCGGTGATTTTCCGCAATAAACGTGAAATTCTTCATCAAGGCAATTCAGTCTGAGAAGCCCTCACGTTTTAATTGAAACGGCTGAATACTGGATTGTGGCCCCCAAAGACACAGAAATTCTAGCAAATTTAGCCAATGGGTCAAACTCGCTAATGTTAGGACGTGCTTCGAATCTCGAGTGTACTGCACGTGCAGTTGAATTCTTCCATCGCTAAAATAAATCGTTGCCTGTACGTTCTCCATGAAGCACAAGCCGCTTTCAGCAACAAAAGCCTGACACGACTTGATCGGTGTTACTGCGGCCTACTGCATCTATGGTCACATGTCGACCATGCTGGTTCCAACTCCAGTCAACCCCTACATCCAGGGTCACATGACGTCGGCCATGTTGGTTCCACAGTCTGCAAGCCGTGATCACTTTCTACACAAAAGAAGTCACGTGACAAAGATGTGAACACCACTCTATAGTGTAGAGAATAGATGTACACTTGGTGGTGGTGACTTACTGCAGTTAGTGCCGATGCAGCCGCGTATGCTGCTGGGCTTGTGATAGGTGCACGCCCTGTCTGGTAGTCCCAGTACACCGTTGTGATGCATGCAGGTGATGTTGCGTGTCTGGTGTCCGCGTCCACAGTCAGCATCACACTGCACAGAGGGCAGGCATGCGGAGAAGTCAACAGAAAGAGTACAGTCATGTAGCGGAGACGGCAGGCATGCGGAGGAGAGAAGTCAACAGAAAGAGTACAGTCATGTAGCGGAGACGGCAGGCATGCGGAGGAGAGAAGTCAACAGAAAGAGTACAATGTAATAGTGAAGCAGTGACAGGGACAGATACACAAACAGATACTACTGCACATGCATACAGACAAGCAGACAGGCACACAGACAGACAGACAGACAGACAGACAGACAGACAGACAGACAGACAGACAGACAGACAGACAGGCACACAGACAGACAGACAGACATATATACAGACAGATATACATACATACAGACAAACAACCACATAGACAGACCAACAAATCAGACAATCAGACAGACCAACAAATCAGACAGAACACAGAGATTTCCCTGGTGCGACTATATGCGGACATGACAAGCAGCATGCCTTCCTAAAGACACACACACCCAACTACCACACACCAGCCCTACCAGCACAGCAAGTGGTTTCAGAAGTTTCAAAGTACTTACATCCGTCCAGATCGATGCTACCCTCCATCGTGGTGTCTCGTGTAGATTATCGCACGGCGGTCCGAAGCAGACCTGTGCTTGCAGATTGCTGGGCAGTGGGCCACACTGCACGTCAGAAAATGGTCGGCCATTGCCGAAGTTCACGCATCGCACGATGGGACGGCGCACGCCCTGTCCGCAGTTTCTCTCCGCCATCTCGCACTGTACAAGTACAGGCACAAGTGCACTGACTAGTGAGTAGTGAGTAGTGAGTAGTGAGTAATCTTGTACTTGCTGTATGTACAGGTAACAGTGGAATGGAATTAGCGGAGAGAGCCACGCTCATTTGTTCATCAACACAGCAATATTCCAGCTACGTTGAGACTGAAAACAAGTGTGATACTGCCCAATCTGCTGCAAATCGATCACAATTACTAACAGCTGTGATTTTTTGTGAAAAGGAAGCTTTTTAGTCCTGGAGCACAGACAATTACCTCAGTCCATTTGTCAACCACCCATGAACCAATGCAGTTATGGACGTTGCAAGCGACTATGTCACTCGGCTTCTTGCGCGATGGGCAGCTGCCCGGCGGTACTGTGCGGTCAATGCTGCCCGAGATCCTCTGCCTGCACAGGACGTTGTAACGCTCCCAACCTCCACCGCAGGTTGCATTGCACGGCATCTGCCGCAAGGCTGTCCACCTGTATGAAATCGGATCAACAAACCCATCTATCATGGACATTGGTACAAAAAGCAAACAACTCTGTGATATATCCATTAGTTTGAGGTAGTTGAATATTGTAGGACTCTTGGACGATCATCCCTAAAACAACATGCGACAGTTCATGCAAGATCAAGGAGTCCTAGACAAGATACATTTCCGAGCACTTCCTCACTAGGAGCACACAGATTCTCAAACTAGCATTCTCTATGAGTAGCAGGCACACGCATGGCTCACAAAGTTACAAACTGTGCTGCACATGCTCTACAGTGTGCTTCAAAAGTATTCTGCACACTTTCCGGAATGGACCAGATTCTCAAACCGTGCTGTCTACATACATGCACACAAGCCTGACTGTAGAGCCGAGTCTAGATTTATGCACAAGGTTGTGTGTACCTGGGCTTGCACGGGTGTGTGTTGCACAGTTTGAACGTGACATTGGGCCGTGGCTGTGGGAAGCACTTGCTACTCTTGACTGGCTTGGACCAGGCACCGCAGTCCTGTACGCAATGTGTAGACACTACCTGCAGACCTGCACACACGCACACGCACGCACGTGCACACACAAAAAAACAGCCATGTACAAACACAAGCCAGTTAGCGGACAACACACCAGGATCCTGGAGAGGCAATGGTTCTGGCACACACTGTGAATCAAGGCGAATCCAAACAGTTCTTGCACTGACTGTATACAGGGAATAGTGTCTCATAAAACACACACACTGACCAGCCGTGCTGAGATGAGCACTTCTAAGTATCAAACCACTGTAGGCTGTATACAGCTATCTGGTATTCCAACAGCCCTGACTGCACTGCTTTTCTGGAAGGCTCGGCTTCACCCACCTTGCCCGCATTGCTTGGAGCACGGACCTGGCTCCTCGTCTTTCCAGAAGTAACGCTCACGGCACTCCAGCACCACACTGGCGCCGTGGAAGACGTATGTCACGGAAATGCGCTTGCGGAGCTTTTTCGGCATGCGAATCTAGACAATTCACAGCAGGAGAACAGAAGGGCCGGAGAGAAACGCAGCAGTTTCACTCAAGCACATAGTTATATGTTTAGTACTTGATGAATGCAGGTCAGCATTACTAACTGTACTTGTTGCGTGCACTTGTGAAACTGATGGTCTTGGATAAGCCCATTGTGCCTTGACACCGTTTGTACCAGTAACAGCCTACCCAGCATGGTTGTGCACAGGGTTTCAACAGTGCATTCTTCTGCTTCCAGCATACTCGCATGCACTGCTAATACATGCCATATTTGGCTATGCACAGTGGGCTTATCAACCTCACACCAAGCCATCGTGCAAGACCATTCGCCGAACTGAATTACCTTGAGCATGACGGGCTCACGCAACGGTCCGACGATGTGCAGAGTCTGTCGACCAGCGCCATCCACACAGAGGCTCATGCGAGTGCCAGCGCCGTGGAACCAGCGGCAGGAATGACGTGGTGGTCGCTGGTGAAGGGCAATGAGTTCTGCGTGCGTACGGTTGCTGACCGCCTCTGCTCAGAAACACAGACAAAGCCGCAACAATGGGGATAGTCTGTTAGTCTGCCAACTACATTTGAGTTGAAGAGATGGTGAGGAGGAGAATGGGAGGAACAGGAGGAGGAGGATAGTCAGGATGGGGAGGATGGGGAGGAGATCATAATTATGGCACCCACGTTACGCTTTTCAACGGCCACAAGATAGCAGTGTCTTTGTACATAATTATGACAATGATCAGGTCGTCCCGTGCAAGTCTGCGCTAAGCAGACAGTCCAATATGGCTGCTTCGCTTTGCAGTAGCCTACTTTTCCTGCTCAGAAGAGCCGGTGAACTGAACGTCCAGCCGAACAGCCAGTGAACTGTACTTTGCCATTACCAGCCACAAGCTCTGCTGCTCGGAGTTGCTCTGTGGCGTGCTACATGGATAGATCACGAAGACACTCCTTCGTTGTTTTGCTGGCATTTTGCATGCGTGAACAGTAAAGAAGATGCTCACCCAACACGAAGTCATCGTCCTTGGGAGAACTGGTTTCCTTGAAGATAACGTTAACCGTCCCGATTGGTAACATCTGCAGACTCTCGTAAACTGAGAGAAGAAATACGTGTAGGATTAGAAGACTGGAAAATTAATGAAATGATAGATGTGTCGAGCTGTTACCCTTCCAGGATTATCAGCCGGGCACAGCCCTGTCCTCAGTGTGCCCATTCAGTTCATGCAGTACTTGGTTGCGTTCAAATCACAATATGGGTATCTTTGCTGTCTGGCAAACTATACATGCAACAGAATTCGAGTTTCTTACTCCAGGCGACTTTTTAAGGACTTGACAGAGACTTTCAAACTCCCACCGCGTGCACTGTCCAGTCGACCTAACTCGCCACACAAGCAACATGATCTCAAGTTATAGTAGAGGCTGAGACAGTGAGAGGGGTATACAGTCAGACCTCGCTTATCCAGTCCTCTTTTATCCAGATCCCTCGCCACCCGGAAGAAAATGGCCGGTTACAGATTTACAGCATACGTGATGCATCCAACATAACCCGGTGTTCGGTTATCTGGTTCCCTCGCCTGTCTGGATTTTTTGTGGAAAACGGATGTGTGCAGATAAGCGAGGTCTGACTGTATGGAATGCAGGTCATTACATGTATCCCAGACACATTCTTCAACAGCTAGGTCTTACCGTGATTCTGGATATTCTTGTAGCGCGACTGGGACTTCTTCATGTTGATGTGCGCCCCACCGGACACCGCCGTGCAGGACGTGCCATTGCCACCGCAGACCATGCACCGATCAAACCTGCGCGTGGAGCTCAGCTGCTGATCACAGCCAATAGCCTGAACAGTACAGCAGGATGTCCAGTGACAATACAGCATGTACAATGACAGTACAGAATGTACACTGACAGTACATGAGCACCATATCCAATGGCTGTATACCTATGCACCACGTCTAGTGACAGTATAAGTTACCATGCACCATGTCCACAGGCTGTACATACCCGGTACACCTATCTTCAATGCGCTCAAAATCCTCGCCCTTGCGGTGGATAGAGGTAGCAGGTAGCAGCTACCACAGGTTCTACTCAGCCAATATAATAAATACTCTAATTTCAGAAATTTTCGGTGCTCAATATTTTCGGTATGAGGGCAACAGGCTAGGTTAGGTGAACAGAAAGTTTCGGTACAGAGAAGCAATTCCCTATTGGATTATGTGTGTTAGTGTTTGTTCGTTGTCTTGAAATTTTAGGTATGAAACAGACGCACCGAAAGTACCGAAAATAAAAGTACACTGAACATTTGTGAAATTACAGTAGTCCAGAGACTCAGTCCCTGACAGTCCCCGGTGCCGAAGCTGTATCACAAATGCTGGGTAATAATATCTTACCACGCACTGTCCAGCAATGCAGATGTCCTGTCCCAGTGAGTGATTGCATGGTGTGCCATCCTCAACCTCTCCCACGTAGCGCACATCGTCACGCTGGTCTTCCCGCTCCGTCGGGTCTCCCGAGCACACCAGGTCACATGCACCTGCAACAATACACAATCACAATCACAGTCAACAGAAGTCTTTAGTAGGGTCATGAATTACTACCCCCTGTCCCTGAAATCAGTAGGATCATGAATTACACCCTGTCCCTGAAATCAGAAACCAAATCTACAAGTCATCTTGTATTATTGTTGTATATCACAGTAAACAGAGTATCAGTTATTCATTGAGGTAGTTTCATTGCATTACACTTCTGTATCTTTTCTTGAGACGTTCTCACTCACTGAGAGTTTTGAATATTTGGAACACTTGTCATTTTGAATGTGGTTGACATAATGCTTCAATGGTTAGTAATTCATTACATAGTGAGTACATGAAGCACACGTCGACTTACGTCTCTCTAGCCCTGTTCTCTTCTTCTCTCTTGCCCTGCTGGCTCCTTGTTCTTATTGGCGCATGCTCCACGTAATTGGTTCATTCTAATTATCACTGTTCCACAAACTGGTTATCGTTGTGAGCTGAGTGTGAACGAGAGGTTCGACCTCGTGAGTGTATAGAAGAGGTTCGACCTCGTGTGTTCACGATATAACATTGGCGACGAAGATAAACCTAATTGTTCAGCTACCTCGCCGTAGATCATGCCGCTTGAGGGAGAGAGCCACAAGCTACGAGTCTTTCAGACAACTGGCACAGCGAGTGAGGTTTCCACGAGGTGGAAGAAATGGCTGCGTTCTTTCCAATACCTGGCAGCCTCGAAGGACATAACCGACGCCGACCGGCTAATGAACATGCTCCTGCATTATGCAGGTCCTGGCGTTCAAGATCTTTACCTCGATCTACCTGATCCCGCTGCCGACTCACCTCCACGGGACGACGACGAATTCAAGAAATGTATCCGTGTTCTGAACAAACATTTCGAAGCAAAGCCGAACACCAGTTTTGAGCGTCACGTGTTTCGATCGATGACATTCGAAGCCGGTGAGTCCATGACGCAGTTCACAGTAAGGTTACGTCACCAGGCTCGCATGTGTGATTTTCATGACGCGGATGATATGATACGTGATCAGATTGTTGCTTGTGTGCCGAACGCAGATTTGAAAAGAAAGCTGCTCGAGAAGGAGAATCTAACTTTGGCAAATTGTTTGGATCTGGGTAGGGTGTTCGAAGCAACCAGACAACAAGCATCAGCTATGTCGAATGAACCTATCCACGCTGTCTCAGCATCTGGACGTAAGACGTTTGCAACATCCGCGCCACACCGTGGTGGTTCTGGTACTACTGCTAATGATTCTGCTGTTCTTTCCGCTCGTGTCTCTGAGCGTCTTTGTTTCAGGTGCAACAGGCCAGGTCACTACGCCCGTTCACCATCATGCCCGGCGCGAGACCAAACGTGCACACGATGCAGGAAGAAGGGTCACTTAGCTATCTGTTGCAGGAGTCGCGTCGCAGACACACACACCGTGAGTGCGTCAGATAGTCCGATGGCCACAAATACTGTGAGTGCATCAGATAGTCATAACCCGTTGTCTTTCAGTACGACAGATGTTAGTAGTCCACTATTTGGGGCATACTCAATTGGAGCTGTAGGTGACAAGAACACCAGTGTATTTGTGCCCGTTGAGTTGTGCGGAAAACCATGCCGCATGGAAGTCGATACGGGGGCCCAGCTGTCCATCATGCCCATGTCCTTATGGAAGGAATCCTGGTCTGATATTCCCCTCCAGCCCTCTAGTGTCTCGTTATTTGCGTTTGGGGGTACCCCTCTACCTGTCGTAGGCGAAGCAGTTGTAGATGTCACGTATGAAGCCCAGCGCTGCCAACAGCGCCTGATCATTGTTGAGGGAGGGAATCGTCCCCTGTTTGGTCGCAACTGGCTGAGGGAAGTTAAGCTGAACTGGGCAGAATTGTTTGGCTCGATCCATGCATGTGCTGCTGTGCTGTCCGAATATCCGTCTGTATTCGAGGCAGGGCTAGGCACTGTCACAGGGCACACTGCATCCATCCGCCTTCAGGGCGACCCACAGCCGAAATGTTGCTCTGCAAGACCAGTCCCGTATGCCATGCGCGAGAAGGTGGATGCCGAATTGGATAGACTGGAACGTGAAGGCATCATCGAGCCAGTACAGCAAGCTAATTGGGCGTCTCCGGTTGTCGTGGTGCGCAAGAAGAACGACACCATCCGACTCTGTGCCGATTTCAAGGTGACGCTGAATAAGCACATTGAGGCCAATCAGCACCCGATACCAAACCCGACTGATCTTCTTGCCCAACTCTCTGGTGGAAAGACATTCTCGAAGCTAGACCTCAGCCAGGCGTATGCACAACTCCGATTGGACGACGCCAGCAAGAAGCTGTGTGTGATCGCAACGCACCGAGGCCTGTACGCATACACCCGGTTGCCGTTTGGAGTGAGCAGCGCTCCCGCCATCTGGCAGCGCACCATTGAGCAGGTTCTCCAAGGCATCCCCGGAGTGGTAGTGTATTTTGACGATATACTGATTTGTGGTTGCTCTGCACAGGAGCACGACCAGCGCCTCGGGGAAGTCCTGAAGCGCTTCGCGGCAGCAGGTCTCCGCCTGGGGCGAGACAAATGTATGCTGCGCCGCAGTGAGGTCAGCTACTTGGGCTTCATCGTCTCCGAAGCCGGACTGAAGCCCGATGGTAGCAAGATCGACGCCATCGTCAATGCACCTCAGCCAGCTGATGTAAGTTCATTACGCTCGTTCTTGGGTTTAGTGAACTTTTACGGGCGTTTCATCCCCAACTGCTCTACCATGTTGCACCCTCTGAATCATCTGTTGCAAAAAGATGTTGAATTTCTGTGGTCAGCAGGATGTGCGAGTGCATTTGTGGCTATTAAGCAGTGTTTGGCAGCCCATCCGATTGCTGCTCATTATGATGTCACACTGCCGGTGGTTGTGGAATGTGATGCATCCCCGTACGGTATAGGTGCTAGCTTGCTTCATGTCTATCCAGATGGTTCTTCTCGTCCAGTTGTGTTTGTCTCTAGAGCTTTGTCCAAGGCAGAGTCCCACTACAGCCAGATAGAGCGCGAAGCGCTAGCCATTGTCTTTGCGGTGCGTCGGCTGCATCAATACATCTACGGACGACGTTTTACACTGCGCACAGATCACAAGCCGTTGTTGAAGATCTTTGGTCCGTCATCTTCTGTCAGTGGTATGGCTGCTTCTCGACTACAAAGGTGGGCGGTGACTATGTCAGAGTATGATTACACCATTCAGTTCATTAAAGGTAGTGAGAATGTCCTGGCAGAATGCTGTGTTCACGATATAACAATTATCACACGCATATTGCAATGCTACCCACGCGTGACCATACATGGAGTCGACGTGGACCAGTCAGTAGGACCAGATGAGTGACTATGGTACCAGTGAGGTCATCATGGTACCTACTGTGGTAAGGCCATGGTAAAATTATCTTTGATTCTCAAGTACGCGCGCACCGACGATTTATTATTATTTCTATGCATGCGCGCATGAAAACGGTCAATGCGAAAGGCATGAATCAGGGAGTAGTAAAATACCGGTATTTTTCTACTTCCTGGCCTGAATTATTTTGAACATGTGACGTCATGACCATGTACATATGTGTGACCCTATCTTTGGAAATAACAAAATTGTGGGAAATAAAATAACAAATCACTCGCTCGCACCGATTTTCACAGGCTCATGACCTGAGAATCAACTATATTTTTTACCATGGCCTAATAGCAGGGCATTCAGGGGGGGGGGGGAGGAGGAGGGGAGGGTATGTGTTTGCGTATGCATGGGTGCATGTGTGCATGGGCATGACTGTGTACTTGTGTGTATACTGTATACATGTACATCGGCTGACCTCTATTTGGTGGAAACAGTGCCATCTTGGCCGGCTTGCACTGGTGCTCCCTGAAGTCAATGCTGTGAAGGGGACAAGGCTACAGCAAGGGAAGAAAGACAAAGCACGTACACGTAGGTCAGGATACTACCACTATACATATACTACCACTATACATGAACATGTTCTCCGTCTGTGATGTGAAACACCATGTGTACCATCATACCTTGAACACATCTGTGATGACTTGTAGTTCACGGACTGCATACCCTAATAACGCCTACATATTACACTTTGGTGCAGCCATTTTGGAATGCTACAGCAACTGCTCGAGCAAACCTTGGTACTCGGCGTGAAACCTTATTTGAAGTATTGGTCCAGTATTGGAGCACACTCACCATTCTATTGCAAATTACAGCTTCTTCATCCTTGTCACTTGCTGGACAGCTGCTACCACCGTTACGCGGTCTACATGCCCATACATGCATGCACACGCACACATCCAAACGCCCGCCCACACGCGCACGCATGCACACACACGCACGCGCATGCACACACACGCGCACGCACGCACACACGCGCATGCACACGCACGCGCATGCACACGCACGCGCATGCACACGCACGCGCATGCACACACACACATGCACACGCATGCATGCACACACACGCATGCACACGCATGCATGCACACACAAACACACACACACACGAGCAAACAGCGGTGGATTCGTGTGCAGATTACATCTATGGTGATATCACTAGTGTTCTTCATGTCCCTTCAGGCAAACCCGCCGACCCAACCTCCTTCGAACAAACACACACACACGCACACCCACACACAAATTCACCCACACACAAATACACCCACACACAAATACACCCACACACAAATACACACACTCGCACACAAACACATTAACGCATGCTCCGTACGCGGAGCCATACACGACCCACACCCAGACACAGCAAGTGTTGGTTGGCACTATAGGGTAACTGGGCGAAGGAGCTGGCAGTGTGTAACCATGGAGGCGGCCGACTCGACAGAGAAGGGACCGAGAGACCGAGAGTGAGACCGAAATGGCGGCTGACCTGCCAAGGGCAGTAACCGAATAGAGTGATTCGGGCGAGTAGAGAGAATGCTGCCAGCTACTGAGAGTTCAGTGCTCAATCCCTGCTTGTTAGTGAGTTTGCAAGACGAATGAGGTGAGTAGTATATGGAGAACAGGGTGCTACAGAAGGAGACTTGTAACACAATGAAATCGGTGTGGGTGGGTGGGTGAAAAGACGGGGCAAGAGTCACGCAAGCCAATGCAACTCACAACGAGAGTCAGGCACGAGGGCTGCTGAAATACGCACATGAACACACACATGATAGACATCAGCATACTGTGAAAACATTATGTCACCGCGAAACTTGCACAAACACACAAATGCACACCTTGTGCAAGCAGCTTACTCTCACCTGGGGTTAGTGCACGTCCGCCTCCTAACAGAGACGCCAGCTCCGCATGTTCGAGAGCAGCGTGTCCACGTTCCCCAGCTGGACCAGTTGCCATCAACCTCGGGCAGCTCCATGACTTTGCACTCCCCACGGAAACATTGCTAGTCAAGCACAGCACGGCAGATGTACACAGGGCACGGCACGCAGTCAGGAAACAAGAAAGGAAGGACCAGGAAGAGCGGCAGTACATTGAACTTGGGTTGTACAGCATTCTATTCTTCTTTTAATACTATGGCAGTATGGGAACTTGAAGTGCTGATTCGGATGAAGAAGGCGGGTCAGGTACTTTCCAGGTGGCATACCAGGATTTCGACTTGATTGATCACTACCTAGCCCTCAAATGATCTACAGAGGGTGCTGGCGTCTCGGCGGATGGGGAAAATCCGGCCTCCAGCTGAGTCACGCAGACCGTGATTTTTTTAGCCCTCAAATTTGGTGAATTTTGTTCGGCATTGATGCAGAGGTGAAACGGGTACACCGAATATTTTTTGGAATTGTTTTCGTTTGGAGAGTGAGATTTATTTCGAATTTCCATGACGAACGCTTCATATTTTGGATATCGACCGTTTGTTTATTTACATTCCCGTCCATATGGACTCCTGCAGTCGTCATGTGCAGTTGAGAGTAACACGTGTGACCCGTGACCCATGAGTCACACCTCAGGACAAGCACAGTACAAACAGTGGGCCATGAATCTTGCGAGTTGCTTATACGCGCACTCGCACACTCTGGTCATCGGATGTTGAGACAATTCGTTTGTTGTCATCAATAAACGAGATGGTGTTGACTGCACCCAAATGACGGTCATACTCCTGCATGATGTCACCACTTCTCGTGTCCCACTGGACTATCTTCTTGTCTGAAGTTCCACACAAGATGTGTTCCTTGTCCTCATCTGGGTTGAACTTGACGCAGTACGGGATTTTCTTTGTTGTGTAGCGACCTATGCACTGACCGACATCTTCACATAGCGGTCATAAGATGCCGCGAGGAATCGCGTCCATCGTTGTTGAATGAGATGTCACGTACAGCCTTGCTGTGGCCTGTGTATGTACGTACCAGCCGACGATCGTTGTATACTTCCCAAAGCTTGACTTTACTATCCATACTGGCGAGAGGAGCAAGTGGCCGGAGTTGGGGAAATAGTCGGATTGCCGATAAGCCTTTTGTGTGGCCAGTCCATGTGTGTATGCAGTGCTTGGGCAGGAAGCACTTGTCGCTGCGGGACCATCTTCGGAGTGAAGGTCAACATCCAGGTCACGAGGTGCATGCAGAAATGATCTACCCTGGTAGTCGAGAGGATCGTCGATATGCAGCTAGCTGTGTCTTCTCATCAATGGTCTTGTCGTCTTTCTGACGACTAGCCACTTTGGCGTCTTTTGTTTTCCCTCTCTTTACTTTTATTTTTTGCCGTGGTTGGCAATCACCCACTCTCTTAATATTGGCCGGTGTTTCCACCGAGTCTTGAGATGTAATACATATATAAATATATATAAACACTGCACGATCAGGTCCACACCAGAGATACATCATCGTTCTTTGCAACTCCGAGTTTCATGAAATGAATCAATCATCAGGCAATAGAAACAAACTGATTATATATGTTATTTGTATTGGCTCCAGTACCCCGGTACTATTGAGCACTATTCGCGTCGGACGGGATCACCCCTACTGATATAAATATACGCGGACGGGATCACTCCTACTGATATAAATATATATAAGTCACCTGATGATTGCATTGAGCAAGAAACTCTGAGTTGCGACAATTCTGTAAACCTCCGCTGTGCCTTTTTGTGTGTACATATATATTATAGTTTTTGCCGAGTACTTGTTGTCCCTCTGATGGACGAGAGACTGTCACGTCATCCACATAGCCTGCCCAGGGTCCATGATAGCCATCAATCTTGGACGGATCGCCACGATCGGAACGCTTTCGCTTGTTGGTCACCTGGCCTCGCTTTGCTGCTTTCGAAAGCTGTCAATCCTTTGGTGGCAGCGGCCGCCTCGACCTCACCAATAAAATCCAGGAACACCAGCAGCGTTGTCAACAGTTGGATCCACAGCATAACCATAAGAGTGATAGGTACGACACTGCGTTTCAAACTGAAAAGCATTTACGTGTGCTGGCTCCACATAACCAGCCAACATGTTTATATGCGCCTTCTGCTGTCGCGTCTTGAACGGATTCTCTGGACCAACCTCAGGCCCATACATCTCTTCATAGCGAGGGTTGTACAAAATCTCTTTCGTGTCTGGCTGCAGAAAGGACCCGGTAGCGACATCCTCCTTGACTGCAACTTCTGGCGCAGCAACTACACGCATGGAAGCAGCTGCGGAGAAAGAAGCACTTGCTGCACTCGCCATTGCAACAGGTTCGCCAGTATCAAATGGCGTTGCTGCTGCCGCTGCTGCTCTGGGTGTGCGGGCCAGGTCCCTCCGTTCAGACGAGGTTGACGTGGCAGTCGTAGTGCGCCGAGTCACCTCAAAATACCATGCAGCCATAGCTTTGTCGTAGTTGAAGTCGGCGACGGCAGGAACGTCGAGCTTGGTTGCCATGATATCTCCAGATTCCTCGTCGACAGCGAGTTCCGCATCGCCATCTTCACAAGCTTCAGCCAGGGTCTACCTTTCTTCCAAGAGTCATGGAAAGCACGAGTTCTTTTTCTCTTCGCTGCGGTCTCCATCGTCCAAATCACCAGTCGGCTGAAAACTTGCAACTGTGTCAAAAGCTATAGCCAAAGTAACTTAGTTACGCTTTTGACTGCCTGCCCCATCGACTTTGAATGTCCTGACTTCCTGCTCGCCGCTGGCCAGATCGCGCTCGAACCAGTTGACCCCAGTTGACCCTAGCCGAGTTTCTGTCGCTTGTAGACTGTAGTGTGTACGGTTGCACTAGATTTGCAACAGATGGGGTCCGCGAGTCGTAAACTACCGGTATTTTAGGAATCCATTGTCAGTTTGACACATTTTTCAACCGGGTCAGACTGGACCCGGTGTTATCTGTTCAGCCGGGTCGTGCAGTTCCCCAGCCGGGCGCGTGACCCGGCTGGCCCGGCTCTCCAGCAGACAGTAGTTAGTTAAGTTTAGGTAGACGTACAATCATTGTAGTACGAGTACAGTAATGTACTAAGTGCTAATGACGACAGCGCGTGGGCCTTGGCTGAGTAGCAATGAGTCGGGCATGGCTTTGTACTCTACTACGAGTACGAGTGGTCACCCGCTTGATAGCATGATGAAGATCGCATGCGCACTCCCCATCTGTACTGCACTGATAGACAGCTAGCTGCTATTGAGTATTGTCAAGTGTAACCCAGTCAGAGGATAGATACCGTATGTCCGCACCTTTAAAGCCATGGCGGTATATTCGATTATAAAGCCAGTCTCAGTTATAAAGCCATGGGCTTCGTAAATGAAATGACATTTGAAGTGTGTTTTGCAAAAATGAAGGAATAAGTACAATGCTAACACACTTACAGCCCAGCAGGAAGGGTGTACAAGTGGATTAAGATTGAAATTTCTGTGTGGACTATGACTTTTATGGCATGGCGTAGTGGGTGAGCCATTTTGCATCTAAAATATCTAGAAAAGCAGCGGTTTTCCGAATATAAGGCCATGACTTAAAGGCGCTGGCACACGGTAATAATACCTTATAAGTTATAATTGGCTAGGGTCACCTATAGTATAGGCCTACGGTGGTGAATGTATCTGTTCAAGTAATTAGTTGATTTTCAGCTCGACCCATGGATGATTGTACAGTAGAAACGCGAGGGCAGTCCACTTAGTACATGCCACCCTGTTCTTTGATATCCTGCTCGACATACTAGAAACGTGAGGGCAGTCCACTAGTAGTAGAAATGTGAAGGCAGTCCACGTAGTACATAGACCTGCCAACCTGTTCTTTGATATCCTGCTCGTACTAGGAACCTGAGGGCAGTCCACGTAGTACATGGACCTGCCAACCTGTTCATAATAATATTTATACCATGGTACGGTACGGAGGGCCTGTTTTCAGCCAATCAGTGCTCGTCTAGCCATGGTTATAATTATTGGCCAGTATAAATCCCGCGCGGGATTTATATCGAATATAAATCCCGGTGCGCGGTACGTACGCTACGGCATTGCCACCGTACATGATGTTCACTGCCTGAATTGAAAGGCAGTGAACTCGTACGGCGGCAGTACTCCAGCGCACGGACCATTCACAACAGACACAATAGACACCACACGCACGTGTACACTCCACACTTTTGTTACACAACAGATTAAACTAGTATCTCTAATACGCAAACCTGTATAACAATGAGGGTACCTCAACTCGAACTTTCCAAATAATAATATAGGTCCAGATAATTGAATTCACCAAATTTTCAGGCCTGACCAATCCTCAGAGGGAAAACATTCAACGTTAGTAGAGGTGCAGTAAAACCTGTGACGAACAACCACCCCTTGGCGCCAGAAAAAGCGGTCTTTAGTGGCAGGTGGTCCTTAGTTAGAGGTTTGCACCGCACAACCATATAATTATGAATGTGAGACCGTCCGTGCCTGGCAAAGTGGTCTGTAGTAGCAGGCTGGTCGCTAGTCACAGTGGTCTTTAGTTAAAGGTTTTACTGTATCCTAATGTACGAGTGGCTGCACTGGAGTCTGCCAGTGAGAAGAAAACTGTATAGTAAGGCCACCCAGAATTAATTCGTTGTTTCGGGTCACCCGACCGTCTTTTTTCACCCGACCGCAATTTTTTTTATTTTTTTTATAGTGCATTCAAATGTACATGACTAGACTATGTACACACGCGACCCTAATAATAGCAGTCCAGACATCGACCTCAGAAGCAGCCAAATTACAGGATGCAGCGCTTGTTGACGACGTTGTCTTCTACATGCATCTCCGATCCGGTCCTGAAACAGCATCAGCTCCGCCACCGCCTCATTGACAGAAGTTTTCAAGGTGAGAGCTACTCGTTTGTCAGCGAGGTCAAGATCTGGTCCTGGAGGGGACCTGGATCTGATGGGACCATGGCTGCGCTGGATCGTCTACAGTCAGATTTGATCGACTGGCTTGATTGACAAAAGCTATTCGATATGCACAATTGTACATGTATGCACATGGCCATAACCAAACTAAAATAATAAATCCCAACTGACCGACCCTGGTACGGATGAGTGAAGTGACCCGAAACAACGAATTAATTCTAGGTGGCCTAATGGTAATAAAAGGGTTGGGAGGACTTCAAATTTCAAAGAATCAGTCGGGGAAGTGAACTGCCTGAAAACCCGGGGCCTTGCTTGTCATGAGCAATTCTGAGCTATGGGACCAGGCCGAACCCATAGCTCAGATGGGTAGAGCATTGCACATGACAAGCAAGGTCCCGGGATTGAGTTCTGGTGGGTCTGGCATTTTTCTCTTTTCATGCAGTTCACTTCTCCGACTGATCCTTTGAAAGATAAATAGCTGCGAGTTTTGTCGTGAGCAAACTGAGCTCCCGGTTCAGCATTATCAACACTCCTCGGTTGGCTGCTTTAGTGCTGCAGCGTTACGAAAAAGATTCATCGCCGTATCCGGATTGCTTCCTCTGAAATATCACCTATGATCTCCTATTTGAACATGCGCATATGTGAGTGTATGATGTGCCCTAGCTCACTTATAAGTTATACACGTACATGTAGATCATGTCCATGATGCCTTTCCTCTGCGCAGGTCCACCACACTATTGTTTTTAAGATTTACATATTACTTCTGCATATGCATTACATACTATGATCACGCTGGCTCCATCCCTTATCTCCTAAGCTAAGGTGTGTTTCTAGTATACCTTCTTTGGATTGCGCCTGTCGCATGGGGTACCATCCGCCGCTGGTGTATAGCTACCCTTGCATGCTGTGCCTCGCACACCGTGCTGACATAGAAGCTGCTTACAGACCTGGACGCATGCCGTGGAAAGAGGGAGAGAAAGGCAACAGGCAGGCATGCAGTTGAATAAATCAACGCTGGACCGAGTTTGCTCCCTCGTCCTAGCTGTTTAGCTAGTTGTGTTCCGAAAATCCAATATCGTTCTGCAAATCACGCTTACATCCACATGCTGATGCTTAATCGTCAATGTGTGTTCATACTGCTGGAAAGTGGCACCTGTAACATACCGTATTTTCCTATTAAACACTAAACATACACGTCTCCACAAGACTAGTTCGTCTCCAATATTAGTACATGTTGAGCGTGGATTGAAAATACAAAAGGACGCGTCTCTAATAATGCCTGGTTCAAACTAGGCCGATTTTCCGGCCCATGCTCCCACACAGACTCTGACAAGAAATCAACCGACTGTGTCGGACGAGTCAGACTAGCTGTTCACACACAACGGTGGCCAATTTCGATTGTACTATAGTTGTAGGCCTGTCTGTTACACACGTACACGCCATCACCAGCAATCAGCGACATCGCGCCTGACAAAAGTTTTTCAAATAAAATATTTCCACCCAAACGTCACTGCTGGTGCTGAGCTCGCGCGATCGATCGAGTGTGAAGTTTTTTTGTGATCTCAATGAAAAAGGATTTTTTTGAACTCACGCTGTACACAACAACAAGCTATCTGATCTGCATGTCTTTTTCGGTGGAGGTGATTTTTGTTGTTGTTATTGTTGTGGCTGGCGACGAGAAGGCTCTCATTTACGCTAGGTATCTCATAGACAGAATGAGCCTGGTTTTTACGCCAAGCTGATGTTTTCAGCAGCAGTCCGATGTGGAGAAAATTCAAGCAGTCTTAGGGGCCTGAAGTTTTTGCTGCTTCTTACCGGATCGACAGTGGGAAAGAAGGTACGTTTATTTTATTGTAATAAATCAGGTCGCGAGGTCGACACAATTGAGCTGTTCGTTGCACTGTGAATTTTGTTGCTTTAGGGTGGCAGCGTGCAGTACCTTGTGAAATGGAACTTTATCCTCTATGAGCTTGGGAGTATGAAGATATCAGATATCAGTGACGATCTATCAGGTGATTTCATTTCATTTTGGGTGAATTTATTGAATGTATTCTTGAATGCATGAATTTGAAAATCTCCCTTTTGTTTGCTGTAGATATTTTGATGGTTCGGGGAATGTTGGGCCCTTTCTCAGATGACGAATGTTTGAGGCTGCTGATGGAGCTTGCACTGCTGTGCAGTGAAAAATAGAAGTGAAATAGTCACAAAAGGCACAATGGAGTTTTACGTGTAATAGTGCTCCACATTATTGTGTCGAGCCCTCTCCGCTGGCAGAAGGAAGTTTTCCTCCTTGAAACGAAATAGTCTATTCCTGACTTTCGAATCAGAAACTGGACAAAGGGGGTTGGGACCGAAGAATTTCCCTGTGAAGTTCTTTCCTCCAGGTTGGGATGCTTGCATGAACGTACATGGACAAGGCCCACGGGCTCACTACCTGATTACCTTGACAGGAGGGGATCGTGCTGCCCGGCAGTTTGTCTCTTCCACAGAAAAGGGCATTGATTAATCATGAGCTTACCGCAGAGCACAACGAAAGCATTGTAGCATGAAACTAATTTGTCTGAATACAAATCTGCACAATGGCACAGACGGCTAATGGAGGTAAAGCATAGCATCACCAGCATTGTATTCCTGGAAGCAGTGCAAGTTATAGATTTAGGTATCAATATTTATCTAAGCTTTAGCGAAGTCCGGACGCAGTACATTACTAGTGTGAAAGATAGAAGAAAAAGCAATGATATCCGTATATACCCGGAAAGAGAGGTGAGAGTGGGTGGGAGTAAGTGAAAGCACTTGTACAAGCTAAACATCTGTGCAACCGGAAAGAGCAGAGAAAAGACTAAAGCAATTACACAGGCCATGCGTACGAGGTAATTTAGCAGTGAGACCCAAACATCCTTGTAAACCAGAATGCAGCTTCAGCACACATTTTCTATTTCTTCATGTTGCGCTGCTGTTGCCGTTTCCCAACGATATGATGAGGCTCTCCGTTATGCTTCTGCTGGTTTTCCTGTGCAGGTATGTGCTGCCGTAGCTCAGAGAAATCTTTGGCCAGGGTAGCCAAGATGGCATCACCCACATCCTCCTCTCCTTCAGGTTCACTTGTAGGTTTGGCATTCATGCTTGACATCTCCTTCAGTACTGTGTAGGTCTTCTCCTATTGGTTTTTGTCTGCCCATACCATTTGCACTGCTCAGTGATGTCGGCGACAGTCGCCTCCAGCTCACCATTTTCCATTTTTTCTTTACTTTTTGGATACGCTGTGTGTCCTTGAGGTAGCATTTGAGGCCGACCAGTTCTTCTACCTTTGTTTTGCAAACATTCTTGTCTAGTGTTCAGTGATCGAACCCAGTCAACGTTGAAGCACCCTTGTTATTTCTTTCCGTTTCTTTTTATTCTTGTACACCGCTGCCTGCAACCGTGCATTTTAATAGGTTTGCGAGAATCTCTTTTCACCTGCAGCAACCAGAGTTTGAAAGTACCGACACAAACTGGAAGCATGCCCAGTTTCCAGACAACTAGCTGCTTCAAAAATTCTTATGTCAGATGAGTGACTGGTTGCGCAGCCGACATTATGGTGACATAATGTGTCCTTGTAGTTCTGTTTATTATTACTTGTATATTTCACTGTTCGCGTCAAACTCGGCTAAAGGCCGAGTTTTCCGCATCCGTAGGAACGCCACCACCCTTCAAGGATCGTGTGTTTTTTATAGCAGTGTATTTTGGTATTTGCTTTGACCATCAGTCCTTGGCTGATGCTGGTCATACCTTCAACATATTGACGCGTTTTTCAAGGCATTCAATATACGTAGGCCGCAAGATTCTATCTTTTCATACCGAATACCGATGGCTAGTGCTTCCCCACTAGCTGCGCACGTGTCACATCTGGCTGCGGCCAACTACCCTTTAATTTGTGTGTTGCCGCTATTGCTGTCTATGTCTCTGTGTGTGCCAGTATATGAGGAACGAGAATTGGTGTTGTTGTTGTTGTAGTCGTTGTTGTTGTTGTTCTGGTTGTCATGGGCTGTGGCTGTTGAATGTAGGCTGTTGCTTTTGTTGTTGTACTTTTAGTTGAAGCTGCATCACAAATAGGTAACCACCTTGATGATGGTGCACAATATCCGTTGAAGAAGCCGCAAAAAAACACTGTATTCTCAAACCAGTGAGCTGCAGAATGAAACCAAGTATCAAGCTGGCAAAGCTGTCAGCCACTCTAAACGAAATTTACACCAAACAAGTTGCTATTTGTCAACAGGCAGTCATAAAATTCGACTCCCTGACTCAGTCACTCTAGACTACGACTCATACGAGTCGTACAGAGTACTGACTGTAGTCACTGAGTAGTCTACGTCCTTGTACATGACAGCATGCATCAGATCATCAGTACATCGACATGGCATGCATCCAGCACATGGCCATGGGAAAGCCCCTACAACATGGCCTTCAGAGAAAGCCACGCGGTTGGAGAGGTAGTTTACTCGAAAAAAACTGAGAAAGAAGTGCTTTTCATCTTCTTGCTGTTCAATGTCAAGCCAGAAACAATTGAGAAGCTGCTTGAAATGTGCAGAATGAGGCGATTTCCCAGATCTTTGAAGCTAGAAAGCGCACTGGACCTGCAATCTTTTGGAACTGGTCCTTCTTGAGGACAGAGATCAGACTAGCCAGGTGACAATGCTGTGGTTTGTTGGCTGACAATATTTGGAGGAAGCTTCAGAAATGACCATGAAGAAGGTCAATTCTTGCTATTTCCTCAAGATCACCAAGGTAACAGATACTTTTCAGTGGAGAAGAAAATCATGATTCTTAGGAGTTGAGATCGCATCGGTTGTTCAATGTTTTTCACTTTCGTTTTTTTCGTTGTGTAACTGTTTGTCTTGTTGGCGTGGTTCACTGGTTTGATGCCTTACATTTCGATCATGGCCATAGTTCAGAGCAATTTTCTTCCTTCCAAGATCACTCTCTGCAGTAAATGCGCAAATATTTTACGGAATTTCGGACTCTGTGGGATGTCATATAATTGCTGGTAATGCTGTACACAGCTGCACTAGACCGTAGTAGACGCTAGAAAGTGGAAATGAGATAGTTTTTATACAAGCTACAAGGCCAAAGGCGTGAAAAGGCTTGCATCTAGTAGCGATCCAGTGCAGCCAGTTCACGGTCTGCACCGACGCTCTCCGCTATCATGGTGAAAAGCCTACAGTGATTTGTCCGATGCCTGCTCCATCATGTGCAAGCACCGACAGTCGGCCGGCTTTTCGGCTAAATATCGACCAGAAAATCGCCGCAGATCTGTCGGAAACCTGTACGACAACACCGTCCACACCAGGCAATTTTCGCCCCGGTCTTGAGGATTTTTCGTACGAGTCCATGTCGGTCGGAAAATCGGCCTAGTGTGAACCAGGCACTACAGTAGTACATGCCAGAATGATATCATGGGCATTACTGGGGTACTGTAAATATACAAATTTTTGGCAGCTATTTAATTTCGCACCGACCCAAAACGCCTAAAATAAAACGCCGATGAAATTTTTCACAGCATCTGTCGCACTATACCATGCCCTCTACCCCACGCCGAAAATAAATCGCCGCCGAAATGTCAAAAATCGTGAAGTGCCGAAATTTTGCAGCGCCGAAATTTTGTATATTTACTACATGTACCTAGACCCTCTGACTTTTCTTTTCTTGCCCATCGTATTTTCCTGAGTATAAGCCCAGCGACTGTCCGGTGCAGTACAACACCTACGACAGCGTGGCTTAATTCTGAATGAAACGAAAACTCAAATCCTACAATATATAGACACATACAGACATATACCCTATTTATCACCGTTAATTTGCCGCACCTCTTTTTTGGGTGAATTTTAAGTGTTCAAAGTGTTCAAAGTGCGGCATATACTTCGGAAAATATATTATGGTGATCATCTTTGTGCTTTTCTACACTGCATGGTACCTTAGCTGGAGTGCTATTGAAGGCATCTACAACCGAAATGTTTCATTATTGTGAGTCGTATGGCACCCATGGCAGGCAATCAATCTTGCCAGAATCAATAAAAGAACTGTCCCCAATACTGGTTGGTAAAGTCTCCTCCAGTAGTACCGGGCTGGCCATCTGTACGTTTACTGGGGATAATACGGTATTATGCTTATATGTCGCATGACCCGGACTCTCTTGCGGTATATGTAATAGAACATAAGCCGACTCCCGAATGTTAATAAACCGAGGCGTTTTATTACACAGGTTTTTTAGAGAACAAGGTTTTTAACAGGTTTTTATAGCGAGAGGTTTTTTTGTGAGTGGTTACTGGAAATATCAAAACTGCTTTTTAGAACACGCAAATGAATGGAGGTGTTTTAAACCATAATTCAGTTGATCACACTTAAGCGGCGCGTCTCACCTTACACACCACACTGTCACTGTCACACCTGTACATAAGCACCAGCATACTAGGTCGACTATATTAAAGGCTCCTTGCTTGGCTTCCTCAGCATCTTCTCCTATGGTAATACAGACTTGGCATGTGTACTGTCTTGGTCTCCCTTCTACATGGCAGCGTAGGCATGGAGATATCCACCAGTCCAGCACGTGACTACTCGTTGGATCTGTACTACTTGTTGGATTGTTCATTGTCCATGCGTGATGGACTCACCGCCATGAAGACTCTGTTCATTCTCCATGCGTGATGGACTCGCCATGAAGACTCTGTCATCGGCAACTGTGGAAAGCCTGAAAAACCTGACAAATATCTATGACATCGGTCACGGGCTGTTTCTTGAGAAGGTGGCCACTTCAGCAGCTGTAATGGGCCCTGATGACCAACCAGCTCTGAGCCAGTGTCCTGGGTGATCCATCATGCTGCGGCGCTGACGGGAAATGGGTCACAATCTGTGGATTCAATCCTGGCCAATGTAATATCCGGCAACTTGGACATTCCCTTCTGGCAATTGAAGAGTCGAAAATTGCTGGTCAAGGACGGGTTCACTTTGATCTGACCAAGTCTAACAGCAGCTCTTGTCACTTGGACAGTAATCTAGTGCCTGCAGCGGTGTCAGTTTTGTCACCTGTTGCCAGCCATTCATCATACAAGTCCCGGATGCTGCTCTTGAATGGCTTGTTCCAGCTGACATCCGGGGCTAGGATACGCGGGGTGCACCCACCAGGGATGACAGTGCTCAGGATGCGTTTTTGACGCCTCTCTGCAGTGACGGAGTTAGTAAGATGGCAGCAAGGAGCCTCTTTCCAAAGGCCATGGAGCCCAGCAATCAATTGGCGGCTCATTGTTGAGCTTGGTCTGGAAACAGACTATGCATCAGTCAGCTTCTCACATTATATTCTTAACAGGGAGAACATATTACCACTCTTCTTTGCGTCAGAAGAGCCTACCTTCGCCCAATATCTGATTATGCCGATACGTCTTGGGTTGGATTATCCTCTTCCTGCTGCAAAGCTTGAAATACACCACAAGAAAATCCTTAAAATTCTCCTCCGTCAACCCCGCATGCTCTCATCATCCGCCCTTCATAAAATCGCTCACACAACCCCGTTATCACATGGACGCAGTGCACACCTGGCTTCTCTTGTCCATTCTATTAAGCTTGAGTTGTGCCCACCTCATCTCATGTGTTTTAATTGGTTCTCTTCTCTAAGAACTAGAAACTCGCTCTTACTCCCTAAGTGTGACTCATCCACTCTTTTGCGCTCCCCTCTCTTCATTGCTTATTCTCTTTGGCTCACTCTACCCAGAGAAGTTAAGGATCTGACCTCACTCCGCCTGTTTAACCCTTTGTGGACGGACTGTACGAGTTTCGATCTAATAAGATCGAAACTTCGTAACTCCATCGTTTCTTGAGCAAATTCCACAATCGAAGGGTCTACGTGGTAGCTGGAACTCCAAGCTGTCCAATGCAACAATTGCCGAAGAGTTACAATGTCGGACGCCAGAGATACCGCACCCCGTATTCTTACCTCGGCAAATTCAAATTTTTGATCGATCATTTCGCCATTTTGGGGGAAAATCCCTTTTCGTGTGCTCTTTGAGCGACTGAGCACATGATAATGACGTAGCCGGCTGAAGTTTGAATCGTCTCAAACAGATTTGAGCGTTCTGCGATGAAGGAGAGCGGAATGGCGTTGATGGGACGAATTCGCTTGCATATCAGGCTTGGAGACGACTTTGCTGTGTTACCGCAACTGATTTGTGGCGGCCGGATAATGGAGATTGGTACCCTGACGTAGCTCTCGCCAAGAGCTTTCCAATGAGCCCTTGATTGTGAAAATCAAGTGAAGGACACCAAAGTTATGACATGGAAAAGTTGAAAATTGTACTGACATTTTGTAATTCTGGTGCATACTGTGCTAGTAATCCGTCCATAAAGGGTTAGATCCGTGCCGCCCCTTATTTACTACGAAATAAATAGCTCATTATCCACATGTCCTTTGCGTCTCTGTGTTTTTCACTGTTTTTTATTTGACATTATCTTTCTTTACGGAGTTGTTGTTGCTGTTCATTTTGCTACTCTTTCTTTTCCCTCCCCTTACTTTTATTTATCGCCGTGGTTGGCAATCACCCACTCTCTTAACATTGGCCGGTGTTTCCACCGAGTCTTGAGATGTTGTAATAAATATATATAAGAGTCTGATCCGAATGATCCAAAGCCGCAGTGGCATTGGACTAGACAGCATGATGAAGGAATTCAAGAAATCACGACACTGCTCACATCGGCTCCGTGTTAGCCTCCTTACTATTCGACGTAGATAACTGCATGAAAGAAAGAAAGCACTCGTTCCCGAGCCAAAACTGCTATACGTTTTGAAAAAGCATTGCGACTTGTTCCCTTACTTGCTTCAACGCCCTTCGCGAAGGCACTCTGCAGAATCTGCTGGTGTTGCCTCTCAGCATCTGACACTGCTCGTCCACGTTGAAGTCCCTTCCTGGCAGGATGTCGTGCTGCTCTGGTGACCGGCGTGGGCAGTTCAGCATGCAGAACTTGGGCAAGTGGCGCTTTATTCTGAAAACACGGGGACACATACACGCATAAACGCCCACATGCACACATATACGTACACGTATACACACACACACACACACACACACGGAATGAACGCCTGTGCGTGGATACCGGTAGCACTGGTGCAGAATCACAGGTTCCATGAACTGCACCTCGGGGCACCCTGTCATGTGAGGAAGACTGCAGGGTTAGTTTGGAATGCCAAAGTAGAAATAATGCAATACAATACCAAAAATGTAGGTCTTGGGAGTCCAGATGCAGACACGTGGATGAAACTTGTAAAACTGCCCGGTGTCTCCCTTATCGACATCTGGGTTTACCTATGTCACTCTCTCCCCAGTCTCAGCCATGGTGCTGCCTACCTTAGAAAGGTCCGGAGATGCGCAGCACTGCATTGAGACCAGCGGAAGAAGTCAGTACTCGCCGTTGCACTGGGCGCCATGATGCCACGGTTGTCAGAGCACCGAGACGCCTCGTCATCATGATTCATGGCAAGCCTAAAAGTAGACAAAAAAACAGAGCGCAAGACAGACGCTAGCATCCACATTAGTGAGCACAAGGCCATGGTGCAGGGTAACCATGGTGCAGGGTAACCATGGTGCAGGGTAACTTGCTCCTCACAACTTCCAATGGAACCAACCTGTTGCGGTCAACGCTGGTCTCTGGAAGTGGCGGATCCCTTACTACGGTTTGCTGTACGCTGCAAACCTACACTTTTGAGGGTAGGGGCGTGTATCTACCACAAACTGACCGGCTTCATAACTACTACTATTATCTATAGCTGCTACTGCTAGTCTGCGTGTTCGTTCAGTGAGTAAAACCCATGCGTACATAGATATGTTTGCTCTAAAATAGAACTTCAGGGCATGCATGACACTTCGGACTTACCCATGGCCAATCTCGTGGGCCACGGTGAAGGCGCTGGCCAACCCGTTGTACTCGGCAATGCTGCACGAATCACTGCGATCACACCACGTCTCTCTTCCAGCCATACCTGCCAATTGTAGAAGGATGAGGAGAAGGAGAAGGGAGCATTAGAATGAGGAGTAGGTCTGTTGGTTGCTAGGTATGCATGATACATACCGGTCCATCACCAGAGGTCTACGCAGTGAGAAGTCAGACAGAAGAACTCACAAGAGCTAGGCACTATGGAGCATTACAACAAATTCTGAGCCTCAGCCTCAACATAGATAGTGCTCCTAGTCGCAAATCCGTTCACTGTGAAAGGAACCGCACCCGGGCGATTGATATGCCTACCAGCTGTGTGCACACGAGGAGTGAATGGTAAACATACACCGTATTGAAAGGGTACGTTCCCGACGCATATGCCCAGTGCAGTCTTCTGCCAATACATACTGTCTGCAGACATGACAGTATCCTCACAGCCGTGGGACTGAGCAAGTTCTGAGCAAGTTCAACTACTCAAGAGTCACGTTTACCTAAAATGTTGCATTTGCGGTCCGTTCGTCGGCGATTGTCAGCTTCCATTGAGCACAAATCAAGCCTGTAGCCAGTGAAATTGAGAGAAAGACATGGGATGACAAAGACACAGTGAACTCATGAGAAAGACACAGGATGACACAAGCTCAGGAAATGCACAGACCGCCGGGACGTGGCTTATAACCAGAGGATACTGAAGTCAAAACACAACACCGGTAGCTCGACAACTCAATGTTTGCAGCCATTTAAATTTTATATCCAATGCCTCTGTGGCAAGGCTACACGGAATTAGACCCACAAGTTTGCTATCCATAGATCCTCTCACCTCACAAGCCTCATTCCCTTTACCCTGATGGAGGTTTGGCTTTCATTCACACCTTAGCAGCTTAGAATGCACACAAAAGGTGGACATACCCGGTCAGCAAGACGGCATGGTCCGCTCCCCGGCGCACCCGCATCGGCAAGCTGTCCTGCCAGCCACAGAACGTGTCCAGCATGGTGAAGGCAGACATGGATGAGGAGAGGTGCAGGCGATGGGGACCGCTGCTGTTTGTGATCACAATGTTCATCACGTGGAAATCCACCGTGCTGCCAAGGCTCTTGTCGTGGAACAACCCCTTGACCTGTACACAACAGTACAAAATGGTCACAAGGAGAGCATTGGTGAGTACAGGAATGGGATACAAAGTAAAACTTGCTTTTAGCAACCCCTACAGTGGCAGGAAACCTGCTAGACACCTGCCTTTAGGCCAGACCTCAGGCCTAAGAGCAGGCTTCAACAATCACTAAGACCGGGCTTCACTTGAACTATCACTAAGACCAGGCTTCACTTGAACTATCACTAAGACCAGGCTTCAACTATCACTGAGACCAGGCTTCAACTATCACTAAGACCTGTCTGAGAGACCGCACGACTCTAAAGACCACTCACACCTGTCATGAAAGGCGCTCGTGCCTGGCCCAATACCACGCTTTATCCTACAGTCAAACTTGTGTAGAAATATCACCTGTCTCCAAAGACCAGCTTCCTGTGCACCCTGGCATAGTGGCTGCCAACGATAGCTGTACTGGAGTAAAACCTGCCTTTAGCAACCAGTACAGTGACAGAACACCTATCTTCAGAGACCAAGCTTACCACGCCCAAAACCATGCTTTATCCTTGAGTCAGACTTGGGTAGAAAAACGACTTAGCTATGCATAATTGGGCGGTTCCTCTAGACAGTCTTCAGGGTCCACGATGCACAGAGTGTGAATTTAGGGAAGTTTCCCATGCGGTACTGAGATCCAGGGTTTCCAGTGTTACCATACAGAAAGGAAGGCACTGTCGCTGCAAGCTTGCTCAATGTCCTGAACTGCTCTTGCAAATGTGGTTATACTGTTGTGGACATGGAAATCAGGTCGCACGTCTAGTGGCCCCAGGGCGCTGGCCATGCAGCCGTGGATAAGCGGTACACACATGTACATCGTCATGCATTTATGCGCTGCAGGGCGCTGGTCGCATCGGATCACCAGATCACCATGTGCACTGCGCGCAGCGTTCTGTACGCGCTGAGGGCGCCGGCCCCGGTCAATCGACTGGATTTCCATGTCCGCTACAGTACAACAAGACCAAGTTTTCTATTGTAAGTCAAAGGTTCACACTGATGCACAGTGTTGTTATCCAAACGTTACTAATTCTTGATGATTACAAACAACAATCTCTTGACTTAGCTTACGACATTCATAATTGTGCCCGTGACATCCAGTGTCCGTTGCATGTCTGACATAGTCCCGTCTCTGCCCCCAGAATTGCGTGGCAAGGATTTCACATGCCTCTGCATCATTTCCTGATCGACGACGACCAGGATCTTGGCACAGTGACGCTGACTGTCCAGGTCACCAAACTGACTTTCGGCAGCTCTCCGCTCACGCTGTTGATCCTCCTGCTGCTGTGTGCCTTCACGGAGAGGTACAGTATCTACACAAAAATATCAATCAATGGAAAACAATTCAAAACATGCTTGGTACACTTGTAGCATCGTTACGTATAGCACACATTGGTTCAACGGCAATCGTTCAACACCACTAGCAGGATGTTCTTCTACACACAGCACACTCACATTTCCAGAATGTTTTAAGTACGGTGGTGGCAAATGAAATCCAACCCCATGAGTGCATTTTAAAGTCACATTCACTGCATAGCCTATTATTCGCAGTGCTAGGGCTGTGCAGCCCCCGCACCTGTTGTATTCACGAGGTTGGATTTCACTTTTCACTGTACATGCAGTATATGTGCGATACGATCAGCTTTGCACGGCCTACCTGGTACGCCGCAGAAGCGCTCGGATTGCTGGCGTTGCTCAGCACGCTCTTGCCCGCCCAGACGTGGAGCTGCTGACCGACGCAACAGCCTGTGGACGGGCTCGGCTCCAACATGATCTGCGCTGGCCTCCAGCAGAAAATCACCAGTGGCTGTCCGCATGCGGCCTTGCTGTATTGGAACACATCCATCACAACACATTCCCTAAGAGACAAGATTGCCAATAGTACTTCTTTAGCTTCATACACTACAACAGGCTTGGGGTGAGAACAAACTATCGTCACCTTTCTCCACTGTGGTACTGTGTACAATAATATACTGGAGACGTATTCACCTGGCGCATTGCCCAAGATTGGGTGCATTCTCAGTACCGCGATGCGTTTTGTATAATTTGCTTGCTGCTCACTGCACTGACTTTACTGTGCTCTTCCAAAAACCATGTCTTGACTATTTGAAGGCTAGGCGGTGGTGCTACTGTCACTGATGCTAGCCCATAAAGATTCCATGGCGCTATAAGGCACCGTCATAACAGTTCACAATAGCTATCCATGCATGTCCTTGGTACTAGGCAATGTCCAAAACGATCCGAATTCACATGAACTGTATGGCTTCTGTTTTCATAATTATACAGTCAACTTCGCTTATAACGACACTCGGCGGGGCATCAAAAAGTGTCCTTATACCCAAAGTCTCACTATATGTATTACAGTTGGAAGGGACTTTGCTCTGGGCATGGAAATTCTGTCGTTATTCGTGAATTGTCGTTATATCCGCAGTCGGTACTAGCGAAGTTGACTGTCCAGTCGAGTCCTGATATAACGAACACCATTGTGCAGGAGAATTAGTTCTTTATAGCCGAAGCTCGTTGTAACAGAAATGCACTTACACCAGTGGGTTCAAACTGGGATACGGACAACGGTTCGCGATACTACGAGATTCGCTATAATGCCAGTTTGTTATAAGTGGAATTGGCTGAATACATAATTATGCTGTGTGTGTATAGTGCGCTGCAATGATGCACACTGAATCCCTCACCAATGCCCCACCACATGTGCTAAGCGTGGCAGTGGAGCCAGGATGACTGGTTGCTATGCCAACATAATGGCAGTTGCCATTGACATTATTCCGTTGCTCTCCGCCGTCGCCAATGTGTGCATGTAGCTCATCCTGTTGCCATAGCAGGAGTCTGAAGGTTGTGTTCACCGCACGGAATTGGTAATGAATGACGGGATCGTGAGTTGGCTCCTGCCATTGCTCTCCTGCTCCAGCTCTTCGTAGTTTGTGGTGGAGAAGTTGGCGAGCAGCTTCCGGCGTGAGACTCGAGTCGTCAGCTGATGGCAGTTCCACTCGCCGCGGAACAAATCTGTCCAGTTCCTCGTATCTTGCATGGGCTTCAACTGTGGCTACAGCATCATGAGGACATACAGACACACATACAATCGATTTGTAACGGTGGATAGGATTGCGTCAAGGATACGTTCCGATTGACACGGGAGCGCCCATGACCATTCATGGTAACCGTGATGCGACAGTGAGTTCCCACTGCAGTCATAATATGATACACTAACCCATCAGTCTGCAACACCATGCAGGATAGCTATGCCTACAGGGCTGCGTCGGCTGCAACTCTCTGGTGGGCATGTGGCAATGTTTGAAAGCGTAATCTATTGAACCATGTTAAGACATGATGTGAAATCTGCCGTTGCAGCAATGGACAGAGATAGCGCAGGCAGTTGCACACTCTTGGGGCTATGGACTCTATTAATAGCACTGACAGGTGAATGTTGCTGGTATAGTCAGCTGCAGATCACAATTCAATTGTATTTCAGCTAGTCACGGTCTCCTTGTTTGCCAGTGCTAATGCTGCATCTAGAGTTTTTTTTTTTTTTTTGAATGCCCAGCATTTCAATATCCGAATGTGGACTGTATCATGATGGAGCAGCATTGTACATTGGCCGATTGGGAGTGTACACTATAACTATCAGTAGGGTAGCTGCTTCAGTATTGATTTAGTTCGCATCAAATCGTGTTCATCAGGGGCGTCGGACATGGTACGGTCACTACGGTATTGACCGTACCACTTTTTGCCCCAGGTACCCCGGGAATCAATAGGATACACACTGATCTGGGCTCTAAATTGCCAAAAATGTCGGCTCAGCAACCCCTCCCCACGAGTAAATAATTATTGTACTTCAAATGGCTGACCGTACCACACTAAATAGGGCTTGAAAGTGCTACGTCACTCCATAGCAATGGCATAGCAACAATTTGAAAAATTCGAAAACTGGATCCACCTGGATCCAGTTTTTGTATGGATCCAAGCACATTTCAAGCGGTCTCACTCACAGCAAGGTGATGTTGCCAGTGAAACTGACTGATTTGGCTAGTGCGGGCGGGGTGACAACTGGTGGCGAAGTAAAAGTTGCACCTGCATACGACACGAGTGGGTTGCTATGCACCCACATACTGAGGCAATAGCAAAGTCACACCTTAGTGGATCCAAAATAGAAATCTGATGTCAATTTACTACTCCCAGGCCGTTTTTGACGTCATCACTTTCAAGCCCTATACCATCCGACGCCTCTGGTGTTCATAGTGTGGTTTTCTCCAACACATGATACCGGGATGTTCTACTTCTAGACAGTTCAGGGCACCAGCTGTTTGGGTCCTGATACAATGTTGGGTAGTGCGAGTCTGCGACTCATACTATAACCAAGTATTAGAACTCGGTGAGCTGACGCGACTGCCTTCTGGATTACCATAATAATGAGAGGTGTGTCACGAAAAACACAATCACAGCGAAGCTCAGTGCCAAGAGTGGCATGAAACATGCATGTTATTGTTAGAAAATTGAGTTTTTCTACAACTACAACTTACAAGACAATATTCTTGGTTCCGACCGTTTCTAATACAACGCGAGTGGGCGCAAACAGACGTCGATGTAACGCCATCACCGAGCGTCATTTTCCAGTCACGCGTTGCGAACGAGCTTCTCCCAGGGCGAACAGGAAGTCTGGTATACGCAGTTTTCGTGTACAACAGAACAACCCGACACCCAACGGCGGTCGACCATTGCATGTACATGTACATGTATACGCTGCCATTGCCAAGGCTTCGTAACTGTCAATCATCATCACTGTCTGTCCGCCGCAATGCTCCAGCACGAGTGCCTCTCTAACCCCTGTAGTTTGGTCAGCCGAGCATGTAACTTGTAAGGCAAGAACTGCCTCCAGAAACTGAACTGGCAGAAGTATTTCAAGCAGCTTCGCCACTCCTCCACCGTACCACCGGTCTACACGAAAGAGGTTACCAGTATCCCAGCTGCCAAAGTGCCCCACAACACTCCCATCATTCACCCAACTGTTGTTCTACAACACGTTGACGTTTTGGTCGAGCTTTTTCCGTTGTTCGTCGAGTCGCGACCTGCGAGACTGTACCAATCGGTACCCTCCGAGGCTCCGTTCCAGAAACTCTCTGCTGCCTACACAGCTACAACATCAACTTCCTCGTCACGCGCCTAGCTGGACAGCAAACACTAGTAGCACAAGCTGTATAAGGTATGTCTGCAGAGGAAACGAGAACGTCGCTTTTGGGGAGTTCGCTCCCTCAGTCATCCGCACACGCCAAACCTTCGCTTTGTTTGCGTTCGAGCTGCAAGTGCAGCGGGGGTGACATAAAGGAATTTAACCAAAATGCATTCCCTGGTCAAGTGGCGTGGCCCTTTGTAGTTATGCATCCTAACAGTGAGTCGACCAACTCACGTGAAGCTAACGTTCACCCATACTATAGTTTTGCATTGCATTTTGATGGGGACCTCTGCGGTGGAACAATATGCCGACTGTGATGGCTGCGTCGATCGTCCAGTACCTGTTCCGTGCCTTGGGCCGTTGGGGGTTTGTGGGTCATAGCCTAAGATTCTGCTCTCCGCACCCCTCGCAAGCCAAGCACACCACGAGCACTGCAGGTCTATTGCTACAAAGGGGTGGACATCTTCAGCAGCTGTTCTGGAGTACATTGTGCTGCGCCGCGCGCCTCGAGTCGTTCCAAAAGAGCGCTGGGTCTGGCGCAGATCATGTAGTTTCGCCGGCTGCTCCATATCTCTCATCACTGCTCGTTCCCTGGAACAAAACTGTACCTTCTTCAAGACTTGGAATGTAGCATGTACTCGCAATCCTAAATTATTAGTTATTGGGCTGCACAATATAGCACATCCACACCAGCTTACCTATCCGTTGCTCCTCCAAGGCTTGACAGAAACTGAGCAGGCACGCCGCCAGCAAAACACAAACCCGCACAGACGACTCTCTTGCGACCAGCTGCACCGAGTTCCTTTCGAACCTCGAACCCGAGTCGAAACGAGACGTCATCTTTCCCGCCAACGGGGCCAGTACTGGCACGGACTTGTCCTTCCTGTCACCAGGCGCTACTGTTACTGTGTTAGTCCGTGCCGTCCTGTATCTGCTCGGCCACTCTGTTTCGTCGGATAGTCAACTGGTGGATCCGCCTCGCTCACACTACAGAGATGCGACAACTGATAACGACGTATTGGTCGCTCTGGTGTCAAATGGCTAGGTGGCCACACAACTACTCAGAAATGACACGGTACAACAGGACGCAGTCAAAGGTACAAAGTGCTTGGGGAACGGCTAAGTATACAGGTCCACTGGCTGTGGTACATACATAGACTTGAGCGGCAGGACGGGCGGACGGTGCACTCGTACTCCAGCAAGCGAGGCGAACTGGATACCTGACGCAGGGCTCTTCAGAACGTCCTCTGGTCCATTTGACATAATGTCATTCACCGCCGCTTCGACTTTTGCTTTCTGTGTGTGTGTGTCAACAGTCCTTCTTGGGTTAGTCAAAAGGTAGTTATAGTCTCGATAAGCTGAGCGCCACAACGCCACTGAACCACGGAGAAAGCAGGTGCACTTAGAAACTGAACGAAGAAACTTCCTATTTTTTACCCGAGCGAGATATGGAGAGGGGACAAATGAACCGTCTGCGTTCCGTACCCAGCCGATTCATAGGCGAGATAAGCAGAGATGAATTCTTTGCCGCGCTTTGCATGTGATGAGGCGGTTGGCCGAGACTGTTCACGCCAGGGTAGAGAAAAAGAGGCGTCAGACTTTACTTCTCACCCTTTCGCAGCCCCGCTGAGAGCCTGAAATAGGCTGGATGGGGGCCGGAAGAGAGAGACCGCCATACATGCCAGCGCGGAAAACGACACGCTTCGCGCCATGCCTCCTTTGCTTCGTACTAGGTTCATCAGGACCATACATGTATACATGATCTATTCGGCACTGAGGCAGTGCAGTGAGGGCTGCTTGATCCCGAGAAATTCTCAGTGGCGAGCGTCCTCTTCGCAGGTCTGGTGTGATGGCGCGAGTTGGCTTGGAAGCGCAGTGTTGAACGAGCCCTGGTGCAATGCCCGCAGCTCCACATTCCTGACCCGGTGATGAAGCCGAGCAACTGTGCGCGTTTCTTTTGCACTGTGCGGCCCTGCAGCTTGTCTTTACTGTATCACAGAGGCGTTTGTCCCACGGCCATTCGCTCAGCAGTTGCGATAGAATGCTCTACGGTCGTAGGCTGTGATAGCATTGTTTGTCTGTGGAGAGTCACGACTGGTAGATCTACTACCGGAATGTTACTGTGTAGGTCTACCTGCAATAACACACAAGCAATAGATCCAATGCCAAGTCACTGCCAGGAGCACACTCATGCCATGTTTGCGTGTTTTGCTAGCTAGATTGGCTGTGGCAGTACAGATCGCCAACAACATGTTAACAGCGAGAGGACACAGCTAGCCAGCACGCGAAAATGCAACGCGGACACTCCCTCGTCTTCCTGTTTGGGTGCCAGCATGTCTAGTGCTGCGAACTGCCCAGTGCAGCCGTGTGCTGGCCTTGTTTCCTCCGATGGTCCACTGGAAACGGCTGCGTATCCCTTCAGGATACGAAAAGAGATTGACAGTGGACGCGCAGCGACGTCCAGCAGTACGACGGGAAATGGCCGTGTACGACCGAGACTGCGAAGACCGTGGCTTGAGTTTGAGCAATAACCCTAAAACCTAATCATATGCTTGATGGCGATGTACGCCGTAATCAGAGCTACAGCCTAGCTACTGGTATTCATATTGCCCGTCGTGATTCCCTTCCAGAGTAGCTGTAGACACCGAGCAAGATACCCCAACCAACCTTGAACCATCACAGGTGTCCATATGGCATATTGCTTGGCCTCCCCGTTTCCCCATTGCACTGTCACTGTGGCCAATGATTAGATTAATCACATGACGAGATGGACAGCCGGGAAAAGATCGAGTTCGTCGACTGATGTCTGTTCTCTTTACCTTGACTATGATTGCTAGTCAAATGATTTTCAATTACGCGCACATGCACAGCAGGCGATCAGAACAGAAGTAGACTACGTATATGGTATTCCTGATCTACATGTAAGACGTAACGGTTACGTTGCACGTGTATTGTTGGGCCAACGAAATCCGATCACTACGCCATGCGCTCACGTGCACAAAATATGAAGTGAGAGGACGCTTTATGCAAATTATGGGGACACGCATGTAGCCTATTATAGGCTGTTGCCATGGCTGCTGTTTGAGGGTCTTACCTGCAGCCTAGCATGCCTAGCGCCTGGAGCCGTGGAGGCTGGACGCTACACTCTGAACGGGATTAGATTTCTTTACCCATCCCCCCCCCCCCCGCCCCCCCCCCCACCCACACATACACACGCACGCCCAACACCACCATTCGCGCCCAGTGCAGGAGTTGTATTTATGTAGCATTGGATTTGGAGCTCAACAACTCCACCATCTAACCACCCTGTCGACATGTCATCGACAGCTTCGGAGAGGACCATAGCCGCCGTTCAGATGCAACGGATCATATTGCTGATCCACTAATAAGTGATCGGCAGGTTTCCATTGCGACTATTTCTGTTTGCATGTTTGATACCTACCAGGTTTTCAGAATTGTCGGGACAGATTTGCTGAATGCAGAGGTGCTTTCCTTGATTGAGGCTGATTGCACCGCAGAGCTAGCTGCACGTCTGTGTCGACCAGTACAGGGCACTACAGGCATTATAAGAATCTACAGTACATGATCGTTGTAGAAATGTACCACCAGTTCACAGGACAGTTGTAGTGCCGCGAACCCAGTCCTGCAGACGTCCAGCTTGAACTCTCTTGTTCTTGTTCTTGCTCTTGTTCTTGTCGGTGTGGCGATGGAATTTTCATCGGCCGGACGTTCTGTAATGTAGCAGCAATTACCTGCTAAAGCGCAGCAGGTTTCCTATCCATCGAGCTAGCAAGGTAGTTTGTTATAACTACCAAGGAAATCGCCCATTATCGCCCGTACAAGCCTGATGAGAGAGGCCACTGAATGCACATGATTGTAATTATGTACATCAGGGATCAGGGAGCCCTACACAATCATAATAATATACAAGTCATGTACAAACAAGGCCGGTCTAGGCAGCTCGAGGTAAAGTGCTCAATGCACAAATGTACAGAGCAGTATACAGCCTTTCGCCGTTGTTGTGTGTGTGTACAAGTCATGTACATTGTATATATAGGGCTCCCTGATATGATGTACAATGTACATGCACGATCACGGAGAGGTCAGTTCTGCGTATTGTCTCGTACATGATGTACATGATCTGATGGTCGTTGAGATCCACGCTGAACCTTGTGCTGAGTCAGGTCCAATGAAATAGTTTGTGTAATTGACGTGCGAGTGCGAGTAGGCCTGTCTGAGCACTAGATAACCATGATGGTGTCTGGGATGAAGGCGTCCTTCAAGACTGCGCCTGACCGCAATCGTGCAAGGAAGCATATTGTCGGAGACGCGTGTCTTGGTCACGTCGACGAAGAGTCAGACCATGGCCTGGGTCTGGGGGATGACCATTCGCTCGTACATGTACTTGCAGCAGAACTCCAATGACAAGGTTTATGCTGTAGCCGAGACGACCACTTGTTGGCTTGTGCAGCATGTGTTGACAAAAAGATTGCTTCTGCGTCTGAGCGACATTGTAGTCACTCTGATTATACTCACTAGGGTTGCAAATTTCCCCTGCGTGCGGAAGATTGCAATTGATGTCACAGTGTCTAGATCTGCGGAATGCGACTACAAATACCTGGAGATTTGGGCTACAAAGCACAAGTCAACTGCAAGTGGACGACTGGGCCACAACACAACAATGCAATGCGCATGTACTAAGCCTCATTGTAGGTCATTTTTATAGACAATGCACTGCTTCCTGTGTGTCAAGCTCAGAACCATGATGCATAGACGGAGAGCCTGGGGGTGATCGGGTAATGAGCCCAACCTGGAGCCCCGCGGCCTCAACCAGGAAGCTGTGCAAACATAAGAATCTGTTGACAAATATGTGTGCCAGGGTCCAGGGAACAAGACAAGGTGGGGACCAACGCAATGTGGACACCTCAGCTCACACTCAGCGCACACTGTCACTAGCTCTCCCCTGCAGATATCATCTAGAAAAATATGTCTCCGGAAGAGATAGTGAACAAGAGTTTTTATTTATTTCAAGGTCTATTCAATCTACACAACAGCCTACATTGAATGATAGTACCTGTATGTGTTTCAGCATGTACAGTACTGGCAACTGAAATCCGACCCCCTGAGCGGTGCGCTCACATCGCAAAGACCCAACACGGGATGGTAAAACTACGAAACAGAGACCGCTAGAATGTGAACCCACCGCTCAGGGGTCGGATTTCAGTTGCCAGCACTGTAGTACATCCATGTACTAACTGTTAACATTCAATGTAAGCTGTTATGCAGGCATACCATACCACTGTCTATGGACATAACTATGTGTACCATCATGCATGAAGTATGCCACTAGTTGTGATCCCATGCCCCCCCCTGGGCAGTGGCCTCGGCTACACCTAGGCCAGCTGTGACAGTACTCAGTAATCTCTTTCGAAATCAGGCAGCAGTAACAAAATGCCATGCATGTGGGTGATTTGCAACAGGCAGCAGTAACAAAATGCCATGCATGTAAGTGGGTGATTTGCACATCAGGGAGTAGTACAATACTACTCCCTGGTGTGAACACTGTGGGTAAAGTGGAACCAGGGGTAACTGTTACAATCTAGTTTTACTTTGATGTACATGTACGTCAACACGCATTCACCGGACAACAATTCACAGTACACTGTGTGTATGAGTGTTACAAGCCACTGATTGAAATGATTTTTAATAACTGACAGAACATTGGTCGACCAGTGTACCTTGTCAGTGGCTGTGTGTATTGTAATACCATAGCCCCGGGTGTGTAACCTGAACCGAGTGCCAAGTGCAGGCATTCTCCTAATCCCGGGCAAACACAACCGAGCCAACACTTCAGGCCAGGAAGGAATACTGCTCGCCCAATTAGTAGCGCTACCAGCAGCCTACACTGATCAACGATCGCCTTTGTCAGCGCTAGGCTTCACAGGAAATGGCGCCAACAAGATCTGCATGTTTGTACAGTGTATGTGCTCAGCACGCATTGTACCTGATCATCAGCTAGAGGCTCGGTGCTCTAGGTCCGATGACCACCACTAAGTGAACCACATACACCGAGCCTGGAGTACACACTGTTCCAGGGACATGGGGAACGACTAGCACTTGAGCGCAGAGGAAGGAAAGCTCAAATCCCGACAATGCGGGCAATTTTAGTAACTACTTCTCCGTGCATAGCCCTGAAGATGGCAAGGGTCAGATTACTTATTAGATGTAAACAGAGCAGTGCAGATTACAGGCAAAGAGTGGTGCAGCACGTAACACAGTGACCATGGTGGCGCTCACATCACAGAGACCGCCAAGGGACTTCCATGGCTCATAATTGCCCCCCCCCCCCTTCCTTTGCACAGAGAAAGCATGCGCTCGCGGTTGGAACGCAAACACGCTCACACGTGCGCAGCAAGCAGTGACGCAAGCACGCAGCGCAAAATACCGGCAAACTTAACTTCATCTTTGTGCAGAATACGCCGAGTTCAATGAAGGCCAGACGATGTGCGCTACTGGCTGGCTTACGATACATACTGGACAGCAGCCAGACGAACAGAATGAACTGTACGTGTAGCGAGAGTGATAGCTGAATACTAGATTTGCACTTCAAACGGTACCCGAAAAACAAACTACGACGTCCTGCATGTGCATGTGCGTAGAACGGAGCTGCTATATACATGAACACATCTGACAATTCATGCAGTGTACAGTACGTATACAGGCAGTGTACAGGCAGGATAAAAATGGCTGATTACTAGATCAAAGTACCTGAAAACGAACTACGACGTCCTGCATGTACATGTCGGTAGAACGGAGCTGCTATATACATGAACGCATCTGACAATTCATGCAGTGTACAGTACGTATACACTAGGTGTACAGGCAGTACGGAGGTGGATGGGAATCAGACATTGGGATACGGCACTGCACTGGGTATTGCATGGACGGGCGATGTATTGCATGGACGGGCGATGGACAGAATCCGTTTTTCTAGGCGTTCCAAAAAATGCTGAAATGCAAGCATGTGACTGGGTTTTCAATTTACATCGCAGACTATGCACGGGATGTCTGATGAGATAGCGGTCTTTGAATGATGTTTGGTCCAGCCCAGCCCTGATACGGGAGCCAGCGATGAGATAGCGGTCTTTGAATGATGTTTGGTCCAGCCCAGCCCTGATAGGGGAGCCAGCGATGAGATAGCGGTCTTTGAATGATGTTTGGTCCAGCCCAGCCCTGATACGGGAGCCAGCGTAAGATGCTCACCTGACCGTGGCCTGGATCCAAAGCAGGAAGAATCTGAAGCACCATTGCTGTGTGTGTGTGGGGGGGGGGGGGTGAGGTGGGGGTTGTTCCAATTATGTGTTCCATATTCCACGCTCGTGTGCATGTGTGCAGTGCACGCGTGGACACATACACAAACTCATATACATCCACATGCACATACACACACACACACACACACACACACACACACACACACCCTCTATCTCGTACACACACACACATACACACACACATACACACACACACACACACACACACACACACACACACACAAGCACTGCCCGCAGATCTCGAGCATCTTACTGCGGAGTCCAGTACTCGGGATAGGCGATGCGACCAACTTTCTGTGCCTTGGCCTTGGCCTCCTGCGCTCGCTTCCTTGCTTCGTCTTCATGACGCTTGCTCTTCCTATTGGCGCTGTGGTTGCTTACAGAAAGATGACCACCAGCTACTTGCTGTGCTTTAGGAACACTATGGCCATTACGCGGAGCATCGACGATTTTCTGCCTTGACCGTTGCTGCTTTCGTGACAGGCCATTATTTATCGTCGGCAGCATAGACAATTGGCCATCCATGTTTACAACTGGCAATGATAATCCACGAGCATGTGAACTGTCGAGATAAGCGCGCTCGTCCATTGCCGTCCTTATCATTCCTGGCTGGCTGCGCTGGCGTAGCTCTCCGACTGGCATTGCACCAGGAAGAGTGTGGCGGCTGCGGACTCTGCTCGACCCGAGCTTCACCTGTGGTCGTAGACCGACTCTTGCGAGGTGTGCCTCGTCGCGATCATCGTCATCTGCACGGACAGAACCATATACAATGACAGAGGTTTGATGAGTGAAAGACAATCTTCATGTTCTGGTGGGCTCCTTCCTCAGCACTGGAAAACTCCAAACACTGTCCCCACCACAATTTAAGGGAAGTTGTGTCCACCCGAGCCCGCAGACTACCATGCGGAGGTAAGGAAGCAGTGAACGTGTTTCCTTGATTTGACCATGACATGGAAAGGTGGAAACATTTCCCTACATGGTTGAATAGTGACAGTGACGAGTTGACAACCCCTTCGAACTCTTTACTTCGCGAAGCTCAGTTGTCAGTGAGTGCTGCACAAGCCCTGAGATAGTCGCAGCCAGTTTTCAGAGCAGCGTCCCAGTTCAAGCAACCATGTACATACCCACATACACATCATAGTCAGCCGGATAACTACAGTGAAACCTGTCTAATACGACCGCTCAAGGGACCTTCAAAACGTGGTCTCTGTTACCAGGTGGTCTCCTTATCCAGGGTCATTTGCCTGGAAATAGCATCCTCCTTGGTCCTGGTTGCAATGGTCTTCTGGGACAGGTGGTCGCCTTATCCGAGTGGTCGCCTTGACAGGTTTTACTGTGTAGTATCTTGGGAAATGAAGGAACCCTGCCTTGAATACTAGTTGAGGGTACACACTTGAGCACTTACATGATTTTGCAATGGAACAAGACTGACATGTTAGTAGTTTTGCTCCATCGCAGACTTGTGTCATTTGGCTCTGCCCTCACGGCATAGAACACTTTTGCAGGTATTAAGCAACATAGCTTGTATAAATGATCTCTTTTAAAGTCAAAAAGTGGACAGAAAGGCTGTGTGGTTTTCGTAACTCAGAGTCTCATGCGCCACAGTGCAATCACCTGTCTGACTGTTCTACGCTCTCTGCCTCGCCGGCATTTCGAGCACTCTTTGCGCACGAGGTGCATCCCTCATAAACCGGATCTCTTACAATCTTGGTACGGTGTGATAAACCCGTGCTTGGCATGTCACTCCACAGAACACACTTCAAGTTGTGATGTATTCATACAAGCGCAATGGCTTTCGCAGTCAAAAGTCTGCTCCATTCGCCTGGTCCGATTTCGCGTTCCGTCACGATACTGCCAGGTATTATCACAAGAAGAACAACGCTAACCAGTCAGCCAGGCATGCCATCGGAAACTCCTCAACTACACCGGTGCTCTATAAAATCCGATTGCGCAAGTATCGCATGCTGTTCAGTCCTAGACCGTCAAACATTAGCTGCACTAATGTATCATCTGACACCAGATTGCATTGAGCAGCACCATACTTGTACTTGGATGTCAACTTAACGTATATCTCTTAGCCTGTCAAACCCTATTTATAGGGGTTTCACCCACGCGTTCTATCTTGAGCTCTCTTGAGAGCGCACTTGGCTGCTATAGCAACTAGACACCTGTGCCCACGTACGTGGAATGTACAAGAGGTTCTCTTGCTGAAGACAGTGTTCATATTGTTGTTGTCTTCTTTGAGTAAGGTTAGTTTTAGTGCAGCGCCGTCGTAAAATTTCTAGACCCTATATCTAGGGCCGGTCTTCAAGCAATACGCACGCAGCATCACGTTCATCCACACAGTATCACATTCATCTGCTACTACCTTTCTCACACACACTAGAAGACACACTGGAAAGGTGTAAACTTCGCTTTTTGTACTTCCTGGCTGCTGTATTTCTTCCTGCAACCATATTAGCTACATGTATATACGTGTGTGTTTTAGTATTACATTTTTATGTGACGGCGTTCCACTGATGAAAGTCACGAGACAACATTATGGAACTTGACTTTTCACTGGTTTGAGGGAAAGACACAAACGGGAAAAGTCTGAAGAAAAAATTGACTGTCGCCACCAGGACTCGAACCAGGGACCCTCGCTTGTAGCCAGCGATGCGCTACCACTGAGCTATGGTGTAGTCGTCATCCCAGCAGAGACCGTTCAACATTTTCTTCAGACTTCGCAACTTAACTTTCTTCATTTTTTTGCTGTTGTTATGAGTGCACAATTGATCTATATCTAGGGTTTGCTTTTTTCACGATGGAGGAACAGCAACTTGAGTTAGTGGAGACGAACTCGGGCGATGAGAATGTTCCCGGCGACGACTCAGGATGATGATGTCGATGTTCCAGCAGCGTCGGATGCTCCTGAAGAAGGCAGCGAAACATCGACAGTGGCTGTCACAGCTGCCGCTCTCACCATTGCCGTTTCCGGGTCAGCTGATCGACCACTCATGGGTTTGATCAATTCTGGCTGGAAGCAGGAAATTCCGGCCAGCGCTTCTCCAGCAGTCGCGAGCCAGTCGCCAAGTCTAAGAAAATATTTGTCGGTTGAAGAGCTAATGAATCCTCTTGGCTATTCAAATTGTTTGTGACAGATAAAATGGTAATAGACATTAGGAGACTTCACTTCTCAACTCCAAAACGGTCTCTTCACTGCAATTCAAATTCAAATTAAGATTTACATTACACCAAATTTTCGGAGTTTGCGGACGATTAGAAAAGGTAATAGAGATTGCCAAGCAAACCAATCTCCACCAGAGCCAGCTAGCTGTAGAAAGTGCTGCGGAGCATGTAGGACCATGGCTACCACTGACTTCGCAAGAACTGTGCGCTTGCCTGGGTATGATTGTGTATGATTGTGTGCAACTCTCTGCATCCATACCCATACATGAAACACTATTACAAGGACAGCTTCGCTCACAGCATGCCTCAGATGCGAGAAACAATGAGTCTCACGAGGTTTGAGCAAATCAAATGGTTTTTGCATCTAGCTGACCGGACTAAGAAAGTGCCTCGGGATCTCCAAATCATGACCCACTGTACAAGGTTCCGACGGTCCTCTGCTGGACGCAGTGCAAAACAACTTGACATCTCTTTACCAACGAAGAAGAATGGTGTCCATGGATGAAATGGACACTCCATTTAAAGGCCAGTCGTCTCTGAAATCACGTGTCAAGTTCAAGCGAGCTGGAGACGGCTTCTTCACCTTTTTCAATATGTGATCCCGCGAAAGGATATGCGTATTTAACAGTGTTCCAATTCGACCCGTTCATACCCGAAATGAAGCATGGTTTGGCAAAGACGTTAAATGCCGTGCTCTGTCTTTCATCCAAGCTTCCTTCTGCTGGCTACCATATCTTTGCGGACAACCTGTACTCGAGTGTTGCTCTTGCCCAAGAGCTCTCCAACAGAGGCCACGCATACACCTGCACTGCAAGATCAAACAGACTGCGTGATCAAGTAAAGCAAGACACAGCCAAGTCGCAAGCTCGTACTGCCCAGAGGGGTGAAGTGGACGGCCCATGGAGACGTAGTCGGACTGAGCGGCTTTGACAGCAAGCCCGTCAACATGATAACAACTTGCCACCACGCCCTACAAAGTGTTGAGTACAGCCGGAAGCACCCCGCCTATGATGCTGCTTCTCGCCAGTGGACGACTATAGAAACACCTACAACACGATTAAACGCCGTCAACGACTGCAACCATTTTATGGACGGGGTCGATGTTGCAGACCAGCTCTGGACATTGTAAGTGTCCTCTCTCTTCCCCTCCCCCGTTGTATTCCTGACTTCTTCTCTGGTCTGTATTCTTGCTTTTTTCCCAATAATTATGGGTATGAATGCGTGTTTCTCATCTATTATTCATTATCTTGTGCTGAATTTCACAGCTGTGTGTAGCACAACCATCTTTAAAATTAAGCGCGGCGACACTTGCGCAATTCATAGGAGCGCTCCTGCTGACATCAATGAAAATACCAACACCAAAAAAAAACAAGTCAAACTGTGTGGACTGTGTGCCCAGATGTGAGGACCGATCAAACCCTTCGTTTAGGGGTCCTGATCCTATGTATAGGGTCCTTATGTGTAGCGTTATGTCAAACCCTTTGTAGGAGTTCCTGGTAACAGGCTAAGAGATTGTTACAAAACTCAGAGAATTAAATGACAGCTACACCATAGCTACACCATAGCTCAGTGGTTAGGACATCACTGGCCTCAACTTCGCTCAAGAAAAAGGTCCCTGGTTCAAGTCTTGGTAGTGACAATCAATTTTTCTTCAGACTTTTTCCCTTTTCCATTCCCTCAACTAATGAACATTGAACTTTTCCTTATCAAATTCAAAATATTTGCCACGTTGAAGGAGGGACCATACTTACCAATACATTCCTCCTTGTAGTTTTTCCGTGACGAACCGCTTGACGTCATCTGCGGGTTTGCTCTGAGGTCACCAATTCGCACCTCTCCAGTTGCAGCCATGCGAATCATGTTCAGGACGATGCCTTTCTCTGCACCAAGCAACCACAAACAGCGGATATTGTACTGCGCAATAAGTACTCGTATCAGGGCACCTTGCGAAGAACATGATCCAAGACAGATCACATTATATTCTAAGTACAGTGCTGGCAACTGAAATCCGACCCCCTTGCCGGCACGGTGCGTTGGCAAGGGGGTCGCCGGCAAGGGGGTCGCCGGCAAGGGGGTGCGCCGGCAAGGGGGTCGGATTTCAGTTTCCAGCAGTGTATGTTAGCTACACACAGTACCCAAGACTGGCAGAAGCAATTTTTGGTTCGACCGGCCATACCACAGCCTCATTGGCCTTTCATACGTTGTGTTTTAGATGGTGAGTGCACAGACCTCCTCAGCACTAAACACACCCTGGTGGCCAAAGAGTTGGCCTGACCAGAGTCGGACCAACCGGACTATCAACAAGCACAGTGATCATTGCTTGAAGACTACTCTAGGCGGCACTGAGGCACACATGTAACACTTGGACTGTTGCAACGGAACCATGCCTCTCTCCAGTACATGCAGAGTAAAACATGTAACAAAAGACCAGCGTGATTAGCGACCAGCCCGCTACTACCGACCACTTCGCCAGGCACGGATGGTCTCACATTCATATTATGGTTATGCGGGGCAAACCTCTAACTAAGGACCACCTGCCACTTAAGACCGCTTTCTCTGGCTCCAGGGGGTGGTCTTTAGTCACAGGTTTTACTGTGCTTGTTTCATGTGACATCCACACTGTACATAGCAAGCTAGACACTGCGCTGAGGAAGGAAAGACAGAGAATATGCTGACAATGCTGGCGTACCCGTCTCCGAAGCGCCCTTCAGCCATTCTTGCACCGTGGGAATGGAGTCCGTTTGCAGAATGCGACACAGCATCGCCAAAATCTGTACGCATTCAGGCAAAGAAGATGATGAAGACGACAGGTATACATATAACTCAATGAAGTGTAGCCTTGGGGAAATAGCCAGTCAGTTACATGTGCCACAGGTACGCACTGAACACTGGTTGATGGATTCTGCTACTTGAAGTAAAATAATTATATAGCATGTGTGTGTGGAACATTTTTAAAAACTTCAACCCATTTTTTAGGTGCTTTCCTTGTTAGGCTAACTCAGTAACTGAGCTTTTCTTTCAATGCTACTGATGTTGGGTGACATGAGACTGAGAGTGCATTCATCATTTAGCAGGCACCTGGTAACCAGTAGGGGTAAATTCTATTGGACTAGACTGAGCTGCATACAGCAACCATAAAGCAAGGATAGTCATGCAGGAGCATGTGTCTATGGGTGTGTGTGTGTGTGTGTGTGTGTGTGTGTGTGTGTGTGTGTGTGTGTGTGTGTGTGTGTGTGTGTGTGGATGGGTGCGTGCACATGGCTTCACCAGTTGTGTGGATTAGACAGTTATCTGGCGCTAGTCTTGATCGGTTTCATTCAGAATCAGATCCGCTATCGTTGCTATGGTACACAGTACATGGTGCCTGCAGGGGGGTAACCACAGATCTGGAAACTCCGGAAGTGCCGTTCAAGCATGCCTCGAGATTCCAAACTCACCTTATACTCATCCACTTCGCCGTACACCATTCTGAGAGTGTCCTCTTTGTCAAGCTCGTTGGATGCAGCCTTGTCCACTATGCCCTTTGCCATGTTTTCCAGTTCGTCCTTCCATGCGTATGTGACCGGAACTGAGACAGTGGAGGAAAGAAGACATGCAGTTCAGACCTGGGACCATGCAATGAACTTCAAATTTAGGAGTACAAGCAGTGGTGTCTGCCAAGGAATCGCTTGCTGTGACTATTACATTGTGAGCAGAAGTCACTAATTGTAACCAAACATAAGATGGGCCAACGTATGGTGCATCTACCAGCACGTCGAGACGTGCTCGAACTCCCATTTCCCCGTGTCTGTGACTGGCAGCTACCAGTAACAGTTAGCTGTGTGTGACTCAGTACTCGTACAGCATGCATTGACACCTTACACTGGTAGACGGTTCCCATCCTGTTCATCATAGTGTGCTCAGTACCTGGCATGGCATACATGCACTGCCACACGCCGGTGCAGCCATGGCCATGAGCACAGAGCACATGTGTGAGACCGCTTGAGAACACACTACTGCCACTAGTGCAGACATGCACACCACAGCGTCGGTGACTCGGAGGCTAGTTGGCAGATGTGTCCTGCCTGACGGCCGGATCAGGGAAGCCAATGTGCAGTGCATAGCACAGTAAGTTTTGGGCCCCTGGTATCAGCTTCATGTGCTGTTATTTTAACCTGATTACTTGACCCCCACCCAAAGTCGTTCCCTGAGTTCCCTTCGGGAACGGATACGATAATTTACTTACTTACTTACCCAAAGTCGTAGATGACATCATGTATAGTGCACGTGCACAAATTCATGTAATACTCCACATGTCTACCCAGTGTGTAAGGGAAGGGGTGCATTGTGGTGTTACCATGGAAACATCACGGATAGGGTACCCATGCTACCCGTGGAAAACTACCCGAACCGGATATCCGAAGAAATATGCTACCCGGCTCAGCCCTACTTTTTATCGTCTAGTCGATATCCAACTAACTTCAGAAAAATAAGTCATGTAAATGCCTTTATAAAAACTCGGATGTTGAGCCAATAGTAATATGTAAAGAGAAAAGGACCTATAAGTTACTAGTTAAGACTAACAGTCCACCAAGTAACGAGATAATATACAGTCAGATAGTGCGACAACAAGGCACAAAACTGACAAGGATATTGATACATTCGACGACCTGACACCTAGCTCCAACACATCTACAAAGCGCAAACCAACAACCTTCCAACTTGGAAGGCTCAGATGCGGAAAGTTCCAATGAGGGGAAGGGATGCGCCACGAAGATGTGCACGAGCTTTGTCCCTCGGCAACAAAGAATGTCGAACACTACGGAATGATGATGACGAGACAGCTCGTCTTCGCTTGGCTTCCCCTCTTTATGTATCATCCCGTAGTGTTCGACATTCTTTGTTGCCGAGGGGCATAGCTCGTGCACATCTTCGTGGCGCATCCCTTCCCCTCACTTGAACTTTCTGCACCTGAGCCTTCCAAGTTAGTTGGAAGGTTGTTGGTTTGCGTTTCGGAGATGTGTTGGAGCTAGGTGTCAGGTTGTCGAATATCTCGAAATCCTTGTCAGTGTTGTGCCTCGTGGTCGCACTATCTGACTGTATCGGTCTTTGTGGTACACTCTCACAACACCAACACACAGAAGTCACTGCTGAGAGCGCGGTGGCTCGGCAATGTACCACATTCTGTGGAATGAAAGCCAAAATCGGAGCGATTTTGCAGCGTCTTAGCGCAAATTGTTTCGAGTTATCCGCAAAGACACAAGCTTTCCAACTCTCTTCGGCCGTTGGAAAGCTTGTGTCTTACCTTGGTGAACTGTTAGTCACAACTGTAACTTATACAATCATATTGGTCCTTTTCTCTTTACGTAAATACCTTTATAATTATAGCCAATTTTTGGGTGGAGGGGACGTTCTATCGTAAAGCAGGGTAGCAATGACTATGACTTCCCTAGCTGTAGCCCCGATGAAGAACCGCCCAATGGCTATGCACGACTCACCAGCACCGACGGCGGGCGTCATCTTGCTGGTGTTTGCACCGTAGCGAGTGGTCGGGCCGGAGCTGACGCGTGCCGGCGGCTGCTTCAGTCGCTGGTCGCCACTCGGTGCGGACATCAGCACCCTGTGGCCCTCCGTGCGTGCGTCCTGGACCATACAGATGGGCGCGTCGCACAGGCCCTTGAAGTGCTTCACTCGAACCGGGTGCGGGTTGTTTCTGAAGAACACCATCTGGCCTTGCGGCGGCGCTGGTGTCGCGCGGTCCGGTTGACGAGCGCCACGCTCACGAGCGTACGAATAGGAATAATACGAGCCTGGAAGCGACGTTGGTCCCACCTCATGGTCCAGGATGCCACGCGGTTTGAGCGTCGTCTTGCCCAGCTCCTTACTATACATACTCATAGTCCTTCCTGGGTGTTGCTGTTCGCTGAATGTCGACTTCCACCTAACCTGAATCGTCAAACGATGCTGCTGAGAAAGTCGATTCTGTTTCTCGTCTGTCAGAGAGCTCTGCGGGTTCAATATTGGAGAGCTCGGTGGTCGGTAGGAGCTGGAAGACGGGCTCCTTACCCGTAGTTCTTCCTAGATCCTCTCTTTGGCTCCGCTGGGCACTCGAAAATCTTTGCAGCCAAAACGTTTCGCTGCTGATGCAACCTGTACTTGAGGATTGGCGATCTTGCCGCTGTCGCGCATTGCGTCTTCAACTCTTCATTCGACTTTACTGCCTGATGACCCGACGGCGACTTGAGTTGAGATTGAGAGCATGAGTTACCAGTCACGCGCGTAGGCGCTGCTAGCTGCTGCTGCTGCTTTTGGGTGGAGAAGTAACTAAACTTACTTATTCCTAAAACTTAGTAAAAGTAAAAGTAAAACAAGCAGATGAACGGACCTGGCTGGAATGTTGCAGAACGTGATCAGCTGTAGATCGACATGATCTATGAGTTTAGTTCGTATCAATAATCATCATCGCTAGCTAGACTACCGCAGTACCGGTACATCTTGACTTGAGAGTGCTAGTGGTGACTGCATCAGTGCAGTGCATGCTGCTTGGTCTACCGCATCGCATGCACGTGATAAACAAAAAAAGTAGGTGGAGAGTATCAAAACTGACAAGTGACATACCCACGGCCACCACACGACAGCGTTCTCGAGTCATACCTCCATACCGGTTCCCTCGTACTGTCGTAGATCTACTCGCACTCGTAAGTCGTAGTCATCATCATTATCATCAAGAGTACATAACCCCCCAGAGTGTGCAACTCCACTATGGGTGCTGTCCCGACAGAATTTCAAGTTGACGTCATTTTGATGATGCAATGCGCACTGTACACAGATTATCAGACGAATCCGGAACCTGTGGTTGACCGAAGCCGATCGATCCTGTACAAATTATTACAAAGAAAAACGTGTGATGCGTTGACACCCGTACACATGTTGTAAATCACTGGTGCAAGGAGCATTGCGTCATAAATAATGACGTCAACTTGAAATTCTGTCGGGACAGCAGGGTATGTGGGAGTTGCACACTCTTGGGGGGTTATGTACTCTTGTTATCATGCATCTGGACTCTGGGAGACTGACTCTGTAGTCTGCGGCGTCCGCAGGTAACATCGCCATGGATACATGTACCTGGATACAGGCCAAGGCTAGGACAACGGCGCGGCAAGGACTCATGAGTCATCATGTCATGACACTAACTCGGGTTTCCTGTACTCTTGAGTCTTGTCTTGCAGCTTGATTGATGACTTTTCTTGACTTGAGTCTAGTCATCATGGTCATCAGGTCATGGTGGAAGATCTACACCAGCTGCGCAGTCCATGGTACACGGTGGCATAACCACAGTAACCCTGCCAACGAGAATCCAAATGAAACGAAATCCCCTCTTCAAGTAATTAGTTACCATGGTTACTTCAAGGCTCTTTCTTGTCTTGACTGATTGAATGGACCCGAAGGGCCGAAAGGCCAAACAGCAAACTCCAAGGCAGCACACCACTATCAGACTATTATTGAAGAGAGTCTGTAGCTAGCCGAAGCTGCTCAGTTGTTTTTCTACTGAAGCAAATGACCAGCACTGCATTGTAGTCGATAAATGAAGGGGACGAGGTAGTGTAGACAATAAGAATAACACAACTTGGCCAGAGGAAAGTCAGCGAACGAAGTTTCCAGTGTTAGTACAACGTAACGTTCGCCATGTACTGCAAGTAATCGCTACGTAGCGCAGTATCATACCCTCAGCTAGAGCACATTCTCAGTCAACAACCGACTACAATACTAGTAGACTGCAGCGGCGGTAAGCAGCTGTTCTACAGATGGCCAAGCCGGTGTCCAGCGAATACTGGAGCTCTGGATTATTCGACTTCACGGACAATGTGTCAATCTGTAAGAACTTCAGCGCAGTGTGTGTGTGTGTGTGGGGGGGGGGGGGGGGTCATCCTCACATATCTAGTACGACAATCACTAAAATGATATTCACTTTCTGCTGGTAAGATAAAGATGGCACTAGAATGCCACATTGTACACTGGTAGCCACTGCTGTAAATACCAGCTCTGCCAGGACAGCAGCTACCTCAGGCCATGTACAGAATACAACTGCGGATCCTAAGATCTCTTAAGTTCATTCCAGCTTAGCCAGAACTGAATAGCTGTCATGTACATGGCATTGCATATGGTTTCCAGTAGTATATTTGCAAAATTTAGGGGGTCCCAGCCCCCCCCCCCCCCCCCGGATCCGCCCCTGGAAAAGTGGTGGTAAGCGAAACCCGACCCGGCAAATAGCAACATGGACTGGTGTGTGTGTGTGTATGTGTGTATACGTGCACCCCGGCGGTGGCAGGTACGTTTGGGCTCTTCTGCTACCCACTGCTGCTGGACGACACGGCTCGCAACCTGGGCGAGAAGAAGTGCTCGTGCTGTGCCGTGCCGTTCTGCATACCAATCACGTGCTGCCTGGCGCACATGGCCACACGGACGGCGATACGCAACACATACAACATCCAGGTGAGCTGAAGTACTGTTGCTGGGAACAAGTCTGGGGCCAGATACATTTGAAGGGGTTCCCGGCTATTTGGTTCTGCATGCAAAAAATGCGATGATTTTGGGAGCGCATTCGTGAAATCACCATTGTACGGCGTGCAGATTGTTCCAGTGTGCATGTAGTTCCAGTTGTTTCATGTCCATGTACTTCACTGCAGTGTGTGTATAAGTATGTGCAATACATTATAAGCAAGCAGAATGCTCCACCTCAGTGTTACATAATTGCACGGATCAGTCAAAGTTATGCGACACGATTTATGTTGGTTCTTGGACCTTACAGCCATACAGAAGACTCCAACTGGACTAAATGATTTCCCTGGTTCTGCGAAGCTTGTGTGCAATTCCACGGTATTTACTATTTATTCCCGTAGCTATGCAGAAGACGTTACTTCAGTAACGTCTGGCGCTAGCCAGGGTCCACACAGCTTTAATTTGGTGTTTGTTTGTTTGTTTGTGTCACGCCTGGCGCTATCCCGTATCTGTCCCGTACTGTACCGTACCAGCAAAGACAGCTGGCCACAATATTTTTGTTTGTTTGTGCCATCGACATGCCTGGCGCTATCCCGTACCTGTCCCGTACCATCAAGAGTACGGTACCATCAAGAGAATGAGTATATATGCAAAGTGTATCGGGGGAATGCATTCAGTGCAGTAACATTTTGTGTGGATTTGTGTGCGAGGCCGAGATCCCACTAGCTGGCTGGCTGGGCCGCCTGTCAACCAGCCCGGGAATCGCATGTAGGCCGATAGCATAATAATTATAACGTATATACAGTCATGTAGATGTATAGCAGGGTGTCATATTATGTAAACGACTCCCTGCTGTATGGGGAGATTTTCTGGAAAGAAATACGAAGTAGGGAGACGAGTAAATGCAACCAGAATGGATGTTAGTTGCCGTCAGTATAATAATAAGAAGAAGAAGAACGCCCGTGATCGGCAGAGTCAGCGCCGGTCCCAGGAAACGTCAGGACAGACATCCCGTCGACTCCAGAACGCCCGTGATCGGCAGAGTCAGCGCCGGTCCCATAGCTATGCAGAAGACGTTACTTCAGTATCTCATTGAAACGTTTTTGCAATACAATGATGTAGCTAATCAAAGGAAAAAAGCATTTCCATCAGTTCTAACAACATACACGATGAGCTAGGAAACAAAGCATACAGTAAGATCGGGCGCCGAAGAACGCAGGGGCTCGAGCGCAGCCTAGGAAAGTTCTTAAATTTTTGATTCTAGCCAGACCGTTCTTATTCACACGCGCGCGGCGAGTCGAGTGACGTCATGACGTTTGTCATGTACATGTACATGACACGTAGTGCAATGTAGTACAGGTCGTCCCTCGTTAATACATAATCTCTGGGACTTGACAAATGTTATGTATTAACGGGGTTTATGTACTAAACGAAAGTTTTGTTTTTTCACGGCTGAGCGTAGCGAAAGAGTGCAAAAAACGTATTTTTCACTCACAAATATTTTCGTGCATTTGCTCTTGTTCTGCGCAACTCCGTTGAACCTGCCATCGTGGTCTTTGTTTTTCCTCGTGGTAGTTGAAGTTTTCAAGTGCTCCAGTTTTTAGTTTCCACTCGCAGCCACACAACACCACAACTCATCTTATTATTTTTTCAGAGTAGATCTACAGTGTAATAGTCCAGAAGAAAGAAACGACAGTGCCGTGCACCGTCTATAATGAATCGGTCCAGCCTACAAAAGGTCCACATCGCCTGATTGGGCCTGCAAGCTGATGTACCAGTAACCTGACGTTTTTGGGAGCTGCAGATCGATCTGCGAAAGGCGGAAACAGCTAAAACGAGCTGAGCGCAATCCGCCACACACAAGCAAGTAAGTTTGGTACCAGGCGGAGCAGAGTCACCGTTGACAGCTACACAAATCAGGGCGTTTCGGACGACCAGCAAAGATTGTGGAAGTAAAATTTAGTTGACAAAACAATTGGTCACTCAGTTCCGACATGTCGAGTCGACACCTACCTCTACCGCAACCATACCCCTCAAAGGCTTCAGCGAGTCCTTGAGAGTTTTCCGTGGGCGCAGTGATGAGATCGAGAGTCTACGGAGTCGGTGATGAGCGCTGTCGATCACAACATCGTGTCCCAAATGGTGGCGAAGCTCCTGGCAGAGCTGACACCGCAGTCATACTGAAGTAGTTGTCTGATATCGTGGCGAAGGGCAGCAAGTTCGTAGCTGTCTGTTGACAACACCAACCGGAGTTCACTGGGACAGCCAGCCAGTTTTCGCACCGCACATGGACCGGAGAGAAAAGCAAGCCAGTACCTAGGCCGTGGAACAGACACTGGATCACCCACGACTGGACATGATGCAAGCGATTGGGAACGGCCTTGTGTGGTGTATAAATGGGTAACCCGGCTTGCCATTATTTAGTGTGTATGTGAGTGATGACGGAGTGAGTAAGAAGCCCGATGGGCAGTGATGACACATGATTGCGTAGGGCTTGATGCAATAATCACGGAGAAGCCCAATGGGCAGTGAGGACACAATATTGTGTATGGCTTGATGCCATGATGAGGGAGAAGCCCGATGGGCCGTGATGACACATGATTGTGTATGGCTAGATGCCATGATGAGGGGGAGGGAGAAGCCCGATGGGCAGTGATGAGTATGGCTTGGTGCCATGATGAGGGAGAAGCCCGATGGGCAGTGATGACACATGGTTGTGTATGGCTTGATGCCATGATGAGGGAGAAGCCCGATGGGCAGTGATGACACATGGTTGTGTATGGCTTAATGCCATGATGAGAGAGAAGCCCGATGGGCAGTGATGACACATGGTTGTGTATGGCTTGATGCCATGATGAGGGAGAAGCCCGATGGGCAGTGATGGCACATGGTTGTGTATGGCTTGATGCTATGATGAGAGAGAAGCCCGATGGTCAGTGATGACACATGATGGTGTATGACTTGATGAACGATCATGTGGTTATGAATGATTACAGATATGTTGAAACCGAGTGAGAGAGAGAGAGAGAGAGAGAGAGAGAGAGAGAGAGAGAGAGAGAGTGAGATTTACATAGAGGTATGTGGGTTTTTATGTCTCGGTACCGGCTTTTCACCCCGTTTTTTGTCGGGGCACGCGGAGGAGTGTACGTGCACTGGCAGTACGTGTGTGTACAGTATGTGTGTGTACAGTACGTGTGTGTGTGTGTACAGTACGTGTGTGTGCAGTACGTGTGGGTACAGTGAGTGTGTGTACAGTACGTGTGTGTGTGTGTGTACAGTACGTGTGTGTGTGTGTGTGTACAGTGAATGTGTGTGTGTGTGTGTGTACAGTGAATGTGCGTAAGGGTGCATGTGTGTGCAGTAAATGTGTGAGGGGCGGACGTGTGCATTCGATACAGGATTCCTTCTCTTGCAGGAACTGAACGGACGTCCAGCCCAATTACGGAAGTACAGCACCTCACATTGAATTTACTGGCAGTACTACTCCAGGATGTAGCACTCGCAACCTAGCACGGGAACTTTCGGGCATTTCGCAGAGATTTTGTCTGCTCGGAGTGCACTGCTGATCATGTTATCCTGGCTGATGTGTGCTCGCCCGGTTGCCACCGGACCCAACCTGGCCTACTAGTGAGCATCCCAGGGCAGGTCTGGCCGGGTCTCCATAATGTTCGTAGTAACTATACACTTGGCCACAGATGGTGGTCACAGTGCCCAAGACTTTGGCACACTGGCGCTATGCGCCAAACTGCTCGTTTTCCTTGTCCAAATCTATGTGTGCTGCTCTCCTATCGGCCTCACTATCCTTTACATCGTGAGTGTGATTGCTCTGGTAGACCACTACCCCATGTACTGAACAGTCGCTTTGTGAGTGAAAAGTTTTGTTTTTTCACGGCTGAGCGTAGCGAAAGAGTGCAAAAAACGTATTTTTCACTCACAAATATTTTCGTGCATTTGCTCTTGTTCTGCGCAACTCCGTTGAACCTGCCATCGTGGTCTTTGTTTTTCCTCGTGGTAGTTGAAGTTGCCCGCCCACCCACCCTGGTTTCATGGGAGTCGTCCGCTGTTCTTCTTGACAATCTATGCCTATGTGTGTGGCTTATGATTATGACATACACCGGTTATTACATACCATTTCTTGCTATCTCTATTCTTGGGTCTGACTGGCAGCGGGGCAGGAATTAATGAAAATAGAAAGGTTTTTTGGCCGAAAGGCGTGTTTTTCCTCTAGCCCGGTTGAGCGGTCGCGGCTAGGAATGTAGGGAGTCATTGTTTTTCAGGCGCTCCCCTGCTGCCCAGTCACCCATGCTCACCACTGGCCATGCTGTTTCACTTGATTTCACGGCCTTTTCTCCCGCTTGCTGGCGGTTCTTTGATGGATTTAGATGTTTTTCGGCTATTTATCTATTCTGTGGCTGCGAGTGTGGTTTTTTGCTTCTACTCATTTCTGGAAAACCACCACGGTGGTGAGTGTGATTGCTCTGGTAGACCACTTGAGTGTGATTGCTCTGGTAGACCACTACCCCATGTACTGAACAGTCGCTTTGTGAGTGAAAAGTGTACATAACTTGCTTGTGTACCGGAATTTTTCACTTTTTTCAACTTTTCTGAGTGTTTCTTGCTACCTCGACTAGGCAGCGAGATATTCTTGATTCCCTCCATATAACATAAAAATTATGTTATAACAGTCACAGTTAGCGAAGATTCTACAGTTTACATGATACATGCCCAGCCGCGCCTGTACAGTCACTCGGAAAAAACAGAGCTTTGTCAGTTTGTGATGTGCGCTCTGGTTTCTGAGTTAATTGCGTCCACAAGTAGAAACTAGAACACGATGTGCCTCCACTGGAAGGCCAAAAGACCAACAAATTATGTACTATTGAGGTAGATGACATGCGGGTACGGAGAAATGTTATGTACTAACGGGGTTTATGTACTAACGAATTATGTACTAACTGACAAAATTTGTATGGAAGTGACCACATTTCGTCCGGGACTTGAGATTTCTTATGTATTAACGGGGTTTATGTACTAACCGGACTCGTATTAACGGGGGACGACCTGTACTTCTAAACTAGTGGGTGTCGTAAATGGGAATGACTGTACATGTAGCAGTTACTGTTTACACGTGTACATGACATGTACTCACCTCCCATACATGTACAATGTAGATCTACGTACAATGTAGATCTAGTATTCTTAAATCTGATAATTCTAGCCCGGGCTGTTCTTAAATTTTGCCGGTTTTCCAGCCTGGGTGTTCTTCGGCGAGGTGTTCTTCGGCGCCCGATCTTACTGTAGCGCAGGGCCCTGAGCTTCCAAGCTCTCTCGTTTGAAATTGTACAGTGTATGCTATGACTGTGTGTGTGTGTATTATGTGTGTGTGTGTGTGTGTGTGTGTGTGTGTGTGTGTGTGTGTGTGTGTGTGTGTGTGTGTGTGTGTGTGTGTGTGTGTGTGTGTGTGTGTGTGTGTATGTGTGTGTGTGTGTGATGTGTGGGTGTGATGTGTGGGTTCACTTAACTGCAGGGAAGCATCATGTCGGACATGTGGTCGATCACCTGCTGCCCGCTGTGTGCCGCATGCCAGGAAGCGCGACAGGTGCGCCAACCGGTGCCCATGGTCGTAACATCACAACCAGCAACCACGGCGCAGATGCAACGGAGATAGATAGCCACACGGCAAAACACAACGGCGACACGACAATACTAAGTGATGCGTTGATCCCCATTGAGTGAGCATGAGGTGGAGCACACCTCATTGTGTATGGTATGGCATGCAAGCTGGCTTCGCAACCTCATCACAACATCAGACTTGGACAAATGCTGTACACGTCAGATATTATAATGTAGAACAGTGTGATAATATCTGGAAGTGTGCTCCAGCTGCTATCCGTGATGGTGCTCAGCTTGGCTCAGCTCGGCACACTATTGATGCCCAGTTCAGAATGTTATGGACCTGCTACGGGGTGCACGTGCCATCTGAGCTCCTGGATCAGCTACGGGTCGCATCACGCATCTGAGCTCCTGGACCTGCTACGGAGTAAATGAGTCCATCTGAGCTCCTGGACCGGCTACGGGGTACATGAGTCCAGTCCATCTGTGCTCCTGGACCTGCTACGGGGTAAATGAGTCCATCTGAGCTCCTGGACCTGCTACGGGGTACATGCGTCCATCTGAGCTCCAATCGTGCCACTGGGTGTCATAACGAACATGCTACATGACACACCAGCACATGGTAACCAGTGCTAACACCACCGCCACCGCCACCCCCAACCAGATTGGGATGAATCATGTAAACAGCCATGTGAGAAGGTAGCGCTTGCAGGGAATCGCCCACCAGAATGGCAACATGCAAATCGTTCAGGAAGGCCTGTGAAGGCTGCTTGCCGACAGTGCAATGTCACTCAATAACCAAGTTCAGCTAGTGTTGCGTCTTGCTGGTTTCTATATGCACGGCCTCACTGTCGAATATCATAATATCCTGCTCAGCTTTCATGAGTTTTCCTGTGGTGTTTCTCTTGCTGGTGTACAAAATTCAATTCAATTTCAGGCTTCAATAATATTCAATTAATGTGATGAATACTAATAGTATCAGTGAGGCGGACATTACGACAAAAAAAAAACAGAATAATTATGTTGAATCTACTTTCATGTAGATTCACCATATCCTTGGGTTTTTTTCATAATGTTCGCCTCACTGATATTATTCATCGCATGAATAAAACTATTGTCTCCGCGTTGCTTACTCATTTACCTCATTAATAATACCAGTAGTGAACTTGAAGTTTGTGTTATCGCTGGCTACTTGCACGTGTCATTCACTTGATCAGGACTTCAAACTTGAGTGACAAATCTCGTGAGAGTACTGTAGTTGTCAGGGAGGTGTTTGTGAGTGAGTCTAGTATACACTACGGTCAACTTCGCTAATAACGACTGCGGATATAACGACAATTCGCGAATAACGACAGAATGTCCATGCCCAGAGCAAAGTTCCATCCAACTGTAATACATATAATGAGACTTCGGGTATAACGACACTTCGCGAATAACGACACTTTTTTGATGCCCCGCCGAGTGTCGTTATAAACGAAGTTGACTGTATACAGTGTGTACACAATACGCCATGCTCAGTGCTTTCCTGTCATGCGTGTACATTCTCGGTGCATCCCGGTCTGCAACGCTGCATGGCCACGGGGCAGTAGTTTGTGGGCATTTGGCAATCGATGAGAAAGTGTCGGCGGACGTACCCTGCATGCGCCTTGTCAGGTTTATGCACTGCATACGCCAGAATTCTAGAAGTGCCAGCGAACCAGACATTATTACTGTACTGGTTTGTATATAATTTGTTCCCTGATTAAATCTGTCCCTGCGGGAATTTGCGGAAAAAACTCTCGAAAACTTGCGCAAGAAATTGCGGCAGAAAACAACAAAAAATGCGACGAAAAGTGCGGAACGATGCAGAACTTGCCAGGAATTCGCGGAATTATTTACAGAAAATTGCAGATTTGGGCCAAATCACGCAATTTGTTGCATCGTATATCTACTCGGGAGTAGTACGAGTGCAAATAACCTACAGGATCATGGAAAGCACTGCGTGAAAAGTGCAGAAAATGTGAGATATAGTGCAGAAAACAACAAAAAACGCGGGAAATCCCGGATTTTGCTGAAAATCGCGGGTTTGGGCGAAAATCGCGAAATTTGTTGCATCCGTGGAATCGCGATTTCCTGGAGGGACAGCTAAATGCACTGCCAGTCTGCCATGCCATGCAGAAGGGGCAGTTGAAATTAGGGCCGAGCCGCGTAGCATTTTCTTCGGGTATCGGGTTCGGGTAGCACGGGTACCCGATCGGGAAATGTTTCCATGTTCACACCACAATGCACCCTTCCCTTACACACTGGGTCGACATGCGGAGTATTACATGAACTATTTGCACACGTGCATTGCACATGATGTCATCTGCGACTTCGGGTTTTCGGGTACTATTAGAGAGGTTAAGTTGCACGTTTTTTGCCCTTTTTCAAAACGCGGTGCAAATCTCCCGTTACGTGTAATTTTTAGAGGTTAAGTTACACGTGCGACGTGACGTGAAATTTTTCCTGGCAGGATTCGGGTTTAGTTCGCACATCAAATTTTCCAACAAACTCGATACAACTCCGGAAACTCACACAAATTCGATCGGGATAACCAAGCGAAACTTCCAAAAACCCACGTCATGAACTTACGTGCGGGACAGTCAACTCACGTAAAACACGTCAAATTTTACGTGAGTTTTTTGACTTTTCGACGTAAAAGTGCACGGACGTAAGAATTTTACGTGAAACTTAACCTCTCTATCCTCTACCTGTCTACCCGAGGTCCTCACGGTTAGCACAGGTACCTGACTACCCTTGCACACCACTAGTTGAAATCCAGGCAGGAGCCTACAAAAAATGTTGTGGCAAAAGTAGTCTTTTCGGCAGAAAAAATCGCATCAAAAAAAGATCGATTGGCATAAAAGTCGTTACTTGCATGCAATCAGTATGTCAAGCAACGACTTTTATGCCGTGCCTTGTGTGTTCCGAGTTACGGGAAGTTCCCAGTTATAGGTAGTACCCGGTGCAAGCGTGCCCGGACAAGGGGAGTTCTTTGATAACAATAATCTCTGAAGAGCAAGGACATGCACTTGAGAACTGGACATGTATGCTCTGTACAGATAATAAGACATTTCGTATGCCGTTGCCCGTTGGCAAACGTTGGCAAATAATATTATTACAAAATAAAAAACCGGGCATGGATGCAAATGCGTTAGCAGTGCAAATCGTGTATAGGACATATGACTCTCTCTCTCCCTCTCCCTTTCTTTCTCTACCTACCTGAATTGGGTGTTCATGTACGTGTTGCATAATGTCAGTAATAAGATCGGAATCAGTAGTATCTTTATAAAAGCTATGCGACGACGGTTGTTCACAGCATGAATAATTCTAGAATAGAAGAGACAGCACAAATGAAGTACAACGCATGGTTAAAAGGCAGTCAATGGGACAATGGTGGTTACGGACAAGACAGGAAAGGCACTACGATAACGAGCCTATTAACGGCACAAGGACACTTCCGCCAACGAGTGAAGTCCCACTTGTCTCTTAGGGCAGCAAAACCAGGCGAGTGAAGTTCCACTTGCAGAGCTTAGGGTAGCAAGGCCAGACAGACGGCAGACATGACGAAGAGAAGCAGTTATGGAGGAGGCGAGTGGGCTACATACGAAACGGCGAACGTTGCTCCGGGACGCGGGAGTTCTCGCCCCTTGCAGCCAGCTTGTAGCGCACGAGAAAAGTGGCGACTGCATCAGCAACCTGAACACAACACCATCGCATGGCACATCGTCACGGCATCCTGAAAGGAATTCATCGGCCGAGTCCTTGATCGACTTACTACACATTGGAGTCACTTTTTCACAGGCATAATCAACACCACGCACACAGTGACCTAGAGCTCTGTGCAGTTGCACACCGTAGTTTACAGGTTTATATAAGCCAACCCCTGTTATAAGTCAATCCCCAATACACGGGGCCTCGACTTGCTGGTTCAATATCAATACGATCGATAGTGGTAAATCCTCGGTCGTAAATCGACTAACTCTGTTTAATTCGGTGTTGAGGCAATATAAGGTCGACGTATAACGGGAAAAGCACACACAGTAGGCTTGATATTAGTACAGTGAAACCGGTCTAAGACGATCGCTAAAGGGACCTCCAAAACGTGGTCTATGTTACCACGTGGTCTCCTTATACAGGGTCATTTGACTGGAAATAGCATGCCTGGGTCCTGATTTCAGTGGTCTTCTTGGACAGGTGGTCACCTGATCTGAGTGGTCGCCTTGACAGGTTTTACTCTACCAGACTGCAGTAGTGACATCATGCAGCATGCTGAGCAAAGCACACCTCTCACCTTATCTGGAGCATCCTCATGAACGCAATGCCCAACCTCGGGTAACACTTGCATCTGAAACTTCCCTGCAACACACCATCGCAACACATGGCCACAAGAAAGTCGTCAAGAAAGAAACAGACCGAGACAACTGAATAACTACTGGGATTTTTTCGGAGTATAAGCCGCACAGTGCGACTTATACTCCGGAAAATACGGTAGTCTCCAACCATGCATTACAAGGCATCAGGACCCCTTCTGCCTCTCTGCATGCGCTCACATGTATAGCGGCTGTATATCTATGGACAGACTGCCTTTCCCTTGCTGACATAGCCCCCCCCCCCTCAGTTTGTTCTCAAATGCCTCGACATCGTCATCAGATAACATACTTCGGTGAAGTACATGCAAATGTTGGTCTTAGCATATAGGTGGTTGCGAGCAATAGCAACCCTACAGCAAGGCAGGAGTCATTCGTGTCAGAAGGCAAACGAAATAAGCTGCACTGGTTGCGATCGAAAATCATACAAGTACATGTTCACAGCATGCGCTGCATACCGGTATCTGGAGTATAGAGCACAGTCACACAGGATACCGGTACTGATCCTGAGACAATGTGAGCACTTGCACAGCGCAGTGCACACTATACTGCAGAAACCATGGTAACCACGGTAACCATGGTGCATCATACCTTGCATGTGGGCTATGGTCATCTCCTTATCAAGACGGTCGACACCTGAACAAGGAAGGAGACAGGCAGGCAGGGGTAGCACACATTGGGGGTCCATTTACACAAGTGATTTCGCCTGGCATTTCACCATGTGTGCTGGCTGGGTACCTTTCGCAGCTGAATGTTTATAAAATTTTGAACATGATCAGCTGGGCAAAAAACATAGTATGAAAATGCCATACAAATACTCCACCCCACCCCGGCCAGGGAGGCCAGCTTCAGTACAATTTCAGGGTATGCACAATTGAATGCATAAAAAGTCGACTCAAACTGCCCAAAATGACTGGTTTCAGATTGGCTTGCAGGATACGAGCTTTTTGGATGAGCAAGATGAAACCTTCTACAGAGGTGGATTGATGAGACTGGAGCATCACTGGGGGAAGTACATTGATAAGAAGTAAGATTATGTTGAAAATAAAAGAAAGGGAACGGTGATACTGTTTGTTTTTTTGCGGATCGGGCCGGAACCCCCCCCCCCCCCCCCCTCTCCCGTACTTTTCAACCGAGTACAACTTAGTTACTACCGTGTGCTACAACTCTGTGACTGAACTGACTTTGACGGCAGCTACCCGGCACTCAGGTAACTCGTATAATAAGTGGGCCTTCAGCCTATTGCTAGGGTGATGTAGAACATCTTGAACTATAACAGTTACCAACACATGCGGTGCTGGGACAATGCGGCGAGCTGCGGCGAGTCTAAGCTGCACGCCAAAAGGCAGCAATGTTAACAAGGCTGCTTCGTCGTCAAAAAGAGTTCCACGGGCACAAAGGCCAATCATCTAACGACTTCTGCTGCGTACAACACACCAGTATCGTGACATCTTCATTCCTCCCTGAATACTGAACACATAAAATGAGATAACGACAGAAGAGAACAGTGATGCCCGATGCGTTGTCTGGGTTACCTTAGCCATGCTATGTGCATGAAACGGAACATTACTTACAACTTACAACTATGATTTAAGTTATTTAACCGGTTGTCACTGTTCTCATCTGCCTTTGTGGTATTGCTCCATCCTTGTGGTGTTGAGCACTCTAGCAGCAATCTGGGAATTCCCCCACTATTGTGATGAGATACTACAGAAAGACAGTCGGCAGAATAAGTGTGCTCACCTGCGAGGAGAAGGAAGGATGGCACACCCGAGTCGAGGAAATACGATGACAGTCCCTTGAACCAGCCTGTTCGACACACAGAACACGCCAGGCAACTGTTGTGAGCATATTTGGCTGCCAGAAAACACTGGCACGTGATGCCTTGCTGTGTGCGTGCGTGAGTGAGTGAGTGAGTGATCCTCAACACGGCAATATCGTATTTTCTGGCAAACTGGTGCATAAGGTAGATCCTTCATAGGCGCAATATCACATCCCAGTTCATGAATCTTAAACTATCTTTGTACCAAATGAATGCTCTGGTTGGATATAAGCCGCAGGGTGGGTTTATGGCCTATATTGTGAAGTAAAAAGTACTAAAAACTAAGAAGCGTGATTTACCTTGCCAATATGGTTCAGTTTTGGTCAAGTCGATTCGCCACACATAGCTACTAGGCGGAACACTCTGCAGGTCGCCAACAAACACACACACACACACACACGCACGCATGCACGCACGCACGCACGCGCACACACACACACACACACAGCACAGCATAACTAGTTATAACCGCAAGCTCATGCACGCCTTGGTAATTCACATTGCAAGGTTTGCTATGTCAATGATGACTGCTGCTTTTCTGTCATGGTCTCTGACTCCCTCCTGGATACATGAGAGAGCGAGTGAGGGAGAGTGTGAATAAGAGAGAGAGAGAGAGAGAGAGAGAGAGAGAGAGTGTGAATAAGAGAGAGAGAGAGAGAGAGAGAGAAATAGAGAGAGGAATAGAGAGAGGGAGAGAGAGAGAGTGCGTCCCCTCTACCCAGAAGAGGAAGGAGAGTAAAGGTGAATTGCTAAAAGGATAAACCCTACACTTACCCTCCCCACTGCCCGTCTAATATCTACCCGCATGCGTCCCTCTGCAGTCATAAGTAAAAAAGCAAAGACACTTTTCTAGACCACAGTCTCCGTGTACCTGAGGTAGGATGTCTGGAGGCGGCATGGACCCCTCATTGGCAGACGCTGTGTCAGAGACTGCATCCTCTGACGGTGACGGTGATGAACTGGACGCCATGTCTTCATCAGATGAGGCAGCTTCGCTGGCACCGGTTTCGGAAATTCCCTGCAGCGGCTGTCCTGCTCGCTCAACTGGCGATCGGGCTTCTGCAGTGGGCTCCGCTTGCGTGGCATGACCTCCGGTTGATGCAGGACTGTTGTGAGCAGGTAGACACACCGCCAGTCACAACACATTGCCAAATAATACCATACACACAGCGCCATACACACAACGCCATACACACAAACACCACTCAGCAGCAAGCGCCGCTGAGCGGGGAAGACCGGAAAAGAGCAGAAGAACCGCTGCCTACAAGACATTCAGTGTAGCTATGCATGAACAGCAACTGTACAGGTCAAGGGTGTGTACATAGTGTATTACAGTACATGTACACGTAATACATTGGATGTACAGATGGACACAGCTTATATGCTGGCAGATGCCAAAGCACAGTTTTGAGCCACAACCCACTGGTGTATGGGCACAATAAATACTGAGTACCTTAGACGAGGAGGCATAGATATTCTCGCAGACTCAGCGTTTCGAATCTGTCCAGAGCGACACCTGAGAGAAAGAAAGAGAGAGAGAGAGAGAGAGAGAGAGAGAGAGAGAGAGAGAGAGAGAGAGAGAGAGAGAGAGAGAGAGAGAGAGAGAGAGAGAGAGAAAGAGAGAGAGAGAGAGAAGCATGATTGCATCACTTAAAACACAGACAGTCATATCACAGCATACAGTACTGCCGGCGCCGAAGAACGAAGTGCCGAAGAACGAGCAGCCTAGAATTTCACGAAGCACAGCATACCAATGTATACGGGGTGACTCAACTGTGCATAGACTGTAATGCATGAAAAATAAGAACGGTCTAGGCTAGGAGGCTAACCCCCAATTCTTCGGCGACCGACAGTAGTGTACAACATGTAGAAGTAGGAGCTCTATGTCATCGAGAAGGAGTTTTCAGATGCGGTAACCAGGGCCTGTGAAGCGATCCTGGCCAACACCCAACAACCACGCCACATCAGAACTATGTGCAGCTTGCCAGCCACCGACGAGGAATACAACATGATGAAACGTAAGATGACTGTGTGGTTGAGTGGACTCCAGCAAACACCCCAACTCTTGGCTACCAGGGTGAAAGCAAAGTGAATCCAAGAAGGAGGACACATGCCACGATGAATGACAAGCCTGACACCGACAAGAACGCAGGCAGATTCGTCTAAGATGTTAGTGATGTGTTGCGAAAAACTGACGAGTAGAGGCTGCCAAAGGCCTTTGATGCAGCAGCTATGCGGTTGATTAGTAGAGGCTGCCAAAGGCCTTTGATGCAGCAGCTATGCGGTTGACTAGTAGAGGCTGCCAAAGGCCTTAGATGCAGCAGCTATGCGGTTGACTAGTAGAGGCTGCCAAAGGCCTTAGATGCAGCAGCTATGCGGTTGACTAGTAGAGGCTGCCAAAGGCCTTAGATGCAGCAGCCATGCGGTTGACTAGTAGAGGCTGCCAAAGGCCTTTGATGCAGCAGCTATGCGGTTGACTAGTAGAGGCTGCCAAAGGCCTTTGATGCAGCAGCTATGCGGTTGACTAGTAGAGGCTGCCAAAGGCCTTTGATGCAGCAGCTATGTGGTTGACTAGTAGAGGCTGCCAAAGGCCTTAGATGCAGCAGCTATGCGGTTGACTAGTAGAGGCTGCCAAAGGCCTTTGATGCAGCAGCTATGCGGTTGACTAATAGAGGCTGCCAAAGGCCTTTGATGCAGCAGCTATGCGGTTGACTAGTAGAGGCTGCCAAAGGCCTTTGATGCAGCAGCTATGCGGTTGACTAGTAGAGGCTGCCAAAGGCCTTTGATGCAGCAGCTATGCGGTTGCAGATTGCGACAAGTGACTACTGTAAGACGTGTGTTATTATAACGAGTCTCAAATTCAACTATTGTCCAAAATCCATAGGTTAACGAGAAGATACGTTAACGATCCTGCAGTCTTCAGGCATACACGCACATAAGACATAACACATATGAGGCATAACAGCCTCAACACAACTTATTATAACGAAGAAATGTCACTCGTTAAAAACTTAATAAAAAGTTAGATTTACTTCCTCGTTATATTTATATGTCACAGTACCTAATCTGCGGATAGAACTGGTTCGTCCTTTGTGGACTCATCAGCGCAGGCTGCCACAGCACAGAGAAATGTTATGTCGTGTTATGTCACAGTACCTAACATAAATCCTTACATGGGCGGAAAGACAAACACAGCACACAGGAACAGGCAGACTTACGCCCACTCAATAGCGCCTTGCAGCGAGGCAAACTTCTTTGGCTGGCTGCGAAGAAATGCCTGCATGGCCGACAGAGCGTCCATTGCCGTACCTATCACAAGGGGAAAATACATTGTGCAGAGAATGCATAGCCATGCCCATCAGAAGGGGAAAATACATTAAGAACTCAGATGGTGAGCCAAGGAAAAAAATTGTAACATGGAAACTGTGGAATGCCGTGGAATGCCTCAGTACTCCTCGTCAGTTTTGTGCCAGATTGTGCACGGCTGACTGTTCAAAATCTGGTTTAGTTGGTGGACTCGATCGCACAACTTGTGCCCACAATTTCCGTGGAAAATACATTGTGCAGAGAATTCATAGCCATGCCCATCAGAAGGGGAAGACTACAATGTTCAGTGTGGCCTTTGTAAGAAATACGAGTGCTTCTGGTTGACAGCCTAGGACAAATTAGGCAGGAACATAGCGAAATAATATACATGTGTGGGGGTAACTACACAATACACTGTATTTCTTTGAGAGAAAACCCAAGCACCCGGTTGGCTAACCAGTAATTGGCAGTAACACCAATATCTTTGGCCAAGAGTAAGAGATATTCGGTGGCCTGAGGATAGCACCCAGCACGAACTCTGAGGAATAACAATGCGTTTCGGTCTATCACTGTACAGTGCGATGTGTAGCATAGAGTAGATGGACTCCACAGGGAATCGTAACCTGGCGCCCATTTCTTGCAGCAGCCTGTGGGGAACCGTCACCTAGCATCCCAGCAAGCCACCAACAGCACCTGGCTACACAAGGCTACTCAGCTGTGCCTGTGGTGTAGCTGATGAGTTAAAACACAAAGTCACAAACACAAGCTGACCAAAAAAAGCAGAGTCTAGCTATAGTAGTGCAGATTACACCGACCACCGACCTACCTTCTACAACATCAATAACAATGAGGCCAGCAAGAGATGGAAGTGATCTTGAGTGGGCAACACGAACCGCAAGAGCGCCACCCATACTGAAAACAGCAACAAACAGCAGAGGAGTCGGTTAGTTGGACTCATCACGGTTGCAACGTAAAAGTACGAAGAGCAGTGGGTGTTTGCGTGTGACCATAGCGATACGCGAACATCTGCCATCGTAAACTTGCTGGCTCTGAGAGATTGCGAAAATCAGTGACAGACACGAATATTGGGTGATTTACAGTAATATGCAGGGTCTGATAAGTATCTTTTATGCAGGGTCTGATAAGTATCTTTTATGCAGGGTCTGATAAGTATCTTTTATGCAGGGTCTGATAAGTATCTTTTATGCAGGGTCTGATAAGTATCTTTTATGCAGGGTCTGATAAGTATCTTTTATGCAGGGTCTGATAAGTATCTTTTATGCAGGGTCTGATAAGTATCTTTTATGCAGGGTCTGATAAGTATCTTTTATGCATGTGGGATAGAGCAGTAGTATATGTACATCATGCATCTCTGACATGCTCCACTCCGCGACCTGCACTGTTCACTACCTATACCAGGGGCGTCGGAAGGTATTTTAGTGTGATACGGTCAGCCATCTGAAGTACAATTTACTCGTGTGGGAGGGGTGGTTGAGCATCAAATTTCGGAAATTTAGAGCCGAGATGATACGAGTGTATTTTATTAATACCTGGGGCAAAAGGTGGTACGGTCAATACCGCAGTGACCGTACCGTGACCGACGCCCATGTATACAGCAGTTGCAACATACAGGCATGTAGTGCTTCAGCTCCCTGCACCAGCCCTCAGATACTGTTATTGCCAGGAGTACATGATAGCCAGTGCAGTGTGCAGCTTTTGCACGGGTGTCTGCCAAGGCAAACATTTCTGGAGTACATCACAGTTGCTGATCATAGTTGATGTAGGTAAGCAGAGGGAAGCAGTGCAGTGCAGTGCGTACCACTGAGCTGTAGTCGTGCAGCGAGCGCAATGCATCATTAACATGTGGTAGTCTATCAATTTCACCGTGACAGCAATCCATTCAAGCTGCATACTCTGGCTTCAATGCACTCTTGCTATAGCAAATAACTTGATTGAGAGTGGGGGTTACCACTGGTACAGTGGAACATGCACCCAGTGTACTGAGAGTGCTGAGAGTGCTGAGTACTAGTACCGCGGAGACAAAGTGTATTGCACAGAACAACCAGGGTCAAGGTACGTTTGCTGCTACTCTGAGTTTCATGTTTTTAAAGCAATCATCAGGCAACAGTGGGGTTATTCATAGAATTTTCTGGTGATCATCCCAGCCCACAGATGGGGCGATGCACGGTGAGGAAAAGCATCTCATTCTTGCAAGCCAAGGCATGGTCTCTCCACATACCTGTGGCCCATCAGAACTATAGGCGGTGGTTCACTGCCATACATGGCACGGACAATGTCGGTCACATCACTGCAGCACACACGCAGATAGACAGAACGACTCCGCGGACTCAACACACAACGCAACGCAAACATTCGCTCAGACCATACAGTATCGTTGGTGGAGCACAAGTTCTAGGCTTTATCTCAGTAGGTTTCGATAATCTGTGCTAGCTGGTGTTGGCTAAGGTTCCTGTTAGATTATAATGTGGCAAACTAGGTTGGCAGCTACTTTCTAGTACCTTGGTGTTGTTCTTTATTCAATTAACTTTATTCTTATTCACTGGTTTGAGGGAAAGAAACTTTATTCTTCGACTGCACTGAAATCTTGGCCAGAAAATTGGAGCTAACCCCCCAAATGAGGACCTCCCATGACGTGAACATCTTTGAACAACATTAGGCGTGGAGAACAGCCCACCAGACATATCTGGGACCAACACTGGTTTAGCTCGGCTAAACGGCCCATGCCATGGGATAAGGCCGGTCTCCTAGCAGGTCATTCCTGACTCAGCATGCGCAGTACTGCAAAACTCCACGTGAAAGATTGCAAAGTCCATACACAGACAGAGCTAGTACACAAACCATCACTCCGAGCGTCTACAGGAATCATGTGCTAATCACTGGTAATACTAAACACAGCTGAATACAAGCTCCTACCACACAAGTGTCTCAATGTCCAGTTTATAGTCATCATCAGTGTGGGAATCACCTGCACAGGAAGCCACACATGAGACAAACAAGACGTGTGCTACGGGGATCAGGGCAAAGACAAAACCACACGCCACTGTTATCACAACGCATTAGTTACCAGCATACATATGCTTTGCACAAAGAGTCAGCTCAGCTTTATAAGGGGCGTGATTTTTTCCATTGCGCTGCACACACATACGCACACATACGCACAGAAACACACACAGTGGCACACACAGTGACACACACACACAGTGACACACACACACACACATACACACACACATGCACGCTAACACACACAGTGACACAGTGACACACACATACACACACACACACACACACACACACACACACACACACACACACACACATACACACACACACACACACACAGTGACACCAACACACACACACACACACACACACACACACACACACACACACAGTGACACTGACCCACAGCAACATGCACATATACACACACAGCAACATACACACCGGATACCTATTCTCGTCTGCTACTCACCATGCCCCCGGAGATCGACTGCAGCAACTCGACAGTTGCACATCTGACTCAGATCGTTCTAGACAACAAGAGAAAAGGAAAACCATGACAAACAGGCGTTATCAGCCAGCTATTTTGTACGAGCAAGAACAAAGCAATGCTTATTCATTTGGTCGAAGTACAACACAAGAACTAGAACACCTTCTTGCCGAGGCAAATGAGCTGAGATCTTGAGATCTTGGAAAATACTGAAGAGTCATGATGCAATATCAGATAAATCATGACTGGAAATATCTGAATTTAGGCGAGACCAAAAAAATAGAGATTCCCGGGCCCTCCCGCACCAAAATCGAGCCAAAGCCAATTTTTTTTTTTTTTTTGAACAGTTCATACATGTACAGTACTGATCGTGTGAGTAGATCTGTGACGTGGAGTCACACAAACCCGAGCTTGTACGACTCCCAGATGTACAGATCAGGGCCATTGTTGGCCGAATTATAGAAAATTGAACGGGTAAACCGCGTACCTGTTTTCTGTAAAAAAACCTGAATAAAAATTACCGGAAAATGCTGTAAAAAAAGTTCAACATGGCATGCACACATATATACTGTATAAGCAGAAAATTTCGTCGGTCAATAATTTCGTCCAACTCCAAAGAAAGGGAGTTCGTCCGGTTGTAAATTTCGTCCATGGATCATAAGAGTGTATTGAAAAGCTGGACAAATTAATATTAGTCCAGCATTTAATTTAGTCCAACAGCTCGTTGGACGAAAAAGACGAAATTAAATTCCAGACGAATATTTCGGCTTGTACAGTAGTCATGTACATACATGGGAAAAAATAAAAAAATAAAATTCGCCCGACCGCACCAATTTCACATGGGTCCTGCCCGGGAATCTCGGTTTTATTTTGGTCTCGCCTTATCACAAAATCCAATACTGTCACTATAGACGGTAGCAGGGTGAGGCAAAGGTCTTGACAGGGCATCTTGCACGCGCACAAACAATGTCCACACACACACAGCAATAGCATCATCAGAGCAAGGGACGTTACCGTAGCCGGGCTAAAAACTGATTCCAACGGAACGTGGTCCCCGTGCTTACCGTCAGAACAGCAAAGGAGAGAGCAGACAGACCTCCACCGTGAAGCAGCAGCAAGACTGCTCCCTCCGTACCTTTGTGATAGACACGGAACACGTACACGATCACACACCAGTCAAGGAGAACGACGGCCATTGCTCCACTACAATGTACTGCAAAGAGTACAGTTGATATTAGTTGTGAAACACATCATGAACAAGGGGGTAGGTAGAAGATTGGAACCCCCTCCTCCCGCTGTTTATCGGCTCGACAGATGCTGGCCCCCCCCCCCCCCCCGGCAGTTTATCGGCTGGACCAATGCTGCCCCCCCCCCCCCCGGCAGTTTATCGGCTGGACCGGTGATGGCTAATTCCCTAATGAAAGCAGCACAGCAGGTTCACACTAGCGGAATAGCACAGTCAATGCACTGGTGGTGGTGGCGGCAACGGTGGTGGGGGTGGGGATCGTGGTGGTTGTGATTTTGTGCTCAGAGCCATGGCATTGCTATGTCCCGTTTCATATTCATAAAACGGTAACACCATGAATGCAGCTACACCCATATGAGGCATATCTCTCTTATCCGGACCTCCACGTTACGGGCACCCTGTGGGTGAGTTCTAGTGGAAATACTACTACTCTTTTGCCAAGTTTTGTTGAAATAGTGACATCATATCCCTGATCTCTAGCCATCAAAATGTATGTGATTCAGAGTTCCGGACATTTCCAAGTTACAGGTAGTGCCCGGTCTCGGACTGCCCGTATAAGAGAGATATGAGTGTACTTCAATAGCATATTTGCCAGTCCGCATGTCAAGATTGGGCTGTGCAGTGTTCAGTCAAACAAGTGTGTTTCGGTAGTGAGAAAAGAAAGAAGCGTAGAGCTGCGTGAATACGACTAGAACACGTAGCTGCCACTTGTATGCATATTGGGATAGATTGTCTTCAGTTGATCGGAGCAGTCTACTGCATGCACTACATGCAGTGCACGCACTTGCTTCCACCCTGGGTAAAACCCCAGCAGTCTATAATCCACAAAGTGTATGGGGTACATGGTGTATGTTGTGATCCTGTTTCCCCATCTGCAGTTATCTATTTGAATGTGTAAACAATTGGGAGTATAACGAACTCCTGCGTGCAGCGAATGTAGTGAGAGGATATGTTGGATTCACCCACTGTCACGTCCTCTTTCCTGTCAAAATATTGCTCCCAGCTCGACGGGGTGAAATCTCTCCTACTCCTCTTATTGCGAGGAGCGCTGGTGGCCGATTCCCCCGACGGTGTTCTGCGAGAAACGGAGCGTGTTTTGTGAAGAGAAAGCAATTAGGCATTATTTAGAAGAACAAAAAAACACAAAACTTGCAATGTCAGGCTAAGAGGGATATAAATTGTGGCAAGGGTTACCTCGGTGGACGACTACTCATTTGGCCAAGCAAAGCCTTTCGATGAAGACTGTCCATGCTGAGGTAGTTGTGTACAGTGTATCGTCTAAAAACTATTTTGAATGAACACACACCATTGAAGTCAGCTTCTACAATACAATAGTTACTTCGAAAATGTAATTGTTTGTTGGTGACCTCACATTTTTGTGTCTTTGCACCATGACATAACCTCTCAAGACAAGAGAGACTGAGATCACGAGACACGTCTGCATGGAATCAATGCCATAGCAACGTCCTTTCAAAATGCTGCAAAGAAGAAATGAGTGAGTGACATGTCGACAGTCGCTTGTCCGAGTCAGAGTTTATAGCTGGAGGCAATAGTTGCTTCGACCTTTTCCTTCTTGAATATTTTGCCACGGCCACGGACTGAAGTGAATGGAAAGAAGATAAGACCGTGGGCTGAGAGTTTTTCACTGCGGCCGTCCTCCATAGCGCTTGTCCGTACGTTCACGTTTTGTTCAGTACCACCATCCGTGTGTGGCCGACTGTCGTCCCTAGAATACTGAGGCCTTATCGCACGGAGCTAGGAACACAGTACGCAGTCAGCGCTCCAGATGCATCGTGTATCTTGAGCTGTGTCGGACATGCTGCTGACGATCTGAGCATCGTCCCCAGTGCTGGAACTGCAGTGCACACTCGTTGCTGCTTCAGGGTGCTGTTCGTGTGATCTGTGCTACAATGGGACCGAAGCGAGCTGGCTCTGGATTGGGTAAGGCTAATTTTTACTTCAGTAAAACGAGGGAAGCGTAAAAAAATACGATCCCTGAGCGAAACTAACCGGCAGTGGCTATGCGAAAGAAATCATAATGATGAGTCAGTGCCCGGAATTCCGGACCCGCTTACGAGCGCCGCAGTATATCGGAACCACTTATGAGCGCTATGTACATGTACATGTATACAGATTGGGTCGCTAGTGCATCGTTAGCGCGCACTGTGCCGCAACTTTGCCAAAGCCATGATTTCAACTGATGATATAGTCGCATAACCTCTATTGTCGTAGTAAACACAACCAACCAAGGTCTGTGTGTCCATCATACGGTAGAGCTGGTTATGCAATTACGTCATCGGATGGGTTGGGTTGTTTTGTACGACGACGTTGACTAACTTGACTTGCCACTTGCCAAGTTGCCACTCCGTACAAGTATAGTACAATACAATTACAAAGCACATGCGATGATGCCGGGCATTGGCCTACTACATTATAGTAACCTCTAGGTCTAGGACTATGGGCAGCTCCACCTCCAATCACTATAGTCGTGTACGTGTGTCTGTTACATTGTGTGTGTGTGTGTGTGTGTGTGTGTGTGTGTGTGTGTGTGTGTGTGTCCGGGACATGTTTGTTTGTATATTTTATTTGAATTCGCAAATCCAAACGAGTGCAAATGCTCAATGACAAGGCAGTGAATATGTTAGTGTGTTACAGGGAAGGAGAGCCTTGCTGGTGAGAAAATAAAAATAAAGAATATATTAACTGGTTTGAGCGAAAAAAAGAATATAGAATTACTTCTGAATGAAAAGCGAAGTGTTGTCGAAACTAGAAAAGCCAGCGGAGACATGTGTTTGCATGGTTCTGTTTGTCCGGGAATGTGTTTGTATGCGTGTGTTTGTCCGGGAATGTGTTTGTATGCTTGTGTTTGTCCGGGAATGTGTTTGTATGCTTGTGTTTGTCCGGGAATGTGTTTGTATGCTTGTGTTTGTCCGGGAATGTGTTTGTATGCTTGTGTTTGTCCGGGAATGTGTTTGTATGCTTCTGTTTGTCGTGGGAATGTGTTTGTATGCTTCTGTTTGTCGTGGGAATGTGTTTGTATGCTTGTGTTTGTCCGGGAATGTGTTTGTATGCGTGTGCGTGTCCTGGACATGTATTGGTATGTGTACTCTGTGTGTGCAGCTGCAAAGACTGGAGGAAAGTCTGAGGACGACTGGGACCTGGATGATTTATTAGCTGGTAATTGCAAAGCAGTGATTGTTCAGTAACTTAGGGCCTCCCCCCCGCCCACACACACAGACACCATCTCAATTCAGTTGAATGTTGACATGCGGAAATCTTACTTCTACATTAATTTTGTACATTTCAACCAGTCCCGTCCATTAAAGTGTGGCCGACTGATGAATGCAAAGGTAGGGGTAGCACAGATCATCCATGCCCAGTGCTACCACAACCAGCAAGTCCAATCTAACCAGAATAACCTGTCCCAGACAAGCATGTGTATGCTGCTATGTTACCAACCTTTGACAATGATATGATTGACATGAATCAGTGTAGGCTACATAATGGCCCTCGGCGGGAACGCTGCTGATTGGTCATCCCCTTGATGACCATAACGTTGTGACCTCGTTACAACGTGTATTACATGAGGTGTGCGTGTGTGTGTATGTGTGTGTGTGTGTGTGTGCGTGCGTGCGTGCATGCGCGCGCGCGTGTGTGTGTGTGTGTGTGTGTGTGTGTTGTGCTGCATTGTATTTCTGCAAAGGATCCAGCATGGCTGCCAACAGCAGCAAGCCCACGGCTGCTGCGGCTGGGAAATCGGCAACAGCACCAGGCAAGGCGTCCAGCAAGACTGGTAACAGGTCAGCCACACAAGATTCTTGATTGATAAAATGATAATAGAGTTTCAGTAGAGAGCAGTGGTTTAGCCATGATCTTGGTCATGTACTAGTGACTGTGGTTCTGGAGAAAATATACATGGCATGCGGACAGTGGAGCAGACATGGCCGACATCATGTGACCCATTCGCGGCTGCGGGGGATTCACTGGTGTTGGAGCCAACATGGCTGTCTGGCATGGTCTTGTGATGTATGTGCAACAGGCCTATCAAAACATAGCAATCCTGCATGTGTATGTAGTACAGTGTATTCACTGTCAACATGCTAACCACTAGCATAGCACATCAGTAGTGGAATGTGAAATCCAAGTTCCCGAAGCTTGTAAGCAGCTGAGGTCCAGGGTGGCACTAGTCAGTATAGTACTCGTAACTGATGACTGTATAGGTCATACCCATGGACAGTTATGCCTGGGGATTAGAGGGGGGGGGAGGGGGTTGTACCCGGATCAAGTTATAACCAGGCCTGAGGGGCACCCATGGCCAAGTTATCCGCGGGGGGGGGGGGGGGGGGGTTGTACCCACGGCCAAGTTATACCCAATGCTTATTAGTCAACCAATAAACATGAAGTTCTTGCAGGTCGCAGTGATGTACTGGGCCCTGGCTCCGGCCTGTTTCCCCGACAGGCCAAACCAGCCACGCTCCGTCTGTCTCTTTGGCTTCCTCATGCACATCCATGTCCCCCTGTAGCAGACGGAAAGAGAAGAGTGTTCTATACTGACGGGCCTGTAATCCGGGGAGCGAATTAGTGCTGTGTTTGCAGTCCAACTGAGCAAAGTCCAGCATTTTCCGCATGCACGTCTACGTGATACCTCAAGCAGCACAATTCAGAGTGTTGTGATCTGGCTCAGGGCCGCCGGAACCGGTCCGGTTGGTCAGGTTATCACCGGACCAAATGATTATACCCACCAACACATGTTCACTACTATGCAGGTCATGTGTACCGGCTATATCATACATAAGGTCGGCAGCGTCTATGTATTTCATCAGCACAGCTATTAACTGGCATTGTGGATAGCGCCTACCCAGTCCAATGTACTTTTTTTGTCTTTCAACATGATTTGTAGGTTTGTGTTCTCTTTAGAAAAAAAAGAAGGAAAAAAGTATGAAAGGCACTGAAACTACCGGACCAATCAAAAACAGCTTCCGGCGGTCCTGCGGCTCTGTCCCATTCTTGGTATGGAGCGGCTATTGTTCCTTCTTCTTGTTCTCTAGGGGCAAGTATGATGACCTGATGGATCTGTCCAGCTCTGACTCCTCCACGAACACTGTAAGTACTACTAGTAGGTGGAGAACAGAGAGTTTAATTAAAGCCAGCAATTATATTTTAGAAAGGAAAAGGATATATGGAAACGAGTTAAGAGTAACTCTCCACCACTGTAACTAGATACTATATACAGTCAGAAAGTGCAACAACTAGGCACAAAACTGACAGAGTACTGAGACATTCGACGTCCTGACGTTTTGTGCCTAGTTGTTGCACTTTCTGACTGTATATAGTATCTAGTTACAGTGGTGGAGAGTTACTCTTAACTCGTTTCCATATATCCTTTTCCTTTCTACTTTTATTATTGGCTCAATACCCGAGTTTCAAATTATATTTTAGAATGTACTGCATCCGCGTTGTGTTTGGCCTAGTTTCCTAACTCCGGATACGGTATTGTTTTTCAACTAGCAAACGCAGCCCTGCTATATATCAAGGACAGTGGAAGTGGAAGTGCCCAGACAAACAAAACGAAGAGAACTAGGGGCTATGGCTAGGCCTGTCCGAAAAATGTTCTGAATTTTTTGCATTTTGGGGTACATTTTGCATTTTTGCATTTTTTCTGAATTTTGCCCATTTCCGGTCGAATTCCAAAGTTTCAGCCAAGGTTTCAGCTCGACCAAGTCAAGTTTGGCTTGCTATTTCGGTGTCTTCTGTCCCTCTTGCCTTGGCTGAGACTCTAGACTTTGCACTGGCCTCCTAATCACACAAAATATGCCAACACATGGGTAATAGTTCTACATGTACATACAGTACAGCCTCGGGTGTGATGAACTGATGATGTAAAACTAGATGTGTTCTAGTAGTACATGTACATCAAGAGTACGGGTGGTTATACTCTTGAGTACATGTGTAGTACAGCCTAGTATCCAAGCGTAAAAGGGTAACACAAGTGACTTGAGAAAATGATTAGCTTTGCAGGCTTGTCAGGCAATGTCAGCAAAAGTGACAAGATCAGTATGATCATGCAGTGGGTGTACATGTGACATGATTAGAGGTACATGTACGTACATGTACTAGCAAGGCAGGGATACTAGATGTAATACATGTACAGTGTGACATGGAAAACCAATAATTTTTGTGATCACCATAGCATGGCGGCCATTTTAGATTATGGTTGCCATGGCAACGGATGCATTTTCTCTGCGTTTTGGGTTGTTTGGCTTTGATTTTTTAATTTTTTTTACATTCCCCTTTGATTTCTTGTTTGAATGTTGCCTGGAAAACCGTGCATTTTGCATTTCCATTTTCCGCAAATTAAAACACATTTTTCGGACAGGCCTAGCTATGGCGGAGCCCATGGCAGAAGCTCATCAGCGACCAGAGGTCTCAGCATACATGTGCCGACATGGTCAACATCACCTTCGAATAATCCTGCAGAGTAGCTCGCAAGCACTGCATGATCAGAATCCATGCTATTGCTACATGTCCATCTCAAGTCACATGATTAACTTACTGGTATTCCAATCTACACTGTAGTTTATACTTTACGGCATGGTGGGAGTGCGGTTACACGGCCAAGCAGTCACCGTAACTGGACCTGGTATCCTTCATTTATCTATCAACCCTGGTCCCCTATCGACCCACTATGCATGCACTACACCTGCGGCATGGACTACACCCACTATGCATGCACTACATCTGCGACATGGACTTCAGTGGTAGTTTGTTGTGTTGTACAGTTTATACTCAAAGTACAAGAAAGAAATTATCTTGAACCCTGCGCTACTGTGGACGTCCGCTGGCCATATTTTACTCATACGTGCAGGCTCGGAAGACCGTGACTAGAGTGCTGCCAGCTGTTCTTGCTCTTTTCCCTTTCCTTCTGTGCAGACACCCGCCAAACCCAAAGCTGGTGCAGTGAAACGACCGGTGAGTGCTGCTGATGGTTTGCAGAGCAAACTTAGGATGTAGAAGAACACCCCCTGCTAAGAACAAAGAAATACACTGCTGCTTGCATCACATTACTAGAGAAAGGTTGCTTAGGGTGGGTAATAAGAGCTCTATCAGTGTGTAGATATGCAACCCTGCAGGACTTGCTGACAGACTATGATGCTGTTCAGCGTCGCATGAGCTGGCAGATTTGATATCTCCTGGGGGAGGGGGTCATTGTGAGGATGTGATTCTGGGCTGCAAACACGTGGAAGTTAGAATATGGGTTACTACTACTAGTATCAAAGAAAATGAAGTTGAAGACACCACTGCAGCTGTACTTATGGTTGATAAATATGGTGGTAAAGACACACCCGGCAATATGGCAGTAAACACACGCCTGCCCACACACGCTCTCTAGGCTGCAAAGTTCTGGCACAGAGCTCTCCTTCTCACCACCACCATCATCAGTTCGCGCCTGGCGCCTGGTTGATGCATGGTTGGCGGCATGGTTGGCGGTATCCGGCATAGCAGGCTGGTACATCAAGTAGCGCATGGCACATAGAAGATGACACAGCAACGACATAGCTCGATTGCGACGTACGTTTTGTCCCCGCCGGACTCATCAGGCAATCTTCTTCTTGGATGTCTTCACACGGAGCTTAACTCGGGAGAATGAAGTTGAAGACACCACTGCAGCTGTACTTATGGTTGATAAATATGGAGGCGCACAGTGCCCTCCAACTCTGATTGAGCGTCCCCCCCCCCCCCCCCCCCCCTGGCCCTGTAGAGAAACTGGTGCCCCCCCCCCCCCCACACTGTGACTAATTTGGGGCGATTTTGTGTTTTTTCCATGCCATTCAAAGAAAATGCAGTTAATAGTCACTAATAGAGGGTTCATAAAGGCACACTTGTCTGGGGTGAAGTCGGGGGTTCGCCCCGTATGTTGCATATTCCATGGCAAGACAATTATTTAGGAAATTGGAAAATTGGATTACAGGGTAAATGTTTCCCCTGCCCCCCCCCCCCCCCTACTATTTTTGACCTGGCTAGTACCCTGATGCATGATGCACCACTATAATACTGTACAGGCCAGGCCCGGAGCCAGCTCCTGAAGGGTGGTACGGCCCCAGGTCCACTACAGGTGACTGATTATCCCCCACGCCCAATTTCACAATCCTGGGAGGATACATTTCTAGTTCTACACATCCTATCTGTTTGTTTCAGCTACATATTCCTCTAGCAGCAGATATTACTGATAGCACAATAGACCTCACTGGACGAGAAGAACAGTTTTGGAGGGAGAGCCTCTAGCGAGGAGTATAATATTACTAGCAGCACCACCGGCCAGCGTTGCCTGGCCGAATGTGGCATGCGGGTGAAGCAAGTGCATGAACAGCACACGTGCTCAGCACGTGGTGGTGGCCAGACCGCTGAAGTCCTGGTGAGGGAGATTCTTCATCGTTGGAAGGAGAAGGAGGGACGTCTGTTACGCCTTCGGGATGCTGGTCAGGGTTGTCCATCACCTGGTGGCGGATGAAGCGGCTCAAAAAATTCATAAACTTACGAACAAAAGTGCGATGCGGCTCTTCACTGCAGATCAGATGCAGAGTGCAGTCAGTGCAGATCTTTTGTATCCTTTTGTTGCAGATGTTTCTATTTGCAGAGAACGCTTCACGTGGTCCGCAGCGCTTGTGCGGCTGCTAGTGCTACCTATGGCCTAGGCTAGGTGGCTACATGATTCGCACGCTTCGCGTGCTCAGTGCTTCTGCGCGCGGCTGCTACTGCTACTCGTACTGATCGTGTCTGCTACCACCTACACTGTTCGCACGCTTCGCGTGCTCAGCACGTGGTGGTGGCTACACGATTCGATCGCACGCTTCGCGTGCTCAGTGCTTCTGTGGCTGCTTCCGCTAGCTATAGCTACACGATTCGCACCCTTCGCGTGCTCAGTGCTTCTGCGGCCGCTAGCTAGCTACACTGTGCTACACTGTTCGCACGCTTCGCGTGCTCAGGGCAGCGCTGCTCCGCAGCGCTTCAGCGTGACACAAACACACACGTCACAGGTGCCTCTTCTTTATAAGGAGCGTGACACACACACACACACACAGACACACGTCACAGGTGCCTCTTCTTTATAAGTAAAGATTAGGATTGCTTATTGCTAGTACTTTGGGATCATGAATAATATTAGTGCACACTGAGCACTCCCATGAACGCTGGAATTGGTAAAAACTGGTACGGCCATGTACCAGTGGCGCCGGCCCTGCAGGCCAAGACTGCACTGACTGTGCTGACTGCACATCATGACCAGTGACAGAGTCAGTGACAGTGTCAGTGACAGTGACTGTAAGATCACATGACAAGCACGCAGCAGCTAGATAGCTATCTCCTGACATGCATGGACAACTGGCATACTGCCATGGCCGCAGCCGCCGTGTGCATGACTACATACATCCAAGCCAGGTCACTGTATGTGCAGACAGTTCCACTAACTGGACATGAACATTTTTTGGCGGATGAGTGAGAAATCATTTTTCCCATCCGAATCCGATGTAGTGCCGCACTGGTGCGAACAGAGACTTTGTCTTTGAGTTTCCAGTGTTCTGTGTTGGTGTATCTACTAGTCAGATTGAAGCCAGGGTGATATGTGTGTGTAGCTGACTGTGTTGATTAGCCATGTCCAGACCAGAGTGTAGGTCATGCAGAAGTAGTAGTAAGAATGGCAAGCTGCTGAAGTGTCTGCACTCTGTGTGTGTGGAGTGTTTGGAAAAACACATCAGTGGCAAGGGCTCTGTGGGATGTCCTGAATGTGGAACAGTTACTCCACCACCACCACTGGCTGGTGTGCCCTTGCTGCAGTACCTGCCAGACAGTGATGTGTCTAGTGATGGGTTTGGAGAGGAGGAAACTGCTGCAAGTGCTGGCCATAAGAAGTTGTGTGATGAATGTGCTGAGAATACAGCTGCAGTTGCTGTTTGCATGGACTGTGGTGACAATTTCTGCACTGGCCATGCCAGTATGCATCCAACCTCACGCCGATCATACAAACACAAGGTTGTGCCACTCAGTGAGGCTGGGGGTCATACAGGTGATAGAACACCAGCCCGCCAACACAAATGCTCATTCCATCCCTCGTTTGTACAATGTTCGTATTGCTTGAGTTGTGAGCAGCTAGTGTGTAAGCAATGTGTAAGCAGTGGTGATCATGCTGCTCACAATGTGCAGACTATTACTGATGCGTCGTGTAGCATTCGTCAGTCCTTGAAAGCCAAGCTGACTAGCACATCGCATAGAAGTGGCAGTGTTTTTGACGAGTCAATCAAGAAGTCTGAAGCGGCACTGAGTGGACTCCGTGATGAGACTGAAGGCGTATCCTCCCGGATCAATGATGTTTTTGGTGGTCTGAAGAAAGCCATTGAAAACCGCCAGCAGGAGCTTCTGGACGAGGTGGACCGATTGCAGTTGTCACATCTTCTCCCCCTTGAAGAACAGAGGCGGACGCTAATCGACGGTGCCTCGTTTAGCAAGACAGTTCAACATCTGGCAGAGAACTGCAATGAGGATGTGAATTTCTTAAAGATGAGTAGATGGCTGGAGGAAGCAGCGAAGAATGCTGTGAGTGCATCTGAGAGGGATCTGACGGTGTTTGCTCCGGGAACTCTATTGTTTTCACCATGCCGCATCGAGGAGCTTACTGCGGCCATTGCCAGCACTGGTGTGGTGAGTGACATTGGTATGCTGTCTTCGAAGAAGAGTAGCATGACTACTGCAGCCAGTGTTGTGGAGGGAGACGACCTTACCGTGGTCATTGAGCCGAGGAATGACCACGGTGATAGTCTGTCTGTGACGGAGGTACATTTGTCTGGTGTTCGTGTTGAAGTAACATCTGCGGACAACACCACCGACACCATTGATCCTGTGATGATGCCCAGCAGTAGTCTTAATAAAGGGAGTAACATGATGGCAACGTACAAGACGACCGGAAAGAAGGGTTCAGTGCAGGTGTCAGCCATGATCAGAGATCACCATGTAGCTGGAAGTCCTGCAATGGTTACCATTGTCACCGTGCATCCAGTTCAGTTTGATCCCAGGCAATGCCATCCTGATCTTGTTCTGTCAAATGACAACAGAACGGTTACTGGTGGAACTGCTTCCAGTGGCAGTAAGTGGATGTCAGTATGTGGCCGGAGGAAATATAGTAGCGGCAAACACGAGATATCCCTCCGTCTTGATCGCATCACTGCTGATCGCGTTCACCACATGTTCTTCTTGTGTAATGCCCGACGTCCACGACTAGACTCATATCAGATGGGAGAGAATGCCTTGTTTGGATGGTACAGCAACTGCACCGGCACTGGTGACTGGACAGGCGGTGCACTGGGACAGCCGTGGCGAGCCGATGACGTAATTCACATGTCATTGGATTGTGACAATCGCACCTTGGTCGGTCGTCATGAGCGTACTGGAACAACCGAGACACTGACCAACGTGACAGGGGAACTCTACCTCTACATCAGCCTGATTAACAGAGGAGATCAAGTCACTATTTTGTAAAGCTTCAATCCTCTTGATTCACAAGAAGGCGGTGATGAGGGCATATATAATATATGTGTGTGTATGTGCGTGTGTGCGTGTGTGCATGTGTGTGTGTGTGTGTGTGTGTGTGCGCGTGCATGCGTGTGTATGCGTGCGTGCATGTGTGTGCATGCGTGTGTGTATGTGCATGTGTGTGTGTGTGTGTGTGTGTGTGTGTGTGTGTGTGTGTGTGTGTGTGTGTGTATGTGCATGTGCATGTGCATGTGCATGTGTGTGTGTGTGTGTGTGTGTGTGTGTGTGTGAGGAATGCATCAGAATACAGAGTTAGTGACCCATGTTGTAAAATGATGTGTTGTTTTCCTGTGTGATGGCATTCCCCAAACTGTCTCGTCTAGTCGCGTGCATGTGTGATATGAGCATGCGCGATTTTGTAGTCGAGAGTCCTTTTGTCAGTCTTCTTGTTCGTCCCTTTGAGTGTTGTCTCCATTTCCGTAATGTCAATATAAATAATGTAAAACAAACAAGTCGTGTCCTTTGTGTCCTGTGTCCCGGGGAACGGAATGGCTGAGATTCCGTAACACCCAGTGCCCCTAATGGCCTGACCACTGTACAATGTGTTGTCCCCTAGCTACTGCATGGAGGATGCTCACTGTCTTGCTCTGTTCTAGTTCATAACGTTCTATTCACTTTAGTTTCATGATTTTTCATGTGTATATCACCCTGGTGTTTATTGTCTTAGTGAACTGGTGACTGTGTTGCCACAACTAGTCACTACATTTCCTGAATTTCCATTGCTTCTGTTTTCTTTCTCTGTTTGTTACTGTGTTTATTTCTGCTGGAGTTGGCTCCAAAGAACTAGGGAGTCATTTTCTACATTGCATGTACTTGTATGATAATCAATGAGCTATACATTGCCACTGACTGCTGTTGCTTTCACCACTGTGTATGGGGTTTCCCCTACTAGCGTGTGCACTGACTGTTGCTTTCACCACTGTGTATGGGGGTTTCCCCAACTAGTGCGTGCACTGACTGTTGCTTTCACCACTGTGTATGGGGGTTTCCCCAACTAGTGTGTGCACTGACTGTTGCTTTCACCACTGTGTATGGGGTTTCCCCTACTAGTGTGTGCACTGACTGTTGCTTTCACCACTGTGTATGGGGGTTTCCCCAACTAGTGTGTGCACTGACTGTTGCTTTCACCACTGTGTATGGGGTTTTCCCCAACTAGTGTGTGCACTGACTGTTGCTTTCACCACTGTGTATGGGGGTTTCCCCAACTAGTGTGTGTGCACTGACTGTTGCTTTCACCACTGTGTATGGGGGTTTCCCCAACTAGTGTGTGCACGGACTGTTGCTTTCACCACTGTGTATGGGGGTTTCCCCAACTAGTGTGTGCACTGACTGTTGCTTTCACCGCTGTGTATGGGGGTTTCCCCTACTACTACTAGTGTGCGCACTGACTGTTGCTTCCACTATTGTGGGCTTGGTGTTTTTTTTCGTACAGTCAGACCTCGCTTAACCGCACACATCCGTTTTCCACCAAAACATCCGGATAGGCGAGGGAACTGGATAATCAGTCAAACACACAAGCTTTATGTATGCATGACATATGCTGTAAATCGGGAACCAATACTTTTCTTCCGGATGGCGAGGGATCCGGATGAAAGAGGACCGGATAGGCGAGGTCTGGCTGTACTACTAGTATTTTCACTGACCTGCTGAAAAACAGTAAATGAGACAACTGACGATGGCAAGGAAGAGGAAAGCGGTCTTGCATGTTGATTGTTGATTCCCGCTGCAGTTGGCTCCAAAGAACTAGGCAGTCCGCTTTTTCTATGTATGAGAATCAATGAGCTATATACATGTACAAAGTAGGTTAAGTCCTCTCTAAGTCCTCTCTGTGCACAGAGTGCCCAATACCCGGAAGGGCAGCCACGAGTATACAGTCAGACCTCCCATAACCGCACACATCCGTTTTCCACAAAAATATCCGGATAGGCGAGGGAGCCGGATAATCGAACACACATACTGAATGTATGCATGGCAGATACTGTAAATCCGTAACCAACGATTTTCTTCCGGATGGCGAGGAATCCGGATAAAACTCTCGGAGGACCGGATAAGCGAGGTCGGACTGTATTTTCCACCGACCGCTGTTGTTGTAACCCGTATTGTATTCGGTGTTTTCCTTTACTGGTGCCTGTGCTGCACATGACTGGCTCTCAGTGTTGGCACCGGTATTATTATTATTATTATTTTAACTGATTTGAGGGAAAGAGACAAACGGGAAAAGTCTATTATTATTATTCGGATCAAAGGGGAAACTGGCTGATACAGAGTACTGTGCATTGGTATGTTGGCTTATGACAGGTCGGCGATGATTTCGATGACGGCTTGTTTGGTGCTTCGGACAAGAAACCAGCAGCGGCAGGTAGAGCTACTTCTGCAGGAGCCAGTGCTGCTTCAGTAGGGAAAGCGGGTAAGAAATAGAGTGCCATGCCATATTACCCTGATGTGGGAATATAGCTACTTGTACTAGTAGTAGTAGTAGCATTGCGGAACTGAAGCAATTCATTAGGTACGCCCTTTATCGCAGTGATAATTAGGGCATACGCACGCAGTGAATTGTTTTTGTTTTGTTTTTAATCTGCGGACAGAACGGTTTCGTCCTTTGTGGACTCATCAGCGCAGCACGGAGAAAATGAGGCCGAATCTGATAGCAATGAAAAATATATTTTCCAAAGCCAGATACCAGGCCTGGACATACCTTGCCGGAGTGCTCAAACTGACAAGTCAGTGAGCTCTGCATAACGCGAACAGGAAAGGCACTACCCCACATGAGAGTTTTTGTTTTTACAACTTCTAAGTTAAAAGCAGCCAAATTGTTAATTAACAACATGATTGTCATGGTGTGTTATCGGCACTCAAAGTTATTAAGTACAGTGCAATCATCAGGCATGGGGAAAACCGAATAACGAGGGTCATGCTGTTACCCTCTATTGCAATTCTTTTTGCTTTTTTCATTTTCAGAATTTAGTCAAAGTTGGTGCTCCGTTCCCAGTACATGAAGTAGCATAGTAAAAACCTACAGTTTCCGAACTACTCGTACAGCCGGGGTTTCCTGAAAAGGGGCGTTGGCACATTGTTCCTGGAAATACATAGGTACCATATTTTACGGAGTATAAGCCGCACAGGAGTATAAGTCACGCCCAGATTTTTTGTCATAGAAGACAGGCATCTACCCTGCATTTCACGGTTCATTTGAGCATCGTAGTATAAGCCCCTCCCCCCCCCCTCCCCCCACCGACCTTTTTAGGGAATGAATTATGAGTGTTTAAAGTGCGGCAGTGAATGGGATTTTCGGTCTTTGACCACTTTCTGGTGAGCTGATCTACTCACCTCCCACCGCTTTAGGAGCTGCATCTGCGCCTTGATCCTTGAAGGGTGGTGGCGTTCCTGCGGATGCGGAAAACTCGGTTTCCAGCCGAGTCTCACGCGAACCGTGAATTTTTTTTAAAAAGTGTGGCTTCTACTCCGGAAAAGACGGTATGTGTATTTGGTGCAACTGCCCTCAGTACCACCAGACTTCTCAGTTGTGCTTTGCATGGACGTGTGTGTGTGCAGGTCAAGCAACTGCGGCAAAGAAGGCAAAGAAACCCGCCGCCGCCGAGGATGACTTGTTTGGGTCATCTGAGCTGAGCGACTTCGGTCTGGATGATTCACCTCCCGCTGCTAAGAAAGCAGCCAGCAAACCAGTTAGCAAACAGCCAGGTGAGTGACGAAAGTATTTTGATGTTGACTGGTGTGTTTATCTAGAATCGAAATTGGGCACTGGCACATTGTCGAATTCAGAAAATAGCCTTCGGTACACCCTCACTATCCATGATGTTGGGAATAGTGAACACAAGGCTCGTGTTCGCATATAATGGGCTTTGGGCGTGTAACATTGCGCTTCTCCCTGCTCAGTGCTCACTGAGCCAGATTCCACACAAAATCACTTCAGTGATATTCAGATCGTTCAAGAACGGAATATCTTGATTATACTTGTACTGATGTTGCCGGTATTGCGTCGACTATTCATTCAGACAAGCTGACAAAGCCAAAGACGGCAGCTGCAGCTGCCACCACCTTCACCGGCACCGCCGCCACTGGTGACCACATTGATGATTCCTTCAGTACGGATCTGAGTGCACTTGGTCTCGATGAATCTGGCCTCCTGCCAGGCAGGAAGCCTGCCAAAAAGGCTATCGCTGGAAAGGGAAAGGGAAAGGCACTGGACCCGTCTAAATCCACTACAGCACCGGCCGTTAGGAGAAGATTGCGACCTTCTAAAATATGTACTTCAGTAGACTCTGCACCTAGTGAATCACAGTGTGTGTTAGGTGCTTGTAGGTCCCGCATCGTGAGTGTGTGTTAGGTGCTTGTAGGTCCCGCATCATCGTGTAGCACTCAGGTATGAGTTTGTTCTGTACCTGGATTGGGTCCCCGACCAGGGAGGCCCAGTCCAGTCGCTACCGGCGGATGTGTCACCCTGCTGCGAAGGGAAAACAGCCAGACGTGTGTGGATCCATGCAGAAACTGGATCTACAAGTCAGCGTCATCATGATCGGGACTTAGCACCTTCAAGCCATATCATGTTTCCCACGTGCTAGTGCAATGGTCTGCGCTAAGAACCCCTTTCAGTGTTATTCAGTTACACATAGCACTGCATGTACGTGTAGACGTGTAGATGTGTGCACTTTGCCAGACTCAGTGTGGACGTAACAAGTAGCTCCAGTATTTCCTGTGACTTTTAAAACAGTATTACTTCCTAGCACTAAAACTGACTTTGGGTTGTCTTTTTGCTTTGACTCTTACTTCATGGTTTCACGCGATTGGTGTTGTGAATAAAACCGTTCTAAACTAAAACTGACACTAGTCTCTTCATCCATGCTGATAAAGGCCTTGGGAACATGTCTGCCTGGTTTCTTTCCAAGGGATTCATTGCAACGTTGTCAGCCCAAGGCAATAGTACTCTAGCAGCATTAGGGGAAACGCTTATCTTGCCTGATGTTCATGTACCATTGCCTCGATTCTGTATGCAGAAAAATCAGCCAAGCTGGCAACATGGCCCACTCTGTCAGATGATGACTCGGATTTTTCCGAACCACAACCTTCAAAACGCCCGGCTGCCAGCAAAGCAAAGGATAATATTGAAGACAAGCCACTGAAAAATCCAAAACCATCTGGTGAGTACAAGTGGCTGTAGTTTAGTGTACTGAACGCTACCATAATGCCACTTTCACCAATGCAGATACCTACAGTCCATTCAGAAAAAAATGAACTTCTAGCTTTTGGCCATAAATGGGTCAAACGTTGAGTTTTTTTAGAATTTTTTTCTGCAATCCCATATGGAATCCTCTTCCAATTATGTTTCTGAAGTTTTTTTGTCCAAAAAGCAAGCCATAGCAAGAATAGGATTTCGGCCAGGTTTTGCCCCAAAAGCACTGAATTGGGGAAAACCATCAAAATCCAGGCCGTTTGACCCCGCCTGCAACAGTGCATTCTGCGGTTCGAACCCCAGTTCAGGCACCCTTTTTGGACCCTTTTTCAAATTTCAAAGTTCGCAGCACTGCACTGTGTACGATGAAATCACGAAAAATCGCCAAATACGGGAGCTCGCCAGAGCCAAGACCCATCTTTTTATGAATGGACTGTAGGCAAGCCTCGTATACAGTATTCCTGCTTGGATGGAGGATAACCAGTAGTGTGTGTGTGTGTGTGTGTGTGTGCACACGTGTGTGTACGTGTGTATATGTATGTACACTGGCAGGCACGTTAGGGAAGGCCCCCGGGGGCGTCACCAGCGATGCAGGGCTGTTCGACGATGACAGTAACTTTGGATTTGATAGTGACGACGACAAAGCTGCCCCAGCAAAGCGTCAGGCTGCTGTCATCAAGACAAAGCCCACCGATAATCTGAATTCTTTGTTTGGAAAGAAGCCGTCAGCAGATGACCAGGGGAAGAGCAATGAGGGTGGCGGTGGCTCTCGTCGAACCTTTGATGGTTTTGCCTCTCGCCTCGGCTCTGGGAGCACACAGCCGTCTGGCGGGGGCAGGACGCAGGCGGTGGAAAAATCCACCTTCAGCACTGACGATGAGACCACGTCCAAAGGTCGTGGCGACAAAACTGACTCAAGACCATCATCTAGCAAGCAAGTCAGTGCTGGAGGTGGTGGTGCAGGGCAAGCAGTAGCTGAGTCCAGTTCAGCTAGTGATAGCAGTGGCAGCATTGCTGGTGGGTACATGCCATCTGGGACGGCAGCCGCCACAGCCGGTGGCTATACTCCATCCAGCGGACCACCCAGAGCTGGACGTCGTGCACGCGCTGATCAGCACGAGAGACCGAGTACTGCGCCTGGCTTTCAAGCCAAGCAAGTTCGCTTCACTGGAAATTTGGCCGACGTCGAACGACCGGCTAGCGTGCCGGCTAAGGCTGCGGACGATGCTTCAGATCTCTTTGGCATAGAAGATGCGGCGGCGAACACAACGAGGAGGGTTAGAGGCTCAACCAGCTCAACTGGTAGTGCTGGTGGGGACACAAGACTGCAAATGTAAGGACATGTAGCAGTGTACCGTACCAAACATGCTGGTTCTCTGATCTCTTCCTAAACACATTTGTTTCAGCAATGCTGATTACAGTGAAGATGTTCATTGACGAATTTCTGGCTGTTTGTCAGATACCGTCGAATGTAGCATGATGATGTTATTTGCATTGCCACCCTTTGTGACAACATAGGAATTCTGTACATTACGTACTATCATTACCAATGGTGCTTCAAGCGGAGTTGGGGAAAATGCTAGACCTGGTCCCTAAACCGCTTTGCTAGCATGTTGTCCTTCATCCATTGTGCCCGCTTCAGGCAAGACCAGACGCCAGCGCCCAGGCCCGGCAGAGAAGCCCATGCACCCCGTCCACACCGGGCCGGTAGTCGTGACAACATACACAGACCGGCCTCGACCGGGGATGAGGACGATCTGCTCGGGAGCGGTGGTGGTGCTGCCGCCGCTGCACCCAGCTCTACTGCTTCCAAATCACAGGCACTGCTATCGGGCAAGAGAATCACAGGCAGCAAACAGCCTACACGTACAGTTGCTCATGAGCCTACTACTACTTCTACCCCCGATGTGTCTGCTACTGCAGGCAAGCTTCCTTCAAATTCTCCATCTACTGAATCACACACCACTGCTGCAATGGCTGCATCCAAGGCAGTGTTATCTAGCAGAGATGCTGAGCAGCTCACGCGGCTTACTGAAGAAAACAAGTCGCTGAAAGATGAACTGGAGACCCTGAAGGCAAGCAGTGTTGCAATGGAAGAGCAGCTGGCACGCCTCGATGCGGAAAAGCAGCAGATATCCAATGAGCTGGCCAGCAAGGCCGATGAACTTCAAGCTGGAATAAAGGAACGTGTAGAGTTGGAGACTACGGTATCGAGACAAACGCTAGATCTCAGCAACCTAAAGGTAGGAAATGGCAGAAGCTCGCAGGCAATTGCTTTCTGCTAACGTTATGGTAGAATGGGATAACTATTATGACTGAGTGTGTGTGTGTGTGGGGGGGGGGGGGGGCGGGGGGTGTACAGTCACCTACCTTTTACATAGCATCTAGGAAGACAACATGGGTTGGTGGAACGTGAAACAATGTGGGCTTTGCTCCCGGACTGCCCGTTCCAGTGGCCCTTGAGCTGGGACGATTTACATACACTTTGCATATGGCATCACTGGTGTGGACCGCGTATGGGGTCAGTTCACTGCTACGATCATGATCGCGTATTGTATAGACAACAAATCGACAAGAAATCCTGTAGAACTTCCCAATCCAGGGTTGGCAACATACCTTGTTCAGGGCACTGTCATACTACTATGGTCTCGTGCCGTTCCCCTAGATGCTATGATTCCCTGGTACTGCTCATATGAAAGATGTAGGTGCTGCATGCACTTGACTGCTCCTTCCAATGACGAGTGACCATCGCAGCAACTGTACATGTATGTGTAGTGGATGGTGACAGTTGAGCACAAGGAAACATGCATGTGGCTCATTCCTGAAGACACACATGACTGGCGGTTTCTTATCCCTCTACCTCAATGGTATGTTATCCCTACTCCACTGCAAACGACACGGTACCATTCTGAGGGGACATTCACAAATTATCACACCAAACCGTGACAAGATTATCTATCTTTATTATACAGTCAGACCTCGCTTATCCGGTCCTCGTTTATCCGGATCCCTCGCCATCCGGAAGAAAATAGTTGGTTACAAATGTACAGCATATGCCATGCTTACATACAGTATGTGTGTTCGATTATCCGGTTCCCTCGCCTATCCGGATATTTTTGTGGAAAACGGATGTGTGCGGTTATGCGAGGTCTGACTGTAGCAACAAGGACGACTAATTGCACTGTACGCATTTCCTAAATGTCATACATGTCGACATCTAGGAAATGCTTACAGTGCAATTAGTCATCCTTGTTGCTATATTAAAACTGCTGTCTCTGAAAAGCGTGTTTACTTATCTATCTTTCTCTACAGCTGGATCTGTCATCATCCAAAGCAACGCTGTCAGCTACAGAAGCGGCTAAAGGATCTCTGGAGACTGAAGTCTCCTCTCTTCAGCAGCAGCTGGATGAGGCGAGGCGGCAGGCCGATACTGAACGAAGGGACGCCGCAAGGAAGCAAGCAACTCTTGAATCGGAAGTAAGTTCAGTAACATTGGATGATCCTTCCAGCTCTCCACCTATCTGGTATACTGTAAACCAGGAAATCCTTGCGATCTGGAATCCTCTGCGGTTTTCGCGATGGATGCGAAATTGCAAAATAGGCCGGCGTGAAACGTAGGTTTGCCGAGTGGAAGGTTCGATGGACTTCTCATGTGCTCTGGATGGCAGTCGTGAGTCAGTCAAGTGAGAATTCAAGTCGGCAGGAAGAGCGCAAGCTCCCACGTAGGGAGCAACACATAATTCCCCAATTATCGTCGAAGTCGCACCAACCTCTTCTTCATATTGTGAAATGCAGAACTGTAGTAAACATTTCCAAGTGTAAAATTGGTCTGTGCTCGCCAATTGCGAACTAAAACCGGCGCAAATGTTTCCCGATTATCGGTACCGGCTACATAGGCTATGTATATATCAGCAACCCAGACTGCCTACTGAGCCCAAGATGTACGCGTTGGTACATAATTAATATAGTGTCCGAGCCAAAGTCCCCCAAAACCGACACAGCCCGTTACATGAGGCATTGCATGCCCTTCAAAATAGACCATGCCGGCTGGCGTTGTACTAATCCTACCATGCAGAGTGTGAATGTCCTTCAATTAATCAGTGGACGGCTCTTCACAAAGGAAACAATTCTCCTGGGATGCCATACCCATATCAGTACCAGTATGCTAACGGTACAGTGCTATGTTCTGAGACACGGACCACATGGTACTGGTGTGGTACTGGTGTGGCGCATGCGCTGTGTAGGTATCCCGTGTCACCGAGGACTGTGGCCAGCTGAGGTCGTCCCTGGACAATGCTAAGAGTGACAACGCGAGAGAGTGTGAATCGCTCAGGGAGAAGTTCAGGTGAGAGCTAGCAATGTTTGAACATGGCACAGTACGGTGGTCCATGCACTGCTAGTCTTGTAGTTCAGGTCATGCTATGAAGTACTGCAGTGTCAGTGTCAGTATTACGGTACATTGTACATAAACTGTTAGACTTGTACAGTGGTGACAACTGCCCCCCCCCGCCCTGCATACATACCGATTGTCGACCATTTGTGCTGTGTGTGCACGGGAACATCCCCCCGCCCTGCATACATACCGATTGTCGACCATTTGTGATCTGTGTGCACGGGAACATCCCCCCGCCCTGCATACATACCGACTGTCGACCATTTGTGCTCTGTGTGCACGGGAACCTCAGTGTGCAATTACCTTGGGTCCATTGTTATTAGGCATTACTTCCACTATAAATGAAGTATACAACAACAACCTGTAGCATCTGTGCTGGTCTTGTTCCCTCTCAAGGAAACGCGAAGAAGGTGAAAGAGAACTCTGGCAACAGCAGGAGACCAGGTAGGCGAATAAGATAATTCAACAGTCCCGGTATCTAGTATCTCCATACTGGCGGTATCAATTAACAGGAGTGGAATCCATGTCACCCAAGGAAGAGATACTCCCTACGATCCTAGTGAGTAAAAAACTCAACAGTTCCGACATCTTGGATTTCCGTGCCGGCGGCATTCACCGGCGTGAAATCCATGCAGTCGCCCAGGGAAGAGATCACGATTCCACCCTATATTAGAGAAGTGATTTGATCACAAGGAATGCATGCATTGACTGTACCGCGGCCTGTATATCTGACGCCTCACTTTTTAAAACAATGAACTCCGCTTCTTTGTCGACTTCTTCTGTTGCATAAAAAAGGTTACGTGATGAGATTTCGCAGCAGGCCGATCGCTTCAAGAATCGCCTTGATGCAGCACACGAGGAGATCGACAAGACCCGGGAGGCATCTAGAAAGCACGTTGATGACTTGCAGGCCTCGCACCAGCAGGAGATTGCTCGACTGAGACTGGACCACGAGTAAGCATTCATTGATGCTACCTTTGTCTTCCCGCTAACACAGAGTATTGAATGGGGTTTTGACACTTTTTGTTGTTCTTTTTCAATTCTGGCGGGGTCGAGTACTGAGTATTTAAAGGGTCAGGGCCCTAGCACTCTGGTTTTCCATATCTACATGACATTGTACTACTCATACATAATCAGTGGAATTATAGTGGAATTACGACTGTTGTAGTGGATTGAAGTGGATTACAGTGGAATTGCAATGAATTACAGTGGAACTGCAATGAATTACAGTGGAATTGCAATGAATTACAGTGGGATTACAGTGGGATTACAGTGGAATTACGACTGTTGTAGTGGATTGAAGTGGATTACAGTGGAATTGCAATGGATTACAGTGGAACTGCAATGAATTACAGTGGGATTACAGTGGATTACAATGAAACTGTGACCAGAGAGATGAGTAAAGCAATGTGTGTGTGTGTGTGTGTGTGTGTGTGTGTGTGTGCGTGTGCGTGTGCGTGTGCGTGTGCGTGTGTGTCTTTCTCGATTCCTGATCGTCGCACATCGCTCCAGTCGCATTCTGGCCATGAAAGAGGAAAAGCACGAAGAGTACGTCGCGCAGCTGCAAGCAGCCCACCACAACGAGCTAGAACACGCCACGGAAATGATGGGTCAAACAAAGTGAGTGACTGTCAGCTGACTCAGTTCCTTCTAGCAGGCACTGGCTCTTCGCTGGGATACCCGTCTGCACACGTGATGTGGATAGCTATCACTGATGGTGCATGCTAACTGTTGAGTCTGCAAGATGACTAGCCCCAGATTACAAAGGGAGAGAGAGAGAGAGAGAGAGAGAGAGAGAGGAGGGAGGGAGGGAGGGGGGGGGGGGGGGAGAGGGGAGGGGGAGTACAGGCGATAGGGACACTAAGCAGTTGGACCATCCTCATGGAGCTTCGCAGGGAGCGATGTTCTCGATCGCACACGAGTCGACTAGCACCGAGCAATGTGCAATCGCAAACCTTCAAACACAGGGTCGCGCACGGGCGGATGACGCTAACGTATTCATGAGATCGGACTTCATTGAGCATCCCAATAGCTGGCTCAAGTCCAGGGGTTATGGAGCTTTTCAACCGTGTGCATGCCCTTCCTGGACTGACTTACTAGCACACAGACTGTCCATGCTCAAGATACAGTCAAACCTCTTTTGGACGAACAGCGATGGGATTTGTTTGCAATAACATGAATTCTTTTTTTTTCTCCCAGTGACTGCACAGTAATTTATCCAATGGAGTTATGAATACCGTAAAGTACCGCCAGAGCGCCCCGTCTTGCGAGAGCGCCCCACCTTGATTCTACAGCCAGGGAAATGAAAATCGGATTGCAGAGTGCAACGAAGTTTGTACGGTGTGAAAACCTTAGGGTACTAAGGTCATACGTAGCGGGTTTTTGTGTGGAGCCCGTGTCCGCTCGAAGGCACGGATTGACTGCACAACGTGCAATATGTGCACAAGGTTCGTGTCGCATGACCTACAGACAGGAGATCACCTCCACAATACGACCACGAAAGGACGTGACGGTGGGGCGCTCTGGCGGTACTTTACGGTACTAGTTTTCTTCTAAATCAAAAGTTTATCTTATCAGTGTTCTTCTCAGCGAGGTTGTACTGTACATGAGAACGGGGTACATGTGTGATGATGGCTGCTGCATCACCTTAGCTCTCTTATCTGGTTTGCAATACAATCACACTCACGTTCAGGTCACTGCAAGGTCTCATAACGAAAGTTGAGTCCAGAACCGCGTCTCTGGGAGACCTGCAGTCTAAGTTCAAGAGTGAAAGCGAGAAGACCCTCGAGAAGCGTGAGCGCACCATCCAATTCAAAGAGAAGCAGCTAGCTGGTAAGTTAAATTGGTCGCTTTCTTTTAAAAACACCAACAAGGAACTTGGTTTGAACCTGTCTACACGTGTACATGTACACATCTGATATTCAGTAGTCTGAGGGAAAAGATGAAGAACGTAAATCTGATACTGTACACAGCACTGTGACAGCATTGTAGCAGTTCACACCGAAGGCTTCAATGCTACACGTGTATGTATGGTGTGACACTCCTGTGCTGTCACAGGCTGCATGGCACTTTTGTTTAAGCGTTGTCGCTGCAGTTGTGAGACGTGGCACGAATTACAATGGCTCGAAGCATACGGGGAAGGGGGAGGGGGGAAGGAGGATATATGCACTTGCACTATGCAGAGGCGTGCCTGCATGGTCATACACCTGTGACCTTGACAGACAGACAGACAGACACATACACACGCGCGCGTGCGCACCTCCGTCAGTCATGGGCCACTGCCAACACTGCCATATCTCCACTAACTTACAGTCATGTTCCCCCATTGATCTCTGATGCTGTCCTCTGCTGTGCTTGTGTCCAGAACTTCATCAACGGCTTCTTGAGCGTGAAACCCGTCTGGAGCAGGATCATACTAAGTGGCAAGAGGCTACGGTCAAGATTGAGTTGAAGCATAGCCTGCAAGTGCGGGATCACGAGCAGGTACGCTGCACCTACACCAGCTACTGCATCTGAATTTGAACTGGGCAGAAGTGCAATGCAGTGTAGTGTGGGTGTGTGGGTGTGTGTAGGGGGGGGGGGCGCAGTGTGTGCTTGTGACGAGGAGGAAGGGTGCGGAGTTGCATCTCTGACCTTGATTGCCGAGAGATGTGCCGAGTTTATGAGCTGAGTGGTGCAGCGACGTGAGCCGGCTGGTTAATGGCAAATCCGGAAACCAGGTAGTTCTTCTGTGTTGGTAAAATGTGGGCCGACACGATGCTTACAAGGACTCGATAGCCTGGAGTTGTGTCCAATGTCACCTGGGCTCTGTGCCATTGCCGTGTACATTATGGATGTTACCCACTGACAACGACAGGACTTGTTTTGAATGGGTGATACCATTCCAATTCAGTCAACCCCCAGGTATAGATACACATAGTCACAACGGTGTGCCCAGATTCAATCTGCTTCGTGAGACACTGATTGTAGGGACCACTGCCTCTGCTCAGCTTTCCTCTGCTTTCCCCCGTCTCTTCTCTTCTCCTTACCTTTCCTCTCCACTCCTCTCCTCTACGTCTCTCTCTCTCTCTCTTTCTCTTTCTCTCTCCGTCTCTCTCTCTCTCACTCTCTCTGCCTGTACTATTCTCCCGTAATAACAGAAGCGACGAGAGCTGCAGGAACAGGAGGCCAGAGTGGCAGCACTGCGCCATGCAATCGACCAAGAACAGCAGCGTCTCAGTACAGAACATGACCTGCATAACAGGCAAGCCATGGAGCAGCAGGTAACTGTTATATGTGGTGTGTGGTGAACAACACAAAGGCTTGTTGAAATGTTACGACGCACACAGTGTAGAAAGAAGGAGCCACGGGTGTGTGTAATCCCTGGTAGCCTGATTGGCAGGGCACTGTCCCGGAAAGACAGGGGTGCTCGGTTCGAATCCCACTCATGGATCCTTGGTTTGCAACAAAAGTATGTACTTGTCCTGGGAATACCCCAAAGCCATAATCATAGAAACACTGTTTACCTTATAGTACCCATGTGGCTAGGAAAGGCATGTGTGTTGAATCTCAGTACTGCAGCAACTGAATGCAACACACATGCCTCTCCTAGCCTTCAGTACAGCAGCAACTGCAGCCCCATCTCATGAACTGGTCCTCAAGTTGTCCGCGCTTTCTCTTCTCTACTCCCCTCTCAACTTCACCGCAGAGCTGGGTTTGGGTAGTTCGTAAAATATATTATAAAGTGCACCAACTGATATGCACGCCCACTCTGTTTTCAATCCTTGGCTTTGTTCATGATCACTGCTTCTTTCTTGTTTTCCAGGAGATACTCCGCAAGGAGCACAAGGCTATCACTGACCAATGCTTGGAAGAGCGCCGTGCACTAGCCAGGGATAGAGCCACGCTGGAACTGCAGCGCAAAGAGATTGAAATCCACAGAGAGGCACTGGAAGACGTGAGTCGATCGCCTTCGGGATTTTGATGCGGATGTATCAGAGCTGCACTGTATGGCGCATGCACGGCTATGACATAGGTCAAAATAAAAATATTGTGAATCCTGATACGGAAAAAGGTCACTTGATCTCGTATACTGCCGGCAAACTTGTTGGACCTGCAGGTGTCTATATTGTATCCCTGGGCTCCCTAGAGTTCTCAATGTCCGGTGGACAGAGCTATAGCAATACAGCAGGCACACGGCAGCAGCACAATTCGAGTAACAGCAGAGAAGAGATGTTGTTAATGTGCAGCTACTGTACAAGGAAATGTTGGATGTTCCAATTTAGCTACTGTATTTCGAGCATGGTAGGGGCTTTTGGAAACCCTCACTTGCCCAGCATTCTGATATTCATGACTGTAGCTGCCCTTCAACAGCTGCTCTACTGTGTGACTTGCGGTGCTTGTGCAGTCAAAACGTGACATGGAAGCCAGCATGGATGCCGAGAGTAGCAAGCTGGAGGAGTGTAGAAGCCGGTGGGAGTCACTCAAGCAGGAAGAGGCCGACTTCAAGAAGCGCTCCGGAAGGCTCAAGACCAAGCAACGGGAGGTCGACAAGAAGGAAAGCGAGCTGATGGAGACGGCGGAGAGATTGCAGAAGTCCACGCGTGACCTGGAACATGTCAAGAAGGTACGGGTTGAATATGCCTGTAGCTGTACAAATCGTGTAAGAGAAAGTGTGATGCGCTTCATTCCGGTCTTCTAAGCAAACACTAACAGTGCAAGGAAACAAGCTGGGCAATAAAACAGCTCCTGTAACGGCCAGTAGTATCAGAGTACATGCTAGTAACTGGTTGTGTACTCTTGGTACTAGTTGGTAGTATTAAGGTCGATCCAAGAATTTTTATTGTACCAATTGGCGAATCACACAAGGGTCCGTAGAAACATCAAGGAAGAGAAGAAATAACCCGTAGTGTTAAAGTACACGTATAAAAATGAATGTATTTGCAGAGTCTTGGAGCTTATTCTGCTCCTGGGTGCATCACCCGTACAGAGACTTGGTAACTTGGTATTGAAACAGGCCGTGAAAAGCCAATACACCTCTGGAAGTTTTGTTAGTGGTGAAATCTCGTCTTCATTGCTGTGCTGTATCCAGGACTAACATTGATGAAATAAAAAGTAAGTTCGCACGTTTGCTTTTCCGGGACGATATGGCCGGTACAATCGGGTGCAGTTACCTCAACCGTAGCCGGCCTTCTAGCCATTGCGGTAATACTGTAAATGGTACAGTCACTTCAAGTGTGACTGGTCTTCCAACCATTGCGGTAATACTGTGATTGGTGCAGTCACTTCAACTGCGAATGGCCTTCTAGCCATTGCGGTAATGCCGTGATCGGTAGAGTCACTTCAACTGTGACTGGTCTTGCAATCATTGCGGTAATACTGTGATCGGTAGAGTCACTTCAACTGTGACTGGTCTTGCAACCAATGCGGAATACAATGTACTAATACATGTACACTGAACTGTGATTGTGTACGCATGTAGGCACTGGTGGACAGCAGGCGTAAGGAGGAGCGCAATGCCAGGTCTATCCAGCACAAGCAGTCCGAGTACGTACAGTCTATAGCTGAATTGGAGGAGCAGAGGAGCAAGCTGCAGCAGCAGAACAAGTATTTGAGCGCGGTAAGAATCGATGCAGAACCAGTGCTTAATCGCGGTGAGAACCGATACATGCTGTAGTTGAGCGCTGCAAGAATCATGGCACGCTTGCCCATGGTAAACAACCCTAGACACTTGCTACCTCTGTGTGCTCACCTTCATGCAGCTAAAAGTTATGCAGTGCACTGATGGATGGAATGCTTGACCTGATGCTCCCGGTGGCAGCGGGTATTTGGAAAAGCGCATGGGGCCTTCTATGGCAGAATTATTTATCGCCAGTATTTGAGCAGACTCAGTGGAATTCACTTAGCATGTCCTCCGATAAGACACACCCTTGCCTAGTACGGCCATTGTCTGGAGCACAGGCATATTGATCTTGAGAGAAGTACATGTATGTTTGGGATAAGAACTTGAAGTACTTCACATACCAAGTACTGTAAAGTCAATAAATATCCGGCGCAGATTTATTTTCGGCCATTTTCGGCCTGGTAATGTTTGGCCGAAAATTTGCTGTGGCCGAAATTTAGTTTTGCAAGGTTCGGTGTGACAGTATATACAGGCAGCAGCAGTACAGGCCGACAATTTGATGCGGCCGAAATGTGTTTTAGCCCTGGGAGGCCGAAATTTGAACGGGCCGAAAATTAGTAGACTGACAGTACACCTGCCGCTAGGGTTTACCGGGTGTTAGCGGCCATCGTGAGTTCCCTTCGGGAACGGACACGATAATTTACTTTTTAACTTTCTGCTGCCCGTGGGGTATGTCTTATCAGAAATCTACTGTATCAATATTGTTCTGTGTGAAGTTCTTCTTCTTCTGATGTGGTCGTAAGACGAATTGTTGTTGGCGCTTGTATTGTCTGCATGGTGTCTGCAGAAGTACCGCCAGTCTGTGCAGGAAGCAAAGATGGTGATCTGTGCGTCGTGCTCCCGGCAACAAAGTAAGATGATACGAGGGTGGGGATGTTGAAGAATCTAAATCCACCTCCGCATAGAGGAGCTATCAGCGCTCAAGGTAGTTATCAAGGGCGTGCTGGGTTTTTTCAGTTCACAGCATATTCCAGCACCAAGGAGTTATTGTGGCTGGCATTAAGACCAGTGTAGACAGTACGACTCGTGATTCTTAAATTCGGAGAGGAGTTACTGCATTGTGCGTGCCTTCAGGGTGCTATGCTGCAAAACCCGTGCATACGTATGTACACTGTATATCATGTGCACATTCACATGTCTGAAGGTTTGTGGTTTTTCAATAAAAATAAATAAAAAAATAAATAAAAAATGTACTTGTTATTGTCACATCCTCTGCCTTACAGGCACACGGGCTGAGACATGGCAACATCAACACCAACATCAGCAACACCAGCAACAACCACAACCAGAACAAGAAGCCTCTGCCTTGACTGCAAAAAGGAAGCAAACAGAAGCGACACCAGATATGCATTTCTACCCATCACGACAGCACAACCTCTCGCAGCAGCTGCCACAGCCAGATTCCAACAGCCAAGCAGCGCCACAGCTTAAATCGGAAACACTGCCGCGCAGACACACGCGGGAGCGGAGCAGTGTTCCCCCACAGCAGCACCTGGATTATCATGAACAAATGGACGAGCATAGTGCACGAGCACAGCGTCACCAAGACCATTATCGGGCGAGGCCCGAATCTAGCATGCACATAAGTGAACTGGATGCATCACACCCAAGAAGACAACAACCACATCATCCCCATCGGTCTCACGAGCAGGAGCGACGCCAGGGCCAACCTCAGAAGCATCCATCCAACGTGCACCACCACCACCAGCGCAGCTTGGAAGATGAACTGAATGACGTGCGAGGAACCCTGGAAGACCCGGACATGAAAGAAAGACTCCGGAGAGTCGACGAGCGATGGGCACGCATGGAGGCAGGACGAATAGACATGAGGAAGAAACTGATGGAGGTACAGTATACGGATACTGTGTGCGTGCGTGCGTGCGTGTGTGTGTGCGTGTGTGTGTGCCGATTTCGCTTACCGCATCACCTGGATCGTCACAGGCGTGTGTGTGTGTGTGTGTGTGTGTGTGCGCGTGCGCGCGTGTGTGTGTGTGTGAAAATGTGTAAAGGTGACCGGGTTTGCAAGGGCTGAATGAGGATCGGGCTTAATACTATTTTTAGTTAAACTATGCTGTGAGTTTAGCCAAGTGTGGCGAGGTTAAGATACATTTGGGTTATCCGTAGTTCAATAAAAAAATAAATAAGATGGTATAGTGAATATCTGTAACATGGAAATTGTGGGCACAAGTTATGCGATCGAGTCCACCAACTAAACCAGATTGTGAATATCAATAACAAAGACATACAGTTTTCGCGATTTCGGCAGGGTGATTGATGATTCTCTCGACGAAATTGGACTTGTTTTCCTTATCGGCCACAGCCTGGATCTAGTATGCACATCAGTGAACCGGAAGCATCGCACCCGAGCCAACAGCCACATCATCCCCATCGGCATCACCAGCAAGTGCGACACCAGCATCAACTTCGAAAGCATCCATCCAACGTGCATCGCCACGAGGAAGAAGACGATGAAGATGATGAACTAGAAGACGTGCGAGGAACCGCGGAAGACCCGAAAGTTAAAGAACTACTGCGGAAAGTAGATGAGCAAATTGCTCAAATGGAAACAGAAGGTAGGGACACGAGGAAGACGCGTATGGAGGTACAATGTACGGATAATGACGTAAACGATGAACAAGGGGGAGGGGGATTGAAGTACATTCGAGCGATTTGGTAAATAGCTATGCCCACACTTGAGATTCTCTTCGTAGAATTGGACCCGGGAAATATACGAGCTGTTGCGCAAGGAAAGTTCTATATTCCAAGCGAACGAATGCTTACCAGCAACACGCGAATTACGAATATTCTCTCGAAAGTTTTTTCTGCGTGCGTGCGTGTCTGTCTACTACTTCCTCGCTGCTGCTGCTGCTGTGATGGTCACTGTTATTGTTGCTGTGATGGTCACTGTTATTGTTGCTGTTGTTATTGTTGCTGTTGTTTGTTGTTGCGCACAGTGAGGGATACAAGTTCAGATTGAACTGGAAGCAGCCGGCATGGCGGTGTTGAAGGACAGTGGTACCCGGTGTGCTGGTGCTGGACAGTCCTACACAGCGGACTACCAAGGGCCGCTAGTGAAATGCACTAATAAAAGTATACTACATTCCAGTCCCCCAACCACTCCCTGTTACTACTTGCAGCACAGCCATGCTGCAAGTCTACAGTGAACCGTTATCAAGGCTTATTTCGGATAGTCTTGAAAGACAGTATATTCCACTGGAACAGAGACCAGAGCAACTTGATCTTAGTCAACCCTACTAGTATATGTTACCATGGTCTTTTTGCCATGGCTTTGCCATGGCTTTTTTCTCAATTTCTTGAAACCTATTTAAAAAGACAGAATTGTTGAATACGTCATAACTTATACAACCGTCCCTATTGCTGCAACCAGCAGTGTCTCGATTCTCACCTGAGTGTGTCCCTATTGCTCGATTCCCACTGTGTGAGTGTGGCCTCCCTATTGCTAAAACCAGCGGTGTCTAGATTCTCACTGCGCGCGAGTGTGTTAGCCACTTGCCGGTGCTCACACATCCACACATCCACACACTAAGAAGTCCTTTGACAATCTGGTTTTTAAAAAAAGAGAGTAAAACTTGAACGAAGTATATTATTCCTCAGTACCACAGATCTAGCCAGAGCTGATGCTAGAGCTATTGTACATGTGTTGTGTACAAGATAATGAGACAGTCCAAGCGCCAAGTAAAAATCACTGAAGGGATGGGGGAAGCACAGCAGGGATGGATGAACCACAGCAGGGATGGATGAACCACAGCAGGGATGGATGAACCACAGCAGGGATGGATGAACCACAGCAGGGATGGGGGTAGAGTGGGTGGAGCTATGAATGAGCTGGTTCTGATACAACAATGCCAGAGTATGACTGCGAGTTATTCTAAGTCCAATATCTGCCAGATCTGCCAAACCATCCCTGTGAGCTCTCTGGCAAGGCTGACAAGCGCAGGTCTGTGTGTGAGTGCGTTGTGCATGGGGGGAGGAGGGGGGATAACTTAGGGGCAGCAGAGAGCTGAATGCATGAGATGAATTTTGCCTCCACCCGAAACTCTAGGGCAAATGAATGGCAAAACACGGGCAGGGCAAAAGCCAGGGAGTTATATCGTGTGAAAATAGAGACCATGTATGCAATCAGTCACCAGGTTCAAAGTGGTACTTGTTGACAAATACTTGCAGCATACGGGACGGAAGAGGCAGATCAGCTGCATGTCTCCAGAGGTCCAGTAAGCACACTCAGCCATACTTCACTCCAGGAGTTCAGAGCAACTGAGGCAGCACAATCAGCCGCAAAGTTGCCGACCATGTCCACATAGTTCACCGCACAACCTACACGAGCGGGACATCTTGCCGGCTGAACACCACTCCACACCTGTTGAACATTCTCATTGCTCGAGAAAGGGCATGGCGAGAGGAACGGGCCGCCGCCATCGAGAAGCACCTCCCTTGGCACAATTCGCTCACATCTCAAAACAGTCGTGTGCGGGTTTTAGCCGGGTGCGTGGCAGCCGGTAGCACAGAGTCGGCAACAATTACAGAGCATTGGTGTCAGCTCTGGAAAGCCCCAGGGGCTTTACACCAGGTTATTGAGAGAATTTGTAGAGACCAACACGTCGGCATCACCAGTGACATGGCATCAGCTCACGTTTCCATGACTTCCTCGTCTTGGCCGCCGTCCTCGTTGTCCGACTCGGGTCCTAGCTCAGCCAGCAGCTCATCAATGTGAGTAAGCATTGCCTCGTCATCACACTCATGCTTCGCTGTCAGCTGAACAGAATAGGTGAAAGGAAATTATAAAAAGTTTACTAAAAAGAAGAAAAGCCACGCTCCACCCCACCATACTGCCGAAACAATGCGCAGTGCCCACGAGACCTTGTGAGCGTCACCCCCACTTCTGTAGTATCAGTAGGCCTCTTCCAACCATCAACCTCTCCCGTCAGCATTTACGAACAGGCAAACATAGCAACGGAGCATGCACAGCGCCCTCGACCAAAACATGAGCCGCTCTAGGCCACTGCATACATATCATTTCTGGAGTACACCGAGCACTCAACCTCAGCCTAACCAGCTGCTGCGTGGAACCCGTGTATTCGGCAGGAACCAGAAGCACAAATGTCACTCACCTCCTTCGCTTTCTGGAGATAAGTCCGCGAGTCGGACTTCTCGTCGCAGTGGTAGTGCGCCCAGCCAAACAAATACCACACCTGTCAAGGGTCAGAATATGAAGATCATTGAAATACGTTTCAGAAGTCATGATAAATCCAAAATTTGGCATGGACGACAATCTCCAATTGAGGAAAGAGAGTGACAGCAGCCCCAGCACTAGCAGTACAACTCATTGCTAAAATATAGAGGCACAGGCCAAGTGTTAATGGCCAAAGGTCAAAGAGAAGAAAACATTCGAAAATACAGAGTCACACACAATCAAGGTGTCTTTGAAATAGTACATAGACTATAGACTGTAAAACCGGAAAGTTTAACGACCAAAAAGGTTTTTAAACGTTTTGTAATTTTGGTATGATAACGTGCAGAAAGTTTAACAATGGCTACCTGGCCACCCATCTGTATGCGCATCTTTACACAGACATCTCGACCCGGGTTCGCGATAACGTTTCTTCAAATAACGAAAAAAATTGGTCGTTAAAACGTTTGTGACTTTGTGACTCGTTAGACTTTCCGGTTTTACATTATTAAATCTACTTTTACAACGGCAAGGACTTGACAGCACATGTACCAATACAATTGCAATACAACCCACAGCAGAGCTACTAGTCTATAGCAACAGCATAGCTGTGAAGACTGAATAGACACGTACCGATATGACTTCATCGTCATCATCAATCAGGCCATCGAGGACGGAAAAGGCGCGCTGCGGAAAGGCCAGCAAAAACAGAGAAGAATTCAGAGGAGTTAAAATACGAACATTCACACGCAAGTCGTTCAAACTACACACCTTCACACAAGACATGACAAACTTTATAAAAACAGAAATGTTACCAGTTACAGACTGTCCCTTCGTGAAACCTTGTTAAGAAGAACACTGACAACAGTGACAAGACAAACTTTCACTTTACAAGAACTAAGGAACTAGTGTTCATAGCTCTCTTGAATAAATCACTGTGTATAAATCTGGGTGTAAACTATGGACAAGAAGAACTCCAGATATTGCGAACAAATACCACCGGTCCCATGGTGTTCGTCTTAAAGAGGTTCGACTATACGTGGTATGCAGGAAGTACGTTTTACCCAAGTCCGTCATAACAGTACACTTTTGTATTATATTCTTATGGAGAGAGATAGAAGCGGTGCCCTGAAACAGGTGTACATGATAGGTATGTGTAGGTGTAGTAGGTCTTAAAATCCGAGTGCATACGAGGCGATTCGCAATTCTGTAAGGCTGCAACCACACTAGGTACAAAATCACGTACAAACGGCATTACCGTAAAAGTCCGTAAATAAGTACCTGCCCGAAAGAAATACCCCCTTCATTCTTTTGGCTCTGTCTGTTGAAGTCAAGTCAAGCCCGATAAACATACTGCCCGAAATAAGTACCGGTATGGTGCGCACATGCAGCACGTAGCATGAAAATGACTTCTCCACTACACCCAAGTCAGGTCCGAAAGTTAGTTCGTGCCCGAAAGTCAGTACCCGCCCGAAAGTTAGTACGGGTGTGGTCACTAAATTCGAAAGTAAATACGTACCTATTTACGGATTTTTACGGTACAGTAGAAATCATCACGGTGACCCGCTCGAAATGCAAAATGCGCTTTGTAGGTTTTCAGCAACCTGTAGAAAGCCACAGTTGTCGTTTTCGTCATTTTCGCGCTCCATCTCCTCTGTACAACTTTTCGTACCTGGTCGTCGTACGTATAATAGCATCAGCATCAGCATTGTTTTTGAATTCCCCGGTCTTTTCCAGCGCATGGCACACACTTTGGTACGACAACGTCACGTGCTGGTCGCGTGAAAACGTCATCTATGCAGACCGAAGAGTGTAGTGTGGTTGCGTACCGACTTGTACTGAGATATGCACGAAAATTTGTAATGTGATTTTTACGTAGTGTGGTTGCGGCCTAAGGTTGAGGTCTGAGGTTACTTTACTCAGTTCGTTACATACTGTGAAAAGAATTCGGGTGGACACACCCATTCCCATAGCGCTGCACATCACATCCGAACCAGTTCCGTTATTTTTACAACGTTTCGGCACTTGGCCATCGTCAGGTAATAACAATGAATACCGTGGAAGCCACACAAGAGCAGTATATACGCAGAGTGTAGCGCCAAAAAGTATATACTGCTCTTGTGTGGCTTCCACGGTATTCATTGTTATTACCTGACGATGGCCAAGTGCCGAAACGTTGTAAAAATAACGGAACTGGTTCGGATGTGATGTGCAGCGCTATGGGAATGGGTGTGTCCACCCGAATTCTTTTCACAGATGAAGCTGCAGGAAGCCTCAGCCCTTCTTCGTTACATACTGTACTGAAAACCGTGACATAATCACAAATCACCTCGTACTACTGTAGTATATGATCTCCACTACAACTAGGAACACTGGCACTACCGTACGTAAACACCATGCAACACAAGCACACTGTACTCTGTAGTGCATTGATACACACCTGATGCTCGCCGACTTCAATCAGGATCTTTGCAGCGGCGACCCGGGCTGGATACGGCGGTACACACCTCTGAAGATGGGGGGGGGGAGAAATCACAGCAGGGAAAATGAACACGGAAGCTGAGCAGACAGTGCGAGAGCAAGATAATGAATCCACTAAGTATTTTATTCAGGAGGGTAATCGGCAGCTTTCGCTTCTTCGTCACTCAACGGGTCTTCCAAACACACATGGACTCACGGGCCGACTTCATTCACAATACGACTCGAACATGATGACACAATTCTATGAAGGTAACTTTGAAACAATTTTAATGTTTCAAACTGGCATGGGGCGGTAATAATCCCACTGGCTGGGTTGCCACCTTTGCTTATCTAATACTTCGAAGTACAGTGGTGCTCAATGATCTTGCCCGATCATCTTGGATTGCACGAGTCAAGTACGCCATGCCGGGCGCTGTACAACCCCAAACCAGCCAACACTGGTCTATGCAATGGTGCCGGGTGATGACGTGACTCGTGCGATCGGATTTCATTGAGCAGTACTGCAGAACCAAAAAGCCAGAAGCTTTGAACAAAAATTTGCTCTAAAGCCACACACACACGCACACACGCACACGCACACACACACACACACACACACACACACGCACACACACTACCAACCTCTTCGTCCTCATCTGCTTTCGCCGCAGCATATGCTGATGCTTCCTGCTCAGACGGACTGGGCAGCCACGAGTCAACTGACTTCACGATTAACTGCTTCGCTTCCTAGAGAGGCAAGAGAGAAAGAGCAGTAAGAGGAGAGGCATGAAAAAACAAAACAAGATATACCGGTCAAGAGCAAGTACCAAAACAGGAGACGAGAAGAAAAAACCAACTGCATGGCAGGAGGAAAAAGAGAGAAGTGAGAGTACGAGAAAGCTGTGAAGTTACTGGAGGAAAATAGAGAAGTGAGATTAGGAGAAAGCTGTCAAGTCACTGGGGGGAAAGAGAGAAGTGAGAGTACGAGAAAGCTGTGAAGTTATTGGAGGACAATAGAGAAGAAGTGAGATTAGGAGAAAGCTGTCAACTCACTGGGGGAGAGAGAGAAGTGAGAATAAGAGAAAGCTCTGAAGTTACTGGAGGAAAAGAGAGAAGAAGTGAGATTAGGAGAAAGCTATCAAGTCACTGGGGGGAAAGAGAGAAGTGAGAGTAAGAGAAAGCTGTCAAGTCACTGGGGAAAGAGAGAAGTGAGAGTAGGCGAGAGCGTGTGAAGTTACTAGGGGAAAGAGAGAAGTGAGAGTAGGAGAAAGCTGTGAAGTCACTGGGGGCCCAGAAAGCCGTAGAAAGAGAGAACAGACAACTAGGGCGGTCGGGGAAGAGCAAAAAGTATCACTAAGAACGTGACACGGGGCTAACTGCTAGATGTGGTGCATGCGGCCAGTGACAAAAACGTTGCCAACCCACTGCTTGTGAAAAGAATGCCAGCAGTACTGAGTGGCACTGTCAGCGCATTTATTTAAAACAAAGAGGTGTGAGCTTGGAAGCCATGAGCCCTGTGTGCAATTGCTACAGCCAATAACAAGCACTCCAGTGCACATGCACACACACACACACACACGCACACACACACACACACACACACACACACACACACACACACACACACACACACACACACACACACACACACACACACACCATAGACAGGTGAAAGCAACACGCCCTAGTGTGCAGGCTGGCACTACCATAAACACCAAACACACCAACAATTGGTGCCAGCAGCACTATTCTAGCGAGCCACGGGTACAGTGCACTTCTCTCACTAGCACTACAGTCATTCTAAATGCAAAACTGACAGGAATCAAAGCTGTCAGGAATCAAAGCTGTCAGGAGCTGGATGCCAAGCATGATACGAACCAAAGTAGATGTGTGAATAATGAAAAACTTAGCAACTCCAGTTCTGCAAAGCCAACACACGCACCATCACCAGCACCACAACACACGCGCACCCCGACACACACACACACACACACACACACACACACACACACACACATGGTTGTCACTTGTCACCCAGACGAAGAAGCTAGCGCCAAGTTGGCAACGCCTGGTCAACAAAAATGGAACTACAAATAGACAGGTGACCCCTGAAGTTCAAATGAATCTCAATGACATCTGGTCTCGGAGGAATTCTATGAAAAGACAGAGAGAGACAGAGAGGCATCGCAACGAACAGGACGTCGACTGTGCACGGACATGGCAGCTGCCATTGATGAGACTCTGACCGGCTTTGAGCAGTTGCGGCTGAATGATGATCAGAATGTGTCGCTATTCCAGGACCGGCAGGAAGACGACAACGCAATGTCAAAGATCTTTTTTCAACGTAGTGACTCTCCGGAGTATGTCCGCTACAGGAAGCAGCGCTACGAGCTACAGACAGTTCTGGCAGATAGCTGCAGCGCCTTATGCAAGCGTTTGTACTGCAAGTCCGGCCAGCTCAGAGACATTGATACGTCGTTAACGGGACTGTTTGCGGACGTATTCGACCGGCACCTCAGCGACAGCTTCGACAAGTTGCATACAATTGTCAGGACACGAAGCCTGTCGTCGGAGACAAGAAACCTGTTGGAGAAAGCAACACACAGTAGCATAGAGAGGCGATGTGCTGTACTAGAGGCACCACGTTGGCAGTTTGACGTGGTGCTGATCATGCACACAATCCAGGACCTGATGGACACGGTTGCCGCTCATCACCGGCACATGCGTGCCAGGCTGCAGTGGCTAGCCGATCAGCCAGAGGTGCGCCGCCTGCAAGATTACTGCCGCTTGCTGGAGTACCGACTGGAGGAGTACGATCTTAGCCGCGTCAACATGTGCACTGCAACGCACTGCAAGTTCGTCATCAACGCCCAGTTTGTCCTGGTGGCCATTCGCGACACTCTGGACACCTTGTTCGTCCTCTCATATCGGATATTTGACATTCAGGAAGTCTACATGCGAAACTTGTTTGCGTCGAACAAAGCAACGAAAACTAGATTCATACCTGCCGACTTTGAGGATAGCTTCCAGAGGATAATGGCAAGCAGTACGTATCAGACGCATGGCCAGCATTTGCGAAGAGAGGCCCACAACGGCACTGGTGTCAGCGCCTTCCTTTGTCGGCAATTCTTGCAGCGCCTCAAAGCCTGCTTCCAAGCGGCTTCTAATCAGCTGGACGAAACGTTAAGTCTGTTTCTATTCGCACAGTACAACAAGCTGCATCCCAACCCCTTTCAGTCCAGCAGACCCAGCATTCGATGCATCGAGAGAGAAAGCGACAAGCTGTACCACACGGCCATGTTCGAGTACAGCAGATGTCTGAACCGTGCTGTCCTAGTAGCGGCCGTGCTCCATCCCATGCACGCGTTCCGCCGGTTTGCAGGCGAGCGCCGTGCCAGCGTCACCGTGTCCCACCAGCAGACCATGTGCTGCAGCAGCGTGTGCAAGTGCCCGACGGCGGCCACGGCTAAGCACACACTGGATGACCAGATCAAGCAACTCCAGTCCAGCCTGGAACATCTTCAAATCTGGATCAGCAAAGTCTGAGCAGAACTGCATGCTGACTAGGACAGTTGGAAAACACACACACACACTGGATGACCAGATCGAGCAACTCCAGTCCAATCTGGAACAACTGCAAACCTGGATTGGCAAAGTCTGAGCAGAACAGAGGAGACTGCACGCTGACCAGGACAACTGAACACACACTAGATGACCAGATCAAGCAACTTCACTCCAGTCTGGAACATCTGCAGGCCTGGATCAGCAAAGTCTGAGCAGAGCTGCACACTGATCAGGATGGGATACAGCAAGCAACATACATGCACATCCTTTCCGGCAGCCTGGGAAGAACTTCCGAAGACAATTCGAACTGACTAATTTACCGCCATATGCATGATGCGTGTATATATTCATAGGATAGAGCCAGAACTGCATGCCTGCTACTTCGTTATACTGCAGTGTGGGGCACAGCACAGTAATCAATCTTCACGAGATAGTAGGGACATACACTGTGTGTACACGTGTGTGTACGTGTGGGTGTACGTGTGTGTACATGTCCTGTACCTGCATTGCATTATTAAACGTGCCGTAACCATGTAACTCCCTCTAAGCCTGCGCAAACTCACTTGGAATCGCTTGGAATATTGTTAGCATAAACAAGTGTTAACCGTACACAAATATACACGAATGGTTTTATCAAATGATTTCCTCATTACTATTTACATGGCTTGATAAACTGGAAATAAAAAATGTGCTGCAAGCCCATCGGCAGTAGCTGCACGGGGAACTCACGTCGCTGTTGCCTTCGCTCATTCTGAAGCTGGCCATCATCTGCAGTGCCTCTGGACTGTCCGGGCACAGGTGCAGTGCTTTGGCAATGAATTCACCACAGCGGACTGCTGCATCCTCCTCAAAACTGGAGAAGGACAATACAATGGAAGAAAAAGAAAGATAGTTTTCTTGTCACATTTTTCAATGGAATCTTGTGACTAAAAGAGAATGGATGACCAACAAAAGGATATCTACACAAAAAGGAAAGAAAGCCATTAGAAACAATACATTGTTTGACTGGACTAAGGTTGAAGGATCATATCAAGTATACCAGAACCAGAACCGCACAACAGGAAGCATGCATATACAGAAGTATACAGGAAGCATGGGTAGACAGTGGACATTGCAATCTTGCTTGCGAGGGTAATTCGTACGGCAGCAGACTTCACAGGACCACGGCCATCTAACTTCTTTCAAAGCCATTTTTCTTGCAGCTCGTGCAACATAGCTTCGAACTTGCTCCTGCGATCATCAGGATTGCTGACTTGTATTATTTTGAAATGTACTGTAGTTTTAGAAACTTCTTTTCTTTATTATAGGGGAGAATGACATCAGAAAACAGATGACTGGGGTGCAGATATGGTATGGGGGCCTTGGAAAGGGCACCAACTCCAACCTCAACTTCGAATGTGTGTGTGGTGTATGTGCCCACGTGTCCGTATTGTATCAGGCGTCTTATTTGAACTTTTTTTGTATGCGCCAATGCTTATTAATTTTGTCATTGCCAACCTGTGTAGTCCACACATTTTTATCAATGGATTCCTTTTGTATCTTGAACATGTGCAATATGTGCCAAAAAAACATCTTTCAAAAAATGATAATGATACAATGCATGTCATGGTAGATGAGTTGAGATACGGGCAGTGCCCGGTCCCAAGGTACCCGGATAAGAGACGTCCGAGTGCACATGCACTTTAAATTATAGCAGGCACCTGTGTGCTGGTGCATGGATGGTGTACTAGTTCAAAGTAGATTGCATGCACAGCCACACAGTCAGTTCTGGAAGAGGAGAAAATGACATGGGTTCTCAGCTGACACCAGACTGAGGCAATTCGCTCCAAAGTACGTGCAGCATTGAGGATGATACGCCCATTGTCAAATAAGGCACGCATGAGCAATGCATGTGAGTACAGTAGGATCAGGAATACACTGCTCAACACACCACACACGACCATACCCAGGTGGCTGTGCGGGTGTGTTCATGGCATGAACTATGTCATTGTGCAATGGACGCATTGACGTGTGGAGAAGAGTGGACTTGGGACAAGCCGTACATACCATAGATCGGTGAGGTACAGCTCCGCTAGAGAGCAGTAGCCCGCGCATACTTCTTCAGCTGCCACGGCTTGGCTCTGCGTGAAGAAAACAGTACGGCACAAAACGCACACTGTACTCGGTGCACTGAACGGTGCATACACCATCTTACAAGCCCTGGACTTCTGATCAGCCCTGGAGTCGACTAGGCACAGCTATCACTGACCATGTATACAGACTACATGTACCATATCCACGCATACTGGCTATTCACGCGCACTGTACACTACTGCACACTACACTGGCAGGCAGTCGTCGCAGTGACATCCGTGTGAATAGCCGCTCGCGCAGCTAGTCACTTCACACTCAATAAATTCTCAACATCTATCCAATCGAGTCAAGTCTCGCTTGCTGTTTTTGTTCAGAGATATCAATGCAACAAAACCAAAGGAACACATGTGCCGGCGTTTGTTTGCTATTTACTGGCAACCCTGGCAACCACATGAAACAACCATCATATGGCATGATGCCCAGATTGCTGGCCATTTAGAAACTCAATAATTCAATATTCAACTCCTTCAAACTGACGAACAATGCGTGTTCAAAGTTTTTTCAGCACATACTCTTCAGGGAAGAAAACGGCACCGGTCCAACCAAGAAATCGTTAATTGGGGTGGCTCAAGCACTTAATCAACAGATCACTGCTCAGGTAGAACAGCGCATTACGTACCGGCCTGACGATCGGGTGTGTAGACAACTGGCAAACATGATACATACAGTAGCTGTAGTCCAGTTACCCCCCCCCCCCCCCCCCCGCCCCTCAGTCCAGCCACTCCAAGCACCTCCCCCATGCCCCCCCCCCCCATGCCCCTCAGTCCAGGCACCTTCTCCAGCCCATGCCCCCCCCCCCCTGCCCCTCAGTCCAGGCACCTCCCCCAGCCCATGTCCCCCCAAACTCGGGTAAATCCCCTCACAGTCCAGGTAACTCCCCCTCCCCCCCCCCCCCTTCCCCCGGTAACTCAGCAGTACACTCACACTAGCAGCCGCACTCTGTGACGCCAGCAGGGACTCCATGATGCTTAGGCCCTTGATGTAGTGCTGAGCGCCCTCCATTCCCGCACACATCTGACCCAGGTACATGTACTTGACGTGGCCAACATCCGGACTGATCTCCACCGCTCGACACAGGACGTAAGCACGACTCGGAGTTAAGGAAAGCAAACGGAACAACCACGACCAAGTCAACGCACACAAACGAACGGAACTTGCTCGCGCGAACAGCAAAGGCAGGACAAACAGGAACTAGTCGGTCTTGCCCGTCGTTTCCATAGCCCCACCACTACCCCTGCCACTGAAACGTATCAACTATGAGAAGGTTCCCAAATCCCAGTCCAGTATGCATTCAAATGTGCAGTCAGTACAGCTACCAGAAAACGAAAAATAGGAGCTACTATAAAAATTAGGCTCGTGTGCTGCGAAAACTGGCCTGAATACTGACAAACTGCAAAGGGGCACAACTGCTGCTATCAAAAGGATATCTCGTAGGCTTGGTCTGGATTGCCAAGCTCCAGCAGAATGGCAGCTGTCGTGTCCAGCAGCTGAGGATGATTGGGATTAATCTGAAGAGCCCGCTCGCAAAACTGCTGTGCTGCTTCAAACTCAAATGTTTCCATCAGTCCATCGATCTAAAAGCAGGAAGAAAAAATATATATAGAGAGAGAGAGGTGTGTGTGTGTGCGTGTGTGTGTGTGTGTGTGTGTGTGTGTGTGTGTGTGTGTGTGTGTGTGTGTGTGTGTGTGTGTGTGTGAGAGAGAGAGAGAGAGAGAGAGAGAGAGAGAGAGAGAGAGAGAGAGAGAGAGAGAGAGAGAGAGAGAGAGAGAGAGAGAGAGAGAGAGAGAGAGAGAGAGAGAGAGAGAGAGAGAGAGAGAGAGACAGAGACAGAGAGAGACAGAGCGAGACAGAGAGAGACAGAGAGAGAGAGAGAGACAGAGACAGACAGAGAGAGAGAGACAGACAGACAGAGAGAGAGAGAGACAGACACAGAGAGAGACAGACACACAGAGACAGAGACAGAGAGACAGAGAGGCAGACAATATATCAGTATCCGTCAGAGTCCAATCTGGCTCCTGCTGTGTAGTTCAGCTATATCCAATTGAAATTTAAACCGACAGAGAGAGGTCGACAGGATGGACCACACACCATGCTTACAAATCACGCAAGTTCGAATAGCAACCTGCCATAACTTAAAAGCAGCCTCTGTTAACAGCACTGCAACAAGAAAAAAAGCGTGACTGTTGAGTAGATCCTCCTGGCATAGCAGGCTAGGCACGAGCACCAGTAATCAATGACATTATGCGCAGCGCACAGTGGTCACATTCAGCTTTCTTATCACCAGCAAGGTGTCTCGGCTAAGTCAACATACATGCCCACACGCACATACACACACACACACGTACACACACACGTACACACACACACACACACACACACACACACACACACACACACACACATGTACACACATGTACACACACACCTTTGACGCCCATCGCCGGAGGCGATGATAGCAATGCTACGGCAGAAGCCATAGCAACTTGTGCTGGGATTGCACCATTCAACAGCTTGCAAGGCTGAAGACTTGACCGTCACTATTCAGCCTGGTCTACACCATACAGCTATTTGAAGTGACTTTTTCTGGCCAGTGAATCCCTATTTTTGGTCTTTTCATTTTTTTCACGCACACACATCACACCACATACTCCGGCATGCACTGGCTGTTGGTAACCACCCAGGAGAATGAAAGAAAAGTCAGGAAGAGTCTGAGAAAGAGAAGAAAGACGTGTGTGACCATAATCGTCGGGAATCGAGCCAGGAACCTATCGATTGGAAATCGCTGCACATACCACTGCACCATATGGGACACACACACACACACACACACACACACACACACACACACACACACACACACACACACACACACACACATGTACATGTGTGTGTGTGTGTGCATCAGCAGAACACAACCATGCCGGCAGCCACAGCAGCATCAACATCAGTGGCAGGAACAGCAACAACAAAAACAGCAGCAGCAATAGCAGTTGCCAACCATCCTACCTTGACAAGAAGATCTTCCACGGTGTATTTCGGAGCAGTGCCAGAGCCACCACTTGACGATGATTTAGTCTTCTTAGCCTTGGCCGCAGCGGAAGTATTGGGCTCTGGGCAGAGAAGGTACAGCACAGTATCATGCCACATCAGACATCAATTAGATGTGCTGTCTAGGTATTTGTTAACACAGCATCGTCTTGGGATACGCAGACACAGCACAGTCGCAGCAAGTATGCTTCTCAAGCAAGGTCGAGATAACAGCAGGCTACATCATGAGTTTCCATCACAGCCAATCAGATTTGCAAATGTGCGGTCAAGGCAAAAGCACAAAATAAAATCGAAGATCGAAGCAATAATTGCCCTTTTGCAAATTCTTTGCTCTACATCATAGTCTGATGTCTACAATTGTAGTATCACTTTCCATCCACCGTTCACCTTTTGTATTCTTTCTTTCTTTTCTTTTTTAATGCCGGGGAGTCTTTATGTACTCAACCACCGTACTTCTATGAATAGAAGTCACACCTTTTTGCTAACAAATCCCAAGAACGTGGAAGGGGGTATGGCATACAATCGAGTGTGACTTGTTCCTCGGGTGACCACACTGAAACTATACGACAGATACTTAAAAAAGGGGTGAAACTTATAAGGATAACAGCAAGAGTGAACAAGTCACAAACGGGAACATTGGTGAAAGAAGCCAGACCTGTGCATACAGAAGGAATTAGTAACTACACTCACACCTTCCCCCCTAGTTTTTCACCAATGTTCCCGTTTGTCACTTGTACATTTTTGCTGTTATAATTTCCTACACACCTCACAACCTATTTGATTCTGTCACGTCCCTTTAGCTTTTGTAGTGATTGTAAAGTTAGGCTAACTTAGCTCCTGATAGAAATATAATCCTATGTTATTTCATGTTACTGATCAGTGGCGTCATTCCACTGAAGAAGGTCACAAGAAAACGTTCTGGATTATGACTAACTGCATTGCCTTGTGTGTGTGTGTGTGTGTGTGTGTGTGTGTGTGTGTGTGTGTGTGTGCGTTCGTGTTGCGCTGGCTTGGACACGTGGCACGGATGGAAGATCACCGGTTGCCAAAGTGTGTTCTCTTCGGTGAACTGCCTGCCCCGCGCCCGGCGCATGGTCCACGCAAGAGGTGGAGGGACGTCGTTATGGATGACTTTGCGTCGGTTGAGCCACCGGTACCAGCATGTGGATGGTACGATGCAGCCCAGAACCGTCCGGAGTGGCGTACCATTGCCCGTCGACCACCCAAGGCACCCTCTACTGCTGGCTACGGTTGCGCCTGCGGCCGCATGTTCCGTCGAAGCGGCGACCTGAAACGCCATCAGTCATTCTGTCGTGGACTGGAGAAATAACAATGCGCTATCATTGCTACGCAATGGGCAAGATCAAGGTGTGTGTGTGTGTGTGTGTGTGTGTGTGTGTGTGTGTGTGTGTGTGTGTGTGTGTGTGTATGTATGTGTATGTGTATGTGTGTGTGTGCATGGACATGGCAGCAAGAAGGCAGAACTTGCCTGTACTCATCGGTAAGTGACTAGCAGTAAGTCTCATGGTATTAAAAGTAAAACACACTTGCAAATAATTTATAAAGTAAACAATGCAATATAAATATTCATTGGTTTGAGGGAAAGATGTAAACGGGAAACAATGCAAGTAACGTTAGTTTAGAATGTGGCGAGATTTAGGTAATTTTGGGAGACTTCCTCGATGCCTATCGAGCTCGACAACGTGCTAGCTAGTACGGACGTGGAGCACAGATTGGAAATCTGCACAAATGGTTTCACAGTCATCATCTCAATTGCATGCATGATGATTTCGCAGGCGCACTGAATACGTTATCACATGCAGTATGGTGGCACTTACTGATCGGCTTTTTGCTTCTCTTCCCCATCTTGGAGTTTCCTTGATCCCACCAGCTTCAATTTACTAATGCTCAAACGTGAAACGGGGCTTGCAGGAAAACAGATGAACCGTGAGACTACGACTGGTTTGTATTTTCGCAATTATGTGACATTTCGCATTAATTTTTAAATTATTAATAATTTTGCTACGTAGCTACGTACATACGTACGTATACGCGTATGCGGATACAGATGACGTAACCAGGTAAGACGATGATTTCACCATCAACAAACCATTCGAACCACTCGGAACCAGGCTGGCCAGTGCAGTGGCCAGGCCGCGGATGGCCATATGGGGCAGGGATATCCGGATATGATATCATGGATATAGGGAGTCGTAAAAATGCGACTCACTGCTTCAAATGATCTCAGCTGAGACAGTGATAAGACCAGGGAGGGCCGGCTATAGACCTTATTCGATCACGTGATTTTTCGGGGCGCCTTCGAGGATGCGCACGCGGCACTCGGACGCGTGATCCGGACGAGTGGCAAAAAGGCCTCAGCTGAGCATCACGGAAATTTGTTTTGAATGTATTTTCAATATCGGAGTTCGTCTCCTTCCTTTTCTCGAAGTACTTTCATGCAGGTTTGTCAGGTGTTAGGAGCAGTAAGCAGTCTTCTTGTAGTTTTGAGTGTTCTAGCAGTGATGGCGGTTCAAGACTTGTCCGAAATCTATCGCGATTTGGATAAAGCGGGCAAGACGCGGTATGCCGAGAAGCTGGCGTTTGTCAGGTGTTAGGAGCAGTAAGCAGTCTTCTTGTAGTTTTGAGTGTTCTAGCAGTGATGGCGGTTCAAGAGTTGTCCGAAATCTATCGCGATTTGGATAGAGCGGGCAAGACGCGGTATGCCGAGAAGCTGGCGTTCATCGGCTCGGACCAGGACCCCTACGTGACGAGCAGATCTCTCACGCCTGGTGCCACACCTGATTTCCCCAGCGTGGAGTATCCTGATTTGTACCACTATCTCGTGAACGCGCCGAGTCCCTGCACGAAAGAGGAGATGAAGGCGTACAAAAGCTTGGAGGGGTACCAGTTTTTCGTTGCTGGTTGGGTTGGCAATGTCGTCACCTTTCCTGCAACTGCGGATGGCAAGAGAGCATTTGTGATGGCGAAGGTCCGTCACTCCCAGTCCGTGTCCTCTGCTGAGCTGCAGCCTTGGGTGGCAGCTGACATGGATGGGAGTGTGCTTTGTGCCCACTGTACGTGTATGGCTGGCCTGGGTGAGGCATGCTCCCACATTGCCGCCTTGCTATTTACTCTGGTGGCCAGGACGGATTTCGTGAAAGAAAATTCCGCCTGCACCTCCACGCAATGTCAGTGGATTGCCCCATCCCTGCAGCCTGTGCAGTATGCCAGGATATGCGAGATGGATTTCGCCGCGCCGAGCAGCAAGCGCACTAAGCCAGCAGCAGCCAGTGTGGAGGTCACCACACAACTGCCGACATACACTGTGCCAACCACCAGTGAAGTCAACGAGTTCTTTTCTGGTCTTGCCTCCACGCAGAGCAAGCCAGGGATACTATCAATTGTTCCTGGTTTCTGCGAGAGGTATGTCCCAACCCGCCCAGCTGGGTTCCCAGCTTATATCACCGACCTCTATGATGAGGCAATGCTAGACGCATCACTCGATGTGTTGCTGAACCGGTGTGATGATGTTTTGAAGGGCATGGGAGTGACAGCAGCAGAATCGGCTGCTGTTGAAAAGGCAACCCGCGATCAGAGCAAGAGCAAGCTGTGGTTCAGGTTCCGCGCAGGGCGTGTGACAGCTTCAAAGTTCCGTGATGCTGCTCACACACCCCCTGCGAACCCATCATCATCTCTAATTCGTGCAATTTGCTACCCCGATGCATATCAGTTTTCCTCTGCAGCGACCACTTGGGGTTTGGAGCATGAGCAGACTGCCCGAGACTGCTACGTCAAACTGTTTGAGCCTAACCACTGCGACTTCAAAGTTACTGATTCAGGATTCGTCATCTCCACCACTCATCCGTATCTCGGTGCCAGTCCTGATGGAAACATCAATTGTACTTGCTGCGGATATGGCGTCCTTGAGGTGAAATGCCCTTTCAAAGCCGTGAACAAGTCCTTCCATGATCTGGCAAAGGACACCAACTTCTGTTTGAAGGAGGTCGATGGAAAATTCCATTTGCGCCTTGGTCACAAGTATGCATACCAAGTGCAAGCACAGATGTTTGTATGCAAGGCAGCATATTCGGATTTTGTGGTGTGGAGCGTGCGGGAATGTGTAGTCATCCGCGTTCATCCAGATCCAGATTTCCACAAGACAGTCCAAGCCATCACGTCTTTCTACAAGGCTGGCGTGCTGCCAGAGATTGTCGGCAAGTATTTTACAAAATCCTTCAAATCTACTGCCGCCAATTCTGATGGAGCTGTATGCACTTGCAACGAGGATAAGGACGGCGACGTGGTGGAATGCTCACATCCAGACTGCAGAGTTAAGACGTTTCACTTGGTATGTCTTCGCATGAAGCAGAAACCAAAACGCAAGTGGATATGTGCAGCATGCAAGAAGAAGGAATAACTGCGTGTACGGGTGTGTGTGTGTGTGTGTGTGTGTGTGTGTGTGTGTGTGTGTGTGTGTGTGTGTGTGTGTGTGTGTGCAACGCCATGCTAGATTCTGTTGACTCTCGCTCTTTCTTTCCTCTCTTCTCTCTTTTAGTTGTTGTCTCCCGCTTATGATAGCGGCATGGCCCGATAGGGCAGCTGTACATAGCAGTAGTAGTAGTGTATGTGTGTGTGTGTGTGTGTGTGTGTGTGTGCATACATGCATGTATCCTGATGCAATTATGTAACTAGGAGCTATGCCCAACCCACCAAAACTCTCACTTCTCACACAAATGATTGCACCATACATGTACATAGAAATCAACAGCCATGCTCATGCATGGCTGCAGGATCATACATTCCACCATGTCAGAAATTTGAACTTGAGTCAATATGACCACTGGGGCTTGTTATTATTATGTGCAGGCAAGCGAAAAAGATGAAATCATATGATGATTTCAAGTTGTGCTTTTTGAAACATGACGTGTGTGTGTGTATGTGTCTGTGTGTGTGTGTGTGTGTGTGTGTGTGTGTGTGTGTGTGTGTGTGTGTGTGTGTGTGTGTGTAATGGAGTGTGATTGATTGAGATTTACACATTGGTGCTAACTAGACACAGGGACAAAAGCCGTTCTTCGAGGGAGTGGTAAAATACAAGTAACATAATTTGCATTGCACTCCTGTCCAGGTAATCTATGCAGCAACAACATGCCACACGTTCCACAATACGGGACAAAAAAAGTAAAAAACAAGTCAATACTTCAGTACTTCTACTGGAAAGGCACCACTGAGTCGCAGCAGTTGCACAGCGCAGAGCACACCAGGACAATCTTGTCGATGGTGCACACTCCTGTTGAGGCATCACTCATCAGCATGTTCACTGGCAGGGTTGACTGCAGAATAGTGTACTTCTGCCGCAAGTTGCCGATAACACGTTCCACATGGATTCGTAGCCGAGACAGCTTCCTGGCCTTCTCAATGCTGATTCTCGACAGTTGCTTCTTGCCTCTTGTGAACGGAGGTATGACCAGCTCAGCGCAGTGCAGGCCAACGGCATCACTGACCGTGAATCCCCGGTCTGCCATTAGCTGATCACCCGGCAATAGCTTGTCCAACAGCCCGCAATGCTCCGTGATGTACTTATCCGATGTCCGGCCACCCCATCCTTTGGAGATGAAGGAAATAGTGCCTTGCGGGGTGATACCAATAAGAAATTTAACCGTGTTGTGGTGTTTGTAATTAGAGAAGGTTTGAGCCCTGGCCATCAGATCATGTGGCCTTTCGCAAAACACTTCAAAACAATCAATAATGCAAATGCACTTCCCAAAATGTCCGCGAAACTCCAATGGCATCGTGCGGTACAGTTCGGAGCGCTCTGGCCAGATGATCAACGGCTGCAGCCTGCCATAAAGGACGTGGATCCATTTGTGGAAGTACTTTGAGACGGTAGACTGGCTGATGCCGAAGCGATGTGCTAGATCTTGATCGTGCAAGTTGAGGCGCAGCTTCATCAGGACAATAATAAACTGCGCAAAGGACGGAAGTGCCGCTCGGTGGTGGTCGGGGATGTCCTTGCCAGCAAATGCGAACACTTTCTCCAGCACAGCAAAAGATGGGAGGCCAGTTTCATATCTCACCATGTCATCATTGGACTTGAATCCTGATATGATGGAAGACATTGCCGCCTCTGATTTTTGATGTTTCACAGTGGCTTCCAGGTGCTGTACTTTGACGGTGAGAGCAGAAATAGCAGATTTCTGTTCCTGCAACTGACCATTCAGCTGGCATTTGTCCTCTTCCAGCTGTGCCACTCTCGCCTGAAGCAAGGCTAGATCGTCATTTTCTTGTTCAGCACTATTGTCGACATGGCTGCTGGCTTCAGTGAGCTCTGGCTGAGCTGGGGACGCTGGCTCAACAGAGTCTGACGAACATGAATCTCTCGGCGCACTCTCCTCTTCGATTTCCTTGTCAGCATTACAGTCACTTTCTCCAGTCAGCACGGGCTCATGATTGCCATGGCAGGTATCTTCAGGCTGAGCTGTTGGCTTTGAAGCTGCATGCCGTCGACGTCGGGCCTTGTGGCGATCAAATTTTACGTAAGCTTTCTCACCATTTACTCGACCCTCGTCTGAAAAAACAGACGGGACGAAATCAGGGGATAGTGGATCGTCGCTCTTCTTGAACCTTACAAAGTGATCGCAGCACACCCAACTGGAAGCGTTGGGCTGCCAGTTCTTGCGCTTCAGCGCAGCAATCCACTTTGCTCTCCTGAGCTGATTAGTTGGGAACTTATAAAAGCTCTTTCCACCGCCTTTCGCGAAACGGTTAGCGCAACCAACTGCACAGCAACTCTTCACCATACTACTACACTCCCTACCCACGTCTCCCTGACCAACGACAGTGACAGCTACCCAGAACAATTCCAAAGCTCTCCTCCAAACACACTTGCCCACAACTATCAACACGCACTTTCAAAACAAAACACTTCTTGCCACTCGTCCAGTTTTTCGTAGGTTCGTGACTGGGGTCCACGTGACCCGTGACGTGTATCGAATAAGGTCTATAGCTAGGGAGACGTAAAATATGGTATTTTACGACTCCCTGGACAACACATCATGCAAAGGCTGACTACAAAAAGGGAATTGTGAGGAAGCTTGCAAAGACTAAGTACACTATAGTTTTGTTGTTTCATTGCTGCTTGCAAGTCTGTATGCTGTGTGAAGACAGCGATTTCTTCGATAGGCAAACATGGTGGACTTCACTGCAGCGACACGTATTCAGAGGGAATTTCGAGATGTGATGAAAAGCAAGGAGGTGAGAGGAAATTCAATTTTGTGAGTTTGCTGATGACTTCTATCGTGGTGTCCATGACGGACAAGGAGCACTTGCTGTTGATTTGTTACACCTGTTTTGGTAGTGTGCTGATTCCAACATCAAGATCGTGATGCTGAACGATAACTATTCTGACCTCCGAGGCGAGTTTCTTGGCCCACCGGATACCCCATTTGCAGGTACATTGTTTAAATCAGATATATTTTAAGGTGCGCAAGCTCCACTGCAGCCACTTCATTGCATGAAAAACCCTACACATACCACCCTCAAATCAAGTGATCTCTTCTTTTTGTCGTAGTCTCACCACTATTCACACCTTGTTTTCAGGCACATTGGGGTTTTTTGTGTGTCTGTTTTTGCACACGTGTGAGTGAAGGTGTGATTCTGAGTGTGAGTGTGTGTACGTGTGTTTCGGCGTGTGTGTGTCTGTGTGCCTGTGCCCAAAGGATGGTGTAGTTTTATCGCGTATGGTGTAGTTTCATTCCACTTTGAGTTGCATGATATAGGTCCACCTCGCTTGTTTTTCTCCGCAATCCTGATGATGGCTCCTGGCCGAAAATTTGATACATGTATAAACAATCATCGGACAGCACACATGCAGTCATGTATTCTCTGTAGGCATGTAGTTTCTAAAACATGGGCCTGCAGTACAATGTTGATGATGACTCCCTGGCGTGCATGTGTGTGGATGTGTGTGCATGTGTGTGTGTGTGTGTGTGTGTGTGTGTGTGTGTGTGTGTGTGTGTGTGTGTGTGTGTGTGTGTGTGTGTGTGTGTGCACGTGTGTGTGCACGTGTGTGTGTGCATGTGTGTGTGTGTGTGTGTGTGTGTGTGTGTGTACTATGTGTGTACTATGTGTGTGTGTGTGTGTGTGTACTATGTGTGTACTATGTGTGTGTGTGTGTGCTATGTGCCATATGAGTACTTCTGAAACACGCACACAGTGAGAATGTCCTGTTTGGCTTTGGAACACCCGTGTGGTATTGGATATTGCACCATGCTGCCCTCAAGCAATGTTCGGCTGGTATGAATTTTGAACCAGCCCAGGGTAATACAAAAACCATGATGAGCCAATCAGGCATTGCTATGCAGTGTAATAATATCAGTGCATCGGAGAAACGCGTAATATCTTTTCATTCATCAGTTGAGGGAGTTAAAAAGACATCTTTCGATTTTTTTTTGCCTCGGTCAGGTGGCACGTTCAATCTTGAGATTCGAATCCCCGATGGGTATCCGTTCGAGCCTCCAAAGGTAAGTCTACAATTGGTTACATACATTTACCCTGGCTGATCAAACCTGCATGCTGATGTCTATCGTACTAGCAGACATTTTAGGTCATTGAATCTGTTCGTCCGACTCCACAGAAAGACAGTTTGTCCTGTTGAAAATTCCCTCGCCGGACACTGAAAGTATTCACAGGCTGGACAAATTACCGTTAGTACGGTGCATTGTTTGATCTTAGAAGGCTCGCTGGCATGCGTGCATCAATTTTGAACAGCAGAGACAGTTCTTTCGTCAGCTGAGTGATCATACAGGCACTACTGTGCATCATTGTAATCATCCTCTAGATGCAGCTGTGTTCAATTGAAGGGGGGGGGGGTACTTGTGGATAGGATACACGCTAGGCCACTATGCACATTGATACAGTAAAACCTGTAACTAAAGACCATTGTGGCAAACAACCAGCCTGGTACTACAGACCACTTCGCCAGGCACGGACGGTCTCACATTCATATAATATTATGGTTGTGCTGTGCTAAACCTCTAACTGGGGACCACCTGCCACTAAAGACCACTTTCTCTGACCCCAAGGGGCGGTCGCTAGTCACAGGTTTCACTGTACTATCAAGAGTACATAACCCCCCAAGAGTGTGCAACTCCACTATGGGTGCTGTCCCGCCAGAATTCCAAGTAATAATTGACCACATTTGACCCCATTTTTTTTTAAATATGATGCACTATCAGACGTATCCTGGACCTGTGGTGGACAAAGCCCCGTTTGATCATGTACAAATTAAATTATTTCAAGGAGACACGTGTGATGCGTTGACACCCGGACAAATATCATAACCCACTCGTGCGAGGAGCATTGCAGCATAATTCATAAGAATGATGTCAGCTCGAAATTCTGTCGGGACAGCTGGGTATGCAGGAGTTTCACACTCTTGGGGGTTATGTACTGTTGGTATTATTCACTGCGTATACGATGTATATGGTGCTGTGTGTCCTCACTGATGTTCTTCATTACAATGTCACACTCTTCATTACAATGTCACAATGTATTGATGTGCCTCTCTGATACTCGCAGGTACGCTTTACTACGCGTATTTGGCACCCCAACATCAGCTCAGCGACGGGTGCTATTTGCCTGGATATTCTGAAAGACCAATGGTAAGCCTATGTTGGTATAATGTACTGCACTAGATTACTACCTGCACGTGTGATACTGGTGTGGCTTTGACGATCAGTGGGAGGGCAAGAAAGACCCTGCACAGCTGGAGAATTTCATCTCATTCCAGCCATGTGCGTGCGTGCGTGCGTGCGTGCGTGTGTGTGTGTGTGTGTGTGTGTGTGTTGGTATTCATGGTACATACCTATTACATGGCCTAGTCTATTGCATATCCAGTTTTCGAGTTCAGTGCACCGTTCAGGCTGTCATTGCACTACGGTACAAAGCGCTGCGTCCACGTTGGGAGTTTTTGGTCGGTTGTCATGATGATCCATGTACGGAGTGAAAATGGGAGCAGTGGAAACGTAGGGGAGGGGGGGGGGGTATACGACCTTTTGGATGAACGTGCGTATGTCCCCCAGTCTTTTTTCCGGGCGACCTTGGACGTGCGTTTCTATTTTCGAATTTCTCCAAAAACGTGATTGCTCGTACGGGTCGAGAACTGTGCATGTCTGATGACACGACCGCCCGTTTTGGATTTTTCACCTGAGACGTAGACGTGGACGGGAGTCAGAGAACGTAGTGTGATGACCGCCTTAGCAACAGGGTAAGGAGAAAAGACGAGTCAAGCTCTAAAGTTGACAAGTCCAGATCAAGACGGGGTGATATTTTGTTCTTATTTGTCTCTATGGGCTATTCCAGGGCAGCGGCAATGAACCTTCGTGTGGTGCTGTTATCAATACAGGTGAGCCGCTACTGACAGTGCAAGACCGAACCCCTCTATTTGTATGCATGTTCAGGTTTGCTAGCCACATGTGTACCAGATCTTGATGTATATACAGGGAACTTTCAGTATAATGTTCCCTGGATGTTACATACCTACTTTTATCGCATATAACGTACAGTAAAACCTGGTTGAAGCGACCTCTGGGTTTAGCGACCACCTGCTCTTAACGGCCGTTTTTCATGCACCGACAGTTCTACACAGACACTGTGAGACCTGGTTCTAAAGACCACCTGGCTTTAACGACAGTGTTTGCTTGCACCGTGGGGTGGTCGCTTAAACCCGGTTTTACTGTACTTTTTTAGGGTCCTGTCTATCCCTTTCCAATAATTCGACCTTGGATACAACCGATTCTGGTGTGGGCTGACAGCTACACCTCAAATTACACTGCTTTCTACATTCTACTCAAAATTCTTCCTGTCAGATGATGGTTGTCAGCCCACAACATAATTCGTTATAATAAAGCTGCAAGAAGCGTTCAAACTCATCTTGGATATACAGTACCTTCGCTAAAATTAAAAGTACAGATTTTCATATCCCTGGAGGTACAGTATACTGAAGTTTCACTGCACTTGTTATTGATCTAGTATATCAATGTAATAGCGGGTTCTGTTTTTCTTGCTGCGTGTGCCGATGCTATAGGGCTTGTTAGCATCACCAGAGCCTGATGATCCGCAAGATGCAGTTGTAGCCAAGCAGGTAGGTGTCAAGGCTGTGCACACTCTATCCTGTTGCACACTGAACTCGAGCTGTGCCCGCTGCCCTGCATGTTTGGTGTACACTGTACTAACCTTACACTTTACCCCCCCCCCCCCTCTCTCTCTCTTATCCTCATTCAACACACACACACGCGCGTGCACACACACACACACACACACACACACACACACACATGTGTCGTCTACCTTTTGTGTGTGTGTGTGTGCTCCTGTTATCTTTTCAAACGCTTGTTACACGCTGACCATGTGTGTGTGCATGCATTTGTTTGTCTGCATGGCTTGGTGTTTGTCTGTCTGCATGGCTCGGTGTTTGTCTGTCTGCATGGCTTGGTGTTTGTCTGTCTGCATGGCTTGGTGTTTGTCTGTCTGCATGGCTCGGTGTTTGTCTGTCTGCATGGCTCGGTGTTTGTCTGTCTGCATGGCTCGGTGTTTGTCTGTCTGCATGGCTCGGTGTTTGTCTGTTTGCATCACTCGGTGTTTGTCTGCATCACTTGGTGTTTGTCTGTCTGCATCACTTGGTGTTTGTCTGTCTGCATGGCTTGGTGTTTGTCTGTCTGCATGGCTTGGTGTTTGTCTGTCTGCATGGCTTGGTGTTTGTTTGTCTGCATGGCTTGGTTTTGTTTGTCTGCATGGCTTGGTGTTTGTTTGTCTTCATGGCTCGGTGTTTGTCTGCATGGCTTGGTGTTTGTCTGTCTGCATGGCTCTGTGTTTGTCTGTCTGCATGGCTCTGTGTTTGTCTGTCTGCATGGCTCTGTGTTCTTGGTACAGTACAAGCAATGCAAACCCATGTATAGTGACACAGCCAGGTATTGGACATGCGCGTACGCTGGAGGTCCCCAGGATGGATTCGACTATGGCACCTTCTCCTCCAAAGTACAGCGGATGATGGAGATGGGAATAAGTGAGGTAAGATCCCCGGTGCGGTCTTTCGCAGTCCACTCTCAGCTGTCTTCCTCGTATCGTATTTGTTGTTCAAGTGAGCCATGCTCTCGCATCACGTGATGCTGGCTTGCGCAACAGGGCAAAACGCTGCACTTGGCGACTACAGTACGACCAAGAGTGCATGAAACCCAGGGTGTGCAGCTTGGGGCGTTTTCTACTATGGGTGTCTGTCACGGCGGAATTCCGTGACTACATCATATTTTGGCGCAGATCTGAGGCGGGAAATGGTGCAGTGCGTACAACTGAGCTGCAGCTGTGCAGAAAGAGACCTGCTTGAATCCTTCTCGTAAGCACTACATCACTAAAAATGATGTAATCACGGAATTCCGCCGTGACAGCAACCCATCCGAGCTGCACACTCTGGTTTTCATGTACTCTTGGTACGACTAGGAACTGTGGGCAAGTACGACTGGAAACAAGAATACCAGTGGAACTACAGTGCGTTGCATACTGCTTTCCTGTACATTTCAACTTTGAAACGTGGGCAACAATCTGGCGGAATAGTGGGTTTTTCCCTTCTGTGTCCGTCTCATTGCAAAGCAAGCTCTGCGTGGTCTCTACTGATTCATATTATTCATGGAATCTCAAGGGTAGTGCCCTGAACGTCCGTTTGCAAACGGTCTATTGGTCCAGAATCCAGAATGTATATATTTTTAATTTAAAGGGGAAGTTAAGGCAAAAATTAAAATTTCACCAGTTGTAGTCTTCGGGGTGCTGAGTCGAATGGTCTTGGTCCGAGAAAGCTGAGACGCTCCCTTCCTACTTGAATCCCAATCGAACTCGCGCTCTTCCACCGAAACTGGGTGACTGCGCCCTACTAGATGGGGATTTGTATGCAAAATGTCACTAAAAGCGCCATTTCGTTCTTATAAAAGCACGGATGACCGCGATTGGCCCATATGTTGTAGTCTTTTGGACGCTGAGTCGACTGGTTTTGGTCCGAAAAGGCTGCGATGCAGCGTTCCTCCTTTATTCCCAATCGAACATGGTTGGACAAGCGGTCACGTGCTCCTGGGTGCCCAAATCACCTGGTCACCACGCCAGCAGGCGACAACTTTCACACCAAGGTTCAACTCGAGTTCAACTCGAGTGACAGGACTGCACCCAAAAAAGGTCAAACAGGCTAGTAAGTTGTACCCTGCAGGCACGGTGACCAGGTGACTGGCGTACGCAGGAGCACGTGACCGCTTGTTCAACCATGTTCGATTGGGAATAAAGGAGGAACGCTGCATCGCAGCCTTTTCGGACCAAAACCAATCGACTCAGCGTCCAAAAGACTACAACATATGGGCCAATCGCGGTCATCCATGCTTTTATAAGAACGAAATGGCGCTTTTAGTGACATTTTGCATACAAATCCCCATCTAGTAGGGCGCAGTCACCCAGTTTCGGTGGAAGTGCGCGAGTTCGATTGGGATTCAAGTAGGAAGGGAGCGTCTCAGCTTCCTCGGACCACGACCATTCGACTCAGCACCCCGAAGACTACAACTGGTGAAATTTTAATTTTTGCCTTAACTTCCCCTTTAATACCTAGTGTCATCTGTGTGTGTGTCTGTGTATCTGTCTGTGTGTGTGTCTTTGTGTGCGTGCGTGCATGTCTGTGTGTGTGCGTTTGTGTGTCTGTGCCGGTGCGTGCATGTGTGTGTGTATGCACTACAGAGTAACGCTGTCGCGCAGCTTTCAGCATACAACTGGAACCTAGAGCATGCCATCGGCGCCTTGTTCAGCTAGGTCATGGTAAAGGTCCGCCACCCTTGCGGGAGCCCTGCATCCATATGTATATACAGGCAGGTGTAGTAGTCATGTATGCCACCCTTGCGGGAGCCCTGCATCTATATAATATTATATATACAGACAGATGTAGTAGTCATGTAGCTGCTGGTAGATCTCATCTTCGGACATACTGTACATACGCTGTCTAGCCGAAGGTGTTGAGTTGCGTCTTTCCTGTTGACCGTGCACCACTCCGGATCTATCTCCAACCCACTGCCATGCCAGACACACTGCCATGCCAGAGCTGCAGGCACGTCACAGTAACAGTATCGCCCGGCGGTGCACGCTCTATGTTCCTCTTCTGCTTTGGCTTGCGAGACATGGCGGCGTTCCCAGTGACGCCTATGGAATCTGTCTTCCACCCACTGAGTGCTGCGCGTAGTCACGTCCGTACAGTGCAGTCACTTGAGCAAGCAACGGTTATGACATTCGTTTTGCGGCGATTGGTTGATGTAGTCGTGCTGTGTCCGGTGAAGTGGTACAGGATTGGGAAACTGCATACGTGTGGCCCGTCCTCTCCAGGAGTACTGTGTTGTGCCATGGCACATGTGTGTATGTGCGTGTTTGTGTGTGTTTGTTTGTGTGTGTGCGCGCGCGCGCGCTCTAGCTCGGTAATACGCTGTTTTCCCGCCACGCATGCAGTACGCTGTTTTCCCTCCACACATGCAGTACGCTGTTGTCCCTCCACGCATGCAGTAGGCCTGTGCTGTGTTCCTTGTTGCTTTGTCTGGTCGTTGCGCCGGTGTTGTTGACTTGTGTATCTTCCTGTTAGCTGATTGTTGCCACGCTTATACGTACATGTGTTCCGTTCAGTGAGTGTTGGACTACTTGCCGGGACATGTCGCCCAAAGTACACGAGTCTGTACACCATCACCATAACTATGTTCTCGTCTATTCTATTTTTATTTTATTTTTATACGGTCGCTGTACCACACAATACTACGAAAGCGCAGACTCTGGTGCGGACACTGATCTGATTCCATTGTGTTTGACTAGTTGCTTCTCTCAACTGCACTATACTTATACGCACTGATAACCCAGTCTCTGACTTGAAAACACGTGCACACGCACACACACGCACACACACACACACACACACACACACACACACACACACACACACACACACACACACACACACACACTCTCTCTCTCTCTCTCTGATTTTTCTACTACTTGTAGTTTCTCAGGATACTGATTGCCTTGTTCTGCCGTTGTTGCCTGGCTTGCACGGATAATTTGGGAACTGCATGGTTGCGTGAGAGCGCACGACACAGAAGATGACCTGATGACAGCAAGAGAACCCAACACCCGGAACTACTCAAACTTGATGGCAATGAGACTGCAGCAAACGCGAAACCCCATGCACTCCATCTTGCCCCATAACAACCCATCCGGTTCCGCACACCCAACACTTTTTCCACAGTATGTCTATATACTGGGGAGGACTCCCGAAACCCTTGCGCCGGGTTTGCCATGGTTTTCAGTGTCCAAAGTGTGAATCAGGCCTCTTTTACGGGCAAAATGAACACAATAAAAAGCCTTGCTACACAATACGGTACTTTTTGCGAGAAAAAGACAGTGATAAAGGAGTGTCCAAAGTGACTACTTCCACGAGTACATGAAAACCAGAGTGTGCAGCTCGGATTGGTTGCTGTCGCGGCGGAATTCCGCGATTACATCATTTTAGTGATGTAGTGCGTACAAGCAGGATTCAAGCCGGTCTCTTTCTGCACACAACTGCAGCTCAGTTGTACGCACTACGCCATTTCCCGCCTCAGATCTGCGCCAGATATGATGTAATCACGGAATTCCGCCGTGACTGACACCCATAGTAGAAAAGGCACCAAGCTGCACACCCTGGGTTTCATGTACTCTTGCTACTTCTGAAGTACATGTATGACCACCAAGGTTACTCGTTTCTATGTGTGTGAGGACACGGTGTCATTACCCACCTGAATTCAATTGCAGCCTGCAGAACAGCCCCTGCTCTGTAGCAGGGAAGCCCATCACTCAGCTCATGCCGCAAGTGAATTCAGGTGGGCAACGACACAGTTTCCTCGCACACATGGAAACTCCCGTTCCTATCAACTACCGGTACCAACGAACGTTTTCTGCAACAAAAAAGGTCGGTACGAGATGGGAGTGGAAAGCACTTGGCAGCGCTGTTATCAGGGTTATTGCCAGTTGGAAAACCGGCTACAGTATCAATAATTGCAACTATTAAATGATGCGAATGACGCGAACGTAAAATACCACTGCCTGATCCAGACTGTATACAGTAGTACCAAGAGTACATAACCCCCCAGAGTGTGCAACGCCGATCCAGCTGTGCATAGGCCGATGATAGGGTCTTGGTCGAGCGGAATCGGATCTTCTGATGTCATGCGTACACTCCACACCAGCGCACGGCCAGTCTCGAGGCAGGGCACCATTGTTTTTGATCCGAGAGTACCCGCGACTCCCCGGGTTCCCCTCAAATGTGTATGGTATTTATGACGCAAAGATCCGATTACGCTCGACCAAGACCCTCTATGCAGAGCTGGATCAGGCGTTGCGCACTCTGGGGGGTTATGTACTCTTGGTAGTACTGGTAAACCTGACATGAACCGTGTGCATCATGCTGGCACCCAGGTTACTGTAGATGAGTGCATGACTGTACAGTGTACAGTCATGCACTCAATGAAATCCAGTCGCGTCGCTCAAGTACGCGCCCGGCGTTGCGCAGCCGTAGACCTGCCAACAGCCAACACTGGACTGCGAAATAATGCAAGGCGCAAACTTGAGTGACACGACTGGATTTCATTCAGCAGGACGGTACAATGTAACCTGCTGCAGCAGTAGGGCGGGGATGTGATGCTGACATGTCTGCTGTTCACAAGCAGACTGTAAGTCAGCTGCAACAACACGCATCAGAATCACAGGAAGATGTTATGAATCCGAAAGCTCTGTAAAACTTGCACCCCGCCGCTGGGAGATGAAGAGATAGAAAAGGCCACTTTCTAGACGCTCTAACTAAAGTTCTGAGAGCATGAGAACGATACACACATTCCATTGCTCAGCTGACATGGAAGTGCGGGTATGTCGAGACAAGCAGGTCGGTAAACACGAGCGCGGATAACAGCACAAACATTGGGGGAGACCCTGCTCCAAATATCATCATACGCCGGCTAGCCGGGGAGACATTCATGGACAAACCGACAGCACATCAACGCAAGCGAAGGCATTCACATTTCACACCTAGCATAGACTCTGATAAAACTCAAACCTAAGCTGGTAAAGTACTGGTAGTAGCAGCAGCCAAGAAAAGAAGAGAAAAAGAGACCGGCACTGCTTTAATTTCGTCTGTCCGAGAGCAGACGAAGAAAGCCAGCCCTGAGCGCCAGAAATAGCACCGGTGCAACAAAAATAGAGCAGGGTAAGAAAAATTTATAAATTACGCTCAGCAAAGCTAAACGCTGAGCAAAACATAGCCGGTTCCGGTTCCATCCGGCAAAGCAGTAAAGGCAGGCAGGCAGGCAGGGTGTGTGTGTGTGGGGGGGGGGGGGCATATACAAAGTACTTGGAAGTAAAAGCACAGATGCCATTGAAAATCAAAAACATGTACACTTTGTATGCAAACACTCACACACACGCACACACTCTCTCACACACACACATACATATATACACACACACACACACACACACGCCCGCAAACACACCCGCAAACACACACACACACACACACACACGCACACACAAGCTTGACTGACCCGATGACGGAATGGCAGGCTGGACTACACATAGTCATCTTCAGGGAACGAGGCAGTGGTGGTGGCAGTGACGCTGGTGGAGGCTGCGGCAGATCCACCCGTCGGCAACTCGACTGCAAACGGGTCTGCTCGCTCCACTATAGGAGTTTGATCTGGGTCAGATGTGGTCTGAATGGCAAGTGACAAGATATCGGAAACAAGATGGCATGACAGATGGCACACAGCTGCGGATAGTGACTCGATAAGGAAAAAAGGGACTGTCCCCAAGTATAGATTGATAAGGAAATATACCAGTTATCGAACAGGGCTGTTATGCTCTGAATCAGTAAAAAAATGAGAGACGGCAGTGAAGCAGGAGAGGAAATTGGTTAGTTAAAAAAAAGAAGCGAACCCGACTGACTGCAGGACATGTACAACACAAGCAGCAGTGTACTAGTCAGGGTCCACCACTGTATCTCCAATCCATTCAGGAACTCACTGCAAGTGCTTGAGCCGTCTCTTCGGCCGACAGCTCCTCCACAACAACCGAGGGGAAAACGCCGACGGCGCCGTTCAGTTCACCTTCCCACCAGCCGTCGTCCACGCCGTCGTCCTTACGCAGTAAGCGGATGATGGCGCCGGCCTCAAACGACAGCTCCTCGGCCTCCATGGCTTCGTATGAATACAGGCTCTTCACCAGTGTGACATCAACGTCTGTGTATGTGTATCAAGACACAGAGATACAGTGTAGACAACTTTTTAAAAAAACGCTCCAATCTCACTTTGCCATGGAGAGAGAGAGAGAGAGAGAGAGAGAGAGAGAGAGAGAGAGAGAGAGAGCATACACACTCCCAATGGTTGCGTGAACGTACCTGTTGGCGCCGCTGCACAATGATCCGCGGCTTGTGCATCCGCATCCATATCGGCGACAAGAGTCTGATCACAGGCATCCGGAGAGGCCGACCTGAGGTGTGACTTTATCGGTGGAGTTGCTATCTGGAACTCCTCAAACATTGGAACAGCCGACCTAGACACGGACGGCCCTAGCCGGCTGGGGGTAACCTCCTGGATGTAGGTCTCAGGAATGTAACCTGTTGCACCTGCAGCAGTTACAACCTACAACATTAAAAAAAATGCAAGCAAACAGAGAGAGAGCGAGAGAATGAGAGAGGAAAGATGACTACAGCATATAAACCAGCTATTGATTCACCTAAATACGGACAACTCCCTACACCCTGGGCGGGCTTGACAGCAGGACTCTACTAATAGCCCGACCATACCAAAGTAAGAAGCCCACAACTGGATGCACAGAAATGAATAGATGACATCAGGTAATTCATATCAGCATCAAACAACACTTGCCCCAATGCTAGCAAAGATGTAGCTTGACACAATATGCAAAATGCTCCTCAGTCCATGAAACCTAATCGCAGTGTCACGCTGGGCACTGCGCAGCCCTTGACCTGTAAGCACAGGGTGTAGGCTGATATAGAATGGATCTGATCAAGGATTCAGTGAGTGCGTTAGATTATGCCCACGAATCGATTCGCACTACTCACATCATCATCCTCAGATGTGAATAGGGTGAATGGATTCCGAACCGATTCCAGGGCTCATGACATGATAATCGAACGACTTGAATGCATGCGAATGGATTCATGAGTCGATTCAAGTCCATAATCGAACGCAGCCACTGCATCACTGATTACCCCCCCCCCCCTCCCTCCAAATACACACACACACACACACACACACACAAACAACTAACCTTGACCCAGCCATCACCCGACGAGAGAACGACAGTGACTTCGTGGCCGGTGAGCACGGAGAGCTCTTCGTCAGTCTGCGCCGTGTAGTCGTAGAGAACATTGGCACGGCGTACGGCGTTTGCAACGTACGTAGAGAATTCGCTGACCGTGTCCGGGTCTACCACATCGCCCGGGTAAACGTCTTCCGCTTCGTCAAACTCATCGTCAAAGCTATCGGTCGAGGTATCTCTCAAGGACCGTGCGGCGATGCGGTCCAGCGACGCCATACTGCCACGCGGCGTTGGGCTTGTGGAGCCCTGCAAGCTGACTAAGAGCATGAATACACAACAGGGCAATCACAGACAGATATCGTAAGATAATAATTATATCAATCGCGTCCATGGCCCACTGAAATGCTAAATAAGGAAAGAAGAAAAAAGGGAGGATCCAGGGAGCAAGGCTGGAAAGATACTGCCTACTAAACACATAGATCTCAAAAGCTGAAAGCCCGCTGACACCATATCCATGTATTATAGGATGCCAGCTACTGTAAAACATGTAATTTTAGGTGCATTAAAATTTCGGTGGCAGGACCCTGCCAGGTTTCAGGTGTAATTTAGAATTAGGTGACCAGCGTTCCCATCACATACAGTGCATACTCTACTCTAGTGCCTTTTAGATGTAATTTAAATTTAGGTGCCTGGTTTCTCTACTGAAATCGCCGAAATTAATGTTACACCGAAAATTACATGTTTTACAGTATCAGGACACCTAAGGAGTCACGGCTGTTCAGCATTTTCCCCCGAACAAAAATTATAAATACCGGGTACGAATAATTTTGCACGCGCAAGTACAAATATTTTTTTACGGTTCACGTAACACTCAGTCGGATAACTGACGTTGAGGCAACCAACACTCTGCCGTAGTGCATGCCAGTGGGCGCAATTTCTGGCGCTGCACTGCTGAACATTACTCTGAGATTCAACCTTGTCCGTATCTACATTGTAGACCAGAGGCAATGATACAGTCAGACCTCGCTTATCCGGATCCCTCGCCATCCGGAAGAAAATCGCTGGATTTACAGCAAATGCCATGCATACATACAGTATGGGTGTTCGATTATCTGGTTCCCTCGCCTATCCGGATACTTTTGTGGAAAACAGATGTGTGTGGTTATGCGAGGTCTGACTGTAACATCATGCCAGAATAAGAACAGTATTGAACTGCGCACTACACCGCACAACATGAATACTATAAACCTACTGGTATTAAAAGTTGACCTAATTTTTCACATTCCACGATGGACAACACAACCATGTATGGGGTCGAGTCGAAATGCAGGCTGCCAAAGAAAATAATTGCAAAGGAGGATCTTTGGTGTTTTTTCCCCTACGCTTGTCGTTTGTCATAACCAGTTGACTGTAAGTATTCGATAGCAACTGCAACTGCAACTGCCACTTGACACACACACACACACACACACACACACACACACACACACACACACTTACCCATATCCAATTTATCTCTAGGCGCACCCAGGCTCTTTTCAGTCTGCAGCGCTGACTGTAACCATTCGTCAACATTGATGCCCACCTCACGCATAACATCCAGCCGTGCCTCTGACGAGCGCTGCACAAAGTGCAGCTTCCGGATGGACTCCTTCAAGTCGAATACTTGTTCATCAGCGGTGTTCCGTGCCTCTATTGAGCCAAGCTCTGGACTCTGGCGTGCAGCGGGCAAAATAGAGCACAAAGCAAAGCCATGCATTGTACAACTGGAGATCATTACCTCACACACACACACACACACACGCAAGCACACACACGTGCAAGCACACACACACGCAAGCACACACAGAAAACCCTTAGCACAGGCTACACAAGAACACACACATCCAGCAGCTGTGTAAGTCACTGGCTGGCTGCAGAGCAACACAATGCCGGGGCCAGAACAACATTGAGACTGGGCAGGAGAGCAGTCCAACCTTGGTGTAGGTTTCCTGCAGGTTAGCAACGGCCGCTGCCTCCTTGCTCTTCGTCTCTACCAGGGTCATGCACTGGGCCACACGCGACGTCAGCTTGCGCGCTTCTAGCGTCAGGCTGACATCTCCTTCGTGCTCTCTGGACACGGCGTTGATCTGGACAGACAAGCACACAAACGAGAATGGCACGAACGGCGTCACCAGACATACTTGTAGACAAGTTTCATGCACATAAACCCAATCATCAGGAGACTATGCTGGACTAGAACCCAATCATCAGGAGACTATGCTGGACTAGAACCCAATCATCAGGAGACTATGCTGGACTAGAACCCAATCATCAGGAGACTATGCTGGACTAGAACCCAATCATCAGGAGACTATGCTGGACTAGAACCCAATCATCAAGAGACTATGCTGGACTAGAACCCAATCATCAGGAGACTATGCTGGACTAGAACCCAATCATCAGGAGACTATGCTGGACTAGAACCCAATCATCAGGAGACTATGCTGGACTAGAACCCAATCATCAGGAGACTATGCTGGACTAGAACCCAATCATCAGGAGACTATGCTGGACTAGAACCCAATCATCAGGAGACTATGCTGGACTAGAACCCAATCATCAGGAGACTATGCTGGACTAGAACCCAATCATCAGGAGACTATGCTGGACTAGAACCCAATCATCAGGAGACTATGCTGGACTAGAATAGAATGTAGAGTGAACTACATCCTACAACGGTGACATTCATTGGTGACTTGGCAGGTGCAATGCTACAGCAGGATGAGGTGGGATGGATAACATAGTTGCATACATTGGTGACTTGGCAGGTGCAATGTTACGGGATTAGGTGGGATGGATAACATAGGTGCATGCAGTACTGTCGGGCGCCAAAGAACGGCCAGGCTGGAATTTCACCAATGTTTAAGAACGGTGTAGGCTGGATATTTTGCAGATAAGAACGGAGACCGTAATGTACACTATCATGTACACTCAGACGTATAACTCTGCATAAATGTACAAGACTGTACCATCGAATAAGAACGAAACTGCTGTGCTCACTAAAAATAAGAACGGGCTAGGCTAGAACCCTGAACCCCAGTTCTTCAGCGCCAGACAGTACTGTACATGTACTATTATATTCAATGTGCTGCACTTGCGTAGTTGTTCTTATTGCCATACGTTCTAACAATATTGAGATGCCTTTTGTTGGCTCTTCTGCCTGGATTTCATTGACAGACGAGTTAAGCCCATGGATCCTTCCGTGAGTGACATGCGAACTGTAATTACCGGTATTATTATATTACACAGGGGTAAGAGGTTGCATGCAGTTCAGTGGCATGTGATATACAGTCAACTTTGTGAATAACGAGCCTAGATTTATCTTGTGGTGCCATTTCGACACAAGCTCAACTTCAGCTGCACACAATGTACAGCTTCAAACGGAAAGAGAGAGAGAGAGACGGGGGGACCTGCTTACCGGGTCTTCTTTGTACGGTGTGTAGGCATGCTTGACTACATCCGTCAGCACTGGACACGTTGACAGGTAGCACTGGTGGTTGTAGGCCCGCTGGATGCGCGCCGCCTGCACGCTTACGGTGTCGAAGTCACTGCGCGTCTTCTGCGCGGCTTCCGATGTCATGCGACCGACGGATTCCAGGCAGTGTTTGAACTTATCATATATGGAGCCGTCCAACGACTACACGGAAACACACATGCACAGCACAATTACACATAGATGGAGTACGATGACGTCATTATTACGTCATTATTGTAAAAGGCCGTTACCCCAACAGGGCTCACCCACACCGATCTACCATTGATACCTGTTCTACGTAGTGGTATCAATGTATTCCAAAGTTCTCTATTTTAATGTTCAACTACAGATTTCTTAGAAATAATCTACGTGGAGATAAAAGTTTAATAGTAGCAGTGAAAAGTATGAATGCCGCAGACATCGCCACGCAAGATGACAATTTGTTCGAGGTTTGAAATCGGGTGTTTCCAGAATCGATTTTCAAGCTCCGATCATCAGTGGAAATACGGAACTAAAGTGATCAAGCGAAAAACAAACGTTAAAAATCCAAGTAAGTGTGACAAATGATGCATAAGTATTACAAAAAGTGAGGCCTAAGATAAAGATAGAATGTAAGTGTGACAAGTTTCAAACCTCGAACAAATTGTCATGTTGCATGGTGATGTCTACGGCATTTATACTTTTCATAGCTATTACAGATTTCTTCTCGTTGATTCGTTGGATTTAGTACCTTGTACCTTGTGATGTATGTAGCTTTTTAAAGCACATTTAGAGTTCATTGCGATCGGTTCAACCAGTCATTCTGGCTCTGCTGATGAGACCTGACAAGGTCAAAACAGCTAGCTTTGGATGGAAGTGGCTTTTAGAGTAAAGTAAACCTTGTCAAGGCGACCACCTGCCCGAGAAGACCACTACAACCAGGACCAAGCGATGGTAATTGCAGTCAAATGATCTCCGATAAGAAGACCACCTGTACACAGGTACCACACTTGTAAGGTGCTTTGAGTGGTGGCCTTACACAGGTTTTCACTGTACTGTGTATATCCCGCAATATAAGAATATAAGTCACACCCGTTTGCCATACATCTCACGGATGGTTGAACAAAGGAGGGGGGGGGACTCACAACGTAGTGCGAGTTTACTGGGGTAATTGCTCAAGTGAACACACTGAAATAACTGATCAACTAGTGAACACACGGAAACCATACAACGGAGACATGGAAATGTGGGTGCAGCATATAACTGAATGCAACTTGATAGCGGAAATACGATATTTGCTTTTTAGGGAAGTCAACTGGGTGGCAAAATACCCAAATATCCATAGTGATCACGTAATCACACAACCTATATAGAGCTTGGTTCACTCACTTCGATAAAGGTCGGGAGCTCATTCTTGTAGAAGAGTTCATTGACAGCATTGCAGCTAGCTATGGATAGTAGATACTCGTTTCTGGCTTGTGTTGAGCGTTTCTCACTCAGATCTAGCTTCTGCTCCAGCTGCAATGCAGAAGAAACCAAGAATGTAATACTCGTACATACTTTGACAACACACGGGTCTAGCGTATAAAATCATCGCAGATAAGACCAATAGAAGTTGAACTCTGACAACACATGGACTGGGATAAAACGGCAGCAAGTCTACTTCTTACTCTACCGGTACATGTCATACACTGCAGAATGCACCAAACACACACTGCTTACTGCAGCTCTCAGACTTACACCCTGGAACTTCTTCTCGAGCTGTGCTTTGGACTCGAAGAATCGCCGCTGTGACTTGTTGCTAAGCCGGTCTTGCATCTCGGAAACATTGCGCCGACAAAGACCAGCTTCATGCTCAAGTTCACAATAGGCTTTCTTGGACTATGGCACAAATGAAAGAAAAGAAAGCACAAGAGAAGACACAATATTACTTTCCAAAAAACAGAAATAAAAACGAAGGATGAATATGGTATACTGTAAGTCTATACATTTCCGGCCTATTCAAATTTCGGCCTCCCAGGGCTAAAACCCACGGCCGCATCAAATTTTCGGCCTGTACTGCTGCTGCCTGTATACATTAGAGAGGTTCCGGGGTACGATTTCCCGTGCCAAAATCCGTATGGGGGCTACGGATTTTTTTTCTCTACGCCTGCTATCGCAGTCGGGATTTATATTCAGCCGGTATAACCCTCTGACTCGGGTTATATCCTCTACGTGTGCAGCCCTGCATACGTAGTACATGTGTTACATACAACTTGTAGCTGTCTCATGACAGTAATCGTACTCATGCACAGTCAAGGTTCACAACAAAGGTTCAAAGGCGCTAGCAAAATGGATACCTCTTTTATGTGTACCATGACTGTGAACTGTGTGTATCTACGCTGTGACCCTTCGACCTGTGTGGGATGCATACGGCTCTATTGTACACATTTGGTACAGTGCATTACATCATCGATGTCCATTTGTGGCGCTGTCCCCTATGGCAAGTGTCGGATTCCAATTGCCATGACTAAATAAGCACCGAATATTTGCTGACTTACGGTATCGGCACACAGAATTCCACAAACAACCCAAGGATGGGAAGCACAACCAGAATGCCACTATAGAGTTTTACCATGCACTCCCAACAGCGACAAAAAAAGGAGTAAAATGATTAGGCGAAGACCAGACATGGACCGGGGAAAGGAAATAGTCGTGTCGCACCTTTGCCAAACCGCGTGTGGACTGGAAGAGGTCATCGTGCATATTATTTAATACTTCGAAAAGCTGTAGTAGGAGCAACACACAGAACACATACAATGCAAAGTCAGTAAAAGCACTGAGCAGGATGAGGATGAGGACAGCCAATCTGGCCTAGTCTGAACATGATCAACATTTACACTGGTTCAGTGGGCTTGGAGAGAGAGAGAGAGAGAGAGAGAGAGAGAGAGAGAGAGAGAGAGAGAGAGAGAGAGAGAGAGAGAGAGAGAGAGAGAGAGAGAGAGAGAGAGAAAGAGAGAGGCAGACAGTGAGTGAGTGAGTGAGCGGAGTAACCTTTCACATGCACTGCGTTTCATCCAACTGATCGGCCCCTTTTGGGAAATGGACATGGAAGAAAAAACAAATCTTTACTCAGTTCTTACCATCACTACAGTCCATTTCAAAACTATAGACGCGTAGGGTTTTTGAAATATTTCAAATTTGGCTGGACCTTTTTGAGAATAGTTTTCGGAATATTGCTCAGGATCGCTCCACAATTACTCTCATATAGTTTCTAAACGATTGGATAACAGACGCCCAATTTGGAAAATTTTATGCACAAAGTGATCACAGATTTTATGTGGTATAGATGCTGGCATAACGGTTTTTGCCTAGGTACGCGTCTATAGTTTTGAAATGGACTGTACACATGTTTAAAATCTGTCCTGACAGACCCGCTGAACAAAACTCACATTCTTCACACAGTGTTTTGTTGAAAAAGCAGAGATTCTGTTTTTAGCCCGGCACTGGAACCCTTCATTACGCTTGCTCCCACCTACCTTTTTGGACTCTGGCGGTCGTGTCTTCAGCTGAGACTTGCATGTTTCTACGACTTCTGTTGTTATATTCTCCGAGAGGGTTTGATGTGATGATGCAAGGTTATCTACCTTATCAAGGGTCAGCTTCCAAACATCAGTTACAGTCCTGCAAGCGAAAATCAACGGCAAAGGACATAACCACAAAATCTCAAATACTACTGCCAGAGCAAAACCGAAGTAAACCGTGCTGGTAGCATGGTTCTAGGCAGGCATCTGCCAAGCAGAGAAGATGCACACACGCATACACACACACACACAGATACAGACACAGACACACAGTGCAGCGACAACAGTGAATGCACAGTAGGCACAACTTTGATGAAGGATAATCCAACCCGGTGGGACTGTGAATGCGACTGCCTTTGCTGGATTTATTGTACACTATACTGGTCTTCTTGTGCCTGCAAGAAGTAGTTGCTTTGAGGAGCAAAGCTTATATGCTGGATTAGCTGCACACAATGCTCGACAAGATCCTCGGTTGATGCCATCACAGGCCGTTCCCGAGACAGAAGGGAAATGCCAATTGCAACAATAGTTTGCAATGCAAATCAGCAACCCGGCTTCAATTTGTTTGCCTTATGCTGCGCAGTGGGCAAGCACGAGATCTAGTGAACTTTGGTGAAAGGGTCGAATACAGGATGTCAGAATGGCACAGCAGCTCCCTAATCTTGAGCTACATGTATATTCCTGGTAAACCACCGACCCTCGTGTCCTGGCTGTTTTGCTGGAAGCTGGCCAACCGGGGTAACTTACTCGAAATCCTCGGCATCGAGGAGATCATCGGAAAGAATTGGCGTCACCGGTAACTCCCGCTTCGTTTTAAATTGATTAGCCAAACGGGAGAGGGACTGCAGCAAAACAACAAGGGAGTAGAACATAAAATACATGACAATACTTAGACCCCTACACTGATCAGTTGCTTCCTGTTTGCTCTCACAGAAACTCTGTGTAGCAAGCAATGCCCTCCCCGGTGGACAAGTTCTTGCACTGCAACACCTACATTGACGCTACTGAGCTTTGGTAGGAACAGCAGTTATAGGAACCTGCTTTCCACACACTTGTCAATCATTACCACCGGTACATACTACATCCAGTGATTCTACTCGACAAAAAAAACCCGCATTGTGCTGTCGTGGACATGGAAATCCGGTCACACATCTCGCGGCCCCAGGGCACTGGCCATGCAGCCGTGAGTACGCACACGGTACACACGTTCATTTACGCGCTGCAGCGCGCTGGTCGCATCGGATCCACATGTGCACTGCATGCAACGTTCTGTACGCACTGAGGGCGCCGGCCCCGGTCATTCGACTGGATTTCCATGTGCACGACAGTACATGCACCACCTCACCACTCACAGAGCATAGGCACATTCACGGATATTTCCCCTTTTGTCTTACATGGTACTGTAACCACACTTCTTTTCTCCATCTGCCTTTGCCTCTGCCTTTGCCTCTGCCTTTGCCTCTGTCTGTGTGTCTGTCTGTCTCTCTCAGTATAATCCAATATCTGGTACTTTTGGTGATGTGCCCCGCCACCTAAAATTAGGGCAATGAAAAAGTATTAATTGTGCAGTCGTTCCCATGAATGGGTAGTGTAGTCAATATGATTCCAAAAATATTGTCCCCCCCCCCCCCCACCGGCATCGGAGATTGAACCTAAACGCATTTCTACCCATTAGAATCCAACATAAGTGCCGAAATTTGGTCGGCACCGAAAAAAAGTGATCCAAGGTACTGTAATTTCAGAAATTTTCGGTGTACTTTTATTTTCGGTACTTTCGGTGCGTCTGTTTCATACCTAAAATTTCAATACACCGAATAAACACTAACACACATAAACCAATAGGGAACTGCTTCTCTGTACCGAAAATTTCTGTTCACCTAACCTAGCCTGTTGCCCTTATACCGAAAATATTGAGCACCGAAAATTTCTGAAATTAGAGTAACTGAAAACCATAATCTTCACTACCGGTAGTTTGAGGGGGGAACCATAATGCTACTGAAAACGAGTTCATTGACAGCAATTCCATATTTTCTAGTTCCATGTACAGTATAGTATTACATGAGCTTTGGCTCTACCAAAATTCAATGCCACCAGAAGTTGTGTCGACCAGATGGGAGCAAGCTTGATGCCATGTCACACAACTCACTGAGTTTTACCCATGCGCATACGCACAAACGAGCTGTCTTTCAATGAATAATTGATAGAATTAAGTGGGAACTGTACACCACTTGCCCTGTGTGCTAGCAATCCACCTTGGACGCTATCTACCAACAGTTTATTGTGACCTGAATCCGGAATAACGGATTTCATTTACAGGAAACTGTGCGACAGTGAATAGCATGCCCATAACAGCTGAGTGAGTGTTGGACTCCTGGTGTCGTACGATAGGAAACTGCTAACTCAACGCTCCCGCTTGTTCTCTGCCAAAACTACGGAACAAACTTCGCAAAGTTTGTAGGCAGCTACCACAATGCAATGTAACGAAAGCAATGCATGTATTTACAAATGATCATGCACTACTGCATGAAATGCAATACAATCATGTACATCGTAGAATGTGTGAGTTTTCAGAGGCGGTTTACAGAATTCACGCACTACTGCTAGTCGTTACAGTATACTACTAGTAGGTGTGGACGCTAGCAGAAAGTCCGAAATTCACCTAGCTCGACTGAGATAGTACCGGTACGCGGTGCCGGTTATGATGACACTTACACAAGTAACTGTTACAGGATTGAAGTTTTCAAATCAGTAGGCGTGTACATTTACAAACTCAGGGAACAAACAAGGTTTCTTCCACCCACCAGTGCAACAACCTATTACAATAAGATCCACATGCCGCAGTGCTGAGAACCAACTCACCTGGGAATACTCCTTCTCCAAAGCACTCCATTTGTTGGCAAAATTTCTACAAGAGTACGATAAAAATAAGCAAACAAATCACCAAACACCATGTACTGTAGTCCGAGAAATGGGTGTCACCTAATTATTTCGACTGTTTTCTTACTTGATATCATCAAAGAGGTCCTGTTCAAAATGGAACTTGGCCTGTAACTTTTGGGTTTGATCCGCGTTGATGCTGCGACAAGCCTGAACGGCTTTGCTCTGCAAATCAGCAGATAAATAACACAAATCCACCTCGTCGCCTGCTCGCAGATCAGATGGGTCTACTTCTTGTTTTACTACTACAATTTACCTTGCTCATTGGTCCAGCGGAAGTAGCTCACCATCTAACAACTTCTATTATTATATTGATGAAAATAGACTGGAAATATACGCTCGAAGCAAGGTAATCAAGCCAGGAATCTACTCAAAACAAGGACCAACGACATCAAGAATGCCTGCAGAGCTACAAAACATGCATCCAAGTCAAGTCAGCTACGGTTCATCAGCAATCGTCTGGCATGGCGAGGCCTTGTGGGTTGTGCTTGCCACTGCCAGGCCAGTTTTGACACAAATACAATATTCTAAAGAAGCCAAGGTGCCACATAAGTCACTGGTCAACGCGTTCTTCCCAGCTCTATCCTGACTGATCCGCAATACATACACACCACACGTCCACACGGACCACTCCACAGTCAAGTCGCATTCTTCCACCCATTCGGCGAATCGGCGTGCCGTATTCGGCTGTTGTACCCGTACTTCCGCACTTCACCACCAGTCATTTTGGCCGTGGGTGGCTGACATGAGAACAGAGTGCTACATTTTTGTAGTTTGACTATCTACAACTCGAGTACGAGTTCGGAGTTGTGAACGTTACTTGTGGATCTGCAACTCGCACTACACTTACCGCTACATCATTACATGGATGATGCTGCATTGTGTGTAGACGAGTCTACACCGTGTACACGTATTCTGGATAGACACCGCGTACCGGTGGGTACCGGTTGACTTACAGATACTGAGAATGTGAGAAAGGCTACATGAAATTGAAGGCACCCCCCCCCCCCCCCAGGATATGTCCGGCAGGATGTCAATTATTCAAGAATTGTGCATTGAGCCATTGATTCGGGTATCAACACCGGTACCGGTTGACCTACAAAAAGCCCCCCCCCCCTCCTGAGGCGATGCAGCTCAGGGCAGGGAGCCCTACACATACTGGTATGTGTAATGCTCCCAGGCTCAGGGGGTGGGGGGCAAGTAAGGATGTCGAACTAACTTTCCTACACTACAAAATGTAGCTACAGACTAGAGTAACTACCATGCAATAATCATGATATGAAATGTGTCCATGTAATTGTTGCAGACATATCTTTTAATGTGTGCAAGCTCCACTGCAGCCACTTCATTAGTCATGATACTAGTAAACAGACATAGACAATAATATTTATTAAAGGATGATCAGTTTCATGAGGATTGCTTTTAGGAGTTTTGTTCCGGTATTGAAGCCCTACATGTCATGCATCGAACACTTAACCCAAACAGAACAGTGTCCTCTGACTTGGGGTTGGTGGATCCAACCGTGCTTCACTGGTACGTACGGTGGTGCACCAGAGTTCCCTTGTACAAAGTTGCATCGGCGTCAAAAGAAACACACGCACGCACACACACACACACGCCGGTACCGCGCAGGACCGCCGGAAGCAGTTTTTGACTGATCCGGTTGTAAAATGGACTTTCACACAGTTTGAGTATTAATTAATGGCAGGTGCACGTGCCCTCTGCTGTAGTAAATACTAAGTGTTGGTGGCCGAAAAGTTGGTCCAGCAATAACCGGACCAACTGGACCGGTTCCGGCAGCCCTGTCGTATACAGCCGCAACTTATCATGCCAAGATGGGGCAATGTTGCATTGTCCATGGCGGCATCAGTTCATGCACGGCATGGAGCACGGAGTAACAAACTACATTTTAACAAAACTGTTGCGTGCTGGGCTGACACTGTCAGCCATGCATTTCAAGAACTGAAACAGGCAAACGCCAGTTTGGTTACCAATGCTAAACAAACAGTTAAAGGGGAAGTTAAAAGGCAAAAATTAAAATTTCACCAGTTGTAGTCTTCGGGGTGCTGAGTCGAATGGTCGTGGTCCGAGGAAGCTGAGACGCTCCCTTCCTACTTGAATCCCAATCGAACTCGCGCACTTCCACCGAAACTGGGTGACTGCGCCCTACTAGATGGCGATTTGTATGCAAAATGTCACTAAAAGCGCCATTTCGTTCTTATAAAAGCACGGATGACCGCGATTGGCCCATATGTTGTAGTCTTTTGGACGCTGAGTCGACTGGTTTTGGTCCGAAAAGGCTGCGATGCGGCGTTCCTCCTTTATTCCCAATCGAACATGGTTGAAGAAGTGGTCACGTGCTCCTGCGTACACCAGTCACCTGGTCACCGTGCCTGCAGGGTACAACTTACTAGCCTGTTTGACCTTTTTTGGGTGCAGTCCTGTCACTCGAGTTGAACTCGAGTTGAACCTTGGTGTGAAAGTTGTCACCTGCTGGCGTGGTGACCAGGTGATTTGGGCACCCAGGACCACGTGACCGCTTCTTCAACCATGTTCGATTGGGAATAAAGGAGGAACGCTGCATCGCAGCCTTTTCGGACCAAAACCAGTCGATTCGGCGTCCAAAAGACTACAACATATGGGCCAATCGCGGTCATCCTTGCTTTTATAAGAACGAAATGGCGCTTTTAGTGACATTTTGTATACAAATCCCTATCTAGTAGGGCGCAGTCACCCCGTTTCGGTGGAAGTGCGCGAGTTCGATTGGGATTCAAGTAGGAAGGGAGCATCTCAGCTTCCTCGGACCAAGACCATTCGACTCAGCACCCCGAAGACTACAACTGGTGAAATTTTAATTTTTGCCTTAACTTCCCCTTTAACACCTTTATTACAACAGCACTGAACCGACTGACTGACTTGGTAACCAGATACAAGTAAGTAACTAGTTGCACAGGCAGGCCATGATTTCACTTTGGATTGCCCCAGCAGCAGCTACTTGTAGCTTACTGCAGCCTTGCCACTTCAATATCAGCAAAAACCCAGAATCCCTGACACACACAACAACACAAACTACATCATAATAATTATAGACAACGTGCTTCGTCATCATTATCATTATCATCATCCACAATTATTGGCATGAAGAATGGAGCCAAGTCACAGTGTTGCTTCAGATCCTATTGATAAAATACTAAGTTTTAACTGTCTTTAGAAAAGGGAGTAGAAACTGGCAATTGGATCTCTCAAAATACATAATCAAGTGAAGTGCCCCTGCCTGCAGGGTTCCTAGAGACTAGTACATCATGTATCTTCTTATCACCTAACGTTACATGTACATTCTTACAACTGTGGCCAGACAATGAGAAAGCAGGACACATAAGTGACATAGAGAGAAGTTGAACAATTAGAATTTGAAGCACCAATCTCAACAATGGCCAGCCGAGATGATGCCCACACAAGACAATCCAAGAGACTAATGTACCACATACTGCCTAGATAGGTCTGGCAATGTTATGACTGCGGGTGCAATGCACAGGTGTACCAGGGCTTCAACTCCCCCTCCCCCCCCCCCCCTCCCCTCCCGCTCAGGGGCAGGGTGACGACATACAACACGCACCAAACAAGATCCAACACAGGACGCACACAGCCACTGCATCCACAATCTAAGAAAGTCCATCGACTGCACAATATTTTAAAGCCCTACGAAACTCACGGAACACACCGCATCGGCCAAGATGACAGCGTCGTTACCCAAACAACATATCAGCCAGCTCCAAATCATGATCCGCATCTCCAGGCTGCTGAGTAGCATGGCCCTGATCAGCAGCAGCCTTCATGGCAGGTGGTGAACCAGAAGGTTCACTCCGCTTCTCGGCTGAGGAAACCGGAGCGCTGAGAAATGAAGCAAACAACTCCTCGGCATCAGGACGCTTCTCCCCAGAACTAGATGATGCTGTCCTGGCTTGTGTATATTGCGATGGTGGTGGCGGTGGGCTACCGTCGCGGACACCAAGCGACTCAGATTCGGGAATGACCGTTTTGACACTTTGAGCATGCCCGGGTGGTGCTCGGAAGCGCAGTTGACGACGCAGGGGAGAGACCAGACGTGACCGGGTGTCAGTTTGACTATCAGCAGAATCTTCTGCCAGAACATCGGCTTCCGACAGTGGTGGAGTGTGCTGGGCTGGCTTTTTGCGGTGTTTGGCATCAGGCTGGGCATCTGATTTCAGCTGTGCGTCACCGAATAAAGATGTCTCTTTCATATCCATGCCTTCCGCTACAGGGCATTGTTGACCGAGCTGCAACTCAGGCTTGCAACTAGACACATCAGCTGTTAACCGCTCACTCGGCGATGGAGCGGCGTTCTCTTCCTTTTCAACGCCATACAGCAGCTCCAGCCAGCGACACCTCTGGTCTGCATCACATTCAACGGCCTTCTTGGCAAACTCAATGCAGCTACCGAAGCCCAGAAGTGTGGCGAGACGTTCGAAATGCTGACGGCGCACAGCTGGTGGGGTTTGGCCCACCAGAATGTGAGAGCCGTCTGACTTTCGAACTCTTTTGGCTTGCTCTTGCATAACACAATCAACAGCCTTCGCTTCCGCACTACTAGACTGATGCTCAACTTGCTTCGCAGAGGTCTGTTCATCCTCTGAGTGGCTGGAAGCAGGAGCATGGGCTGGCAGCTGGGAACGGCGACTGTGATGCACGGAAGTCAGCTTGCGGTGTTGCTGCTGCTGCCTGGCTCTCTCGCCTAGATCATCGCTCTCATCACTCGACTGCACACACCCAAACACAGCATAGCACAAGGCAGCACACAACACCGACAACGACAACAACAACAATGGATGTTAGTACATGATGTAAAGTGTGATGGGATACGGTCCTGCAGACAATCTAATAAGTCCACACGCACATGGCATCCAGGAGAGATGTCTGAGTGCTACTCTAGGAAGTACAAGTTGATGTTAGGAAAAGTGACTAACATCAAGCACTGAGATGTTGGCTTGGTGGTTATATGGAACGTCAAACAAAAACAGGTGCCTTCGTGCCTTCATGAAGTTCATTTCAGACTAAGTACTGGAAAAGGTCCGAAACTACCAAGTATTCGAGATTGTCTGACACAGACCACATCTCCCAGAGCACAAGCCAAGCAGAGACATAGGATACTAGCTCCACAGAGAGAGAGAGAGAGAGAGAGAGAGAGAGAGAGAGAGAGAGAGAGAGAGAGAGAGAGAGAGAGAGAGAGAGAGAGAGAGGCGAGAGAGAGAGAGAGAGAGAGAGAGAGAGAGAGAGAGAGAGAGAGAGAAAGAGAGTAAGTTACATTTATAAAGACAGGTAAGTCTAACAAATGAGGACTGAGACCTCTACAACAGGGTTTTTACGCCTGAAAGCAGGTGCATGATGTAACAAGCAGGTTGTCAGTCTAGATTTTATGCGCAGATGGAGAAAAATGCGCAGAATTTTTGTAATGAGATGAAAAGTAGAAATAATAAGAAATAATAAGAAAAGATGAAATGAAAGCCTGCTCACAACCCCGCCCAGCCTTGCGAACTGGGTATGGTGGATTATGAGAGAGAAAGAAAGAGAGAGAGAGAGAGAGAGAGAGAGAGAGAGAGAGAGAGAGAGAGAGTGAGAGTGAGAGAGAGAGAGGGTAGAAAACCTCTCCGACACAGCCCAAACGAACAAGAACACACCACCTGCATGCATGTATGCAAACTACACACGGTGACATGAACACACAGCCGGAGTTATACCTCGTCCACGATACAGTTGGCCGGCTGCTGGGACAGTTGGTTCTTGTCGAAGACGTCACGCATAGCATGCCTGGACATGCGGCGCTCAGCGCGACTCGTACCAAGCAGCAAATTTCCAGCAGATAGAGCCTTTGCACCAACAGCACCTGGGTACAAAGTTTCACACACAAACAAACCCATTCCGAGTTGAGCGTGTACTTGACAAGTATGCTACATCGCTACAGAGATTAAGCGAGACTGGATACGGCTGTAATCAGAGTAACATCTGACTTTATCAATTATAACGAGAGAGCTTGCAAGCTCAGGGCCCTACGCTATGCTTTGTTGCCCAGCTCATCGTGCATGTTGTTAGAACTGATGGATATGTTTTTTCCTTTGATTAGCTACATCATTGTATTGCAAAAACGTTTCAGTGAGTTACTGAAATAACGTCTTCTGCATAGCTACGGGACCGGCGTTGACTCTGCCGATCACGGGCGTTCTGGAGTTGACAGGATGTCTGTCCTGACGTTTCCTGGGACCGGCGCTGACTCTGCCCATCACGGGCGTTCTGGAGTCGACGGGATGTCTGTCCTGACGTTTCCTGGGACCGACGGGATCTCTCTTCCAAAGTATGTTTATGCTGACGCATCCTATCACCTATTCGGCGTTTATTCTAATTTAATTTCCTCCCCGTCTCCCTATTTCTTTCCAAATCTCCCTCTACATCAGGGAGTCGTATACATAATACGACGAATATTGGTACGGTACGGGACAGATACAGGAGCCCGCAAATATTGTGGACAGCTGTTATGCACAATCCTGTAGAGCCTTTGTAGTCACAGATACGGGACAGATACGGGACAGATACGGGATAGCTCCAGGCGTGACACAAACAAACAAACACACAAACAAACACCAAATTAAAGCTGTGTGGACCCTGGCTAGCGCCAGACGTTACTGAAGTAACGTCTTCTGCATAGCTACGGGAATAAAAATACATTTCTATTCCCAACTAACCCTAACGGTTCCAACTACCTTTTAAAAAGCTTTCCTATTCCCGCATAGTAACATAGTTATGTCCTACACCCCTACAAGAGGAGTGCCATAATTATAAAGAACACCACACGCACAGTACAAAGTTACAAACCCGTACTTGAAACCGCAGCATTGGCAGCCTCCTGGGACTGAGATCCGCGCTTGCGCTTCCTCGCAGATGGCTTTTCAAGTTCAACTGCGGCTGGCTTACGACTGCCGTTCACGGCCCGTGCCGGTGCTGGAGGTGGTGGGTGAGCGGATATTTCAGCGGAATGGTCTTGGTCGGAGTCAGGTGAACTGAGTGTGTCAGGTACGCGGGCTGTGGCCGTGCGACGTGGTGCAGAGTTTCTAGACTTGCGTGTCGATGCCGCAGTGTTGATTTCCGCCTTATTCTTGACTTCAGCAGCGCCGTCAACTGCATCATCGTCATCAACGATAAGGTCGGAGCGCACAATGGCAGAGCGAGGTTTCAAGCGCTCGCCAGCGGTACCCGGTGGTTTGCTTGCGATGGCTGCTTTTCGGCGCGGGGACACTCGGCTTGGCATGCTGGTTGTTTTCTCTTCCTCGTCCTGCGCAGGGGCACGATACATACACGGTCATCAAGCAAAGCCATAGCTTAAGCAGTGCTGCACCAAACCTTACAAAGCATTCGCGGGAACTTCTAATCCTACATGTAGGAAGAAAGCCATTGCACTCCGGGCTGGCACAAAAAGACTCTCCGTATACTCTAATTTCAGAAATTTTCGGTCCTCAATATTTTCGGTATGAGGGCAAAAGGCCAGGTTAGGCGAACAGAAATTTTCAGTACAGAGAAGCAGTTCCCCATTGGATTATGTGTGTAAGTGTTTGTTCGGTATATTGAAATTTTAGGTATGAAACAGACGCACCGAAAGTACCGAAAATAAAAGTACACCGAAAATTAGTGAAATTACAGTAGCCTTGTTGAATGTCAGCAACTAGAGACAGTAGGTAGTAGTAGTAAGTTACTGGTAGCTGTATCATACAAGTAGGTCCTTACCTGAATGGCCTGGGACAGCTCCTCCAATAAGTCGGTCTCCGTTTCAGCTTCCTTTACGGTGTCTTCTTTGTTGTCAGCCCTGCAGGAGGTGATACAAGATAGGTATTCATGATAATGATAATGATGATTCACAAAGGACAAAACAGGTCTGTCCGCGGTTGAGTAGGTATGCATGATGAATTGATAACAACAGCAGTAGAATCTTGATCACTTGTTCACGTGGTAGAGGAGACGGTTTCAAATAGGAGATATGTCGCAAACCGGAACAGACTCAATATTCACTTTCTCTCTTGGTATTTTGATTAGAAAACATATGTCACAGTGAGACAACGATGTGTTTTACTCCGAGCCAAAATTTCATGGCTCTGCGATGAACAGAAGCGCCATACCAAGCAGGTGAGTTTTTGACATGTTGCTTCGCACTGCGACTTGAGTTTTACGTCTTTCAAAAAATCAACTTCTTGTCGCAGGTAAACATCGGCTCGCCTCTCGCCAATAAAGCACCGTATACCAATGAAAACTTATGGAAGCACACCCAAGACTTATTGTTGCTCTGTACTGGCCGTCGTGGAGCGATAGCAATTACCTAATTTCAGAACTCAGAGTGAATTTGACGTGCACTCTAAAACCTTTCCGGTTTGGAGCCACCTCTGATTTGAAGCGAAAAATTGGGCAACTTGGAGGCAATGGGCCAACACAAAGGAGTAGCTCAGTTTGATTGACTCTGGCCTCAGAGCAAACTTCAACATGCCAGTTTCCTTCCACAAAGATATTTCAAGTGAACAATCCACGCTGATGATCGGTTAGGGTCTATACAAATTTGGCTGTCAAACCGTTCCGGTATCGAACCGTCCCCTCTACATGTAAACAAGTGCAAAACATGAGCAGTACTACACACACACGCGCGCGCGCGCACACACACACACACACACACACAAACGCACACGCGCATGCACGCACACACGCAAACACACACATACACACACACACACATGCCACACGCTATAGAAATGCTGCTAGACCCACGCTGAGCCAGACGTTCTACACCTGGTAAACCTCAGGAACAATAATGACATCATGGCATTTAGCATACAATCATAGTGACATGCAGGTAATACTCAACACGCAATAATAAAAAGAACAAAAGTTCTCCACAGCTAGTTAACTCTTGGTATCAATTTACTATCAAACCATTGTAATAGCACTTACGCAATGTGTGGTGATACCTGGTCACTAGCCATCAGTATGCCATTCTCCACACGAGCTGTGCGCTGATAAGAAGACAGTACCAAAGCAACACATTGGCATGATCACCGTAAGAAAATACAGGGCATGATAAAAAAAAAGGTGCTGGGAACTCTGCAGAATAATCTTTTGGAAACTACACACAACTATGTATGGCAGTATATGATTCTAGAGCACACCAGAGTGTGAAACTCTGTATTCATGCTGCGTTAAACCACTCCGGCAGTGAAGTTTTAGGTTATCCTAGATCATAGAATATGTACAGATTATACCATGAGTAAGAGGGGTATACCGCCGAAAATATGTGGGATACGGTATACACAGAGTACGAATGGTATAATCCATTTATCCCATAGTACTTTTCCAAATCTAGAGCGTGACCACTGTGCCAAAGTACGTACGTAGAATAAAGAGGGTACATAGTGTGACCCGAGCGGGGTATATCGCTGAACCCATGAACCGAGCCAGTACTCGATATAGTTGGAGGGTTCCTCCAGGGGTCAAAGGACTGAAGTACCACTTGAAATTATAAACTTCGGCCCGTCATGATTGAGGGAGAAGAAGACAGGAAATCGCATCCATTCATGATATCCTTAGCCAGTTCAAACATGATCTGGTTTACGTTTCTGCCAGCGTTGTAGAAGAGAGTTGTAGAAGAACGCCGCCTGGATATTGCTGGGCCTTTGCATAGACCAGTTGCGCAAACAGAAGCCGGCGCCCGGGGCGTCGCGGATATGAAGTGCTTGGAGTTGGAGGACAACCACTCGAGATTCAGACCGCTGCATTTTCACTTTTTGTTGCAGGACTCTTACTGTTTTTAGTTGTTGAGCGATCTAGCAGTGATGGTGAATTTTTGTTGCGTTCCCAAGTGCCACAGTCAAAGTACCCGAGACAAAGTGTCCTTTCACAGGTTTCCGAACCCAGAGCAACAGGCGGGCTTGTATAAAAGTTGGGTTCAAGCAATAAAGCGTGAGAATTTTACGGCGCAGAGTCACACCAGAATGTGTGGAAAGCATTTCCGATAGGAAGATTTTGTTTTCAAGGGGCTCACTGGAAAGCGTCGTCTGGTTCCGACTGCAGTACCGTCCCTGTTTCCGGATTGGCCAACGCATCTTCAACCCCCTGCTAGTGTTCAGTCGTCTCGCCGTGTCCTGAAGCGTAAAAGAGCTGACTGTGACTTGGATGAAACGGACGTTGACAACACGTGTGATCTCTCTAATCACGACGACGGCAGTGGCGATGGCGGCGTGAACGATAGTGCCGGAGAAGCGATACCAGAGCCACCAGAGTCCAACAAATCTGCCTGCGGAGCTCAGAATGATCATGGGGGCTACGCCAAGGTTCTGGTGAGCAGTGCTCCAGATTCCAGAGAGGCGTGCATTCGTGAGCTTGAGCATGAAAAAGAGATTCTGAGGAGGAAATGTCTGAGTCTGGACATGCTGAGGAGAAGCGATGATGACACTCGGCACTTCACAGGTTTCGAAACCTATGCTACGTTCAAGTGTGTGTTTGTATTTGGAGCCTCTGGCATGTAGAATGAAGTACTGGGGTGATGCGCCTTCCCGGCGACTTCACTTTCAGCTCGCAGCAATCGCCGTGAGAGAAAGCTGGAACTAGAAGAAGAATTTCTTGCTGTGATAGTTCGTGTGCGGTGTGGCTACAGGAATAGAGATGAAGCGAAATTTTTGGGACTGTCTCCTACAAGGTTTTCACGTATATTTAACACCTGGATATGCCTCATGGACGATGTACTGCAAGATGTGTGCAAATTTCCATCCAGGGAATCGATTGCAGACACTCTACCGCCATGCTTTTCTGCATTACCGACGATACGCATAGTCATCGACTGTACGTTATTGAGAGAATATCACGAATTGATAATTAAAAGTTTGCACCTTAGGAACCAGTAGGAACGAAGGAAAATCATTCCCTAGTACTAGGACACTGGCCCAATTCGTCCTGGGTGAAGAGGACTTTGACGTGTTGATAGATGACAGGAATACGCCATACAGAAGATCAAGCCTTCTTGGTTTCCGAAGTGCCTTCGACAGGCGGTTGATTGAGCACAACAGGCCATTTAGCATTTACAAAGGTGTTGCATTTCGACGAGCAAACGAGGCTCTTCAAGGGAAAATGAAACGACACAAGAAAACAAGGTGAAATGAAAGTACCTGAACACAAGCAACCCATCTCTGACGAAGACCGGACGAAGCTGAAGGCATACTTCAACGGGTTCCCAGACAATGCCACATCACTGAACGAATATGTGTGGTACTCTTGTACATATAACTTTGCGTTACAAGGATCGGAGATCCAAGCCTTCCTTACAAAGGACGATTTACAGGAGGAGAAGGATAGTGATGGCAACACATACTTCAGGCTCACAACTACTTCAGTAGCTACTGCCAGAAAACCACCAGGCGTCCGAAAGTGTCTCTGACGGGGGTATCACTGCAGCAAGGGATGTCGAAGTGGTGACGTTGCTGATTGGCAAACTACCGCCGACTTCCAATCGGCTCTTCCAGCAACCTCGAGTGAATTACAAGCCAACAGATCCCCTGTGGTACAATGGGAAACCCATAGGGAAGAACAAGATCGATAAGATGATGACGAACAACAGCCGGCGAGCAGGACTAAGTCAGGTGTATACCAACCATTGCATGAGGGCCACTACAGTGTGCAACATGAAAGTCGGTGTCGCTGGTCAGCTACACACATGGCTTCAGAATTATCTGAGCGTGGTACTCGTGGTACTCAACGGCCTGCAATCCATGCCGTACGCTATCAACGCTGGAGCGCCCCAAGGCAGCATTCTCGGGCCCACCTCATTCCTTGTATATGTGAACGACGCTAAGCTTTGCCTCTCTGGTGCAACAGAGAGGGGGAGTTTTTGCGGACAACACGACCCTGTACAGTGTGCTCAGCTAGCGTGAAGCCTCTCAGCTCTCAATGGCAGACTTCCAGCTCTCAATGGCAGACTTCCAGCTCTCAATGGCAGACTTCCAGCTCTCAATGGCAGACTTCCAGCTCTCAATGGCAGACTTCCAGCTCTCAATGGCAGACTTCCAGCTCTCAATGGCAGACTTCCAGCTCTCAATGGCAGACTTCCAGCTCTCAATGGCAGACTTCCAGCTCTCAATGACAGACTTCCAGCTCTCAATGGCAGACTTCCAGCTCTCAATGGCAGACTTCCAGCTCTCAATGGCAGACTTCCAGCTCTCAATGGCAGACTTCCAGCTCTCAATGGCAGACTTCCAGCTCTCAATGGCAGACTTCCAGCTCTCAATGACAGACTTCCAGCTCTCAATGGCAGACTTCCAGCTCTCAATGGCAGACTTCCAGCTCTCAATGGCAGACTTCCAGCTCTCAATGGCAGACTTCCAGCTCTCAATGGCAGACTTCCAGCTCTCTCTAGACTGGCTGCATGAGTGGGGAGCCAGGTGGAAGGTGCAGTTCGAGCCCACTAAGTCTCAGCTCATCCACTTCACCAGACGAACTGAACCATGGCCAGTTCCTCCAGTATCATTTGGTGGCCATCTGCTGGAACCAGACCAAGAGGTGAAACCACTCGGCGTCACTTTGAGACTCCAAGATGTCATTCCGAACCCACCTACGGAATGTTTCCCACCGGGCGATCTCTCGACTCCGTTTCATGAAGCGGGCCTCTAGGTACCTGGACACCCAAGGCAGGTTGGCCACTTACCGTGGATTTGTGCGGCCTATCATGGAGTATGCGTCCACTGTCTGGATGGGTGCTGTCCCAACCCATCTGGCCCAACTCGATCGGATTCAGCGCCGAGCACTCCACATACTTGGCCCACACGTCCTTCTGCAGAGCCTCGCTGCCAAGAGGATGGTCTCTGCTATGGCATACATGTACAAGCTGCTGAGCGTCAATGGACTGCTATCCAATCTGACACCACCACCACTCAATCCCCCTCCTGTCCTCCGCACACGTGCGCAGCATCTCTCTCCTCCCCCCCCCCCCGGCATCAGCACCAGCTCTGCAACCTGCTTCAAGCTAGCTCCCCCAACATCTTTCGCCACTCCTTCCCTTTGCAACCATCGAGGAATGGAACCGGTTGCCACAATGGCTTCTCTCGGCTCCTCCCCAGCGCAAAGCTGCCCAAAGGTTTCAGTCGTCATCATTTTTATGCATATCCATACTTTTATAGGACAGCTCCTTAGCTGCAGCAGAGTCAACATGGTCAATATGGTCAAGGTCTTCTTACGGGGTACCCTTACTAACCTATAGTGATGATTAGGCCATACGTACTTCCTTCTTCCCTTTCCTTATTTGTGCGGTCTGAACATGCTATGCACCATTCAACATCATAGTGGATTCATTACCTTGCATATTTGATCTATTGCGAACTGGTGCGGCGGTGGGCCTTGTAGATCTACGTGTCCGCAGAGTGCATGTTGTGAACCGAGCGGGGAATATTTTTGACCCCAGCGGGTATATCGCTCTTTATTCCCCGCTCAGAACGGCCGCTGATTGGCTGAAACCGCCCAAATCGTATCGTACTATGGGATAACCCGTCATACCGTTGGTTCAGGGCCAAATCACAGTACCGAATGCGATAATGGGAAGGCTGTGCACATTTTCACCTATTGTACAGCAGGCAGCAAGGCGCAGCAGAAGTTATGTTGGTAGTATGGTAAATCACTAAAATGCCCGTACAAACCGGTGTGAGATGCAGCAAAGGTGAGTCACTATGATCTAAACAAAATACCTTCGACGTGGGCTCATTCTGCCGGAGTTGCAGATTCTTGGTTTTACATGCTCTAGATATGGCAACAAACCAGTCCTCTTTCTACTTCGCTGCCATGTGAAGGGTCAGGAGAAAGGCACATGTGCGCACCCCCCCCCCCTCCCTCCCACGCCCCCCCCCCCCCCCCATCCTCCCTCCCATGCCCCCCCCCCCCTTCCCATGCCTACCCCTCTCCGAGGCACACATAGAATGCACCCATTGCAGGCACGCACCTTCAGGATATCCTCGGTGAGGCAGTTGCTCTCTTGGCGGATAACAAACATGTTCTCGAAGCTGAACAGCTCCCCCTTAACACGGCCCCGTGAGTCCCGACGCTTCAAGCCCATCACCGCCGTGAAATGGCGACGTTCCAGATCACCAGATACGGCGATGTTCACCATTTGCTGTACGAAGACAAACGGGAGAAAAGATCATTGGCACAGATCAGTAACAAAGCATAATGCTTTCCTGTACATGTAATGCTTCGCTACAACACAAAGCACAGGAGTTCAACGTACCGCAATTCCTGAAATATAGGCCACTCCGCGAGGACTCCGGAGCAACTAAAGCTTGCTTACATGCTATAAAGGGCATTGCATCAAGCAGAAGCATCAACCATGGGGTTGATTTTATCAAGTAGCTGTAGGGAAACGGAAGAGATCGAGGGATGTGTTCTCTCCTCGCCTACAAACCAACCTGTTTGTAGACCTGGCGCAGATAAGCGTTCTCCTCGACGGACCCCTGCGTGATCAGTCGGTACACGTGAACATCCCGGTGCTGGCCCAAACGAAAAGCTCTGGAAAAGCAGTAGAACGAGAGGCAAAACGTTAGAAAAAAAGAAGGAAGAAGAATTCTCCACCGGATACACACAGCACATGTAATCAATGCCCCAATGCCTGCAAAACACTACATAAGCCTTACCTGTGGCCCAAATGAGGGAGAGAGAGGGGGGGGGGGCATATATCAATGATAGAGACCCAAAGAAAGGTCACCTCCGACCTCATGGCCGGCTGCCCAACAGTATCAGTCTCATCGGCATAGGCCAGTTGACCTAATCCTGAATTTTTCACACCTGCACCCTGCAGTGCAGAACTGTGCAACAAGCCAAGACGAACACCACGTGCCACTATACTCACCTGTCTTGCGCTTGGCTGTCCGTGGCGGGATTCCAGTCCGGGTCAAAAATAATCACCACGTTGGCACCGGTGATGTTGAGACCGACACCGCCAACACTGTGCGGAGCGTTTGGGGAAAAAAATCAACAACACACCAAGTCATATGCTACCAGTAATGGAGCTACAGTATTGACCGAAACAAGGTTAGCGTGTGCTTGGCTGTAAATACGACACCTGTTTCACAAAACTGTGGGGAATATTATACACAGCTTCTCAAAAGGCAGATCAGAGATCAGAGAAGCAATGCTGAAATATATACAATACATTTCACAGTTCGCATGGGATTCAGTCAGACCGACTCTTCCACATATGTTGGCACACCGACCGCCACCGTCAAGAATCAAAGCCACAGATGCAGCCCCAGAATCAGCGGGGCGAGAAAATGTACCACCAACATGGTAAAAGCCCGCAACAAACTACACAGCCATACATACCTCTTAGAGGCCAGGAAGACGAAGATGCTTGGGTCCTTGTTGAACGACCGCACCAATACGGTTCTCTGACGGGTTGGTACGGAGCCGTCAAGGCGACAGAACGTGTAGCCGTGTTGCTGCAGGAATGTCTGCAGCAGATTGAGAATCTGAAGTGGCAACAACACACAGTGCAGCAAACAACACGTGAGAAAATGCAACGCCACACCAGTGGCATTACGGTTGGTTCACATAACCCAGATTGGCACCGGGAGGCACCGTATAATTCCGGTATGCATGATACTGGTTCACATAAGCGCATTCCGCCAGGAGAGGTTGCAAGAGACACTGGATTTGGATTGGATTGGTTTATTTAATGTCGATTAACAACCACACAAGCCGACCTGTTTGGGAGCTATTACGCGTTGTATTATCAGGGCATAGGCAACAATTGCCGCATGCAGTATGCAATACTATGGACCAATGCCGTAGTATCGCAGGCAACAATTGCCGCATGCAGTATGCAATACTATGGACCAATGCCGTAGTATCGCAGGCAACAATTGCCGCATGCAGTATGCAATACTATGGACCAATGCCGTAGTATCGCAGGCAACAATTGCCGCATGCAGTATGCAATACTATGGACCAATGCCGTAGTATCGCAAGCACCAATGTGCGTTAGACTGGCCAATGCCAGGGCTAATGGGGGCAACAATTGCCCGGCGTGTCAATACACGCATACGGTAGGGATGCACTTGTGAGCACATGTAGGCGCACTTGGCTCAATGCCGGCCTGACCCACGATCCCTACCGTTCTCCATTCCGGGATGGCTTAGAATAGAATGATGGTTAGAGATGATGGGGTGGGTGGTGGTGCTCAAAAACTGGCCAAGGTTGTCAAGCGATCTGACTGTTGGCGCAGCAAGGATGAAGAAGAAGCAGCATCGAGAGCCGGAGTAATGCGCATGCTCCGCGTGGTCCCGTGCCGGGGCGCGGGAGTTCGGAGTGCGTGTTCTGCACGGGCACGTGATGCGCTATGGCAAGTACGTGCAAATTATGTTAGGAATGTAATTGTTGGTGGGTTGCTAACTTCACTTACCGTGCCATGCACGGAAACTTATATATAACAAACAGGCAGTGTTGCCGTATTACACGAGATCGACTACAGGCACGCAAATATAAGGCCTCGATACGTTGTGGCGATGCGTGAACCAACCCTACCCATAAAAAATGCCATTGCCATTGTAGACAGACTCTAAAGTGCATATGCACATAGACACTTTTAAACACACACACACATCCAAGCAAGCAACTATGCATACTGCATACCTTGGTACGGAAGGAGAACAGCAGTACACGGCTTCCTTCGGACTTGACACGGCGCAACAACTTCTCCAGCACCTGCAGAGGGTATTACCGGTAGAGATTAAGATGTGCTTGACTAGAACGCTAACCCGACTCGGTCAACATTGTCCATATAACCTCTATTCGGTTGTGGCACAACAAGAATATGCTTGCCAATCAGAGCTATAGGAGACTACCAGACCATGAAGACTTGTCGAAAGCCGTGGCTTGTCAAGATAATTTTCTAGAATTCCAAAGGCTTCTGCATGAGACATGTTTCTATGCGGGACAAGCTTTACGTGATGCGTCAACACAAAACCCAGGCTTATGTGCTAATGGTCCAGCTTGATATTGAGGTGTGCATTCAAAACAGGCTTCTATCGTAGGAATTATACCCGACTGTAAGGTCATGAAGTTGTTTGATGAGTGCTTTTGCACGAAACTCGGAGTAACAACACATTTCTCGGCTGTTCATTGTTCGGTGACGTGTGTGACTGTAAGGGTACGTACTAGGTGTACAAGCAACTCAATGAGATGGCTGGGAAATGGCACACCACACCCTTACCAGAACTGGCAACATCAAAAGAGGGTTGAAATTAGAGATGGAAGATGAGCTAGGTGACCTACCTGCATCTTGCCACAATATTCAGGGTCCGACAAGGTCAGGAACGCCGCCTCCCGACTCATCGCCAGGAACTTGCGGTGCTTGGCAAACACCTGTGTACAAATTGCCTTGGCCTGAGCAGGGTCAAGACGATCAGACAAAGGAACACGGCAGGCAGTGAGAGATCAGCTGCTGTGCAGAAGAGAGGACTTAGATGTATATTTGAGCATAACATATTCACGCGCACATCACACTTGCTTGAGAGGTACCACATGGCATTATACCGATTCTTTACCCATGGTGCACACTCAAGCTGGAGTTTGGCAAGTGTGAAAGGACACTTGATGGTGGTGGCTGCACTGATCAGCTTGGCCCAGAGCTGCTGCTTCAACGGAGACGCCAGGATTGAGGGAAACTCCACCGGACAGGGGAATACGGCACTGGAGCCTGCCATGCGTCCATATGCTCGTCAGAAATAACAACGGCACTTGGGGGTCTGCCCCCATGCCGAATGCCAACGGAAACTTGAACCAGCGCACGCCATGCTTCTTCAAGGCCGTGACAATGGCACTGGTAAGTGGCTTGACGACATTGTTCTGGTAGTGTTCTGCTCTTTCTGCTGTTAGATTAGAGTTCATAGCACGAGCTGTCAGTGGCATTGCGAAATCTGGCTCTACATCCATTAGGATAGTTAGTTGTATGTCCCGTAATACCTGCCGTTTCCGCGCTAAGTAGCCGCTTGAAAAGCCGAGTTCTGTGTCGGGGAGCTGGCTGGCCCGAAGAGATGGCATGATCAGCCTGTCCAGAATCTCCAGCAAGGTGACATGTTCCGTAGCGATGATCGGATTAGCTGACCTTCTGACCACTTCTTCCCAAATGACGTAGTGCGTTTCCTTCTTTGGAAGATACTCGAGCATACATTTGCCCAGCTGAATGCATGCCGTGGCGTACTTTTGGAACCATTTCAAATGTTCATGTATGTATGACCAGCGGGTGTCGATAAACTCTTTGGGCAAGGGAGGCTTTCCGAGGATCTAGAGCGAAACGTACAATGACTTGTAATACGTTGGCTTCTGTTGATGCAGATACGCGATTCTGTACTGCATTTGGCACATGTTAAAACTTGCCATTGGTCCTCGATGACCGAATCCGTCGACCATTTACGTTTTCAAAGCAATGTTCAAAACGTACGGGTAGCAGCCTATGAAATGGGTTGTATTCTAGTATAGGCCACCCAGTGCGACCGCATGTCCCTTCTTGCCTCCGGACTGTGTAGATGCATTATCTCCCACCACTCCGCACACTGTTCTGATCCCGTAAACATTCTTCAGGATGTGGTAGTCTGCTTTTGCTTGGTCTGCTCCACGGCCACTTGCAATGAGTGTATCCGCCAATAGATATCATGCGGGGCAATTGCGCTTCGCTGGCCAGGTGTGTACCCCCACCATGTTCCTATCTTCTCCTTTCTTATTGGAGTCGTCTGCGAAAACTGTAATGTCATAATTATGGTGTTGAGGAGAGGGTGTCACGGAGGATAGCCTTGTCAACCTCTCCGAGAAGCAAGTTACATTTGGCCAGTGACGATGGTGAACATGTTGTGCCGAGATGGCTACAGGGAGCTTGACCAGTCAGTACATGGTGGCTTAGATGTATTGCCAATGCTGCCTTCTCAGAATGCTTCCTCTTTTGGCGATTCGGGTAGTTCACTCCCGACCTGTCCTTTTTCTGTTTGCAGACATAGTGCAACTCGTATAAAAAACTCTGAGCTCCAAAAAGAGTTAAAAGACTACCGCATTCACTAACACCAACAAGAAAATGAAGGCTATGAAGAAAAAAAGAGTTGATTCAGCTACAGTCGAGGCGGGAAAACGGGTGTAGCTCATCAGCTGAACCCGGCATCGTCGTCATCGTGCTGGCTCTCCACCCCCAGGAGACATCTGCAAAGACAAAAAAGGGGGAGACAAAACGTCTCGGCGTTGCTGCTCCAGGCCGACTTCCAGTAGACACCAGACAGAAAGTTGGAAAAAGGAGGTGGAGACAAGGCCTGTCATCGCTGTGCTAGCTCCTTCCAGGAGAGAATCGAATACAAGAAGCAGCAGACTGTCAAGTCGAAAGAGAAAGACACCGTGTAACGTGTATGTCTGATGTTGTTTGACTTAGAAGTTGGAGGAGATTTGTCTTGCGGAGCTCGATCGCAGGAGTTGGATCCATCGACGATTTGAAGAAAACAACTAAAAAAGCGAGGTGGCGGCTTGGCACGCGAGGATAACCCACGAGGTGAGCACACTCCGAAATCCAAGATGGCTGCGAGATGATCACCGGTTACGCATCCTGGGTGTGACCCCTAACGTTGCTCGTTTTGCCCACCTAACCCCTTGTGTATGCTGTGCTTGGTGATATTCTAGCCAGTTCGTTCTTCGGCATCCGACAGTACTCTACTGTATCATGCGAATGAAAAGTGTATACTGCTTATGCAATCAAGTAGTATGCAGACAATGTTCTGAAAACTTGATGAAGTTCGCTGTAAAATACAGTGTGTGGCAGTGCTTCCCATAACCATGATGTACTCCTATGCATACGTTGAGAAAGGTTTCCTGTAAGAAAACATCCTTCTCCCACTTCGGTGTACTATCAGCGCACAGCGAGCGAAACATGATGACAAATGATATAATACTCGGGGTAATCCGATCCATTGTTGGATAGAAAGTAAGATCAGATAATACATAATTCTGTGTCCAGTTCCCGAGACTATGTGTTATCAGGACTCGACCTGTACCTACTGGTACATGTACAGCGCAACTCTGGTAAGACGTACCCCCACGGGCAGAAAAGTGTTGCTAGTATCCATTGTACTTTCTTATGCCAATATACACTCATACCTTGTTTATCCGGGCGGTCCGGGACCGGGCAATGCCTGGCACTTTGAAATATCCGTAACTCCGAATCACAGACATTTTGACGGGGGAAAGGCTATAGATATGGTATATGCCGTCGCAATTTCCACAAAAAGTGACAAAGGAGTAGTAATAGTAATACAAGTATTTCCACTGAAACTCACCCAAAGGATGCCCGGTAAACCGAAGTGCCCGGTACTTCGGTGTCCGGATAACCGAGGTATGGGTGAACATGTCGCGTACGCGAGCTTCGTGATTTGAATCTCGATTACTTAGTTATAATTTTACTACTTCCCTTTTTCACGTCGGCTCTACGCGACGTCATTTGCTTTCCCCAGCTCCGCTTGTGAGGCGCATGTGCCATCCTTTTTCGGGGCTTTTTGACTTTTACAGTTTTGGAGAGAGAGGCAAAGATAGAAGCTTGAAAGTATTTACTATTTATGGCAAGGTCGCTGTGATGAGTGTGAGTTCGTGTAGAAGCATGTAGCCCTTTAGATGCAAGAGTGAACCCAGGGCGCAGAGGTGAAAGTGTTCACCACATTTTGGTGCCAAAACCCGATCCTACGAGCAAATATGGCGGATCCATCGGCTGGGCTACAAACCAGGAAACGGCGCACGACGAGCCGTTTCAAAACCCTGGCAGAACTGGAAGTGGACTTAGACAAGGCCATCGGCGATGCAATTTCGGAGACCACGATTACCTCAACGAGGCAGGTAATTATGGAATTTGACCAACATTTAGAGGAATCTAATGAGGCACTAGACAAGTACACGGAAACCCTGCTTTCGTTCAATCCGAAGAAGCAGGACGACAAAGATATGAAGCAAAGGGAGTTGGCAGAACTTGGTGACATGGAAGAGGATATCAGAAAATGGAAAAAAAAATCAGTTACACTCAAAAGCCGAATTATACAATTTGATCAAGTGCATGGAAAACAAAGCACAGAATCTAGTAATAACACACTTGGAACCCACACACGGAATTTGGAGAACATACTCACGGAACTGGTTGATCTAAATAAAGCAAACATGTCTCAGGGTCAGACCAGCCAGACTCCCAGCAACTCCACTGGGGTTAGGTTACCGAAACTCGAGTTGCCAAAATTCAATGGCGATATTCTCCAGTGGAATGGATTCTGGGACGTTTTTCAACATTCGGTGGACAAATCACAAATCTCCAAGGCAGAAAAGATGAGCTACTTGAAAGGTTGTCTTACAGGCGGTGCAAGGGATGTGTTAGAGGGCATGCCGCTAGATGATTCAAATTATGATGGTGCTGTTCAAATGTTGAAGGAGCGGTTTGGGAAGCAGGAACGCGTTGTCAATGCTCATTACAAATCACTAATGGCAATTCCACCGGCAGAAAACAACACCACCGCACTAAGACAACTCCACGCACAGATCGAACGGCATTTGCGATCACTGGAGGCTGTTGGAGAAGACATGAACCAAAAAATCTTCTTGTCCATTGTCATGGCAAAGCTGCCAGAAACTGTTATTTTCAACTTGGAAATCACACGCGGAAACAGTACCTGGAATGTCCACGCTCTATGCAAAGCTCTGTTGCGATATGTCGAAGCAAAGGAAACATCCACTGCACACGCCGACAGTAGGCTAGCCACAGACAGCCCACACGGTATTGGCAGTTCGCCTAGCTACACACGTTCATCGGCAGAAGCTCTACTATCACACACAGCACAGCGGTCACCACCCCGATGCTTTTACTGCAAAGATACCCACTTTACAGACGAATGTACGAAGTGTGTGACACTAGAGCAGAGGAAGGCAAAGACAGAAAACCGGTGCTTCGTCTGCCTTCGGCCAGGACACACCGCACGAAACTGCCACAATCCCCGACCATGCTATCACTGTCGACGCGACACCCATCACAGATCCTTGTGCCCGGAGAAATTCGGAGGCAAAAGCACAAACGCACTGAATGGAGATGCGAAAGCATTTCAATCAAGATCTGCAAACGCACGGTCCGAAACAGCAACACTTGCTGATTGCGAAATTAGAAAACCTGAGCCAATGGAAATTCACACAGTGAGCGACAGAGACCAATCGGCTGTGCTTATGCAGATGGCTTTAGCTGATCTCACAGATAACGACAGCAAGCGGTCTTGCCGGGTGCGGGTATTTTTCGACACCGGCTCTACACGGTCCTTTATCAGCGAGGCGACCCAGAGCACCTTGAATGCCGACGTCATCGGGGAAGATGCCCTGTCGATCGCTACGTTTGGCTCAAAGAAGAGGGAGACCAAGGTCTTGAAACGGGTCCAAATCCAAGTGAAGACCATCGATGGCGGTAGTGTCCCCATTACGGCAAACATCACCCCGAACATCAGTTCTACGATGAGGCGCCTGCCAATCGATATGAGGAAACACCCCAGCCTGCAGCGAATGGTCTTAGCAGAACCCATTGCGGATCGACCAGAAGTCGTGACAATAGACATGCTCATTGGTAGTGACTACTACTACGATATCATTGGAAACGACCATGTCCGATTCTCGGATGGCCTCGTTCTTCTGGACACCAAGCTGGGATTCGTCCCGACAGGTCGGGTGACAACGGCCGCAGATCTACCCCAAGTCGACACCATGATGCTGACCGCAGCGGACGTATACAAGCATGACGACTTCGACTTGAAGAAGTTCTGGTCACTTGAAGACATCGGTATTACCGACGACATCACCAGCACTCTACATCCTGAAGACGCAGCGTTGAAGTCGTTCAATGAGACGGTGAAGTTTGTCAACGGACGGTATAGCGTTGAATGGCCATGGAAAGATAGTGTGACTGACACATTTCTGCCGGAGAATTACGAGCTGGCAACTGGCCGGCTCCGCTCGCTTGTGTCACGTCTGTCCAAGACCCCAGAAATCCTCGACAAATACAACGACACCATACAACAACAACTCAACAGTGGCATCATCGAGACAGTCAACATGACCGAGAACCCGGACACTTTGAAACACTACATTCCACACCACTGCGTAGTGAAGCCTGACAACACAACAACGAAGATTCGAGTTGTTTATGATGCGTCCGCCAAGACGAAACCCAACAACCACAGCCTGAATGATTGCCTCGAAAGCGGGCCAAGCTTGCTGCCAGATCTGTGTGGAATTCTGGTCAGATTCCGTCTGAAACCGATCGGTATAACCAGTGATGTAGAGAAGGCATTTTTGCAAGTCGGGCTGGCGATGCCTGATCGAGACGTCACCCGATTTCTTTGGCTCAGACATGTCCATCAACCAGTCTCCGAAGACAACATTGTGGTGTACCGATTCTGCCGCGTGCCATTTGGTGTGGTGTCGAGTCCGTTCCTTCTCGCAGCCACGCTTAGTCATCACCTCGACAAGCAAGACACTGATGTTGCGCGAGACATGAAGCACAATACCTATGTGGACAATGTCCTTGGCGGTGCTACAACAACTCAGGACGCCACGTTGTACTATGAGGACGGCAAGGAACTCTTCAGACAAGCCGGGATGAACTTACGGGAGTGGAGTTCGAACTCAGCAGAATTTCTTCTGTCCGTTCCAGAGAACGACAGAGCCAAGCATCCTCAAACAAACACAAAGGTATTGGGCATGCAGTGGAACACAGTCGAGGACAACATCACTGTGACGCAGACAAACTTCGATCTTCTGCGTGTCCAGACTAAGCGCGACCTGGTGAGTGCAGTTGCCCAGTTCTTTGACCCCCTGGGATTGTTCTCACCAGTGATAGTTCGTGCAAAGCTTCTCATCCAATCCGTGTGGCAGCTAGGCTTGGAGTGGGACAGCCTCCTTCCCGATGACATCATCTCACAATGGAAAAGCATCGCGACCGATTTGTCAAATGCTGCGGGAGTAGACATTCCACGCTATGTCGGTGCAGCCGGAGATTCACATATCCGTAGAGAGCTACACGTATTCTGCGATGCTTCGAATGGCGCATATGGCGCTGCAGCGTATTTGCGAACCTCGGAAGATGATGGCCCAGTACATACACATCTTCTATACAGCAAATCGAGGCTGTCTCCAATCAAAGCAGCCACAGTTCCTCGTCTGGAATTACTTGCAACGCTCATCGGTACACGCATGGTGAAATTTCTGACAAAAGAATTACCTTTCGAGCTGGATGCAACGCACTTGTGGTCAGATTCACAATGTGTCCTTGGTTGGATTCAGAATCACAACAAGACACGCCCGACCTTCGTTGAGAATCGGCTCCGAGAGATCCGACAACAGCACCAGATATTGTTCGGTTACGTCCCATCAGCAGAAAATCCAGCTGATCTCCCATCTCGTGGAGTATCCACAGCTGAGTTGGCTACTAGTACACTATGGTGGAATGGTCCAGACTGGCTTGCGCAAAGCACTCAAGAATGGCCACAGAATACGGATCAATACGAGTCTGGTCCTACATCAACCACACCCGAACCAGTTGCAGTTGCTACTGTGTCTGCGGAAGGTCCTTCGGAAACCATTCACCCTCCATTTGACATAGATATATCAGCGTACTCGTCACTGAGTCGGTTACTTCGGGTAACTGCATATGCTAATCGGTTTATCAATCGGCAAATGGTGAAAGAACAACAACTTACAGCGGATGAGTTAGTCAATGCCAGAAACCTTTGGGTCAAGTACACACAACAGAAACACGATATTGAATTGGAGAAGAATGGAAAACCTCTTGGTACGTTCAATGATGATGATGGAATAATCCGCTGTGGTGGTCGTTTAGAAAGGTCGGAATTACCGTTTCACACGAAACATCCAATCCTAATACCAAAGCACAGCTTGTTTACGAAACTTGTCGTTCAGTCTTACCACAAGCGAATAATGCATTCTGGAACTAAACACACCCTATCGCAAATTCGAGGTGAATACTGGATACCAAGTGGTCGTGTAATTGTAAGAAACATACTGAAGTCATGCGTGGTGTGTAAGCGATGGGAAGGTAAACCTTTCAGGTTGCCCGAAATGCCACCCCTCCCCAAGGAGAGGATCTCGAGGTCCAAACCATTCGCCTATACAGGTGTTGACTACTTCGGTCCAATGTACGTTCGCAATGACAATGGAGAATCAACAAAGGTATGGGCTTGCCTATTTACTTGTTTGACTGTCAGAGCAATTCATTTGGAGTTAGTGAAAGATATGACTGCCGAGCAATACTTAATGGCGCTTCGGAGATTTGTCTCCCGACGTGGTACTCCTGTTCAATTCATTACTGATAATGCTCCACAATTCAAACTTACGAAGAGTACTATCGACTTAGCTTGGAAGAATATGGTTTTGAATGATGATGTCATGAATTACTGTGCACAACTGGGGTGCAAATGGTCCTTCATCGTAGAATTGGCGCCATGGATGGGCGGGTTTTACGAAAGGTTAGTTGGTGTTGTGAAACGAGCCTTACGCAAATCAATGGGAACCAAGCGACTTACAGTGGAACAGCTAACTACACTCTTAACGGAAGCTGAGGCAGTGATCAATACCCGGCCTCTTGTGTATGTTGGTGAAGAATTGTCAGATTGTTCAGTGATAACACCCAGCCACTTTCTGTGTCAGTCCAGTGTGATTGGGTTACCACAGAGCACGGACACTGACAACGATCCTGACTACAATGTGGACACCAACCCAGCCGAGCGACTGCTGCAGTCATGGAAACTGGGTCAGTCAATCTTAGATACTTTCTGGAAGTCGTTCCATGCGGAGTACATCCTTAGTCTCAGGGAGCGCTATGAAAGAATCATTCGGCAGGGCAGGCTCCAGAGTCATGAGACTGCAGTGGTTGGCAGCGTCGTTTTGATACACGAGAATCTGCCGAGAGGCTCCTGGCGATTCGGAGTGATTGAGAAACTCCATGCCAGTAGTGACGGCAAGTACAGATCAGCGACGATCCGGACAACACGACAGACGCTACGACGGTCCCTGAGTATGCTGTATCCCCTCGAGTGCCCAAGTGAGGGTGCAACAGAAGCAGACTCTGATGAGCAGGCCACGACTGATCCCGACATTGAAGTCGCTACTGGAGATGACGGAGCGTCAGGTTTGATGCCACCAGCAGCAGATCGTCGGCCGGCACGCAGAGCAGCTCAGCGTTGCCAAGATGGCATTCGACAGCTCATTAGCCACGATGCCCTGTAGGTTTTAGAAATTAAAATTATTATAGGTTATGGACTATAACAGTGTAGTTTCATTGAGTGATGTCCGAGCCAATATCCACTACAGGTAGCAGTAGCTGAGAATACAAGTTAGACTGAGCTAATCAATAGTCTTGGTGTTCATTGCCTTGAACTGTTCCAGTTAGTTGTAATTGCTTTGGACGACTCAAGAGCAAGGGTCTTGACTATATTGTAGTGAATAATTTTGCTAACGTTAGGTGCATGATTACACTAGTTCATAGGTGTAGCTATGCGTATTGCTCTGCGTATTGCGTTTAGAATTTAACGTTACATTGGACCACCAGCTCCCCGTGCTATACTTTTGCCTGCACAATTTCTCTTTCTACAATTTACTGAGCATTTTGTTTTGCATAGGTTTTAAAAGTAAGGTCATATTTCCGGCTGCTAATTCTCTTTGCTGTGCGGAGTGTCGCGTACGCGAGCTTCGTGATTTGAATCTCGATTACTTAGTTATAATTTTACTACTTCCCTTTTTCACGTCGGCTCTACGCGACGTCATTTGCTTTCCCCAGCTCCGCTTGTGAGGCGCATGTGCCATCCTTTTTCGGCGCTTTTTGACTTTTACAGTTTTGGAGAGAGAGGCAAAGATAGAAGCTTGAAAGTATTTACTATTTATGGCAAGGTCGCTGTGATGAGTGTGAGTTCGTGTAGAAGCATGTAGCCCTTTAGATGCAAGAGTGAACCCAGGGCGCAGAGGTGAAAGTGTTCACCACAGAACATGTACTTCGATATGGAGCAATGCAAGCATACCCCAGCCAATGTCTGCACTAAACAAGAGTATGCTTTATCAGAGTACTAGTATATACTAAGTCAGCTCCACTGTACCTTGTGCTTCTGGTTGGCTGAGTCACTGGCATCCGGAAGCAACAGGCCCAGGTGACACGCGGCCTTCATCATCAGACTCAGATAGGGCAGGATTAGCTTCTTCCAGTTCAAGCCTTGGCTGTTCTCCTGCAACGTGACGGCAGTAAAAGCCAGATACATGTCGTTACAGCGTACAGTGGAACTGGTGAAATGGGTCGACACCCAGGGGCCTGGCCCACACTGTCCTCGGTTGGGAGATGCAAGTGTGCGAGTCTGTCTTGGCGAAAGGTGCCCTCGATTTACAGTCACCCATACTACTCAGGTGTCCTCTAGGGCAATTACTTTCACTGTTACTATCATGGTATAAGACATGGTTTACATGGCTATAAGCAGATTAGACT